TTCATGAACAAGGCTTCCAAGGGTTACTGTTACTATTGTGAGTGCATCATAGCTTACACGTGTTCCTTCACAGGGAGGATCATCGCGACATGAATAAATGTAGATAATAAATGTGTAATTGAGATGGACATCATTTCGTGTTTATTCCCAAGCATATACGTTCATATAATATTATCCTTCACATTACGGTTGGATATATACAACTTGTTGGGCGTGAAGCGTTCGTCTTCCAATCCTTACAAGAAGGGGGTATAAGATTCAAGCGTGTGTTATGATGTTGATTGTTGAATTGTCACGTACAAGTTGAAAGAGAACAGCGGCGAGTAAAAGATCAACTTGGTTTCATGCAGCATTCTTTTCTCATTCACCTTGCCTGGTTCCTGCAACTTGACATTCGACCCATCGCGCTCTCTTTGTTCTTGACAACTTTCACATTCAAGGTACATTGCGAAATGGACAACTTGAAAGTGATCCTGACGCGTTTTGAACATAGGTTGAAATTCTTGTGTCGATGCTCTCTTCGTAACATGGTCATGCCAATGTCAAAAGGTTAGTTCTTGGGACAAGGCTCACATTACATGACAATTGACGTGTTGCCATACATAAAGACGCGCGACCACTAAGGAGATACCACAGGATTGGGTCAAGAATTCAACAAGATGTACATGGCTGGCGAGGGTTTGGGATCATCCATGAGACGACACAAGGCGAATGCAAGGAGAATGACACGGATATGGCATCGACGCTCTCCAAGGCGATGGCATCAACTCACCTTTTGGATAACGGTGGATGGCGATTCAGCTGCTTCATTCATAACTCGAATCCAATGACGCGTGAAAATGGGTGGCGACAATGATGATCGTTATCAGTTTTAACGCGTTATCATGGCAACGACCTGCATTCTTCGTTGATCTAGCGACAGCTTCAGACCTTGGCCAATGCACCAGTTGACAATTAATCACATCAAGGCTCCTCAACAATCTATCAGCTCATCACCATTCTCAACACTCTTTGTGAACACAGAAATACCCACGCCCACCATGAAGGTTGTCGTCCATCACTTTATTCGCGCACATCTCTTCTTCGCATCATATCACTCCTTGATTGATGGAACCTTCAAAGGCCCTTGGTAAGTATCATGGTGGATGTCTCATTCTTTGATTGATACATGTACTAATACCTGTCATGATCTTTAGCGTCTCATTGTTACGTTGCCATCATGCTCATTGTTGTCATTGTAATATCTGACTCTTTATTACAAGGTAAAACCTAATCATATTGCTGGATGAGACACATACTCACATTCATTTATGATCTAGCTACCTATCGGGCATATGCAAAGTTGGATTAGGTGGCACATTCTACTACAGCTTGCATGGAGGGTGATACTGCGGCTTCCGTTGTAGTACCCATTATTGTGCTTTTATCGGCAACACCTTGTTGGCAAAGACAAAGACAGCTCTTATAGCAGGCTATCATGGTGCCATTGTCTCATTGTATACTCGTCTCATGACTACGGTTGCCATCGTCTCATTATTACCTGTACTATATAATGGCATCTTCTCAACTTCGTCTTCGCTACTCTTGATAACCATCCTTCATCTTCTACAAGGTACGTTAAGAGATGCTTAGCCTACATAAAAAAGCATGACGCTGACAAATACCTAACATAGATGGCTACGAGCCGTGGGACTGCTGTGAACATCACTGCTTACAACACTATCAGGCAGCGGATGAGAGATGCTCAACTTGATACCGGAGCCTTGGTCCATGATGCAACGTTTTTCTTGATGCATCAAGATCATCCTCATGATGCCGAAGCTATGGCACAGGTGCAGCAAATTATGCAGGACAATACAAGATTTACAGATGAACAGCTAATGCGACACCTTGCGATTGCTCCAGAACCAACAAATCGGTCGAGGATCCCACTTACAACGTATTATCTACGTAGCTGGAGAGTGCCACCACAAACCATGAGAATGATTTTCGATCAATGGGCTGACGACCAAGTGGAATTCACTGCTACTGACGCCTGGTTCGCTCGTCTACTGGAGAATCCAAACGAGGACATATACCTTCGTTATGTGGGGATGACGAATGGTACGGCAATGGAACGACATACTCAAGAAGTTCATGGACAGGCTGGAGGACTCCTTGGCATGTTTTACAACACCTTGCGACGAGTGGATCCAGCTACTTTCAACAATGTCAACATTTACTACTTTTATCGCACCACAGCCACTGAGATGTCACAATACACTCAACGCATGCGCGACATGAAAGAGCAAATTATCATCGCCTTTTTTGGTGTTGAAAACCTCCTCAACACACAATATGGTGGCCGGCTGTCATCGTATCAACCAAGCTCACATCAGACGGGACGTCTGGAACGATTTCGATCACGTTTCTTTTCATTGTTTCAGCAACATGCAACTCCACAACAAGACCAACATGTATTACAACCATGGATTGAGAGGGTGATGGATGGAGCGTTACACAGCATGGAACATGATCTCTTGGATATGATGCTCGACCAAGCTCTACCTCACACTGTTGACGGTTACACTATCCTTGTCCTTCTTGGTGCCGATATCACTATCGCTGACTTTGATAACGCTCAATCCTTTTTGGGTGGTGCTTCCAGAGCTGGTGATCTTACACGAAACATTCTTACTCGATTGGGTCGCTTGGATATCGAAGCTTATCACTTCACGCCCCATCCATTTCCATTCGTCAACTTGTACCCTTGGCCCAACACAGTTGATACAAGAGATGATGCTATTGAACAACTTCAAACGTACATGACACTCGTACAGCCCATTGTCACGGTGTCGTTCTCAAGCTCGGTTACAAGCGTTGCTTTTGCTGATTTTCTCCACCACAATGGCTTGACACTTCAAACAGGCAACCGATACCTTCAATACGTTGGCATACCAAGGCTTGTCGCAATGCTTGATCAGCAATGGGTAGATAATGATGGTAGTGATGCAACACGACAACAACGGCTCACCATTTTGATACCACATGTCGACCCTGGCTATGAACGATATGGTGAACGTAGCATCGAATTGCTTCGGCTTTTGGATTTGCAACTCGCCATCGCAACCATCATCAGTGAACTTGCCATTACATGCATTATCGATCATCCAGAATTCACTCGCAATCAAGTTGTACAGCATGTGTGGCATGTCATTGAAAACAACGAGTGCGAGAGAATCGTTGCAGCTTTGCTTGAATTGGATGAATTGAAAACGGCAATCAATCAGCGACAAGAGCAACTTTTGGCACAACAACCACCTGCTGTACGTCGAATTGAGGCCGCTGTAGCACAATGGCGAGCTCTTGGAAACATCCAGCATCATGGTATTGCCGAGGGTGCTCCACATAGCCCACAGCGACATCGACAACTCACAAGATTGTGGCGACTCAACAAGCCAGCATTACACATCCATATCGGCCGTGATGCAATGGAGGATTGGTTGAATTGGGGACTCCAATTGGTAGAAGGTGCATCCTTTTTTGCCTCTGCTATGCGACACGTGGGAATGAGACGCCATCATCCTTTGCATAACGCACTTCAGCAAGTGGCACCGCCAAATGCGGATCCTGACGGGGAACGGCTAAACGATCCAGAAGCTCTCGTCGCTGCAGTTCAACGATGGGGTGCCCTAATGCGAGATGTCTACGTTCCTCATGATTATTATTCTTCTGAAAATCAACGACAGCGAGTGGCAATCAGATGGAAAATGGCTGATAACGAGCTTGATTACACCGAGGTGCAGGAAGGGCGGAGCATTTATATACCTCAAATATCGGCAGCTACATTGAGATGGCAAGATGGGCAAGAACAACGAGATCTTCGGCTTACCTTTCCCAAGAGACTTCTTCAAGCTTCGGATGAGCGACAAGATTGTATGCGAGCTTTACGATTTTTGCCCAATGGGATTGGTTTGGATGACAACACTGGCCAACCAGTCATGTATCAAGGATCAACTACCATTATCACTCTTACGCAGCTCAAAGGATTTCCTGATCGATTCCATTTGATGCGACTATGGATACAAGAGCGAGTACGTTTAGGTGATCAAAGTGCTCTGGACCACACTGTTCGATCCTATGAACACATTCCTCCTTTCCAACGGCGTCCTCCTCTCACAGTGACTCACGGCGAGAACATCAAGCGGGAATTTTTACAAGGTCTATATCAAGGAGATGCCTTGGCTCTTTTTGGTGATTTTCTCGATGAGGAGTTTCCAAATGGTGGACGTGTTAACCTGGCAAAACCAGAAAACCAAGGCTTTTTTCAAGATACCATTCCCTTACAGCAGCGATTCGCCACCTTTCTTGACAAGCATCATGACCACCCTCATCACGACACATGGGAAAAGTGGAACTCGGATATCACAAGAAATGGCAAACAATATTGGCCCAACATTCAATTATTGCGACCTGGATCACAAAGCCTGCCACCTGAAAAAAGAAACATTCGGGGCGTAGGTGTAAGACAATGCAAGATTATCGACATTGCGCCTATACCGCATCAAACTATACCACGTCTCGATGACTAGTTTTATATAGCAGTAGTCTCTTTGTTGTAACTCCTCCTCATAATAAACGCACTTTTACCATGTACAATTGGCCCACATTATTATCATTTTTTAGGCGGAGGAAACCGACTTTTATTTCAACGCACGTCCTATATTATTATCATTGATGAATAAATACTACAAGGGCCTCAGCGGGGCTTCAAAGTCTTCCTCGACAGCTGCATAAGAGAACCCTTCCTATCAGCATCTCTTGTGGCTTTCATCTTCCATTTGAGCAAGTGGTAAAGCAGTTTCCGCCTGCTGAGTGTAACAGTGGCGATGAATGACAGGTTGCACAAATCAATGCTGATGGTCACATGTTCCTTGGCCGACCACATCATTAACACCCCCCGACCAACCCATAATCCTCTCGATTCAACATGATGCATAAATGGGAATATATATTACATTCTATCGACGTTTTCTATATGACACAGTTTCAAAACCATCATCATCAATTTCCGGTTCGGGAGGTGCTGATCGATCCACATCCTAAGTTGAAAAATGCTTTAGTACGGCGGTATCCTCCCTCGACATGGACGCTAAACATACCATGGCATTGTCATCATTATCATCATCGTCTTGGTTGTCATTGCCATTGTCGACGTCATTGTCATCTTCATCATCACTTGAGCCATCGGCACGAGAGCTTGAGACCGCATTTGATCGAGATTCGTACTTTTGTTTTAGTCGCTCGACTTCTTGATAGTTGCCATGGATGCATTGATGATAGATTTCCACAAGATGCTTGGCTACCTATAGATCCTCTTGTTAGAGGTGGAAAAGAATAATAAAAAAGGATCATACCAGGTAAGGAGAGTCGTCTTCAAGCACACAATGAAATTCATCAGCCATGATTTGAGCCAAGATTTGTTCAATGTCATCCACGTCTAATCTTTTGCCGTCTGTTTTGGTCGAGTCAAAAAGAGGGTCGATAGAGCTGACAGGCGAGCAAACACTTACTTGCACCAAAGTAATCGACAAGCACTTGATTCATCCAGTCTCTTTTATCTGCTGATTCGACACCTCCCCAGTCTTGTTCGACGGCTAGATTCAATGCTGTCCACGATCGTAGTACATAATGCAGGCCTTGTTCAAAAGCAACCTTGTTGGGGTGATCAGCCATGTTTCTGAGAGGGAAAAAAAAGATTGAAAGGCGGCACAGCAAGACACGCGAGTCTTTTTTCTTTCTGATACCGCTTCCTTTCTCGTGCCTTTTCGCGTTTACACAATGAACAACAAACCCACACCACGCATCAATTCCAAGCTTCGTGAGAAATACGTTGGCACAACTGTACGCATTTCAGGCAAAGTCGTTTCGGTAAGTACCCATCAAGAGGGTGTGATTGACAACAAGCGTTACTGAATGTGTGTGCGCAGTTTGCCGGTGACACAGCCGTTATTGAAGCAACGGACCATGGCCAAGTCCTTGTCAAGCTCAATGGAGTAAGTAGTAGTTAGGATAATCAAAGAGGTCGATATTGATATCATACCTAGGAATCACAATGGGGCACGGACTATGTTGAAGTGATTGGCAAGATAGAACGAGATTTCAGCTTGACCGAGTTTACGTCGACCAATTTGGGTAACGACTTTGGTAAGAATGCAACGGGGACGACGATCATTCTAAAGACTAAAAACGGACATTATGCATTGCAGATCTTGACTTGGCAAACAAGGTTGTAGAATACAGTCAAAAGTACCCCGAAATGTTTGAATAAAGGATCCCACCCGATGGTTGCATGGCATGGTATGTCTCTTTTTACAGTATCAAGACGGCACGAGAAGCGGAAGAAAAAGGGAGTTTTGGGGGAGGGCAAGGAGTAGCAAGCAACAGCAGCACTATCATTATCATCAACAGCAGGAGAAATTGAATATGGGGGAGGATAACTTGATCTAATCTACACATAAATATGTAACTCTACCAGTACCCTTTTTCTTTTTTTTTTCTCTCTCTCTCTCTTTTCTCTCGTATTTTACCCCTGAGTGGCCATGACCAGCCTCTTTGTAAATGAACGTCTCACAATATACACACACAATGATGAAGGGCATAGTGATGCTAGCAGTAGCACCATTAGTAGCAAGGAACATGAACCTACAATAACCACCCAGGGCACTGGTGGTGCACCTACAATCACTTTATCGCCTCCACCAACAACGGGTCGACGTAAACGTAGCATCTATCGTATCTTTCAGCAGCAGCAGCAGCAGCAAGAGCAATGCGACAAGAAAACAAACTCGGCTCTAGGTCGGCGACTATCGAATTTATCATTGCGTACTCCCCAAACATCTCGTCCACCGTCACCTTGTACAGAAGCAGTGGGCGCTGCAGCTGTTGCAGCATCCTTGGCTGCAGCGTTTGCTGTGGGTGGACAACAACAAAAGCAGCACCACAACGACAATGATGATGATGACGATGATGATGAAGCAGCACGGCTGCATCCTAATGCAGCCTATCAGCTATCTTCTAATATTGATACACCGCCTTCACCATCGTCATCCACACTATCATCACCACGATCCGAATCACCTACAATCATGTTTAGAGAAATGAAACGAGCATTGTCACAGTATCAGCAGACACGGCGATTCAGCCTAGGTCGACGAAGGGCATCAACAACCAAAGTGGATGTGGATGATCGACAAGGCAATGCATCTCAAGTATCACGAAGGGCATTATTGCATGAAAAGTATGGAAGGAATACACGCAAGGGACGTTCGATAGGGCGAGGGGCTACTGCAGTCATCAAATTATTGGAACCTAGTGACCCATCTCAATTGCCAGGTGCCCCCAAGATTGTTGCTGTAAAGAGATTCCGTAAAAAGGACCGAGATGAGACCGAGCGCGATTATCAAAAGCGCATGACCAATGAATACTGCATCAGCAAAGTACTACAACATGCACACATTGTCCAAACATTTGATCTCTTGCAAGATAGCAAAGGTCGTTGGTGTACTGTCATGGAATACGTAAGCTCATCCACTTTTCATCATCATCATCATCCCATCCACTCATTTTCTTTTATATAGTGTTCAGGGGGAGATGTCTTTACTATTCTCAAGAATTTTGATCTCAACGACACCGAGATCGACTGCCTCTTCAAGCAGCTGTTGCTAGGTCTTGAACACATGCATAATTGTGGTATCGCTCATCGAGATATCAAGCCTGAAAACCTTGTCATGACATCAAGCGGTGTTCTCAAGATTACGGATTTTGGTGTTGCTGATATTGTTCAAGGCCCTTTTGACGATGCACCACGCCACTCACGCGGTCTTTGTGGTTCAGAACCTTACTGGCCACCCGAGCTTTTTGATGATCGTACTGCTTCAGCCTATGATGGACGTGCTATTGACGTTTGGAGTGCAGCTGTTACATGGCATTGTCTCATTTATCGTCGTATTCCTTTTGTTCAAGCTTGTCAAAAGGACCCAAAGTACATTGATTTCCTTGACGAACGTCCCCAAAAAGTTTGGCTTCCACTTAGCAAATGTAGTGAGCATGAACAAGAATGCCTTTATGCCATGTTTGATCCCAATCCAGATACGCGTTGGACGATAGCCCAGTGTACAGGATCCTCCTGGATCCAATCCATTCCTTCTTGTACGAGTGCCCATCGCCATCATATGGCAAGCAGCAGCATATAAATCTTTTATATACATTAGATAGTTATCATACCCCTATGCAGCTATTGGATCGACTACAACAACAATTACAAATATAGATCGATTTTGACGCATTGCATTCACACCCTCTTTGTACTACGCTCTCCTTTCTTCCCATTTTCCATGGTCAACAGCTCGCTCAAGGATCGGGTCTTGGGCAGCAACATTGGGATCTATGCTTGTGCCATTCTTTTACGCATCGCCATCTCGAGCTTCCCTTGGCTCGTTTCAGCATTGTCTCAACGCGTCGAACTTGTCACTCCTGTAACCAGCTTTAAGAAATGTAAGATCCACAACCACTACAACTATTGGAATCGACAACTCATCATGGTGTGCATAGTAACGGAAGGCGTCTTTCTTTATCAAAGCAATGTGCCTCCTTACGATGGTGGCCAGTTTCACCAGGTACGCTATCCACTATCACTACTCGTATACACGCACGCCAGCCTGACGTTACAATAGCCGCCATTATTGCTCTGCATATTTTCATTCTTGATGGCAATACCAAATAGCTACGTTATCCCGCTCTTGTACAGCTTTATGGATGTCGCCATCGCCCACAGTCTTCAGAAACTCGCCATCATCAAACAACAATACGAATCCAAGCAAGCAAAGCTTGACGTTGAGCAAAACATCCAACGCATCCGGCCACAAACCATTGCAATCTTTTATCTCTTTAATCCATTCACTATTCTATCATGCGTCTCCAAGTCATCCATCATCTTTACCAATCTCAGCGTCGTCATGGCAACCTTGTGGGCTTCATTAGGTAACACGCGCACCTTGTCTTTGAAGGTCTCGACGACTAATGAGACACAGGCAATGCATCCTTGTCCATGGTATGGTTGGCGCTTGCATCCTACCTAAGCTTTTATCCGGCCATGATGGTACCGCCCTTGTTGATCATGTGCAAGCAAATGGCAAAAAGGTCCAATGTAAGTTGTATATGTGATTACATACAATATGCTTATTGGGGATGATTAGGCATTGCTGGGTGTGGCCATCTTTGCTGCTAGCGTTGCAGGACTTTTATATGGATCACGGATCATTGTTGGCTCGTGGGATTTCATGGAAGCCACTTATGGAGTCATGTAAGTAGAGCATGCGTTATCAAATGTCATGAGCTGATGAAGCTGTAGATTGTTCCTTCCCGATTTGACGCCCAACACTGGCATGTTTTGGTACTTTTTTATTGAGATCTTTGATCACTTTCGATCCTTTTTCCTTGTGGTGTTTCAATTGCACGCCTTTATCTTTGCTGCACCGCTTTGTATTCGTCTCAGGTAGGTCTACTACGGCTATCAATGGATGTGGTATTCAATTTGCTCCCTTAGAAATCACCCATTGTTGGTAGTGACGGTACTTGCAGGCATTTTGGCAGTGTTCAAAAGCTATCCATCCATTGGCGACGCCGCCTTGTTTCTCAGTCTTGTACCTCTCCATGATGAGCTATTCAAATGTAAGTCATTACATGAAGTTGCTATGATGGACTAAAAAGTAACCATACTACTTAGATTGTCGATATGGCTTCCTCGTGGTGAATATCTTCCTCTACTCCTCGGTGCTTGCTCCCATCTTTTGGCATTTATGGCTATACGCTGGCAGTGGCAACGCTAACTTTTTTTATGCCATTACTCTTGTTTACAACCTGGGCTTGGTGTTGCTGCTGATTGACTTGGTTTATTCTGCCACGAGACGTGATTTTGATATTGCCAATCCGGATAGTATAGGAAAGAACATTGTGCATAAATAAATACCAATTTTATTATTGAAAGCATAAACGACGAGACTGACAGGCAGCTTGCATGATTTCCCATCCCGCTTATCTAAGAGATAACAAATGTTGAGTACCCAAGACCAAAGAATAAACATGCCATCTGGAAGCTGATACGTGTATTTGAAACGGTATAAGCTTAAATAAGGATCCATGATGATGATGATGATGACTCTTGCGTCGAGCAAGTTGACGACTTTTGGATATAGTTGTTGACTCAATGAGTCAATTTGACGAAACTCCCAGGAAGCCTTCTTTCAATGTCCGGTTGATTACACGCTCTCTTCTTTTCTTGTTTCCGATCATGATCCCCAGACACATTGCAAGGCCTTCGATCTTGTCAACATGTCGATTCACCTGCACAAGAACCTTTTCTTCATTGCGACCCACGGCAACGACGCAAGAAAAATCCAATGTACTATGTCCGTGGCCTACCGAGGATAAAATACAGAGCACTAACGCCACCACCTGCTGTCAATAGGACGATCCAACAAGACCAGAGGATACACGAGTATGTATAATCAATCGAGTTTCTCGATCAATCAATCATGTATTAAGCAACAAATGTATAGGATCTATTATTGAATTTGATGAATACGGCACCAAGCAAGCGGGAGCTGCGTCATTTCTTGAAGCGTTATGTGCCTGATCTCAACACGTCGTCATCCCTCATCATGCCTGGATCGAGCAGTACAACAAAACGCAGCACACGGACATCGCAGAGTTACGTGGATGCATTATTATCACCTACAGCAAACCAGATTGCTATCACCAAGGTTGAAGGTCCGTTCGAAAAGCGGGGATGGCAGTCTGTTGGATCGACCCTGGTCAAATTACAAAAGCTTGGATTGACTTCGATTGTTGTGACGGATAATGCTCAATGGCCGACGGATGAATCACCAGTGGAACTAGCAAAAACCATGTTGCGAGAGAGTATGGCATTGGTCGAAGCTATTGAAAATGCTGGTGGTAGAGCACGACCCCTTCACAGTGGCATCATTGAAAGCAGCTCAGTATCCTCCATGGATGTACAATTGGATTTCATTCAAGATGCATTATCGAGAGGCCAAATACCTGTTCTTGTACCCATCATGACCCAAGAAGGTGGTTTGCAACAACCAGTCAAAGCCAACGATGCCATGGTTGCCATCACAACAAAGCTCACCAAGCGCAACAATAGTCCAGCCAAGGTGGTGGTGATCAATAATGAAGGTGGCATATTTAATCACGAGCAACCCGGCACAGCGCATAGTTTGATCAATGTTCAAGAAGAGTATGATACGATTGTCAATGCTTTTCAACAGCGACCTCAATGGATGAAGGCATACCCCACAGCGATCGATAATCTTTCCATGATTCGCCAATGCCTTGCTCAACTACCGACATCTTCCTCCGCCATTCTCGCTCCTATCGCTTCATTACCTTCAGCTCTTATCACCAATTTGGTCACTGACAAGCCTCTTTATTCATCATCACTTCCAAATCAAGATATCGAACGGATCAACAAGATGCGTACGACCGTTTTGCGACATGGTATCAAGATTCGCAATTATGACAATATTGATGATTTGGATTTGGATCGTTTGACACAGCTTATGGAAGCCAGCTTTCAAAAGAAGCTCAATGCGGATGCATTCTATGAGCGATTGCGGCATGTGCTTGCTGGTGCTATTATAGCTGGAGATTATGAAGGTGCAGTCATCATGACGAATGAATCAGCGGATGGACAAGGCTCTCGGCACTATTATTTGGACAAATTTGCTATTGCACCAACGAGTCAAGGCATTGGTCTCACTGATATTTTATGGAAGCGTATGTGTGATGGATTCCCAGAGCTATTATGGAGAAGTCGACAGGATAATGGAGTCAACAAATGGTAAGCTGATTTCATTGTTTAATGTGTGTGGAATTATTATAGCCAAGCATCATTGATCGATGGCGCTAAAATGTTGCGGGGGATTAATTATTAGGTACTTTGAACGATCCAACGGATATTTACGACTCAAGGACACCAATTGGGTGTTGTTTTGGCATGGACCAGGTGGATTTAGACACATTGATAGTTATGCTGCTATTGCCAGATCAATTCCTGCATCATTTACAGGAGCATTGAAATAAAATGGATTGAATTCATAGGGAATCATTTGAGCGCCGTTTCGATCATGGATGACTTGTTATGGTCAAGCGTAGATCATCAAAAGTCGGCGACAATGCTTAAAGATCAGCGTGGGGATAATGATTTGAGTGGAGTCTCACTTGATGGTGGTACCTGGATCACCTTTTTTTCTTTCTTTCTTTCTTGATCCGCTCTCTCTCACTCTCACACAAAGCAACAACACCACCAAACTCCCCCACTCCTTTCTTTTTACACACACACACTCAACCCCCCTGATCGACGACGTTTATGGAATTCGACGAAGTGAGCCATTTTGTCAAGCATGGCAAGATTGGTCAGGCCTCGTCCATCGATGAGCGTAACATTGATGCTTTGGGAGTTGCGAGTCCTTATTACTACCATCAGCAACCCAACAGCCATTCTCCTCCTCATTTTGCGCCCTTTGCTCAACCTATCGCCCTCAAGAAACGTCCTATTGCAGCCAAGTTTGTTGACAGCGTACGACACCGGTTATTAAAGTCTTCGACAACTGGCACCGTGAGCAGTGATGAGGATGATATCATGATGGCTCGACATGTTGGAAGAAAACGACTCTTTTCGCGATTAAAGAAGCGACGATCACCCACACCACATGCGATAATAACAACAGGCAGCAACTGTAGTTCAGGGGATGATGACGAAGCCCTTGTGGATGGCTATCTTTCACTTGACGACGTGTGTCCTTCATCATCAACCAATCGACGTAGTCTTTGGCGACGACGACGAAGACAACGACGACGAATACGACGAAGATTGTTATTTTCTTCATCATCTCGAGCAGGACAAGAGGATGAACCTGATATTGCAAGTACGCCAACAAGCACTGTATCCGATTTGAGAGAAATCAACGATCAAATGCGTAGCTTTTGCGTGCCAGCTGACTGGGCTAATCTGGATCAAACTTCACCGCTGCATTCACCTAATATAGCTGGTACCCCAGCGTTTTTTGAAAAGCCTACGTAAGTGTGTCATGCAAGATCACGAGGGTGTTTTTGTGTAAGGGGGGCGTTTACTGACACAATTTATGATGAATAATAATATAGGAGTGTCCATGCTTTGATGACAGATTTGACGGATCGGATACACCAATATCAATATCTATGCAACCAGGAACAAAGCCGAATTACCACCAATCGCCAAGTTATACAAGACCATATTGCTAAGCTCGAGGATTTGGATCAACGTGTCGAGAAACTCAACGCAACCATCAGCTATGCACGGTCTGAAAAATTGAAATGGATGCACCACATGTTGCAAGAAACCCAACATCGTTCTCCCATGCTTCGAGAAGCACGTGCTCAACATAAAAGGCTGGTGGCAAGAATTGAAGGCTATTGCAAAAACATGAACTATGCCGCTCATCTTGCCGAGCTGCAAACCAAAGTCGATGCTGCACGAGAACGCCAGGCCTTGTGGTTTTGTATTCAACGTTGGCTTCCCCCCACAGGTAAATAACATGGATATACAATGATGATGAGCGACTCTATTAACCTTGTTTTCGATTACAGTGATCGTTTTAGCATCGTTATTGTTGACTCTCTTGATATCCTATTTTTAAAACCTATACCCCTTATTGTACACACGCCTTTTTTGTATCCATTATCTATAATCTCTTTAATATCTACATGTTAAACATCTTTTATGATTCCCTACTACAATCACTATTGAGAAGCACATGATGTGATGGTTGCTGCATAATGCTCGATATGGGATGGGACACGATAGCCAATTCGGGTGTAGTGCAGGGAACACAAACAAATGCTCCATGCAGCTCTAGTTATTGTTAAGACCCTTATCCAGACAAAGGCTGTGTATACACAACACTTGTCTACTAGTACTACACACCAATGTGGGGTTCGTTTCGGAGCAACAGGGCTCGCTTGGCAAGGCTCATGTTACTATTTTCGACCAACAATAAACTTGCAATTCCCTCCTCCCGCTTGAATGGTGGCTAACAATGATGCATTTGTGGTGGTGGTGGTATGTATATGATAGTATGTATCTCCCCACCTCCAACCCCTCCTTCTCCTGAGCAAGCGGTGGGTATTGGCTTTTCCCAAAAACCAGGGGATGCATGTTAAAGTAGAAGCCATCATGTAATTGGAATTATGGCTCAATGAAGCACTTGCATCCCATACGACGAGGCAATAAAAGATAGGGTCACCTTAGCAACAATTTACAAAAAATCTGTCCTACCATCCACTACATGCACATGAGCAATACACATCCGACGCGTATGTACATAAAGAAGGAGATCATAATGTACGTGCGCATGAGTATTCTCGCGTGATAGTGCAAGCAGGGAAAAAGTGATCAGCCATGCTTGTAACAAAAGAGAATGATGGTGCACAATGAAATAAGAAAACCTGTTGTTTTAAAAGCACACGTTGTTGTTTGCACTGGGAGAGGTGCGCGTGACAATAGACAAGTAGCCCATGGAAAGGAAGCACATCATTAATGCACAGAACAGTTTCCCAGCTCCAATCCGCATGATGAGTTCCCTCGTTTGCTACAGATGCTGTGGAACGTCCATCAACAGCTCTCACCCCCAAACCCCTCTTCTTGGTGGTAATAGTGTGGATGGTTGAATGCAAAAAGATTCCATCGTGCATCCCTTTTTATTACATCCTTTTCCTTTTGTTGACTCTATTCATTCTCTTTTTTCCCCTCTCTCTTCTCACATCAATATGTTCCATATCCGAAACAAACGCAAACAAAGTGCTGATAAAACTAATTCAGTAGCAGCATCCGTCACTGGAACACCAAGTCCAAGCATGCGTTCCGAAAGACGCTACTCGTTGCGTAGGGTACCATCTCAACTCTCAAACATGCTTAAATCCATCGACCTTCATCACCATGGCAACCATAGCAATAATGGGAGTGATTCTCACCTTCCACAAGTTGATAATACCAATGGAAGGACTTCCCGACGACAATCCATGACCAAAGCCACCATTGCCAAGATTAGTTCATCGACTGAACAACGTTTCAACAAGCTGCTTCGACACACGACGAGACGAGGTAGCCATCAACAAGAACAGGAACAGCAGCCATCTCATTTGCCACTGCCTCGTGTGAAGAAAGATCCATTTTTTAATCCAAAACGGGCATCATGGTCTCCTTTTGGGAATGAACGATGGCCCACTTTGGTGCAGGTGAAAGAAAATGTTGCAGCTACAGATGATACGAAAGCAACAGTTCCCTCCACACCTAGGTTACCACCATTGGAAGATCAATCCTCTTTTTTGCTCGATGTCCCAAGCTCATCCGTATCAGTTACCAATAGCACTGAAAGCAGCAACTCAATTTCGAATATCAAAAAGCGTCGTAATAGTAGTGCTATTCGCCACCATGACACCAACGGCGATACTTCTTGTGCAGCTTGTCTTGCTAGTAGTCGTCGAAAGCAACCATGTCATTCTTCTGAGAAAATTATTGAGAGCGCCGAAAAGACAATGAATGTCAACAATGGTGCCACAAATGATCACCATCCACAACAGTATACCATGGCGGAAAAGCAGCAGCAGCAGCAGCCCTTAGTTCAGGAGGTGATGATACCAACCACCACCCCGATGCTGTCACAACAACATCCAGCAGCAGCAGCCACACCATCATCAATGACAACACAGCCACCACCACCAATTCATAGCACCAATGTACAAGAAGCAGAATCATCCAATTCGGATGAAAAACGTGTAGGTGACGTGAACAGCTTGCCTGCTAGCGTTGTCATTTTGCAGGCCATTTCGGGCAACGACAATCATGCAGCTGCTATTCTCGTGTCACCTTGTGTCAAAAAAGAATCGCCATCCTCATCTTGTCCCGATAACACATGCCAACTTGCACAAAACATTGTACAATGCATTCAGCTTGTCGATCAAGTTGAACCGGCAAAAGAGCCACTTTTCTCTTTTCGATCTTGCCTCATATCTCATGATGGTGGTGTTCATATCGACGACCATAAGCAAAAGGTCCAAGCATGTCAATCACTTTTGAAGCAACTCCATAGCAGTAAAACACTACAGCCTGCATCACAAGCTTCATTTTCCTCGACTTGGTCTTTATTGTATCCCGCGCTTTGGTTGGGTGGTACTATGGCTGCAGGTAGTATAGTGAGCGAGCATGCCAAGACAGGTCATATCGTCATTGCTGGCACGTGCATCGCCAACGACCACTCTTTATTACCCAAGGAGGTAAGTAGTAGACCAAAGCTCAATAATCAATGATGAAGCCTCATCCATTACCCATGACAACAGCATCGTCGTGACACTTTATCAAGCCCCCTTTTGCATTACGTGCTTTTAATCACCCAACAAGAACGCACCACAAAGTTTGCAAAATGTTCACCTGACCAGTGGATCCCTGATCACGATGCACACCAATGTCAACTAGCTTCTTGCCAGACCCAATTTACACTTTTCACACGTCGCCATCATTGTCGAAGGTAAATGATAACGATGATGATCATCACACATGAATACTACTACTAGATGGCTTATAACAATATCACACTACTAGTTGTGGACATGTTGTTTGCGGCAAGCATAGTGCAAACAAGTCATTACTATTTGATGATCAAGACAAGAGTGAATGGTGTCGCGTATGCGACGAATGCTTCTACCGTTTTTTATCCAACGTATAAATAAAGAAAAAGCAAATGTGTTGTGTGCGTGCGAGTGGAAGAGTGTTGTTGTATGGATAACTAAAGTGTAGTATCTCTCATTTTTTCTTGTGTTGTTGTTGTTGGTGAATGGGGAAGGATGGTTGTGGTTGAGATGGTAGTCGTGATAGTAGTGGTAGTAGTTGTAGTTGTTGCTAGTGGATGGTGGGGTCTTTGTTTTAATGATCAGCTGCGGCGGTCTTGTTGAGTGATGGTTGACTTGCATGATTAAGACTAGATTGACGCATGGTGAATTGGGTGGGTCGGAAATCAGACGATGGATGTTGATTAGGATAAGGAAGATAACCTTGTTGTGCGTAAATAGATGTAGGTGAATGGTGTTGATTGTATGGTTGTTGTTGCTGCTGCTGTTGTTGTGGTTGTTGTAATTGTTGTTGTTGGATCTCAAGATGCTTCACGTCATTGATAGAGGATGCTGTGGAGGGGGAGGATACACCAGTGGTGCGCATCATTTGTTCAACCTTTTTCAAAAAGTCCTTGGACGAAATATCAGTACCATCCTTGAGCTTGGGATCTTGTAAGAATGGCTCCAGGTCCTCAGGCACCATACAAAACTCATCAAATGACTCGAGCATCATTTCAACCACACGAATGGCAGTGAAGGAATCGTCTTTGAGAGGATCTTTGGAGTTGGTGGTCAAGATATTGGGTGCAATGACACGAGCAAGATTGGGTATATCCATGCGACTTCCAACATCCGTTGTCACGTGAGAGAATGATGCCACCCAACGGAAAAACAAAAACAATACTTCAAGTGCATCGCGATTGACACGTGGGAGCATGCAATAGCCAAGTTGCAACACACGCTTGCATGCTGTCGGATTATCCAATTTCAGTGCATGTGTAAACAATCCGTGCATTCGATACGTCATCAAAGGATCAGGAAGTTCACGCAGGAATTTCTTGAGCAACGCAGCAATTTGAATGGCATTCTCGGCAAACAAGTCCACATCTTGAGGATTCTTATCCAATTGTTCACTAACATCCTTAAGTCGTCGGATGTTTCCATTCTTTCGAAAGATGCCTTCCACAGACATGTCTACATGTATCGTGTTAATGCATTTGCCTATACATATACCCATGTTCACCCAATAAAAAACTCACCCATTTGACGTAATGCAGTGACGGCATCATCAATGAATGCTGCAAGTCGTACGGGAGAAGGTGATGCGCCCAAATTAGATTCAACACCAGTGCGTTCAGTGAGGATATCGAGAGGGACACCAAAGGTGCCTTCCTTGATCTTGTTGACCTTTTTGTTGCCACCATGCATAATCGAAGTGAATAGCTTTCCCCAAATGGAGACCTTTTTTGTGTCGATCAAATTCAGCAGATCACTGAGGGAGAATTGGTCGCGCAAGTAAGGTTCAATGTGCACAACAGCCACGTGACGAATGATCATGTCCTGCAATGCCGATAACTCCGACAAGTACACACGTGGTTTGCCGGTCGTCGCACTGACATTGATATGCATTCCCATCATACTTGGTGGTGGATTCGGTCGCTCTGTAACAGACTTGGCAACGGCTGGCAAATTATCCAATCGCATACCCGTGCCATATCGTTGTTGTTGTTGTTCCTCTTCATCTTGTGGCAAAGGAGGCAAATTCTTGTGTTGATCCAATTGGGGTTGCAAGCTGTGTTGGCGTTTGGGTACAGGTCGACTACTAGTCGTTGATGCCGTATCTTCTTCATTTTCATGAATCGTGGTGTTGGCAAGCTTTTGTGTTGTGTTGCCTAAAATCGTCGATCGCCTACTAGCCGTTTTGAAGGATCGAGACACCTTACGATTAAGGTTGGTGGCAGGTACGCTCTTGACATCAGTGATGTGTGTAGGGAAAGCTGGAGCGTTCGCCTTCTCTTCCATCAATGCCTCATATTTGTGTTGCTGCAAGGTAGCCGATGACGACGCAACTTCCTTGGTTGGGATGTTGGTATCCTTGACATAGGGCTTGGTTTTGATATTGAAATCCACCGACGATAGTTGAGTGTCTATAAAGCATGTTGTCAGCGATCATTATCCCCATACTATCATATAGTACTTGCCTGTGATTTGCAAAAAGTTACACAAACGGCTCAATGCCACCCGCAATAAATAAGCAAATTGAATCAATTTGGTGACGTGTTCGAATGGTGTTGGTACATCGGTGGGTTGGATACCAGCACATTGGAGACAATAGATGGATTGAGATGGAGCATTGAAAGTGGCAGATCGGAGGTCGTATGCTAAAGGTGTCTTGCATTGGCGACATGTAAAGCATCCCACGTGCCATCTAAATTCGCCATATTTGATGCATTGATCTTCCACTGTCACCTTGCACACCTGGCATAGATCAGATGATTGCTTGGCTCTGATTAAACGCTGACTATCTCGGCTATGTCGTTCTTTTCCAGCAACCTCCATCAGCTTTGCAAGTAAACGAGACACGGCAACAGGTCGACCCAATACCAGCTCCTATGAAGATGGATTAGCATAAAGATGTATAGCATAAGCACACAACTTTTTTCAACTCACCAAACGCAATGCGGTAGTCAAACCAATACGAATCAGAATCTTGAGATAATGAGCCAAGCCGGTCACAAGGGACAAGAGCTCTTGGGTAATACCAAGTTTACGCATCTCTTGGGTACGAGAAAGCAAGGAGAAAAAGTTGATGATCTTTTTGCACAGCATCTTGGCTTCGCGAGTGTACTTGAATTCTATTATAGAGTCATGATGAATATAACACACCTCGAATTTGATTGCTTGTACGCTTACCTCCTTGCTCATATTCATGGTGAATCTTGTCGAGTTCATCGATGCCACAAAACAAGGCTTCAACGTGTACGAGGAAACGCTCCGATAGGCAAATGCCTTCCACGTAGGAACCATTTGACACGTGTAGTAACATCTCCGATATGCAGACCGCGGATGATTCTTTATTTCAACACCAATGTTAGATCATTCATCATCCCACCTACCACCACCACCTATCACATCCTCCTCCTCCCTTGTTTGGATGCCCGAAACCCCACGTACGCACACACCATATGGATCCTACCTTCAAATGCCGATAACACTGTCCAAATGCGGTACACTTTTTCCTCCATGTCGCGTTGACGTTCAACCAATTCAGCAGGATTTTTGGGCGTGGTTTCTATGGGTACGTAGCATGTCAATACTAAACGAGCGGAGGTAGATGCCAACTTTTGATGTGTTACCTTGACGGGGTACTACCATATCTTTGTCTCGTAGAGAGGGACTTGCAACCCTGACGTTCCAATACTATGTATTCCCAAGACTATGTCAGATCACACAGCACACATATAATATGAATCATTGATGAGGAAGGAGGGGGGGGAGTTTTGGGGGTATGACAATAGAGGAAGAGAATAAAAAAAGAGGGGCGTAATATCATGTAATCATTTTGTATTACCTTGTGTATCATGTAGCATTCCGGATGCCAATGTTCAATGATGTCTTTGCGGTCGATCTCCACATATTGTTTCAGAATGGCCATTTGACAACCAGCACAACTGACTGCAAACTGTGTCGAGTAATGGAAATGGCAAAAGACTTGGCCATCATGTTCGTAGTACGAGTCTTCAGGTCCAAACACCGTCGAACATGCGCTGCATGTAAAGTGGTCGGTGTGATATTTCTTGTCGAGTGCAATGATGTATGGTCCTCGTAGTGCCTCCTGGCAATGGTCGCACACCAACCCTAGTCGCTTAAAGTAATCGCGTTCACACAAAGGAAGTGTCTGCCCACTCTCCAACTTGAAAGGAAAGAACTTGGCTGCGACCGGCGCATTACAGTCCTGAAAACAGATGATCGTTTAGGCAACCAACAAGACGATCCTATCCATGAGGCTGTCAGGCTTACCATGCACGTGAAACATTCGGGATGAAAGGTGCCATCAAGAGCACGTACAAGGCGATTGCCGAGGGGTTGATGACATCGTGAACAGAGTGGGATTGTGGGAGCTGTCAGGGCGGCTGATGTTGCTGATGAAGGAGCAGATGACAAGTCGCTGGTGTTGGTACTCGTCATGTTTTATAAAGACAGGCTGACGGCTGCCGAGAAAAGGTTGCGAGATAGTTGCGGGAAGGGAAGGGGAAATAGATAAAGAAAACCAAAGCAAAGAAGAAGCGGTGTGCAGTCTATATGTGAGCGGGTAGCGAGGTTAAAATTCGACTTTAGGAGATGCTTTTTTTTCAGGTACAAGTTTGTGTATGTCTATACTCGAATAAACACAATACAATTATATTGAAATATGGGGATGAAAAGACAATGGTACTGCGTGTAAGAACACCACAGCAAAAGAAAAGGAACAAAAAGAACAAACACGTAAAGAAAGCAGGTGCTTGAATGAACCAAGGTGGCTAAATCATTCATTGAACAACCCCGCTTGATCGGGCGCGCTCGTGCAAAGTTGGCATGTCACCCAAACAGCAGCCTCCTCTGCCGTGCACCACAAACGAGGCACTTTTACTTTCCCATCATGGTAATTCTCGTCGGAACACGAGCCGTAAAAAGACACAGCCCATTATCCAGTTTTATGCAAACCTACATCATCCACCACAATCCCCTTTATATCATTCGCCTTGTTTATCATGTGAATCATATTACAATGATGATGATGATGGTACCGAGATTGTGAGGCTGAGCACATGTCAATTCCCCCATGTTGTGCAAGGAAAGAAGCCAGCATTTTTTAGTGTCCCATCCAAATTCATGCATTGAGACTATAGTCAAGCCTCGCTCATTTTATCACAAGCGAAAAAAAAGAAGATTCATGTTCATTGAACGATAATATCATTATAGAAACGCTAGAGAAGAGCTCACGTCCCACCACACATGTTCAGACATAGTCCATTGACATTATGAATGGGAACATGGTATGCTTAATGAGCTCCGCTTTAGCTCCGCTCACTTTGCCTACGCTTCCTTATTATCCTCATAGCCGGTATCGTTTCTCACGTGATAGCTAATGCGTTGCTATGTACTTTTTTCAAGTTTGCAAGCTCAAGTTCAAATTTGATAGTCCATGTTAACGACTTTTAGGTAGAGATAATAAATATCGAGCGCAACAAAGGCTATACTAATTTGATCCCCTCCTACTGGCAAAGTTACATGTCACTTTTACCGATCCTCGTGAAGAAAGTTACCGCCGTCAGGGGCAAAAGAAAGATTGGCGATGGATAAATGTTGTTTTAATGTTGTCCTTATGCTATCAGGCTAGCTAGCTAAGTTCTACCTCATCTAGTAGACCACTCTGTTTGCATGTTGTTGCTGCTGGTATAAGATGTTGTCATGATTCGAGAATAACCTGGGCAACGGCGTAGTCCGTGTCATGGGAGAGTGATACATGTGCTTTTCGAATGCCATATGCCTCACTATTTAGGATACGAAGCATTGGTTTTCCTATTTCCAAAAGACGTGAGCCACTTTACTCAATCCATGCATTACATACACATACCCTGATCTTTGGCAACTGTCACTTGCTTCCATTCAAGTTTATGCACGGGGAATAACGCCTTGTATGTCGCCTCTTTGATGCACCATCTAGAGTCTCAAAAGCTTAACGACTATGCCTTGGATACACGTGTGCAAACGTTTACCTCGATCCAAGGTACATTACTTGCTGCTCGATATTGCGATCACTGGAACATCGCTGTAGGAATTCGGTATACTCGTCAGGACTAAGAATGCGTTTTGCTAATGGTTCTCGGCCTCGTCTTGCAATCAGTGCCGCTATTCGTGGGAGGTGCACAATATCAACCCCAATACCAAGTATCGTCATGGATTGACCGAAAGCAGGAGGTTCCCTTTTTAGAGCTACACTCAGAAAATTCACTTGACATTGCCCTGTAATCTATTTGGCAGCCGATGAAGGTGTCCTTTGTATTCGAGACATGCTAATTTCGTGTATTCAAAACAACCTTTATGGTATAACAATAAAGTTCCTTATTACCACCTGACCAATAGCTAAAAGCACACGTATTCTTTGTTGTCATTGTTATTACAAAGGAGGTACTTGTTTATGTAAATCTAAATCTATTTCTACCAAGGGATATTGACAAGTGGCCTAAAGAATTAAAGTCTATGTACAATCCATGGTCGTTATTGCCATGCTTTATGTTGTTGCTGTATCGATAATCTGTGATTTGTTCAAAGCCCATTGAGCGTGCCAGTCTTTGAGTTGTTCCATGACAAGAAAAGTGACAATGGTGTGAGGTCCAAGTCGAATAAATGCCGGCAGCCATCCCTTAAAGAATGAACCGATTCCTTCCATCGTGGCCATATGAATGATCAAACTGATAGGGCGTCTGGATTCGGCATTGTGTGCGCTCATGATCCGCGTCTTGATAACATCCAATGGAGAACACATGGTTGTAGCCACCAACGCCTACACACATGCAAAGTTAAGACATTGATGGGTTTGATGTGTGGGATAACCAATCTTACCGCCGATACGCTTGCTCCAAAATGAGTGACAAGACCATTTCCATATCCTAGCTTATCGCTGAAAAGATCCTTGAATTCATCATAGCTCGTCATTTGTGATACGGTCATCACGACTGCTCTTGTGGTGCTGTATCCTAATCCTCGAAGCAACACCTGGGGACCTTCTTCGCGGCAAATACGAATCAATCCATCGATAGCATTCTTGTAGTGGCGACGTTGTGAGGGTGGAAGTTGACCATCATTTTGCATGCGTACATTGACCACGTCACTTGGATTGCCAAATGCACCACCCAAAATACCAGCTGCTGTAGAGCAAAACAAGAGCTGTCCAAAGGTAGGTTCTATACCTTCCAATGTGAGACACACACACACAAAATAATAATGACATTGTACGTACTTGTATCACCTGCAATGAGCCATTTGAATTTGTCATACAAGCCGAATCGGATAGTGGAATAGGTGCCTTGCCGTAAAAGGCTGGCTGATAACCCGCTGTACAGCGATCTTAGTCCTTCAGTCTGTGATATAGTCCACATAATTCTCAGCATGTTTTCATGCTTGGCTGCAGTACGCCACCATGCCGACGCCGATAAAGCCGATCCACTGCGCATTTGCTTTTTGATGGTCTGCAATCGTACTTTGGTGAGATCGAAAGGGTGAGAGACAAAGGTAGCAACACAAGAAGCAACACCGCCTATGTAAAATGGAGGTGGTTGTTGTGGTGGTGGTGATATGGAGGAGGGCGACGTTCGAAAGGACTGTAATGAGGTCGATGGAGCAAGGACTGCATCCGATCGAGCCTGCATTAGTGAGTGTTGGCGGTCTGTTGGTATGATGGGTGGTGTAAGGGAATATCCAAAAGAGACACACAAATGCAAACAATCAAATGGACTGCCAAATCATCAATGCCGACCAAGCGTTATCTCACGCATTAACACGTGCAATACCCACTGGTGGTGGCAAATCATTCAAATACCTGAACAATGTATGCATCTCATGTTGAATAGGGTGGGGTTATTATCCAGGATGTGTAATAATAGTCGTAGTATCATCCAACAATGAAGGACATCTTCAATAAACATCTAGTCATCTTTCTCGTTTATTGTTTGTTTATTCCTCAATCGCAATCTTTGACTTTACTACATAAAAGTTGCCATGCTTTTGTTCTGCATTATTCATAAGCACACGCCCGCTTGGTTCTTCATTGGATTGTGAAGGGACATCAGGTCGTGTAACCAAGCCTGTTCCTTGCTCCCAAAGCTGTATCAGTGGCTCTACATCTGCTTGGCCGAGTTCTTGGATATGCTCAGTGAATTGGGATAACTGGTCAAGATCTCGTTTCAAATTGTCTTTGGCTCTTTGTGATGTGGGTGGTCGTAGCTGTGCAAGTCGGAAGAGGTGATTGAATTGTTTATCAGTGATACTAGGAGGGCTATCGGATGAAGCAGGCTCAAGAAGTGATCGTACGGTCCAAGTTGGTCCCACCGGCTAAAATGAATCGAATGGTTATTGTTGTCCTCAAGAGATGATACTACACGGCACATCATACGAAACACCTACCAGGCAATCTTTATCTACTTGAGCGACCACGTTTTTGCGAACTAGCGTAGCGTTTCAAAAGTCAGATCTCAATACATCGCAACTCATCACATTGGCAATGGTACCGTTTTGGCTCAATGCGCGACATTGTATTGATAGGAAGGGTCGTCGGATCGCAACGGTTGTCATTGGCAACAGGAGGAGGTAAAAAGAAGTTGACTATGCGGAGTAAGAGGGATGATCTCAAATCTCCTTGACACCTGTTAAATTGTATGCACATGTTGAAAATAGTTTTGTATTGTACAATATCATATCCTCTATCTTGCCTATAATTAATCCGTTTCCTCTATTCAGACACACACGCCAACAAACCATGTTAGATATCGTATTACTTTGAATGATAGTATAAAGAACATACCTGTATGATAGCCACTACGTCTAATATACATTCAAGGACATGTGTTAGAGACATTCATGCATTGTAGGATTAAGCTTGCTTACCTCATTTCTGCCAGGACACGTCGTGCATTTGTGAGTTCGGCATCCAATTTGAGGATCTTGACTTGTTGCTCCATTTCTTTGCGCTTAAACTCGTGCACCGATAACTTGTTGAAATCGATATGAAGATCTTGATCACTTTGCTTTTGGGATACAAGTTGTTTGACTTGCTTGACCAATTCATTTGCTGCATCCTTCACTCCTTTAGCCGCCATTTCCAATCGTTCCTGAGTACGCGACATAAATGATGACTTTACACGCGACGCCGCTACGAGTTGTGCTGTGGCTGCTGATACTTCATTCGACGCCACAATCAATTGTTCAAAGGAATGCGTTTTACTGATAACACCATCTGCCGCTTCAACAAGCATATTGGTTGCCACCGCTACTGCCTTTGCTGCCGTTATCAAGCCTTCAGTCCACCTGTTGTGCTTCTTGTAGAAATCCGCTTTCGATGATGTGCCACGTCCCTGAGCCACAATCTCTTGCTGTGATGCTGTGGCGCACTGGATAAGGTTGGCAATGGCATTGGTGAGAGCCAACACGGAATTTAGGATAAGTTGATGCACTTGCAAATCGGTAGCTGAGAATGAAGGATCGGCAGGTTTACGCATAAGATCCTGGATTTTGGTGGTTGCTTCTTCGATAGCGCGTGCTGCATTCGACATTTCTTGTTCCACTAAATCTCCCACTTCGCCATCAGCCAACTTGTGAATATCGGTCGTGCCGCTTAAAATAAGATCCTCCGTCTTTTGTGATAAGCTGTTAAGAGCATCTTGCACTCGCATATCCCCTTGGATGATAATCTCTGGTCGTTGAGCTGGTGGCTGCATCTTTAGATATCCGGACATGACGCTGCTAAAGAATTGAATGGTTGCATCTGCTGATCGTTTGGCTGAATGTAATATCTCTTCAACATCATTGTCATTTGGTACAAGCCGTGTGATCCCCTTCGCATTCAAAAGCACGTCGACGATCGTATCAGCGAATTCAAGAGCACGTGTGATGGTTGTACTATGATCACCCGAATTGCTGCCATCCAAGAATTTGCTGAATGCTGACATGAACTCCACCGATGTAATACTTGCTCGCTCAATCATAGATAAAGTCAACTCTGGTGTAGAATTCTCATTCCCATGCTGACCAGGCGATTCAAATTCGTATACGCTGTCATTGATCTTTTGAATACATGTCCCAAGAATCGAATCTATTCGACACAAAATTAGCGTATGCAAACTTGAAAAGCACAACCCCTACTTACCTAGTATTTGATCCAATCTTCCATTCTGATCATCCCGTACACGCTGTAACTCTTCTTGTAATTCTTTGCTGTTGTCGCTCTAATATCATGATTTAGAATACCATTGAAAGACCAAGAACGAAAAGTCATGCTTACATATTGGAGCTCGCTCAATTGCTGCAAACATTCATCCATGCCAGCTTGAAGAACAGCGATTTCTTCATCTTTTTCCTAAAAGCATGTTAATGAATCATGATGTATCATTGGAGATAGATGCAGCTACTTACTCGACGCACACGATCTGCGTTTCCTTGTTGCTCTTCAATTTGCTTCAAGAATTCATCAATCAAGGCTTGCTTCTCGGTCAAGCTGGATTCAAGATCGCCCTTTTCTCGATTAAATCGTGCAAGCAACGCGCTGACCTCCGCACCCTTTGATTTTCCAAGCTCTTCGATTTGATTGCGTGATTCTTGTAGCTCCCGCTGTAATCGTTCAGTATCACCACGCTGGGTCTTTATTCGCTTGTATGAGTATTTTCATCATCCTGGAATCGCTTTTAACAATACACAGCACATACCTCATGGATTCGAGCCAATTCATTCCGAGCACGATCACGTTCACGGATAAGGTCGGCAAGCTCCACGTTCTTCGCTCTCATATCAGCCTCCATTCGCTCCAACTTTTCAGTAGCCTCCTGCACAGAGTTCGCCTTGACTTGTAATTGCTTGTACTTGTTCAACAACTCGATGTGCTCCTTCCGAAGTTGACTGTATAGCTTGGCGAGTGCTTCATACTTGTTCTTCCACATTTGAATCTCATCTATAATACAAATGTATGTTAAAGCCATGTAAATCTTTCATACAATGATGATCACGTTACTTTGTAATGTGCGTATCATTTCATCCTTTGACGCGTCCCGTTGTTGAGAATGCTGGTTGATTTGGGCCATTTCTTGTTCCAAAGATTTCACTCGCTAAACGCATTCCCATGTCACTAAAGTGTATATAGCCATCCATTTCCTTGAAGCATACCTGATCATATTGCTGCAACATAATTTGGTCTCGTTCCAGCTGGTTTTGGAGATTCAAGAGCTGCATTTCCAAATCATTGATCCTGCTAGCTTGTTGTCCTTGCATTTGCTGTCGTAAAAGCTCTTGTTGTTGTTGTCTTTCTCTCTCGGCAAGCATTCTTTGTTGTTCCTCAAATTGACGCTGTTGCTCCAATTGCTGCTGTCTCATTCTCTCCTGTTCTTGTTCACGTAATTTGGCTAGGCGCTGTTGCTCTTGCTCATATTTGCGACGTTCTTCTTCCTGCTGTTGTGACCAAAAATCAATCACTGGTTCAGGTGATGGTTGTGCTGGTGGTGGTGTTTGAGCCGCTGGTGCAGGTGTGGGTCGTTTGGGTAATGGAGGGGTGCTCATTTCCATCAAGGACGGTGGATCTTGTGGTAATTTGGGAACATTGATAAGGCTCGTCAAATATCGCAAATTCGAACATTCATGATAAAACTGCAACAAGCCGTAATGTTGAGCGTTGTATCGTTGTCGTAATGGTTGCAATGCATCCACGGCCCCCGTTGCTATGCAACATGGTTCGTATCAGTGATAATTCACCTTCCAGTTGTTACATCCCACTTACTCTTATGCATAGCCCGTAACATGCTTGTGACAAATTTGTATATTCCATAACTCTCCTCCACTAATGGCACCAGTGCTGCGATACGACATTCATTGTTGAGTGCATGACGAAGACTAGCAAAGACGGCCTTTTGGAATTGGTCAATGTGATCCTGGAGATTCATCAAGTCGCTAATCGTTTCAAAGCTATATACTTTCCATTAGCTCCCATAATCACCCATATGTATGCCTTTCCTTACCCTTCATTGGGATCGTCAATGTTCTTGAGACTGATGTATTCTTCATAATCAAAGGTGCCATTGAATCCAGGATGATCACGATGAAAACGTAGCTTGTGTAATAAGAGATCGACATAGTTGCGAATGAGAGGACCATATCCACGCACGCCATCAGCAGCTACACTTCTTGCACATGTCTCCAACCATCCAGTTTCTCGTAACGCATCTTTGATCACCTAGAATCAAGATTAATGCATGTACAGTCTTCATGTGTAACCATGGGTCGGCTGAAACGGTGTCGGGAGAGACAAGCAAGCCGGTCCGTGCGACGATAATACTTACGATAGGGTGGCCATCCTTGATGATCTTATGCACCATAATGAGCGCCTTGAACGTCTGGACTTCATCCGAAAGAATAGGCTGTACTTTGAGTATGCTCCAAATGACACCAGATGTGCGATGGTCCCATGTGTACACAATGCATTCTAGCAAACGAGATTGGCGATTCAGTGAGTGGGGTGAATGGCTTTGAAATGGGTCCACGTACTTCGAACATGCTTCTGCTTTGGTGCCGTCTCATCGATACTTGTCGCTTTCTTAATGCTGGCGGCTAGTTCACTTTCGGCCTTATCCGCTGCAACATAAGACATAATGTGGCCTTGGGTGGGTGTGGAGAGAGAAAAGAAAGAGAGAGACAATCTAATCCCTGACGCATGTCGGCGATTTTGTTCATGCAGCTCTTACTCCTTGAAACCATCACCCTTTTGATATGCAGTCATATCATCATCATCATCATCATCATATTTCTATATTATGTAAAGTGCCATTATTGAATGAGTTAGACAACAACAACAGTCCTCCTCATGGTTATCAAATATACTCACGCTCATTTCGTGTCTCCTGGGAGAGTCAAGCGATAAGCTCGTTGGTGTTACAAATCATGTTGTTGATTGGATACTTTGGATGTGATGCACAGCGAAGATCCTGGGCAAAAAAAACTAGTTTGCTCATGTACTACCTATACGTTACCCCATCCATACATGCACCTTTCTTCCCATCTTTTCCCATTTCCATATCCCACATTCTTCAACCATGACAACAACAAGTACACAGACTATTGAGCTATCACCTATTACAACTCGTCAATCATCCATAGCCCCATTAAATCCTGGCTATTCGCTTCAACATCGGCATCCACCCGGTCGAGATGTCGCTGACGCATCTCTGGAGCATGGATTTGACCGACCCACCGACCCACTTTCACTCTACAATAGTAAAAAAACAGAAGAAGATCTCAAACAAATGAAAAGCAGAGGCACATCCAAAAAGGTCCAAAAATTTTATCGAGAGCAGAATGACCTCATTGACAATATGCTCAGTCCACTCAACCCTATCGATGAAGAGGATGAACAACGGCAAATGTTAAAGGTGAATGAGTGATAACAGCGATGCTGAGTAACCCAATTTTCTTATCTCGTACACCATTCTTCAGGTCAAAATTGCCGTATATGGCTCTGGGATGGCCAACGTTGTGTTGTAAGTAGAACGAGGTCCAACAACGTGGGAGTTTTGATACGAACTTGGAGCTCTTTGTAGATTTGCATTACAATTAGTGGCTGCCATCTCATCAGGGTCGCTCTCTATCTTTGCAACCATGGCCGATTCATTCATGGATCTTCTTAGTTCGATTGTTTTGATGTGGGCTGCACGTCAAGTGAGCAGACCCAACCCAATCAAATATCCTGCCGTAAGTGATCCCAATACTTTTTATTGCAACACTCCTTTGACATGACATTTTAGGGCAAAGAAAGAATGGAAACAGCCGCCATCATGGTACTATACAGTATACAGCTCTCTTCTTACCATCTCATTTCTCACTCGATTCTCACTCGACATCTAGGTTTTCTCGTGTCTTATGAGTTGTGTGGCCATCTTCTTGATTGTGAGTGAAACACATTGCTGGATACGATTCCATGCGGCTTATCCGGCATTGTAATTTAGATCGAATCTGCTCAAAAGCTTGCTGAAGGGGATGTAGAATCACCTGATCTCTCTACATTATCAATCGCGTTGGTAGCCACAGCACTTGGTATGGATGTGATTGGTATCATAATCAAATTTGATTCTAATACGATGCAGGTGTGAAATTTCTCTTGTTTATCTATTGCAGCACGCTTTCGCAATACTCTTCAGCCAAAGTGTTTGCACAAGATCATCGCAACGATATTCTTGTCAATGGCCTTGGGTTAACAACCGGAATCCTAGGCAGTCGACTTGCAGGATGGGTGGATCCTACAGGGTCTATCATCATCGCTCTCATCATTCTTCGAAGTTGGACATCGACACTTATTGGTAAGAAGGATCTTTATAAGGTGGAGATGAAATCCTCATTATGCAAACCGAGAATAGATCATACAAAATTGATTGTTGGAAAGACCGCCGACAATGAATTCTTGAAGAGAGCCACGTATATTGGTATGTAAGCAGCAGGGTTATGATGATAGCGGGTTTATTAATAACATCTATTATATAGCTCTTACACATCCTGGTGTACATCAAGTTGATACATGTCGTGCTTATTATGCAGGCAACAATTTATTTGTGGAAGTGGATATTGTTCTACCACCTGATACGATGCTAAGGGAATCGCATGATATTGGAGAGTCCTTGCAGATCAAACTTGAATCCATCCCAACGGTAGCCCGTGCCTTTGTACATGTAGATTATGAGACGTCTCATAGACCTGAGCATCAAAAGACCAAATAAAGGAGTGTGTACTGTGAGTGAGGAAAATGGAAGACGCTTATTGGCAACTTTCAGACGCAGCTGACGGGCTCCATTGAAGCCTGGTTCTCGCATCATTCATCACACCCTCTCCCTCATCCATCCATCAAGGGTAAGCCATCCATCATTCTCAGTACAAGGATACATTTATATACGACATCGTGAGACAGCATTATCGTAAAGGGATCATTGGATATAGCAGCTATCCTTGCGACATTGCAGTCAATGAGCGACATTGGGGGAGGAGAGACAAAATGGGAACTTTGAAGACACATGCTAGCAGGTCATTAACCCACACACCACTTGACTTGACTTTATAGAACAATGGTTACTCCCGTGGTGAAGCACAAGATTATCAAGAAGCGTACTGCTCCCTTCAAGCGCCACCAATCCGACCGCTTTGCTCGTGTTGGTGTAAGTTGTGTGTGGTGGTTGTGGTTGTGGTTGTGGATGCATATGGAGGGGATATGGATTATCACATGATACATGGTTATTAAATATGGTGATCATATTACAGGAATCGTGGAGAAAGCCCAAGGGTATCGATAATGCTATGCGTCGTCGCTTCAAGGGTCAAGCTGCTATGCCCAAGATTGGTTACGGCTCTGCCAAGAAGACCCGCCACATGTTGCCCAATGGTTTCCGCAAGTTCACCGTCAGCAACGTTAAGCAACTCGACCTTTTGTTGATGCACAACCGTTCCTACGCTGCTGAGATCGCCCACAACGTCTGTGCCAAGAAGCGTGTTGAAATCATTGAACGTGCTGCTCAACTCAACGTCAAGGTTATCAATGCTGGTGCTCGTCTCCGCTCCCAGGAGTAAATACACACACTTGTGGAATGATGATGATGATTGTAAATTGAGTAAAAGTTTAAAAAACACAATACAGCATCGTATTCTTTTCGCGATCAACTTGTACAAATATCCAATGAGTGGTTACTATTGCTATTCTTAAGCCTATCCAGCATGTCGAGTACCTTTCAAACAGTTGTATCCATGAGACATCGTGATTGTGTTGCCATGGTTACACCTTACCTCGCTTCTCTCAATAGTAACAGGTGATTCCAAATCTGAATAATTGCGACAACATGGACATTGGAAACCGGGATAATGATTGAGCAGGGGACGGATGCACTTGTAATGAAAGGTATGCTGACATGGTGCCACAAAGAGTGCTTGTAAGGGTGCCACGGGATAAAGACAAATGCAGCAATCCTTGATCAACGATTCCGACGATGGGTCATGTTGCTGTTGCTCCTCCTTGTTATATACCCCTTCTTCATCATCCATCACATACGATGCAGAGGATGATGCACTGCTACCAAATTCAATACCACCACCACCACCCAACATTGTAGATGTCGGCGTATGAGATGTCAAATACTGAAGACTTTGGAATGATTGATAGCTATAACAACATGGGTGTTATGTGTGAGCGGCACACGCGTTTTGTTTTTTCTCTTTGTGTGTGTGTGTGAAAAGTGTCACTTGCCTAAACCAATCAATCTCGTGTGTACTTTTCCTGTCCAACTCGACTTTTAACTTGATGCATCGGAAGGAATCTAAATATCATCATCCCATTTTAGATTCCTTTTTGACTTGACATCTGGTTTGTAGCTTGAAACCTTGTGTACCACCTCGATAATCGGCACCCAGCTGCAGTATATCGCCATCGTGGAGTTCTTTTGCTTTTGATTCTTTGTAGGGTGCGCTTAGCCGCACGTTGTTCACATAGGTGCCCGAAGATGACTTGGTATCTCGAATAAAAAACTAATATTGTTGTTGGGCTGCATTGTTACGTCAAAGGTTTTTACACTTTTGTTTATTTTCTCTCCCTCTCTCCCTCTCTCTTTTTATACATACCTTGCCACGTTGCACCCAAAGCACAGCATGCTTTCGACTGACCACTTTGGTGCGGAAAGAGATCCGATGGGGTATATAAAGTTGGTCTGTAAAACGCCCTAGTTCGATTGATGTGCCCGAGGTCAACTCGCGTTCAATCACATCAATATGTGAACCACCACCATTTCTTGTCGGGTCAATGCAAGGCACCATCCGAATACGATGTACGTCATCTTCATGCAAACTGATGTTGTCATCATCGGCAGCTTCTTCTTCCCGTATGTCGTAATGATCATTGTTGTCGCTATTTGATGTGTCATTAGGAGGTGTGGTGGTGCGTTGAAATCCTTCATGGAGTGTTCTCAGTGAGCTAGACAATGATTGCCACCGATGTGCAGGTTGCCGGATTGCTAGAGCTACGCCAACAAGCATCGTTTTTGTTAAAAAGAAAGAAACAAGGTATAGCCTAGAGGAGCTCACTAATGCCTTGTCTTTTATAGTACTCGAGCACAACCTGCATACCCATACAGATACACAAATAACTTATGCAACAGGCAATATCATTCGTTCTATGTATGGCGTATCGACTGTGTAGCCTTTCATCTGCTGCTATGATTATTGACTTGGACATTACCACGCTTAAGTATCACTTACTATGCAAGGTTGGCATATACATACACACACATACACTCATACACATATATACAAAAAAGAACAATGACAAATAGAGGAGTGATTGCGTGTTGTTTATTCTCCAGAGCTGGATTATTAATAAGGAACGTCGTTATTGAAAGGACACAATGGGGGCGGGTGTCATTATGATCAATGATTGTCGGGTGATGTGCGGCGCATTGCCGTGGGTGATTTGCTGGCACGTTGTGTCGTGATGTTGCTTAAAATCTTTTCCAAGGAAGCTTCATTTAGGAATATCCCTTCTGTTGCTGCTTTACGTAAGCTAAAGTTCAGTTGTCGTAGTTGTGTTGCCATGGATGCGACCTCGTCGTTACGCCTTCGAAGCAGCTGTGCTTGGGCATCGTATTGGTCCTCAATTTTCTTTTTGGCATCAGCGAGAGTAGATTCACGTCGTTTCAGAGTCTGAATATCACGCTCGTATTGTGTATTTTGTTCCCGAGTCTTATCAGCTTCCATTTTGGCGGCCTTCAACATTTGCTTCTTGTCAAGCTTTAGAGCATCGATTTCACGTTGCAACTTGTTGACATACGCTTCCGCTTTTGACCGTGCCGATTGTAAGGTATGGTTGGTTTGGGTATACTTGCGTTTCAATTCTTGATTCTCGGAGGATAGCTTTTTCAACTTTTGCTCATATTGTCGACGTACTTCATCCACTTGGCGTGGTGCTTCACGAAGTTGCATAGCATTGGCTGCTGCAGATGATCGACCCGCTGTTGCTGTATTTCCTGTAACGGCACGCCGATTGATAGTGGCGGGATTGGCGGCTGTGGCCCTTTTTCGTTGTAGAGCCACGTCCCGCTCCTTTTGAGTTTCCATCAGGTGCTCATGCAACTCGTTTAATTTGTCCTCATATGTCGATCTCATTTGTGAAAACTCGCCTTCTGATTTCTCCAATTGGCCAACAAGCTCCTGCTTCACAAGCAAATCCGCTTGCACTTGATGCAACATCTTGAGTAAATCCTTGCTACGTCGACGTCCAGCTGTTGATGAAGATCCATCACCACCAATCGCACCTTGTTGTTGCCGTGATACGGTTGTCCAGCTCGATGATAAGCGTGAAGTGCCGATTGAATTATCCGAATCATCAAGTATCGAATCGGTCCATGATAGGGATTCACGTTTGCTGGAATCATTGTTGATCGACTGGGCTTTGGGTGTATCATCAGTCCATGTTGGCACGTCCTACACCAACATAAATGCATGCCGCTGAGTCAATAACTATCTTCAGTGCAACGTAAACAATAAAGGAAAAGGATAAACCTTACCAAGGCTTCTAACTCATTATCAGTATCGAGATCATCTTGAATGTGGCAATCGGACAATGGAAAGGAATCTTGACGAATATCGGCACCAGGCTTGTTATCGAGCATTGAATTCTCATCGTAGTCATGTTGCTGCTGCTGAGCATTATTCAAAGCCGTTGTTGATGCAAGCGTTGTTCTTTCTTGACCAGTTGCAGCTGATGTATCTTGTAACACGGTTTCATCTTGAGACTGTGACCAAACAAATAGCAAATTGTTTGCATAGTCGCTAAGTAAAGTTTAGAATCAGGAACCACAAAGAATCCCTCTCTTTTTCATCCCCCCCTGCAAACTCCCAGACAAGTACCTTGTGGAAGGCTTCTGTATCGAATGCTGACTAGAACATATGGGTGTCAAACAAAAGCCGGATGACCTTTACAAGAAAAGAAAAGCAAAAAAAACTCCAACCCACCTCATTTGTGGTCATCAGATCTTTATCTGTCACCATTTCCTCTGTGGATGTAGAATCGATAGGTGTCCAATCTGATGCGTACTTGTTTTTTGTGGCGCGCTTGTTGGAAGATGAGTGATGTGTACGAATTCGTTGTGCAATGGGTACATATTTGCTGCGACGACGCCCTGACGAGGTCACAATTGGCTTGTGAATAAAATCTCGTTGATGATGGTGATGATGTCCAGTGGAAGAAGTGACAACAGTGGAATTGGATATGAAAGCTTCTAGACCTGAAAGGGCACGAGATGGGCCACTAGTATCACCACCACCTGCCACAGTGATAGTACTCGTACTCATAGCGGAGGAGGAGTTGTTGCTGATGCATGCTGCTGCTTCCAAGTTTGCTATTCGGCTATGTGCTTCGGCCAACTCAAGTTTCAAATCCTGAACCGTTTCGGCATACTCTCGGATCACAGGATGGGCTTCTGATATCACATGGTTGGGTGACAATTGAGCCATCAAAGTGTCTCGTTCGCTCTGGACTTGAGCAAGCTCGGCTGATACATCTTGATTGAACTTGTGCATGCGTGCTAATTCATCCCTTTCATATAACAATCGTCGGCCTTGATCATCACCAGTCACCTTTTGCAGCATGGATATTTGCATTTTCAGCTGTGATACTTTGTTGCGAAGAAAATTCAACTCCTCAGGGCTGCCTTCATAATCATGGTTGATCTCAACTCGGTTCTGGATGTTGCGAGCACGACCAGCGTATTTCAAAGTACTCAACGTCTTCATGTAATCGGCATCCGAAGGGCTAACACAAGCAAGCATCAAGGTGTGGCTGTTTCCTCCAAGGCTATCCTGCAGCAATCTCGTCAACTTGCTGTCGCGGTAAGGGACATGTGCCCCCTTGCGGGATTCGTCACCCAATGCTGATATCACATTCCCCAACGCCAGTAATCCAGTATTGATTGAGATGCCTTCTTTTTGTCGATCCCCAATCGTACGTTTAAGCTATACATATATATTGCCTTTAATGATCCTTCTCCTTTTACGGCATGTTCTTCTTACCCTTTCTGATCCTGCCAAGTCAACAAAATGGAATTTGGATGCAAGGCGTTTAGTGGATGGTTGTGAATCGGTTGCAGATGACTCTTGATTTGCAATTTGTTGTTTCAAAAGAACAGAGAAGATGGCATGAGAACGTGATGATGTTGCATTAACATCAGTGGATCCAGTGGCTCGATGATGCACTCCTTTCCGTAACATCCTACAATAATAGGTCGTTGTCAGCACAAGGTTGATTCGGACATTTCTAGGCAACCACTTACATTAACATGTCGTCTGCATTATGTACTTGTTCTTCGCGAACACCCAACCAAAAGATGTTGCCGTCAACGTCTTCACGAATGGATGGATGGGTTTCAGCAGCAATACGGTTTGGTTCCAATAGGTCATTCAAATCCTCATGGTATAGCTCAAGGAATGATACATAGACTTGATAGGTGTCTCCTTGCTTGCTGCATGTTGACTCGAGCTCATTGAAAAGGGAATGTGCAAATCGTTGGATGATACCTAGAATCTTTTCCTATCAACATTTGTTCATGCAAAATAAAGGGGATGTTTCAGTTACATACCATCTTGATCATGAGATGCAAGAGCACCAGTACCCATGCTGTAAGTCTTGCCGGATCCAGTTTGGCTATTGGAAGGATAACATTTAGGGGGATAAGACTCTGCAGCTTTCTAGGATGTAACGTACCCGTATGCCAGGATGGTAACGTTATTGCTATATGCATAAGAAAGGAACATGAGTGTCATGGCAACAACACGTACTTTTATGCAACCATACCCTTCACGAAAACGACAAAGAAGTGGGGCCACACACGTCTCAAAAACATGGTCTTGGGTTACTGACGGGTCGAACACTGAATCAAAGGTGAAGGCGCGATCATGGCCAAGGAATATTTGAGGTTCATTGTCGGCAAAGGTAACGCATTGTTGAGCATTGTCGGATCGCTCTTTGGATGACAGTGGTCTCACACGCAAGGCCACCCTGTACAAAAGTGGAAGATTAACATAAGCGGCGACGTGTCAAGGTGTTGTTCAACGTACCTGACCGCGGTGGTAGCCATTGTGTGTGTCAAGGGAAATGAGGATGACTGACGGCGGAGCGAGGAAGAGGAAGGAGCAAAGGATAGGGACTATGGAAAATGATTGGGTGCCTAGTTGCCACCAGCAACCAAGGAACCCCACATTGAAAATATTACTTAAGCCTCTTTTTCTGCTTGTATCTCTCTCTCGCATACATAGACATTATTACACTATGACCTACATTAAATGCCATGACAAAGAGTAACCATGACTACTACTACACTACCAATGATGGTTCATGCAAAGATAGAAGGAGCTGGGGGACAAATAGATATTGTTTCTATATCCGTCGCCATGGATAGACAGTGCTGCTTTGTATGTCCACAAAAAATATATACACAAAGCCATGTGTGTATTGTGCACGCAACAAGTCCGCCTGGACATGGATCACGTTTTTACAAGAGTGAATGTGTAACAGCTCGACAGCGTTCCAGGCCCCAAACGATGGATCGGGTCCTTCTTTCCTTGTTTGTCACCAATGCCACTTACACACACACGCACACATGTGCTTTTTAATATTTAAAACCAAGTCTTTGCCAGCTCCCATCGTCTTCATTCATTCTTTTTCCTTTTTACTTTACATTCGCTCTCATCATGCTTGCTTCTTCTTCAGCCGTCATGCTTGCATCTACCACTAATAATCAACAACCATCGCCATCATCGTCCTCTTCTCGCCCATCCTTCCCATCTTTGGTGCGCACGTTATTGCTCATGGTGTCTCCATCATCAACATCCAATAACAGCACTACCAACAAAAACGATACCAATCATTCTGAACTTGATGGTGAATTGGAGGATATAAAGAATAACAGCTTGTTCCTGGAAGCCTATTTCTCCTTCCCTGCCCTTGAAGAAGATTGCGAAACAACTTCAGTCAATCACTGTGCAGCAGACCGCATTCACCAACAGCATCCACTCTTGGTCGGCTCTAATCAAGTTTTTTGCTAATACCCCAAGCCAGCCACCACATCTCTATCACGCATGACATACATACACATTTACGCCTATCATACTTATTTGCATCATCACAACACTCATCTCGCACCTTAACCTGCAAAGGCCAAGGGCACATTCCTGTAAATTATTGTTGCCATCATTATATGTATACACACCCACACACACCTTCTTCCTCTATCATTGTCGCCATCCTTCGGCCAATGATTGAATCGCTACTTTTTCCTCCTTTTGTATGCGCTTTGTAAGACAAATGTAATAACGAAACCACTTGTTTTTTCTTTCTTCATTCTCTTATTTCATGCTGTGTGTGCATAACTACATGGAGGATTACATCATGGAACGGGGGGGTGTTGGGTTGGAGCATTTGCAATCATCCTACTGGCTGCCCTTACTTTTACTCCAGTCGATCCAGGAGAGCAAAAGTCATTCTGGGGTTGATGATAATTTTAGGTTGAGGCACTTCCAATTCAGCACTACTTGCTTCGTTTAGCCCTCCTTATAGCCACGTTTGTTACACAACCCATCACGGTTGTAGCAATTCGGCAAATGCAAACGGGATACACGGCACCCGCCGGCTCAAGTTCCACATCAAATTGGGGTCCTAAATAGTGCCACTAGTGGGAATTTGGAACGACTTATGATGTGCTGTTGTACGTACATAACCCAAGTACTGCACTGTCATCCCAAAAGACCATGTCGGGTGCTTCAGCCTCATGCAACTACAAGTGGCACAAATGATACATATCCAGAACGACATCCTTCTCATAAATTTAGTCGCCCAACATTATACACAAATGATCAACAGCACCGCTGATCTCGCGCAAATAGCCACATGGTATGGCTAGCCCTGTGCTATTTGTGTTATTTGCCAAGCTTGAGACGCTCCCACATGCAGTAATAATCTGCAATCCTCCATCGTGATATTGCCATTTTAAGGTCTTGAAGACCTTTGAATACCTTGAAGGATGTTGAATCCAATAATGACCTTGAAGAGCTGTCGATAGAGTAATCACCCCAACGGGCAACCTTAGGACTTGCAATACAATGACCACAACATTTCCATATCATTGTGCTTTAATTAGCTTGAGATAAAAATATACCTCGTTTATACATAACAGGCCATCCAGCTTATCATTTACTGTACAAAGCAAGTGCTCATTGTTTGGCGCCATGAATACAATATCGGCATATTATGATAAAAGTGGCTTTTGGGTAGTTTGATCAGCGCCATTCTACCCCATCGATTTCCAATACAAAATGCAACAAGCAAACATGCATGATACTATCGGATTTCATTGCTTCTTGCGGCAACATGATGATAATGCGTAATAGACGACACCATGGAAGTGGTGACATTCATCTTTATTATGAGGATTATTGTTGCTTTGGTGGAATACAATAACGAGGGTGCTACGAGGTCACCAACCGATTCAATTATCTTCTACACTTGAATCTCGTTGACAACGAGCGGAGATCACGTGATGAATTCACCGTAAAGCGTTCAACTAAAATGCAGCTGACTTCGTATCCACTTCAACCAACCCCTTTTGACCGCGACCCCATGGTATGTGTTCACTTGATCGATCGGCTAGCAGCAGCATCTCTCACAATCTGTACACGAATAGAGCGACGATCTCTCCAGTTTTCTACCAAAGTCATTCGGCAAGAGCGCCCCCAGCAAAAAGAATGCACAACAACACACGCAACCCGAAGGTCTTGAAGACGAAGATCTAGATCCACTTCGCCAATTTCTTCCAGTTTCATTTGGCAAAAAAGAAAAGAAGCAGGACTTCTCGGCACAGTTTGCAAAAACCAAACGAGAGGTATGGTGATATTGTTATATGTAAGATACGTGGAAGAGTCGTTTAATATGGTATTGATAGGATGCAGCAGTTGAATTGAAACGACAACGAGTGGGTTCTACCGAAGCACCTGTACCAACGCAATCATCAACCATTCAAGACGGCTATGACGACAATGACGATGACGATGATGATGATGATGATGATGACGATGATATGGATGACGAGGAAGAGGAAAATGTACTACCCATCACGCATGAGATTAAGCTCAAGGATCACCATCGCACTGTATCAGCACTTACACTTGATCCAGCAGGTGCACGTCTTATTTCAGGTGGCTATGATTACGATGTCAAGTTTTGGGACTTTGCAGGCATGGATCAATCATTTCGACCGTTTCGCAGTATCGAACCATGCGGTGGCAATCAAATTCACGACCTTCAATACTCATTGACTGGCGACTCGTTTTTGATCATATCTGGAATGTCTGTTGCCAAGCTATACAACCGAGACGGCAATGAAATATGTGAATACATGAAAGGCGATCCCTACATTCGTGATATGCGCAACACGGATGGTCACGTCGCTGCATTGACGGGTGGTGTTTGGCATCCTAACGATCGACAATATTTTGCCACATCGTCACAGGATGGTACTTTGCGGATATGGGATGTCGACAGAAAACGCAAGCAAAAGAGTGTCATCGCTTACAAGTCACGTGAACGAGGTGGTCGATCAGCTGCTACAGCTCTTACTTATACACACGACGGCAAATTGATTGCAGGCGCTTTCCAAGATGGTACAATCAACCTTTGGGGTGCAGATGGCCCATTTGTACGTGCATCAATTTCGATCCCAGAGGCACACATGAAGTATACAGAGACATCTTCGCTTGTCTTTTCTCGTGATAATCGCACATTGGTTAGTCGAGGTGGTGATGATTCAGTCAAAGGTAGGTATCCTTGTTTCTGGGAAGGTGTTATGGATCACAAAGGATATGAATGGTGCTAATACATTCATTTTAGTATGGGATATTCGAAATGCAAAGAAGCCCGTGAGCACTGCATACAATCTCGAAACGGTCAATCCCGAAGCAAACGTGATCTTCAGCCCTGATGAGCGGATGATTTTGACAGGTAATGCACAACTTTTATTTGTTTATTACTTTGCTGACAATGTCCCAATTAGGTACATCTGTGCCAAAGGGTGAAGGATATGGAAAGCTCGTCATGCTGGATCGAGAGACGCTTGAAGTTCAACGTTCTATGGGTAAGTAGTGGATGAAGAGATGGGCATATCACATGAATAACACCTTTGGCTTTTTTTGTAGGCATTACAAAATCCAGTGTTGTTAAGGTCCTTTGGAATCCACGCATTAATCAGGTAATTGGGAACGATAAGGATTTACCACAAAGCCGGTGACTAAGTCGTATAATAGATCATCACTGGAAGTGCGGATGGTGCTATCAGTGTATTCTACAGCCCCACTCATTCTGCCCGAGGTGCCAAACTTTGTGTGGTGCGTGAAGCTAAGCGACAAGCTGTGGATGATTACGAGATCAATCGCCCCATTATTACACCCCACGCTCTTCCCATGTTCAAAGATGATCAACCAAGAAGCTCAAAACGGAAAAGAGAGAAACTTCGACAAGATCCCAAGGTTTCCCATCGTCCAGGTAAGAGAGCATCACCTTAATTGCAATGTACGTATACTTATGATTGTGTTTAGAAATGCCTGTCAAGGGACCTGGCAAAGGTGGTCGTGTGGGTGTCAACGAGCAACAATCAGTCATTGCAAGCTTCTCTAGAGATACTACACGAGGTAAGCTTAGGGGTAGAAAGATAAGATTCGTCGTGCTGATATATGTTATTACGTTGATCTGCAGATGAGGATCCCCGTGAAGCATTGCTCAAGTATGCCGAAGCTGCTGAAAAGGAACCCATGTGGGTTAGCAATTGTAAGTCTATAAGAGTTCATGGGATGAGCATTATTCCCCACCCCTTTTCTTTTTGTGAAATGTGGTTACTGACTCATGGATATCATGTATAGTGTACAAAAAGACTCAACCAAAACCCGTGTTTTCAAATGAACAAGAAGAAGAGAATGATGAAAAGAAGAAAAAGTAAAATACAGGATCGCCTACTGATTACGGCATCATCACCGGATTTCATAAAACCTTGTGTGTGTGTGTGTGTGTTGGCTTTGATTGATGAGATAATAAGGACTTGCCTGCATGATTGCGCTTCATGCAACATCTCCCATGGGAGGAGCACTAAGATATTGGGTAAAAGAAGGCCATTCAAGGAGAATGGGATATTATAGCATGGGGAATGATCCTGTGTGCATGCATATTCATGCCAAGTTCCTCATTTTTTTGAATAATAACCCTACACGGCGTTCCTTGGTTTTGGAAAGTTGTAACAAACAAAAAGCTCATACTCCTTTTAATCTGCCATCAAGATCTCCATCTCCACATCTAGCATCTGTTTTTAGAATAAGCTATTAGATATAAGGAAATGTGCCTATACGCGCTCAACACGCATATGTTCACATCTTGGTATTATTGAGTAAGGGTGTTTGGGATACACAATGATGCAGATTGATTCATGCAAAATTGAGTGTGCGTGTCGGAGGAGGTCATTTAACTAAAAAGTACTAGCGTATGTCGATGATTGATATTAGACTATGGAGATCTCACAATGCTACCACTACGTGGGCATTGATGCAACCAGTCATCATGGGGTTGTTGCTGTTGATTTTGATGAGGGGGTAAGGATAATCCCATATCATGCTGTAAGGGATAATCGATAGCTGACTCGCAATCTGCATTTGGGTCGTTACTATTGTCAGATGGCTGCACGGTCGCAATAGGAGGTATGGCTGCAACGGGTGGAAGTGGTGGTGATGCAGCCGTCGTTGGTGGTTGTGGTTGTGGTGATGAATAAGCCTCTGCACCAGATGGCTTGTAAAGGTCATCATTGGATGGTACAGGCTTTTGATTGGTAACCAAGGTCACCGTGGACGATCGTGGATTAAGTTGGAAGTTTGTGTTGCTTGCATAACTTGGTTGGCTGGTCATCGGGACAACTACCGATCCGGATTTGGTGTAATGCATGAATTCTTCCGATGCTTGAGATTGCTGGATAACCATAATACCCGAACCATTATACTCGAATGGTGGTTTCTCGGTTGACAAAAAGTCGTGTGATGGTGGTGCAATGTTGGTTGTGTTGTTGGTCGAGCATTGGGGTTTGGGATGGAAAATAAGGATCACCACGAACCATGCGACTACGGAGGACACGTTGACTACAAATGGGGATCAATATTATGATACAAAGGAGAGTCATGCATGATGAACACTTACTGATACAAATCAAAAAGTCTGCTGAAAACTTGTGCATGTTGAGCGTTTTGTGAGAAGTCAACCCATCAACGCTAAGGATAATAAAGGAAATTGAATCCGTAAAGAGTACAGTGGTCAAAATCAGATTCAGCTCCTGATTACATGGAGGTTTGTTAGATTGCATGTCATCATCAAATCTCGTCATACGATGATCCATACCTGGAAATAACGGATCTTGTGCGTAATTGATCGTGCATTGTTGGACTCTCTTGAATTTGTCAATAGCTTGTGGAAACGAACATGAGACACCACACCTAGGATCGCCACGATGAGCAATTCTATTGATTGTGATTGATTAGCTCCTTCTATCGTGGACGTAGATCGATATGCCATATGCTCACCACAGCCATAAACAAGCTCAGGCATGATTTCCTTGTAGGTAGGATCATAAATGTCACGTGAAAAGTTGTATTGGAGTACGGGGAAGATGATGATGCTCAACACTGTCCTAAATGCATCTCAAGAGTCAACGACCTTATTGATATTAGGTGGGCCAATTAAAGCGCCACTTACCAGACAATGTAAAGCATGAACTCCTTACTGCTCATGAAACTAGCCTTGGCAACCGAATTGGCGAGGTAATTCCAAAAGCATTGTAGCAATAATAAGGTGCCCCTAAAAGCGTTTGGCGTAAGGATTGGTCCATGTAGTACCCCTTCGCTCTATGACTTACGTTTGCATAGAGAATCCAATGCAAAGGCTGTATTCTAATGTCCTCATTTTCTTACGTTAATGTTTTGAGACCAAAGGATATCGTTTTAATAAGCCATCTTACCTGTTGGGATGACAAGAGCTTGGTCAGCTTTTGTCCACATTGGCTCGGGCTTGGTGTAAATATGACCCAGCATGTTGGCAAATCCTTCCTCATACTTAATCTTGCAAGTTGTTATATCTAGGAAACGGTTGTTAGCTATCTCTTTCTCGATGGTGGATATAGCACGACGTACCATAGAATAGCTGAAACGGTATCATGATAAATATTAGCGTGCTGACAATGCTTTTAAGCTCGCCATGGCGGAACCGGGAAGGATGAAGACATTGGAATCCATCGAGAGACCATACTCGGTAAATGTACCACACAAACAGATAGCTCAAGGAAACCGCCCGTTCTATAATAGATGACGCTGTAAGCAAAAACCTTATCACTTGCTGACTTGTTTTTTTCAATTGCTCACGTAGAAAGCTAAAATCACTGAGATGGGTCATTAATGATCGTTGAGTATATTAAGGTAGAGAAGAGTAAGGAAACGAGGAGCAAAAAGAAAAAGAATGAACGACATTTGATACAATGCTGGTTTTCTATAAATGAATTTGCCTTGAGTGGTTGACTAACAGACGATTTACCAGGGGAATAAGGGGTCAAAAGGATGAGCTGATGTGTAAGTGGGGATAGGTGGGGCTAGTGAGATTGAGGAGCAAAAAACAAATCAATCTCGGCGCCAACTCTCGCTTTTGCCTTTTCTCTTACACGCTTGCATATGCGAGGGATGATGTGCGGAGATCCCAGAAAGAGAATAATAAGATACATCAAGGAGACACCATGGCAACCCATGCCTATAAACATGTTGCACTCTTTGTTTACTGTGCTTTGTATTCCAACGGGAAAGGAGTTGCCATCCACAGCCACCATACGTCTATCTGTCGTTACAATAGAGTGCATGGTGTCCATGGCGCTGACCTGGTGCAAGGGAGTTAGGGACATAGTTACGGACTCAGCGCAGTAATATACATAATGTCAGCACGATAAATCATGCCCGAGAGGAGAAAGTAAAAGGGGAAAGCAAGTGGATCGGTTTGCTGTCCCTAACGATAAGCGATACCTTCTTCATAGTTACCATTCGACACCTTTTCTTAATTAAGCGAAACAAAAGAAAGAGTCTCGAATGCAGAGATTTGACAAAGAAGGCATGATGCAACAAAGGCACACAACAATGGTGTCATTGTATCGATGCAAGCTATGTATCGATGTCTTTGTTTATTCTTGATATGGGACTATTCCGATAAAATAAAACTTAAAGGATTCAAGGGATGGCGGTAGAGGAGAGAGGATAAAATTAACCACAAGCTTGGTCATTGCCACGCCATTTTTCCGCAACACGTTTTAATAGATGGCCCAAGCATCATCCGTTGTAAGGCATTCTTGCTGTAGTAAAATGTCTCACGTTTTCAATAGCAACATCATCCGTGCTTTTAATCAACACACATTCCTTTTCATTGACGTAAAAACAACGTGCATTATAATTGTGATGATTGTCCACATATGCATATCCTGCATGGTAGCATAGTAGCTAGCTTGTTGGATACATTTTAACAACCACGCCGCCATTGATCATGGTATACTGCAAGGGTAACTCCTTCCAACAAAATAGTTACTTCCAGGGCAATGATCGATGGCCACCTTAGTAAGCGAAACAAGGAGTATGGTAAGATGAATAGATCTCCGTTGACCATGGGAATATGGTCTTCTCATCACCAATGAATAATGCTGTCTCATTTACAGCGAGATAAAATTTATGGTCGTACGAACAGGGACGGCGTTGCCATGGCACCCACATGTTATTGCGCAGTATAAAGGATGACAAAAGACAACGATGTAGATGATAAAGATGATAATGGTAAATAATAATGGATGACATTTATTTTTACGGTTTATTGTCGGGACGGCTTAAGCGGCTCATGTTGAATGTTGGCTAACAAGTTTTGGTGAAACCAAGACGTCTGGATCCTTTGTCATCAGAAATCCACCGCGTGCACCAGCTCAACCTATTAAGACCACCGACCCACTTGGCGCCTTTCTTTTCGCTTCTTCCTCTCACAGCCTCGACAATGACCAACAAATCAAGTGGACAAGCAACATCCGATGTCCGTGCTGGGTAATGTGTTTATTCAACAAGTTCACTACCGTACTGGTGCCTAATGCGACTATGTCATACGATGCCAACACCAAAAAAATAGACATGAGCTTAATGTCGCTGCCCTCGAAGCCTATCTCGTAGCCAATATTCCAGGATTTACAGCACCTCTCGACGTGAAGCAGTTCAAGCATGGTCAATCGAATCCCACATATCTAATCAAGGATGGAAAGTAAGTATGCTTGTGTGTGGGGGGGGAGAGTGCTTTTTAAAGCAATGCGATTTGGTGGACGAGTGTGGTTTCACAATCATGTGTGGAGCGGAAAGATTAAATGCGTACCTGCTGCCATTGATAGCCAAACCCAGTTTGTACTTCGCAAGAAGCCTCCAGGAGCTCTCTTATCAAGCACTGCACATGCCGTTGAACGAGAATACCGAATCATCAAGGCATTGGGTGATGGCACTGATGTCCCTGTTCCCAAGGTATACGCATTGTGTACTGACACGGCCGTGATTGGTACTCCCTTCTATGTAAGTGTATAAAAGGAGGAATGCAAGGACGCAGGAGATCGCTTATACATCGTCTCAGGTCATGGAATTCCTCAAGGGCAGGATCTTTGAGGATGTGCGTATGCCTCAAATCCCATTTGAAGAACGTAAAAAGTGGTAAGCATACAAAGGAGATATAGGGATATGACATGATGATTGATGGCTTTGGGTATAGCTGGTTCTCGGCAATGGAAACGCTTGCCAAGCTTCACCGTATCGATTACAAGGCCATTGGTTTGGGAGATTACGGACGTCCTTCTGATTTTTACAACCGCCAGATGAGATCGCTTAGCAAGGTTTCAGCTGCCCAATCTGCTGCCAAGGATCAAGATACTGGTGAAGTGGTTGGACCTATCCCACGTATGGAAGAAATGTTTGCATGGTTTAAAAAGAATCAACCTGCTGATGAATCAACCATTGTCCATGGTGACTTTAAGGTATGCATTCATGCCTCTTTTTTGCATGTCTTCCTTATGCTAATCGGGGTTTCTTCATATATAGATTGACAACATGGTAATATATACAACCATGGATGGATTGCATGAATATGAGCGCTCACATGATGATAATGATGCATTTAGATCTTCCATCCCACTGAGCCTCGAGTCATTGGTGTCCTTGATTGGGAATTGTCTACAATTGGTCATCCGCTGTCAGATCTTTCGAATCTCCTGCAGCCTTTCTACGTCCCTGCTACTGCTCCTATTCCTGGATTCAAGAATCACCCTGGACCTTTGCCAATCCCTGGTGCTGAGGAACTTATGCAAGTATATTGCAAGCACGTGGGCAGACCTTATCCTATCGATCGTTGGTTATTTGCCGTAGCATTTTCCTTTTTCAGAGTAAGTCAAGGTGTTGTACGTGAATGACAACGTTGATGCTGATAATGTGCCATGTCCAGTTGTCTGTTATTTTACAAGGTATTGCTGCACGTGTGGCTCGCCGACAAGCATCATCTGCTCAAGCCAAACGCCATGCTGAGAACTTTAAGCCTCTTGCTTTCCTTGCACTTGAGATTGTGGACCAAGGCGATTTGAACCCAAGCAAGTTGTAGTTTCGATCCACCAATATCCTACCCCCTTCTTTTGTATTTGTTTCTCGTTCAATATCATCTTGTTCAACCAAAGATCCATCTGCATACATGGTGTGGCAATGATTGATTGCATCCAAACTGTGTCACCTAACCAAAGATGATACTTTTGTGTCCACCTTCTTAGTTTATCCCATCACCCAATGCTCCCTTACAACAACAAACATGGTGGCTATTAAGGCACATGACCCAGTATTCAAATGAGAAACATTTATGAGGGCAAAGCAACTTTTGATCCATAAACATCTAATGCTAGGCACACGAATTACTTCTACAAGATGATATAGATAGCATAATACATTGATAAATCCATCATCAAAGAGCGCTGCAAGCTTTAGCCGTACAATCACTCAAGGATCCCATTGTAGTAAAAGGTTCAAAGTCCCCAGTCTACCTTTATTTTACATATAGAAACCTCTAAAGTCCTTTGAGCGCCATTGCACCTGTGACCAATGGAAGCATTTGTTGTGGATCACCTTCTTGATTGCCCAGCTGATAATACTAAAACGCAATCGCATCAATCCTTCTGTTGTGTGCCATGATGATTTCCCACGCATCTTTTTTACCTTTTGAATAGATTTGATATCGTGCATCTGATCCAATTCAGATAGTGGCACCAATTCACCCTTGACATTGTTGATCATATCCTGTTGCACCTCGCTAGCTTCACCGCCAACCTTGATCACCAACAAGTTCTGTGTAGTATCGCTGATTCCAAACCGCCTTAAGGATTGGGCAATCTGTATATACGAGTAGCAAGCAATATGTGAGATCCCTATTATCATCATCAAGCCATATGCTGTCGCCCACGGTCACGTGGATGGATATAGATGCAAGGTCATACGTTGTAGTTTGGTGAAAGCTCAATCACGATTTCGGAATTGATATTATGGCTCTTGAGTTGGTTGTTTTGCTCGTCGTGAACGGCGCGGTTGACAGCAAGGAGCGCATGGAAAGGGTTGAGGATGAGCGATGCGTCAATAAGGGCGTACGACAATGACTGATCTTGTGCAATAAGACGCTGTCGCAATTCAGGAGCATTGGTAACCTTGCGAAACAAGGCCATATGAACAGGTCCTCGATTTGGGTATAAGTCAAGTGTATGTGATTCCATGGTGCGTGTACTTGGAAGAAAGGAACGAGATAAAGAGGCACGCTTGAATTGGAGACTCGTGACAGCGGCCGGATACTTCTCAGAAGACGATGAATGAATCACCTTGACCACCCAAGCCATAGTATTTCGTATCACCCGTTCACCTTTATTACCCCATATGCATCAATGAATGATCTATAAAAACATGCAATCGTATTCTCAAATGCACCTTTTTGGATGATGATGATCCTTTGTTAAGAACGCCAAGCCCAATTCAATAGACTCATGACCATCCTTCTTATCTTATGCTCTATGTATGGTATGGGGGTGGAATTCCTTATCCTTCGTCTTCTTTGTGTGCTACCCAATGACGTATTTGCACAAGGTTGTGTTGACCGTTACTAGTTACCAACTATAACCTTGATCATTTCCGTTTATCACCAAACCCTTTCACGGTATTGCACAAGCAACTTTTGCGTGTCATAAAAAGATGTATTACTAGGAGGATGCTTCTATAAATCATACAATAAGGTGGGATGCTAACAATTAAAGATGGGGGCATAGTATTGGTACATAATGATGCGTGGGACCGGCCGTTTTACAAAGTGGATATGGATATAAAAAGGTAAGAGCGCCTGCTCGTCAACATTGCAAAGTGATGATAGTGGTGTTGATTGCTGAATTGTTTACAATGTAGATCCGTCGTGGTGATGGTGGTGGTGGTGGTGCGTGTACATGGCAACCTTCTGGTTGCTGACTCAATCTTGTCAATATCGGATGTTGGTATTGGAATTCTTTGATCGTGAATTATCATTTTACGCAGCAGAGGCTGGTTTCTTTGGGCACATCCTGTAAATTGAGATTGATGATTAGCACCTCCTCATTGATATGATGATACATGATGAAATCAACTTACATTGAATAATGACCCTTTTGGCCGCAATGGATACATCTTCCGTCAGACATTTTGTAAGAGTGAAACGTTTGTGATTGTCAATTAAGTATGAAAAGATTGGGGGAAAGAAAAGAGACAAAAGGAGGTAGGCTTTATATACTGTAAGGCGGCCTTGATCGCAGCAGGCAGCTCAATTAGGTAACGTCTCGTAATCACAAGACGGGGGGAAACAAGAGAGCCCACCTTTAGTTTCTACTGGCTAGACGGCGATCCACCACACGTGGCGATATTGTCTCACCGTCGTTTCATTCGTGCCTCTACTTGCACTTTTCCAGCCTCAACTTTGTGTACGACATGACGAAAGTTGCTATATCCGGTTTAGCTCAAGTACCAGGTGCATTGTACGCTCGCGCTACTCTTTCCTTTTCATTTCATGCTCTCTCTCTATTTCTAATGTGTTGGATTGATACGGGTATCCAAGAGCGAAAGAGAGAGAAATTGTTGTGCTGCATCATGTGGACACGGCTTATCCAGATGAGGATAATGGTTCATGGGGCAGCACCACGTTTAGGCTCTTACCCAATAGAAACAAGGAATACGATTATATTCCTCACCATGAAAGATGCCATCCTTCACACTAAAGTACTAATAGCGTGAGCTGACAAGTTCATTTTGTCGGGTGACAATTTTCTCCACATACAATAAAATGAAGGTTATAATCCTGTATTCAGGTTAAATGAGGCGGTGATAATCGTCGGTGACTCGCAGCAACGCACTAAAATTCATTGTCCCTGATATCTTCGCCTATAGAATTTCCCAGATGATATAAGCTTTTCATTATCGGAACCATATAATCGCCGCACCACTTATGCTGTCATCATCAAAGGAGGCAGCGTATCACCAGCCTTACTTTATTGCTTATCTGTGGAGGATAATAAATTGCCGCAGCTGCTGGTTTGCTCATCCACTTTTGTGGATCACATAAAACTAGCCCCGTGATCAGCCCACGATACACAATGTATGCCGTCTTGGCATGTTTATTCTTATCTACATAAGCAAAGTATGGCTTTAATGATACATTCAGGGGGGCAGTAGATCCAACTATGCTCCTGCATTTCGGACACGGCTTGAGCTTTTAACCCGTCATCTACTATGATGATGAATGAACGAACCACCCTGCTAAATGTAGAGCCATAGATATGCAAACTCGGCATTTTATGCCGCTACCGAGCACATCCGGCACGTGTCATTTTTCGCACCATGGCCACGCGAGCATCTGATGCGTCATTAAGGCCACCAACGAGATGAATATTATAATACATACACGTATTTATACATGGCATTGATCATATGCGCACACATTGGTACCACACTTTCCGCTGACAATATCATGAGCTCATCGAGAAAGGGGAAAGGGGTTAGCTCAACTCTCCGCACACACAACACCATATACTGTATTCTATCATCAACCCCGGTGGGTCGGCATACCCCCTTCCAATAATCACCCCCTTCAAAAATTAGAATGATTCTCAGCAGCTATGATGATGTGTTGTAGGAAGGTGGATGATGGCAAGCAAAATAAGATCATGGATGTATCGAGATAGCGATAACAACAACTTTTTCTATCGCGACATGGATGGCTGATTGCGATAAAAGTGAAGGGGATGGCTTCATTATTCCATCATTTTGGAAGATACCATTGCAATAGGTTACGCGTTGTGCAAGGTTGCAATCTTGTGTTGCATCAAGCAAGGCAAGAGGTATCGTAACAATGGGCTGTGCAAGTTGGTTTCCAGTATCACAATGGAAAGTATGCTACGCCGTGAGTGCGGGGAGTGAGATAAATGCAGGGTAAAGTGATGATGATGTGTATTTAGAGTAACCCGCCCTCCGATCTTTGTCCTCCACAATGACGTTAGACGTCATTACACGATCTCTGCTAATTTGGCACCAACGATAAAAGCGACGTTGCTGTAATTGCAAAATGGGCAAGTGAGCAATTTGACGGCTTTTTTTCTTACGGCGACGGCCAACAAACAGCAAAGGAAAACATCACATGGCAAAAGTGATTGTACCCTTCTCGGATCGTCGGTGCAACCGGATATTGGGATGTGAGATTTCTCGTGTCAGCTAAGCTCATACATGTGCTGCGCTATTGAAGTGACCCTTTACAATAACCACGCTACCACTTTTAACCATCACACCCATCTTCTTTACCATGGTTGTACTTTCTTGGGGCCTGTACTTTTCCTAACAATGACACTCCTCGTTCCACATCATATGCACATAGTTGCTCGTAAAAGCACTAATTAATGATCTTGATATGCATGTTTTATGTCAATATGACCACCCTTTGTCAACAAGCAATCGGCTATTCGAGTGTGCGCCATGTACCTGTGTTGTCAAGGAACAACCATTGCTTAAGCTAATATGCATTATAAATGATCAGCATTACGTGTAGGACGACAGCCATTGAAGCCCACACTACTACAAACAAACGAGACGTATCCTTCAATGTATAGTTTTTACAATTACCAATGCTTTTGTGTGTATACGGTGTTGCTATGCAATTACAATGGTGTTGGATTCATTATCAAGTGCAACGGGCAAATCACATCGCTTCGCATAGTCACTCCCCAATACCAAAAATAGGTGATCCGACTTCTAATACAAGCTTCTTTCTCTCGCTTGTTGCCTCACACAAGCTACCATTGACAATGTACTCTGACCAGACTCTATTACCTCCTCCTCCGTTGCCAAGTTCACCATCACGCTTCAACTTGCCTCCCATTGTCTCTTCTGCTGCATTCTCAACTGCAACATTACCTCGGCTTGCTTACACTACTGGTCCAAACCCACACAACGTCCCACACGACGATAAAGCTGAACGATGGCAATTACCACCATTACCTTCACTCACACCCTTCCATAACTCGTCTGGAGCTTCTTCGTCACCTGGCAACCATAATGTTCCTCCTACTCGACTACCAGAGCAGCAGCAGCAGCAACACCACCACCACCAACCCAGGCAACGTCTACAGCCACCTCCACCACCATCACCACCACAACTACCAGCACAATCCCCTTTCACATCCTCTTCCTCTTCTTCAATATGGCGCATCAATCCTGTTTCAGATTATGAGATCCATCATCATCATCATCATTCTGGTGCTGGTGCGGGTGCTATTCTTCCAGTATCATCAGATTTACCACCGACCACAGTGTCTCCGAAACATTATCAAGCAGCAGCAGTTCCTGAAAGTCCACAGTATTATGCGCCTTCCTTTGGGAGGAAACAAGGTATAAATACATCATGTACCCAAATGTTATGATGGGCTAATATGCATTCTTCCATATCCACAGCACCATTGGATTATGCCAATAAGGCTGACTTGGTGGCCGAATACAATGAACGCACACTGGAGATTGATCGGGAATTCCAAGAGAATAAGGAAACGTAAGGCGATATAAAGTTCATTATTCTCCTTGGCTCTAATACTTCTTTTTTCTTGTTGTCAATTAGGATCTACTTGGAAAAGCTAAAAAAGCTTCAAGAAGAGTTGTCAGCAATTCAACATGGTATGCCCTTCCTTCCCTCATCTTTTGGGGGCATTATCAGAGTCTTATGTATCGTGTTTGATAGGCGGCCATGAAGTATTCGATGATCATGTGGCTGACTTGGAAAAGGATCATACCAAGGAGATCCATAATGGACAATTGATGATGCAATATCGGATACAATGCGCCGAAAAGTGGTATAATGAAGCATTACGCGTTGTGGAAGAAGAATCAGAGGCAAGTGCTATTATAGATTAGGCGGCACACAAGCTAACATGAGGTTTATTTAGGCTGAAAAACGCGAATTGAAAAAGGCCATGCTTGCCATTATTGAGGAAAAACGAAAGCGTATCAGAGAATATAGAGATGAAGAGATCATGTTAAATGGCGGTAAGTGTGTCAGGGTAGCCGTCGACTTCACTTTATTGACGATGATGATTCATAGATGCCCCCGTCAATGTACCTCAAACTCGTAACAGACGACGTACACGTGGAGCAGCAGCAGCAGCAGTGGCAAACGGTCTTGCAACAGCCGAATTGACTCTGGAACAAGTTCTACGTAACAAAAACAACAACAGGGCATCCAAACGACGACATAATGATCATATCCTTTTTCACCATGTTGATTTATTTGTGGGTTGAATGCATGCACATATCTATCCTTAACCTTTGTTCTCTTTACGCTCCAGGGAATTGGGCAACGTTACTCATGCATTGAATGCCAAGAATGAAGCCGATTTGGAAGCTGATTTTGATGCAATGCATCAGGTATGATGATAGCGAATGTGTAGTACTGATTCATCCATGAAGCTGACAACCCCCATTTCAATGCAGGATATGGTATCATCGGATGAATACATGGTGGATGGTACATCGGATAGTGCATCTCATAAGCGCGCCAAAGGAAACCAATATCATCACGGCAGCACTTTCCATGGGCGTTCATCCAGGCGATGATCCATTTCTCAAATCATTTTATACCCAAAGGCCTTGACATAGTTCTCTTCAATCACCATCCATTCACCCATACGATCTTCTTCATTAAATTACAATGTAATAATGTCTTTTTATCTTGGTGCTGTTGCTGTTGTTGAAATCAAAAGAATGATATATGTATAAAGTATGTACAAATAGCTGACTAAAAGACCTCCATAAGGTCGCAGGTATCACAAAGGCCATAGATAGCATCGCTGCCTGGCTCCGGGCTGTAACCGATTCTTCCAGGACACACTTGTTCATGCTGCTCCACTGTTATCTGAATCGATTGAACCGTCTAAGGATACCCGTTAGCACCCATCCATCATACCTTATCATCACCCAAATTACCTTCTCTGTTGCAAAGAATCCACAACATGGACATCGTAGTTTGCCTGATATGTCAAGTTCTAAAGGTGCATTGCCGCATTGAAAACAAAAGACCAACGATCTGAGATAGGCAGCTTCTTCATCCAGGTATTCATCAGCATCATTCAATGGCTCTTCTTCAAGTAGCTTGTCAGGATCAACAATGCCCTCGGCCTTGAAAGCTTCCTCGTGTATACGTTTAAAGTTCTCCCACTCCTCCATAGCAGCAAACTCTAGTAACTAATTGCAGTAGAAAGCAAATGAATAAACCGATCGATTATGCACATGCCCCACACCATGGTGTACCTTGTTTTGTCGTCGCTTATCAACTTGATTCTGACGAGCTGATTTCACTCGCTCTGCGCATTGTTGCCGGAATCGTTCACGCCACTGCTTAGATCTGTCCTGGGTATTGGGTCGAAAAGTGGAACGATGGTGAAAGGTGGTGGGTGTCTCCATAAAGGAAAAAGCGTAAAGGAGGGGGAGCGAGAGGGAAGAAAGAGAGAGAGAGAAACAAGTAGACTACTATTACCCAGCCATAGTTCACGCTTGACACATGCAGCCTTGCGCAACCTCTTCGGACCTTTGTGTCGCCGCAACCCGGCACTGTGGTGTTCGTTTGTATATCTTGTTCCTGAAAGAACTCATATCTGAATAAATGATTGATGTATGAATACGTTCATTTACAGTGATCCATTCGCTTATTATGACTGCTCACCATCATCATCATTGATCCTAATGCATTTGCTATCATCCTAATGTATCTTTATGCTATTATCTTTTTGCGCCACAAACTAGTTTGTAACAAAGTTATACTCGGTGCCATCCTCTTTCCATGCACAAACGTCGTATCATCATGCACCATTTATATTCTGTAGCATACACCCAGGCAAATTATGACCTTGTGGAACCCGAAAACACGTAGGATGATGTCCTTTCTAGGCACATCTTCTGGTATCATTATAAGAAAACAGAGGTTGGACCTTATTTCTTTAGGTTTAACTAGTCGAAAGCATAAAATGCATGTAAGACAATGTCCCTCAATATCTCCCATTAATGTTGAAAAGTGCACTTGAATGCGATTTGTATAAAGGATTGATATGGATACCACCTACGCCAAAGATAGCTGAACGCAACACGTAAATGGACGTGGAATTTGGATGTCGGCAGTGATTTCCTTTCTCTCTCTTGTTTGTATCCATTATATGAATAGCCGTCCCCACTCCACCAACAAAACAACAACACCCTCAGAAGAGAAATACATGCACTACAAAGCTTTGGCAAAGGAGTTGCAAGATATCGACACCAACATCAAGAAACTACATCAGAACTTTCAACAAACGAGCAACCTTTCAGACTCATTCCGCCGATTGGAAACAGTGCATTCTTCAATGTAAAGGTCTTCCACACGTCAACAATCTCATTTAGCTCACGAGAGTCTTGCTTACAGGTTTATGGGTGCATCCACCATCTTCAAAGACTCCAAACACCAGCAACAGCAACAACAACAGCTGCCTCGATAGTGCTCAACTATACCATGACTATCACCAGCCCCTCCTATCACTGTTATCACCCTCTACCACCGTACAAGCTATAGAGGTTTTTGTGCTTTTTGTAAATACATATTATCATTTGCTTTGACTTTGAAAAAGAGTATGATTGATCACTTTGCATAAAGAGTAGCCCTCTTTGAGTTATGCGCAAGCGCACATCCGCGATTAGCTGGCTTGATGACGAAGAAAAGCGCCATACCAGAGCTCCAACGACACTTTTAATCCGTTGAAGATGATACAGCAGACAACAAACAGCTGCCCTTTCGTCCTTTTACGGACTAGTCGATCAACAGACCGGTACGTCAGAGGAACTTCCCTATCGCTCTTTATGAATGAACGTCCAAAGGACATCCCGTATGTTTTGCGACATGAGCGGATCTTTTGACAAAGTGATAAAGAAAAAAAACAAAACCTTGCAAGCTGACGACTCCCTTTTGTATCATAGAAAACTTTTCTTTTCCCGACTGCAAGCCACACACGCATACTTGAACAACAATTATCCGATCAGCCAATGAATTTCAAGGCGCGACGCGTGTTCATGCTGGATCATGGAGAGAGGTATGTTTGTTCTATATTATCTATGTCATCGCTACCATGCTCAATTGTCTATCAAATGCTATGTATCGGCCATCATTTCATTGTTCACTATGCTCCGTTTTCACTCCAATGGTGGTTGCCATGGCGACATGTTGCTACCCAACATCAATGATTTGCCCGCACAAAGGTTGCTTGCATTATTGTGTAACCCTGTCGACGTTCCGTGAGGCTGTGATCCCCTTTGAGCCTACCAAAGAGCTGTATACACAATGACGTGGAAACGATGATCGAACCAAAGGGAATACAGGTATCGTTGTCATCCGTGATTAAGGATCCGCGTATTCAGAGTGGGAATTTTTACATTGTAGTGGTCAAAGTTTCAGCCGAAAATACCAACGATACTTCCCCACGCTTTGTTCCCCACACTATCGGCTCACTGGGTGTCACGAGGACCGTGGTAAAATATCAAAAAGACAAATGCACCATGTCATCCAGCGATCATTTGTGTCCCTGGCTTTTCTCCTTCGTTTTATCCTTACCATGTTTTCTTGTTATACCAGACAATCTCTCGCCAAGAGGAGCCAACGTTTCTTGCTATCAGGTGCTCGGAGACGAGGCTATCATGATCGTGACATTTATGGATACCGAGTACCCAAGGAATACCAAATGCCAGATTACACAACAGAGGAGTTATCGAATCGTATGGCGTATGGCAGTCTTCTCCGCCTTGTTCAAGCCTATCGTACGCATGGCCACAAGTCGGCCCATTTGGATCCTTTGGATATCATGAATCATGAGTAAGTGTACATTATATGGAAATTATAAAGAGCTTGCTTTTTAATGCCATGCTTTGAAACAGGAAGGTGCTTGCTTTACAACCTGAACGATACGGTCTCACGGATCCAAAGAAGGTTTACAACTTGGCCGGTAAGGGAAAGGACGCCGCGGGCTAGCTTTTTTGTTGGGAATGATTCAACAAGCCAACTCATAACCCTATGCTTACAGGCATTTTGCATGTTACTGAAAGTGCTGAAAATGCATCAGCTCGCCAAGACGCTGACTTTGAGACAATCCTTGAACACCTTAATACCGTCTACTGTGGCAAGATTGCCCATGAATTCATGCACTTACCTGTAAGTACTACATCGTGGGAAAATAAATGTGAGATAAGACTAATTATCGATAACACAGTCTGCAAGCGAGCGACGCTGGTGGTATCACGCTGTTGAATCTTGGAACAAGCCTCAGCTCTCGGTTGAAAAGAAAAAGAGAATCCATGAGCTCTTGGCCAAATCAGAGGTAAAAAAAGAGACACATGTTGCCTTGCACGCATCAAGCTCATCATGCACCTTTTTAGACTTTCGATCACTTTTTGGCAAAGAAGTTCCCCAACGTCAAGCGATATGGCCTTGAAGGTGCCGAAAGCATGATGGTCGCTTTGGATTGCTTGTTTGAGCTATCAGCTAAATGTAAGTATTGCTACCACGTAGTGAGGAAAATTCCATGGCTCACGAGTATCATGTGCGGTTTCAGCTGGTGTTCAAGATGTCCTAATCGGCATGCCTCATCGTGGCCGTCTTAATCTCCTGTGCGACCTCCTTGAATACCCATACGCGTCATTGTTTAGCAAGATCAAGGGCAACTCTGAATTACCCGAGAACACGGTTCATTCTGGTGATGTGATTTCTCATTTGAGTAAGTTGTTGTATATGGGTCATGGGCATCATATGGATCCTTTTTGTAACGTTTACATGCTATCATAGTTAATAACCCTACACTCAAGTATGATGGCCAATCGGTGAATGTATCCTTGCTAAGCAATCCCTCGCATCTGGAAGCCATTAATCCAGTGGCTATGGGTAAAGCCCGCGCAAAGCAAACCGAGCTCATGAGATCAGCTGATCCTAATTGCAACTTGGGTGATCGTGTCATGTGTGTACAAATCCATGGCGATGCGGTAAGTCTTTGTGGATACATAATACATGACCTTTATTCTTACAAAGAGCATGCTTCATTATAGGCATTCACTGGTCAAGGCGTTGTTATGGAATCATTGAGCTTATCCAACTTGCCCCATTATTCATCAGGTGGCTCGGTGCACATTGTGGTCAACAACCAATTGGGTTACACGACTCCTGCTCAGAATGCTCGTTCATCAACCTATTGTTCGGATATCGGCAAGATGATTAACGTCCCTGTGGTCCATGTGAATGGTGATTTCCCAGAAGACGTTGCACGTGCCATGGACGTTGTGTTTGAATACCGTAACAAGTTCCGCAAGGATATCATCTTGGATCTTATGTGCTATCGTCGATGGGGTCACAACGAGCTTGATGAACCTGCTTTTACTCAACCGCTCATGTACAACACCATTCGTCAGCATGATTCTGTTCCCAAGCTTTATGAGCAAAAGTTGATTAGCGAGCAAGTGTATCCTTCTCAAGAAGCTGCCGATGCTGTTCGTGTATCACAATTTGAAGCCTTGAATGAGGAGCTACAAAAAGCAAACAATGGACCCATTCCTGCACCCGAATCTTATCATCTTCAAGGCAACTGGAAAGGCATGACCCATCCTACAAACCACACAAGCGAACAAGTGGTAACGGGTGTTGACGACATTCAAAACCTGGTTGACATTGGCAAGCGCTCTGTGACACCACCTGTGCCTATGAAGTTGCATCCACGTCTTGAAAAGTATCATGTGGCTTCTCGTATCAAGCGATTGGAGGAAGGTAAACCTATCGATTGGGCCACAGCTGAAGCATTGGCTTTTGGTAGCCTTATGCAAGAAGGCTATGATGTGAGAATCTCTGGTCAAGATGTGGGTCGTGGTACCTTTTCGCAACGCCATGCCATGTTCGTTTGCCAGGAGACTGAAAAGGCCGCCATCCCTCTTAACACGGGTCTTGGGCCATCTCAAGGTTATCTCGAGGTATACTTGATCCCATGGAAGCATTCAAGAAGGGTTCTTACACTTTAAACTTTTATAGGTTGCCAACAGCCCCTTGTCAGAGTTTGCTGTTCTAGGATTTGAATATGGCATGGCCATTGAGACTCCTAAACGTCTTGTTATTTGGGAAGCTCAATTTGGCGACTTTTTCAATGGAGCGCAAATCCCCATTGATACATTCATCTCAAGCAGCGAGTCCAAGTGGCTGCGTCAAAATGGCTTGGTGATGCTTTTGCCACATGGTCAAGATGGTGCAGGTCCCGAACATTCGTCTGGTCGTGTTGAACGATTCCTCCAGGTTAGTTAATGGATGATCATCCACCACATTGCCCTCCTCCTTTACTCAATGCTTTATTTTTTCAGATGAGCGATGATCCATTCGATGTGGAAAAGACATATGACGTTACTCCAAACTGGCACGTGGTTAACTGCACCACGCCAGCCCAATACTTCCACGTGCTTCGTCGACAGGTATCTTTATGCATGATGAAAGTAAACAAAGAAAATGGTTTTGCTCACCACAACAATCACCCACCCCCTATAGATGATTCGTGATTATCGCAAGCCGCTGATTGTTATGGCACCCAAGGGATTGTTGAAATCGGTAAGAGCGATATACAACATTTATGTATAGAACAAAGAGGTATTCATTCAATGGTATAGGCCGTGGCTGTTAGCCCCTTGAATGATATGGGTGCTGGTACATCCTTCCAACCTGTCCTTGATGATCCTGCATGTACCGAAGATCCTGGCTCTGTAGAAAAGGTTGTCTTTGTTTCCGGCAAGCTTTACTATGACTTGGCTAAGGAACGGGCCGCCAAGGGACTCGACAATCAAATCGCTCTTGTGAGATTGGAAGTACGTATGATACATGATTGCGTATCTTTTTGTTATGGATAATAATGACACTACTTTTTAGGAACTTTGCCCCTTCCCAAGAGATCAAATTGAGCAAGTGCTTAGCAATTACTATGCTGCACGTGACTTTGTATGGTGCCAAGAAGAACCCCAAAATGCTGGTGCTTACTCTTTCATTGCACCACGCCTGACACAACTCCTCCCTTATCAAAGCAAGGTATGTTACAATGACATTATCTTTATTACGGTATTGATGAAACGTCTCTTTTTTTTGTAGATTGAGTATGTGGGTAAACCACCACTTGCTGCTCCTGCTGTTGGCATCGCTTCTCGTTACCGTGCTGAGCAAGCCAAGGTGATCCAAGATGCACTCACACTCTAATTTCAACCATCCTCTCTATATACACGCACACACACACTCCCAATACACTTGCAATTCTGCTTTCCATTGTTGTGATTGATAAAGATACTATATATATTGACCTTGTTGACTCCTTCAAAACTACATCCAATAATCCAATGTTGATATGATCCACTTTTCGTTGATGATGAATGCTGCTCGTTTTATTATACAATCTAGAAACCAGGGGGACTTGTTCTTTCGGTCTTCTTTGTAAACTTGGGGACCTTGTGCAAAGACTTGCGATGTCCACGGGAGTATCGGCTGAAAACGGTGTACTTGTCACGTGCCATCATCTCGGATTCCTTGGGAAGAGCAAGTGCCTTGTCAAGAGCCTTGCATTCAACACCAGAGTCGGCTACTGTTGCAATGACCTGATCGACAGCTCTAAGTCTCTTTCTAACGTTGGCTTTGCGTGTGGCTGACATGCGGAAAGGATTCTTCCTGTAGGAATACAAATCGAGTCAATGAGTCCCTTATGTCGAGTGTGAATGAGTGTAGGATATGAATACGCACCATAATAAACCGCCCTGAGCGACGAATGACGGTCGAAATGCGCCCAACATGTTGTGTGTGATAGAACAAGGAAAGAGGTTGTTGACATTTTTTCTGTTGACCAGTGAAATTGAAGCTCTCGGAGTCTTTGTCGTCCATTACAGGACTCTTGTCTACCTGGCACAATCAGGAAATCCCCCCACTTGAATCCCCGGCACCTTTGTTGTGTATAGGTTGATAATAACAATTGTCCCATCCCATGTGTGTCTTTGTATTGATCGCGTATAGAATAAACACTGGATTTGATGTGTCTTGACAACCACAATCCTTAGCCATATCCCCCATCCGCCACTTTTTACCACCATGGCATTATCTCATTCACTCAGTCATAAAGAATTTTTACGAAAGCAATAGAGGAGGGAGGGCACATTGTATATATATAATCCCCCAATTAAAATAGAATCATTGTTTAGATTTCTTTTTGATGCGACTAGCTGTTGCTGATGATGCTGTTGATGATGATCCAAGCGCCCTTTTAGTAACACGATAATTATCCAACGTCGTTTGCCCATGTGGATCAGAATTTGCTGCCTTTGTTTTGCTGGTCTTCTTGATTGTCCGTACTATCCGGTTCTCCTTTTCCTCCTCCTCTTCTTCTTCCTTGACTCGTCGTCTCGCCAAAATACGATCCCATGCGGCTTTGAGTGTGGCGGCATCTTGCATTTTGCTTTCAGTGAGCTTGACCCAAGCATCAGCATCACCCATGATTTGAAAATCAAAGACATTCTCCCATTCTTTGGTCGGTGGTGTCTTGTTGACGAAGATGGTGGTGCCATTCTTTGCATTGCGAACGGTACGAGCGGCAAGCTTGATGAATTTCTTGATGCCGGGGATTTTGAGGGAGGTGCCAAGGACAATCAGTAGATCAGGCTTCTTTTTAATATCATTCACTTGTTGCAATCCAATCTTTTCACCATCAGGATGATCCTCGTTGTAGAGAACAATATCAGGACGCAAAGATCCCATGGCCAATTGTCGTTTTCCCAATAGCATACGTTCCTCGCCTGCTGCTTCACATTTTGGACAAGCTGGTGCCTCTCCTTCACGGAATAGATTCTGATATTCCTCTGAAAACTCGTATGATGCTGAACACAATGTACATTTTACAGTTGCCATGGTGCCGTGTAGTTGAACAACGGGGACTTCAACAACATGCTCTAGATCATCGATGTTTTGCGTGTATAGTCGTAATAGTTGCCCGCTGCTTTGCATGTTGCGAAGGAAATGGTGTGTGGGTGTTGGTTGTGCTGTTGATACTAATGTCTTGAGCTCGGCCATAAATGTATAAAAGCACTGTGTCTTTGCAACGTCGTTGAATAGTGTCGCATCAAAGAGTTCGGCTCCTTTCAGGACGACGTTGGGATGTCGTGCCTTGACTAAGTTGTATAGACCATTGGTTGACCGAAAGTCCTATGTGGAGATGAGGGAGAAAAGGAGAGAGTTGGTTTATTGGAACGAGGGAGTTTTTCCGTGTACACAAGACGTCTTACGGGAATGCCGCTACTGCAGGAAATGCCAGCTCCAGTAATGACGATGGCTCTGCGACTCTTTTTGATGTAGGCTGCAACTTCGGCAATCTGATGTTCGTATACGTCGGCTGAATCGGATATAAAAACTTTCATGTGTGGCGTAAAAGGTGTGCAAGAAAGCGCGCAAGCCAAAGTTGGTGGGAGTTGAGAAAAAAAGGTAGCTTTCTATCACCTGCAGCACTTTGAACGTGACTGGTGCACCACTCCCATATTGCAGATCATTGATTATATCATTCTTTCCTATCAACCACCGATGCATCATCCTATATGGGTATTCCAACGATAGAGCATTACCAATAAGTATTACTTTGACAAGAAGATCATTTATGTGAAAATACTACGTTGTCTATAAAGTGTTGTGATGAAACATGTGCTCTTTCCCGCTTTCAATGCAGCTGGAATAGCGTGGGAGTGCTACAAAAACGCAGGGCTATAAAATCTTCTCTCTTCCCCCTCCCCAACCTAGTGCTACACTATCCCTTTTGGGATAATCAGACAATCAAAACAAAGACAATCCACTCTCTATATCTACCGCTACAATGGAAGCCATTATTGACATTGACACGTCCCGAATTATGAATCTCGATTCAATATAGCATCACCCAATACTACGTCATTACACATGCACATGATCAATATAAGCAACTATTAAATGCACAACATAAAAATGTGGAAAACGTACACTATGCTCATTCAGTAACCCAATGAAGTGATGATCCCGTATGGGCTACGACAACCTGTGCACAAATAAATAAGGTCCACCGCTTTCTTTTCAGTAATAGAAGGCACTCATCATCTAGGAATGACGCTTTTTGAGTAATAAAAGGCATAGCTTGCCACTTAAATGGCTTCTCTTTAGGTGGCCATTCAAGTAACTGATACCTTGCAAAATGACAGCTGCCCATTTTCGTGTATGCATCCACATCGGCCATGGATACGTTCTTTTTTCCTTTGAGCTATCTCTTATTATACAAGAAGCAATCATTTACGTTGCTGACAAGAGGATCAACAACAACATGGCTTATCTTTGAAAGTGCTCTCTCGCCTTTTTTTTACATCAACGTGTGTACAGCAGCAAGCAATCGTCCGGAACTCCACTCCTCCATATACAGCTAAATACTTTTGCACATGGCTACTTTTGATGGAAGCACCATGATAAAAACATACCGCATCTAAAACGTGCAACATGGTGGTGGTTTGACAATGCGCATGAATACAAAGGTCGCGTGACATGAATGACATGGAACACATAGAATCTAGGCAACGAGAGCTTTATGACCATGTATGAGTGATGAGGCATGTGTATCGTGTTACAAGTGGTCGGGGTATAATATTGCATGAGCACAAGATATCATCAAACTACCTCCTTTATTCACTGTGTGCAAGTGGGATCACAGCAACCTAGCCGAATAGGGAGGTGAGGAAGATAAACTGTGCATAACAAGCTGTCGCGTGATAATCCGAGTGACCATGGTGGATTCCAATCTGATTGGCAAAAGGTGTTTTAGGGGCTGCTGAAAAGAATGAAGCAGATGAGACATCACACACTGTCACTGGATGTTGGTGGGATCGACCACCATTCCTTCTTTGGACACCATGCGTATAAATCACCCACTTTTTTGACTCGACAAGTTTCTTCATCTTTCTTCTCTTTGCAATTTAACATGTCCGCACAAGAAAATACCGATAAGCCCGTTCCCCAAGTTCCAGAAGAGAACACTGCTGAAGGCACCAAACCATCTCCTTCTACCTCTTCCCCTGCAACACGTCGTCTTTCGGTGTTGATCAACAAGGCTAAAAAGTCCATCTCTCAAGCTGCTGACAAGGTTTCCTCGCCTACAGAAGCCAAGTCATCTGAACCTGCCACTACTACTGAAAATGCTGGTACATCGGATGAGCCTGTTGCTGCTGCTGCCAATCCAACAACCGAAGCCACCACCACTACATCGGATGGTGCCGAAAAGCGGCGATCACGTTTGGTTGAAAACTTTGAAAATTTCTTCCATCGCAGCAAGGTAAGTAAGAAAAAGATGTAATCTTTGAATGTTAAGACTTAATACCTATACGCGTGTAGACCCCAGCTCAGGAACAAGCCCAAAATGAGCATCCTAGTGAAGAACATGGTAATTACATAGGCTTGTTGTTGTGATTGACAGCTCACTAACATCAATGTAAATAGCTGCTTCACCTGCTGTTGAAGACACATCAGCAGCAGCTGCTGGTGCTGCCCCTTCATCTCCTACCAAGGATTCGATGGTGGATCAAATGAAGCGTAACCCATTGATTAATCGCTTCTTTACGAAAAAGGAAGAGACAGCACCTACAACAACAGACGCAACCGAAACATCAGCTGCTGGTATGGGAATGGAGGTGGTGGTGATAATGGAGGAGAAGCGTGACAAACAAATGAATCGGCTCATGTCAATGCATGCATAAACTTAACATTGGATCTTTTTTTATAGAGCCCAAACCTGACGAAGAACCAAAGGCTACCGGAAGTGGTGCTCAACTTGGTCGACGTCTCACTCAAATCTTGCGATCCCTTCCCAAAGGCAAAAAGAAGACCACCACATCCTCGGGATCTTCATCATCATCCACCCATCAAGATGAAACCCCTGCTGCTCAATCACACCCTGCTGCTGCAGCAACTGCTACCACACCCACTGTGCAAGCAACAGCTTAAGTGCCTATCTTTTAACTGCCTCTAGCCCCATATCTTATCTACCACCCATGATATCTTCCCCTATAATTGCCTTTTTTTCTTTTATCAATGTGCCTCTGTGCTTACCTTTACAAATTATCTACAAACCCAGAGTAATAAAAATTGCGGTGTTATCGTCAACGTTATGCACTATTCCATGCTACCAATAAACTAACGAATCAAGTGGAAGCTCTCACTTGATGCATGACTTTTTGCGTGGGAGGAAATGAAAACTTGCACACGCAAAGAGAGATAGGGTCGCTGTTGCATGTTCCCTCTTTTACAAAAAGTGATAGGTTACGATTATTCATCAACATCCAATTAGCTTAAACACTGTTATTTGAATGATCCGTCATATTGTTGTCGGATGAAAGGAATTTGACAGGCTCCAAGTTAAAAAGGATCCAATTTGTCCGTTCGTGGGAATCAAAAAGCGATGATCACGCAAAGCAGCAATAACAACAACAACAACCTGGGACCTCAATCAATACTCCCGCATAGAGTTTTGTTTCTTCCATGTCATCACCACGAAAGATCAGGTTGCTTTGGAAACGGGAGATTGTCGGCAGTCATCACACGCACACTGCATCTTGATGATTATCCAAGGCAACGGATCAAAGTTTGACGCATGATCACAGCATAGCAACAGAGCATTGTGCAACGACATGACGAGGTAACTTGTTACACAATGACGCCCAGCGATCCAACAATGCAAATCAGCATGTCAGCTGTTCTTTCCTTTTATTGAGTGGGCGTAGAAAGACGCGACATACAAACACAAAGAGTGGTGCTGTTCCAGAACGTAAATGCTCATTGCTTGACAAAACATGTACACACGTGGTCTTTTAGATTACCCATCATCCATTCTTTTTATTATTAGAGGAGCTATACAACGGAACATGGGTGTTTCTTCTACATGCGTTCTAGTGGTTTGATACCAAGTAAAGATAATCCATTGAACAAGGTGGTTCTCGCAGCCCAAAACAGTAGCATTCGAGCAGCAGCTAATTCTGGTTCCTGGCCCTTGACCCATAACACTTGTGTTGCTGCACTTGTGGCGTGTGATAGCTTGAATAAATAGTTGACAATGGTGCAAGGCTCCAGCGAGTTGAAAGAGCTTTCGACCGTCTCTGGGAAATGTGAAATCAGCTGAGCCAAATCAAGCGCCTCTGGTTCCTTTAAAAGCCCAAAATCAGGTGTTGGTATCACAGCTGCATCGGCATTGCGTTCGATTCTATATAGATGACGAGATAATTAGATATCTTGCTTTCTCTTTCCTGCTTCACCTTAAATAGTTACCCGCAGGCTCTTGCATGAGCATATTGTAAAAAGACACCCGTGTCACCTTTAGCATCCGTCATCCTCTCCCATGAGAAAGAATAATCCTTGTTGCGTTTGGATTTCATATCTTGAACCAGGATAGCTGATATGCCAAGTTGATCTGAAACTGTAGCCATCTCTTGCTTATCTTTGACATGCGACTTTTCCTTTTCCATATACTGAAGAATCTGCTCTTGGGCTGTGTTGAGAATATCCTCCAAAAAGACTGCAGTGCCCTTACGCGTTGACATTCCTTGGATCCTGCCAAAGCTCACGTGTTGCAAATTCTTGAAACCAAAGAGCATCTCACCGAGCTTGAATACCTGTCGAAAATATCCTTGCTGCTCACTGCCAACAACGTACAATGCCTTGTCAAATCCATAGAGCTCTTGTCGCATCATCAAGCATGCAAGGTCACGTGTCAGGTACAAACTTGTGCCATCCGCTCGTTGTACAATCGCTTTGCCAAGGTTGTATTGCTCCAAATCAATTGCAGAGGCTCCGTCCTGCGTTGTCTCCACAAGTCCTTTTTCTCGAAGAAGCGCATTCACCTTTGGAATATAGGATTCAACCTGAGATTCGCCAGAATACACTTCGAAAGATACACCCAACCTCCCATAAATGCTCTTGTAAGACTCGATGCTCATGTCGCGTAATCTTTTCCACAATGCCAGCGCCTCAGTGTCCCCTAAGACACACTCTATCAGAATACGATAGCCCAAATAAACGTCCCAATGTATATACATACCTTGCTCCATGCGCTTAAAATAGGCGTTAGCTTGTTGATCAATGGTAGGGTCATGCTTCGCCTCTTGATTAATCCGGACATACACATCGTACAAATGATGAATAGGATCATGCATGAGCTTGTCGTGATCGCCATATCGTTCAAAGCCTACCGCCAAAAGGCCTGATCACAGGATCCATTTAGCTCGTATTCCCCCAAAAACAATAGTCATATAGCTTACCATATTGCTTTCCCCAATCCCCCAAATAGTTGACACCAACCACCCGATAACCCATGATCTCGTGTATTCGCTTGGCAAAGTTCCCCAGGATAGTGCTTCGCAAGTGACCTGCATGGAAGGGCTTTGCAATGTTGGGAGAGCTGTAATCGATGACGACTGTTTGGTTGTGCTGTGGTGCATGAGCCCATCCATAGTTGGCGTGATCATTGTATACATGCGTCAGGACTTGTTTCATGAACTCGGCATTGGCAACACGAAACTGTAGCGTGGGGCCTTGTGCAGTGGCATCAGCAATCATTTGATCAGGTATAAACTATCCTTTTGCGTACATCCATGAGCAAACTACGATATACACATCACGTGATCCATACGCATGGATAGCAACATACCTTGCTTGCGATTTCTTTTGACCAAGCAGTGGGATCTTGAACGACATTAAGAGTTGTGCTGCTGCTGCTGCTGCTGTTGCTTTGTTTTCTCAATGCTGCTCCAAGTTGTGGCAATGAAAGGGTGAATTGGCCGTCGCGCGATTTCTTTGGGACACGAATGAGATCGAGAAGCAGTGGTTCGCTGCATTGTGTCAATGAGGAGAGTTGTTTGGCGATGGCTTGCTTGAAACGTAACGCTGCAGTAGACATGAAAGAAGTAAACCTTGCCTGTCAGGACACCTCGCGGAGATTGAGACCATCCCTGCCACTTGCCTTTTTTGTCGAAGTCACAACACTGATGCGCCTGCAACAAAGACACATGCTACTTTGATGGAGCGAAGAGAAGAATAAAGGGACAACTCTCATCTTATGGCAACTGCAGGACATGCACTATGCAGCTGATGAAAGGTGGTTCCCCCCTCCTCTCTGTGCAACCACAAAACGCCGCCATCAACTTTGGCGTAATCGGTAACCAGCTTCCCGATGCACTTGATGTCACCATAACAACCTTCTTCTAGAAGCCTGAATCATGAAATGTTTCATTTACGCTGGCTGAATTTTCTACTTTTCCACCAAGTCATTGTCATCCTTTGATCTATCACACCCACCACTTGTGGATATTGTTGGTTGACAACGCATCAATGTCATTCCTTTTGTTAGCTGTATCAATCAAAGAAGTATTATTAAAAATGTACACTTGTCATTCCCTGTGATCCAAATCATCAATAGCTAGTATCATCACCATGCCGATCAATAGCCATTGGATGGTCTACTTTAGTAGGGAATGCTTGGGTATTGAGATGAGATGCATGAATGTAACAATCATCAATGATGAGCCTCCCTGGTATTCATTATGACGTGTTGCTTAGGACGAGGGTTTGATGATAAGTATAGAGGAAAATGAAAAGTTGATATCAGCTGTGAGGATAAACAGAGATGGGTGATGACCTACGCCATCACAAAACTTTAAAGATGAGATGTGAAAACAAAAATGTCGAGTTGTCCGTGATGCACGGCCAGCACGTCTAAAAAGCCAATGCTATACTCGGTGGAGGACACCAACATGGAGAGATGGAAAAATCTCGATGCCTGCTGAGATACTGGTGTGACATGAGCTAAGCAGTTTTTGGAGAGATTGCCTTTGTCACACCTTGGTTGTCTCGTTTATTGGACATAATCGCACATCGTATACCGCCACTATTTGCTATGTTGATAATAAGACTCGTCAATTGCTATTTTGATTTACTTGTAATGGCTATGATTTTGGTACATGAATGACAACTACGGGCATGAACAATGCCCTGGATGATGTACATGACAAGACGCGCGTGAAGATGTAGAACTAGATTATTATGCAATAGGCCAAATCAAAGCTCGGGCTAAGGCGGATGATTATAAACGCTATTATGTACACCATACCATGGATCTGTTTCGGTGCTACCAGGCATCCAAGGGGGAAAGGGATGACGAATGCATCTGGAAATACAGAACACCACAGAAAGAAAAAACGGAGTTGAAGCATGTTTTTACTTTTGCATCCCGAGTCGTTGGGTCCCGAATAACTGGTACGCTTTTCTTTCGCTCATTCCCTCTCACCCAAACCTACGACCAATATCGGCACACACACGCACACACACACACATAACGCTTACAACAAGACTCCGTATCCATCTTACTATTCGATACTTTTTTCCCTTCTTCCCATATAACTATTGGACCAATCGGTTTACGTTACGTGCGCGTGTTGATTCCCTTGCACCGTATAATATATTAACGGCATCCTCACTCTTGTGAAACTCTTCCTCTCAAGACTGATATTTATGCCCACCTGGGGGGCCAGCTATTGTCTTGCTCAGAAAGAAAAGGGTAACCCTGCTTGCACCCTTGCAATGGCCTCTCATTCAAATTGACAACCCTCCCTCATTGCTCATCTTGCTCATTCACCCACCCAGCGTCTCCTTCTCGACGACGGCGGAAAAAATCAATACATATGAGCACAGCCGTCCCTCCTCCATTGGGACTAAGGCGACCCAGTAGACAGAATATTCAATATCGATTAGGTATGATGGCACATAACAACACGCATGAAAATCCTCACATCCAAACACCTATAAAGTTGTCGTACAAAATCCCACTCGAGCAAGATGCTGTGGATTCGGTGAAAAGGATAAACGACCCATCAACCCACCGCCCATAGTCCAATTACACATTCAAAAACAGGATGGCTCACTAGAGCCTGTAAGGTATAATCAATCTCTTTCTTTTCTCTCTCTCACGCTCTCCTTTACTATATTCTGCTAATGTCCACCCCACTCTAGTGAAACAGACAATGTCTCTCATTTCATCGTGCAATGCGATCTCTTCTCCCCAAACCATAAAGAGGATCGCAATGTCGTCTACAATCCCGCCTCTATCAACCCAGCGTATCCCAACAGTTCCGCAGCCGTCATGACCTTTGAAGAACCAACACCCGTTCGTAATTTCCTTGGCACCATCGTTTCTAATGCGCATCAATTGCTTGATCTTGAAGACCGTCTTGGCATCTTTTTCATCTTTCCAGATCTATCCGTACGCACAGAGGGTACTTTTTGTCTTCGATTTCGATTCATTGATCTCTCAGCTGGGTAATAATCCAACCCTCTTTTTCCGCTTGTTTTTCCGATCATTGACATGCATACATAGAGACCCAATGACCATGAGCACTCAAGTTTTGACAGAGACTTTTTCAGACACCTTTAATGTATATCCCGCAAAACATTTCCCTGGAATGACAGGCAAGATCAATCCCCCATGTAAACATCCCACCCAATGCTGATTCATCTCCTTGTTGTCCATCATCATGTAGGATCCACTCCTTTGTCATTATGCTTCTCTCGTCAAGGTATCAAGATATCAGTACGTAAAGGTCCAAGGTTGAAACGTTCCTCAGATGATGTTTTCGGAGATACTCAAAACGACGATGACGATGATATGGATGATCGAGCAAGTGAAGAATATCAACGCCATCAACATAGCAGGAGTGTCACCTCCATCTCGGCATTGGTCTCATCCGATAGAGACGACCAAAGCAGCACATCTCATCCCCAGCAGTCACCCCACGGTTAGATCAATAGCAACAACAACAACAACCCATACATATCGAATCCGGATTTTAAGCAACGAGGGATGATTGAAGAGGAGGAAACTGCCGTTGTTCGTTTCATTGACGTTTACTATCACTCACAGCATATCCAACCCATCACATCATTCTTCTTGTACATATCTCTATATCATCCATATTCCCTCCTTCCCCTACCTTGTCCAGTAAACGAGTGAATAAAATGGTGTGTACATCTTCATCAAAGTGCCAACGCTATGCTTATGTAAGATGAGGATGCTATGGCTGGATAATTTGCGGTACACGTGCCAACCAAGTTGCATGGCGAACAAGTGTGGATAATGTCCGATCATTTTAATACACACGTTGGTGCGATTTGAATGATGCAACAGCTGCCCATAATTACAACCCCCCCCCCACATCTTGGTTTGACATGTAGCTTTACCACCACCTCGAGATCCCATCTAATTAAATGATTGTGACACCTGATGTTTACGCATTGTCGCGCTTCACGATGTTCGTTAACTTGGACTATTCTTTGTATTACCCTTTCACCTTTACCCCGGGCTGCTGCACGGACACCTCTCATAGATGATGATGCAGCTTGTGTAATGCGAGTCACCTATGGCTATTCACAATCATTACATGCATCAAGGAAAAGCATGTTGTCTATATTGGTATCGATGCTTTGTTAAGGTCCCTTGTTTGCACCTGGCTACTACTATTATTAGATGCCTTTTGATTAATGAGCCATGTCAATGATGGATGCTACTTGATCGATAAAGCATCATCAGTGATCGCAAAGGATGCGGGGTAGAATGTGGTTCCACATCATAAAAGGAAAATCGTCCTCCACTTTTTTCAAAACAAAAGAGCTGATTGTTTTTCACATGAGTTGCATCTTTCACATGCTGTCGTACAAATAGTTACACAGCCATCGGATGTCATTGCTGCATGCAAACTATAAAGCACGGCAGATCCATGCGGGGAAAATTGTTTATTATCTCTTTCACTTGTTTCTTTCATAACAATGGTCGTCATCGAATCCAACAACCGCCACACTGCTGCCTCACGCAAGGCTCTTGAATACCTCAAGGAACTTTCCAACACCTTGGATGGATGGAATTTCTCCCAAGAAAAGGATGGTGTCAAGTTGTACATCAAGCCTGAATCCAATGGCCTTAACATTGTTCGTGGCGATGCAATCCTCAAGACCGATAAATACACTCCTCGTGATGTAGCAACCGTTGCCACCAGCCCTGGTTGCCGTAAGATTTGTAAGTACTTTCACCGTTGTCTTGATTGGTGCCTTGACGTAATTAATGACGATGATAATAGGGGATGAAAAGTACGAGGTCTCTGAAGTCAAGGAAATGTTTACCCATCTTGAATCTCTCTTCTGGGTCAAGCTCAAGGCCCCCTGGCCTGTTAGCCCCCGTGATTTTGTCGGTGTTGCCCTTCGCGATTTCGATGAAGACGTGTGCTATGTTTCCATGTCTTCTGTTGAGGACCCTATTGCACCCCCTGTTTCTGGGTGTGTCAGAGGCACGCTTTTGATTTCTGTAAGTCTCCAATAATCAATGTCTTCATCCAAAAAAATGGATTCACTTATCATGTATACTATAGGGCTGGAAGGTGTACAAGGTTGACGGTGGCATTGGCATCACCTATATCACCCAAGTGGATATGGCTGGTAGCATCCCATCATCCTTCCTCAAGAACATCCAATTGCAGGTTCCTTTGTGTGCTGGCAAGGTTGTTGACTATGCTCGCAGCTATGGCTTCCCACCTACCACTGTGGAAGCTGCCAACGTTGTCTACAAGTCTGAAGACTTTAACCATGCCAAGCGTGAATTCACTGCAAACGTTGAAGGTAGCGATGGCGTTTGCCGATGGCGCGTTTCTTCTCAAATGTATCCCAATGGCGTCAAGGTCTCTGTTCCCCACGAGATCGTTGATACCGATAATAACAACAAGATCGTTGTTGTCAAGATTGACGGTCCTACCACCGTCAAGATCTCCAAGGCTTAAGCCCCTTACTTGTAAAACGTTACCCACCATGTTTAGCCCTGTTCATCCTGTTGTAGTATAGTCTCGATTGAATACAATTCGCTTGTTTTGCTTTTTCTCTAATCATTGTCGAGTATACGAATGATGGCGTAATGGTGGGCTGGGTATGTACATACTCCACGGGGTTTAATTTCAATATCCAAGTTCATTGTGCAACGTGAATTTCGCGCTAGGAAGCTGTCAAATATTTTCCAGGTCTTGTCATTCATCGCTTCACTATAAACCAAGCCAAGAAGACACCCATCGCATCGTTCATATGATATGATGGGTAATTTCCCACATCATCATCATGTTTGAAACCAAGAGCCTACCAGGTAACAACATCGTAGTTGTTGATGGATGGAAGAATAGCTCAGCAATTTCATGTGAGGATTCGGCACGGGCAATTAATCAACCTAAAATTTACTTTGACCTTGGGCCTATCATTTACGGGACATGCGTCCACACCTAATAAAGCTAAAAAGACATGAGGTCAACAAGACATGCGAGTTTATTGGATAAACGAATGGTGCTACCAAGTAATCCTACTACTGTGACATCGTTTGAGATATTCATATGAATTACAGCTCCAGGATGAAGGCCCCGCAATATACTGCCATTGTCCCGCACACCATGTAGCACAATCAAAGCTGCTCCAATGACAAACACCTTTGAAATAATCATGTGAAAGTACTAGCTCCTTGGAAAGGCAATGAGATGTGTACTATAGTGATCATCTTGAAAAGGGTTTGTATAGGGTAGTCGCATGGTAGGGATGGACAAAGGTACTATACGTATCGATTTTGAGCAATGAATGAGCTTGATCGGAACACATAACATTGGTGCAGGTGAGGCTTTGGTGATGTGCTGCTTGCTGGCACGATGCTGCTGATGTATATGCCAAGATCCATTTACTAGCACCAAGTTTATTGCGTAGCCAAGCGAATTGCTCTATGCAACGACGCACTATGTAATACACAAAGGTGTCTTGGAGTCGTATTCCCTTTTAAAGAGCTAAATGAAGATCATCGATGGATCATTATTATGACAATGGATTGGATGGTGTATACTTATGACGATGGTAGGTTTCTTTTCCACACACCCGTAATAGTTGCGATGAATGCTAACAAACGAGATGCAGCGTGCATACTACATCATGCAATTTTGTTACAAGTAGGGAGCATGTGGATAGTGGATGTATGGAATATCGAACCAACGTTCTCCCCTCCATTGTCAATCCCTTGGTCATGTGATCCATGCATGAAACGAGCTCTTGTTTCTGGGATTTCATCTGAGATTTTTGACCTCTGCAACAACCAAAGACATAGAGTTCTTCCCTTTCCTTTCAGCTTTCACACACAATGACATCGTTCTACGACGAGGTATGTACTCTGCTTTATTATCACTACCATTCAGCTTCTGATTCGTGGAGTAGATTGAGATCGAGGATATGGAGTTCAATGAGGACGAGGAGATCTACACTTATCCTTGCCCTTGTGGTGACAAGTTTGAAATCAGCATTGTGAGTATCCTTGCACCTTCCTGTAGGAGTATCCAATGCTAATCCAATGCTAAATAACAAATAGGATGACTTGCGAGATGGAGAAGACATTGCCCGTTGTCCTTCTTGCTCACTTATCATTCGTGTGATTTACGATCCAGACGAGTTTGCCGATGAGGACGGCGACACATATCAGGTGGATACCGCAGTAACGGTCGCCTAGCAACATACTTTCCACCCCCCTCATTGTACGCAACTTTTTTTCATCTTCATCCCATGTCCATATCCATCCTCCATTCTAGCATAGTCTCTTTTTTCTTTGAACGAGCAACAATGTATTATTATTGATATCATCTGAATACTACGTGATGGTTCACTAGTTGCATAATCAAATGTTTTTACGATCTTCAGCCTTTTGTCCGGATGCAGCATTTTCCAATGCATTTCGCTCATCAGCTAAGCGATTGTATTCCGCTGATTGTTGTGCCACCTGCTTCTTGAGGGTTTCAAAGTCTCGCTCTTGTTGCTTCAATTGCTTCAATTCATCCTTCAACGATGCGATCTCATTCTTGTAGTTATCCTCCTTGTTGATCAATTGTTGTTGTCCATCGGTAGTGGATTGGGTCTAACAATGATGGATGAGGATACATGACAACATGTAAAACCGCATATCACACATACCTGCTTTTTCAAATCATCCAATTCCTCTTCACGTTTGAGCACCTGGATCAACAAAGTGCTTGTACGTTCGAGAATCCTATACACTCGTGTAAGAAACATTTCACCTTACACATACCATAAATACTTACAGAGACAAGAAAAGAGTAAATCCAGTGAGGTAGAGATTGCGTTGAGCATAGAACTTTTTCGCTTTGTTGTTGGCTTCATAACTGTAGTCATGGTGCATGCTGCGGTCGCTGTCGGCTTCGGATGAATCGATACGTTGAAGGCGGTTGATTGCGTCTAAGAGCGGACATGTCGTGAGTATTGGCACCACCTTGATCCAGCCACTGTAAGCTTACCAATGAAAAGCATAAAGATGAATCTAGTTAAAAGACATGAGGATCAGTATATGCTCTTTATCATGCATGTCAATTCACCACACCCTGTCCTATGATACTCACGCAAAAATGATCTTCAGACCATGGATAGCCTTGGCAACCTAATAAAGCGAGCCATATTTAAGTACGCGTCGAGTGACGAGGATGTGTTATCTTACAGCAGGAGAAGTGGATGCAAACTTGAGCATAGCTCGACGCCAGTGGGAAGGAAGTGGGAGCTACATGGTACAGTTAGCGATGCGGCAGGAATGACATACAACCAGTTGGGCAAGAGTTACCACAAGGATGCAGAATATGACCATCTAAAGCCGAGAACTGTGTCAGCGAGGACAATGGCAACCATTGTTCACTTTACCTCGAGCACCAGGATGCCGAAGGTGAGCGTGTAGTAAATCGTCATGTTGTTGCGTGGAAAAACGAGGAAGACAAGATAAGCTTGGCAAGCACAAACCACCAGAAAATTCGACCCGCTTTAAAATAGCGTGATCACATGCTTACCATCATCTCGTTTGCATTGAACCACGTAGCCTTCTATCATGCTGGTACCACCATGGATTGGACCAAATAGTGTATAGTAGATGTGACCACATACAACACTTGAAATAAAGATGGCCCCTCCATCAAGCCAAAACCAACAAAAGTAGTGATAGCATCACCGCACTTTGCTGCAAGGATATACCTCGCATGAATCATACTATTATACGTGTCATGATGCGAATGAAAATTCATCCATATGCAATACCTATTATGACAATGACATATTTGCGTGGGGACTATGTTCGTTTATGTGCATGCACACGCACAAATGTAAAGAAAGTGAAAATGTTGTATGGCTTGGTCTCCTGTACGGGTGACTGGAAAACCTTGACATCTCTTACCCATACACCGCTTTATCCACACCATCCGTTACGGCATAGGAGAAGCTTGGTTTTACAATCAATTTCATAAGGAATAATGAACCAGTGCGCCATTGTCGCTGAATACCAAAATAAGCGAACAATGGTATGATTTTCTTTCATAGATGATAAATGAAGTATAAATGATGCACGATCTTCACGACACCCTATTTATGCTTTATCCTGGAAAACGCATTCATCCTCTTGCATGCAAAATAATAGCCAAGCAAGCATAAGAAAACTCAAGACAAATGAAGAAAACGTGATCTACGTCACGTGACCCACATCAAAATGTCGTCTTTCTTTTTGGATCCACACAGGATAATAGACGACTTCCACGAAGGAGGTAATGACCACGAAGGATAGATAGACCACACAGGAATAGGACCACGAAGGAATAAGACCACACAGGAATAGAACCACGAAGGAGAATAGTGCCACACAGGCAAATAGACAATAAAGTAAAGAGAACGTAAGATAATGTTTTATTCTATGAGATCGTCCACTATTTATAATTGTTGGATGGGGCTAAGTATATCAAGATGGCTAAGTAATATGGATGTGGCGAAGTAATGATGGAGGGCGCAGCATAAAGAAGATAAGATGATAAAGATGTATAAAAAGATAATACCGATCAAGAAGATCCGGTATGTTGCTGCGACAAAAACGAAACCAAAAAGTAAACATTGAAGGTAAATCGTATCAAGATCAATTGCTTCGAACAATGCCGTGACCTGGAATCGAACCAGGGTCAGTGCGGCCACAACGCAATGTACTGCCACTATACTATCACGGCTTCTTTTGCCTTCCTTACTTGTAGGTTTCACGCGCCATAATAAACTTGTCACCTTCCTAATATGGCAATCCATTAAAAATGGCACCATTGTGTAGAGAAAAATGAATAGAATTCATAGACGTATAGATGATGACAATATGGGAGTTCAACGTCGAGCAATTTCGCTTCAAAATGGTGATTATCGATCATTGGGCTGAATAATGCGAGCAATTCAAGGTCCTCAGTGGCGGTGATCCAATTATGGTCAGCCATATTCATTGTCACATTGGTTTGAGGCAAGCTTGTAGAGACATAGATACTTTTGAGTCGGGTCGTTACAGCATCATAAAGGTAGAATGCTGTTTTTTTGTTCATGTTTTATATGTTTATTAAGATTCAATTCTATCCTAATATTGTATCATGCATGTGGTATGTGATTATTCAAAGCATAAGGAAGGTCAGGATATTTTATGTCAACCAGCAGGATGAGCATTCATGCACATGATAGCAACCGCAATGGCTTGGTAATAATCGATTTTTGGATATCAGTGATACTCCTGCATTGGCATCCTGTATCATACCAGTGATAGCTACGCGTGAAGCAATGCTAACGACGTGGCATGTTATAGAAGGTCATGGGCTGAGTCAAATTGCAAGTCGCCTACCTTGAACGCGCTTTGTTCCTTGCTCTTCCATATTCTCCCAATGGCGCCATTCCTCCAAGCACTGCCTTGCATCCTAGCAGCAATAGCCGTCGTGCAGGCATCTTCACTTCGTGGCATCAACCCTGAACGTGTGTGCAGCAATTACAGTACTTGGGCGGCCAATGACTCATCTCGCTTCATCCTTCTTTAGGTCAACACTTGTACCAGCCAAAGAATGGACAATGGGAATGCCTTGACAACTCAAAGGCTATACCAGCAACTGCTATCAACGACGATTACTGTGATTGCCCGGATGGATCGGATGAGCCTGGTGAGTTACCCTATTCCCTTATGTGAGGAGCGAATGGATAAAGGTAGCAGCCAAACTTACGTTCTTTGTTACAGGCACATCGGCTTGTCCCAACAGCATGTTTTACTGTGAAAACAAAGGGCACATTCCTGCGTATATCAAATCATGGGCAGTAGACGATGGTGTATGTGGTAAGTAGGAGAGTCATCCATATTCATGCATAAGCTAACTCCTCCTATGAATAGATGAAGCCTGTTGTGACGGATCCGATGAAATCAGTGGCCTTGTTCAATGTCCCAATGTATGCGACAAGGTGGCAGCCGAGCATGCTCAAATACAGGCGGCCCTGAGGAAAATCCAGACTGAAGGTGCAACAGCCAAGAGCAAACTGATCCAGGAAGCTGAAGCGACTGTGCGTGGATGGGAGGATGAGAAATCGAAATTGGAGGATAACCTAGCGATCCAAAGGGCCGAGCTTTTGAGGCGACAACGTAGGTATATTTGTTTGATAAAAAAGGAATCGATATTTATTGGATGCATTCATAGAGGAAATTGACGCCATCGAGAAATCAGCCAAGTCATCGTCCTCCAAATCGAAAGGAAGCAAAAAGGCGTGCCCACCTTGCAACGCAGCTTTACTCAGTGAACACATCCGCACCTTGGAAGATGAGATTGAATCATTGACTACCATCCTGAAGACTATGAAACGGGACCACAACCACAATTTCCATGATTTGGCTGTCAAAGCTGCTATCGGTGGCTATGATGAATTTATTGAAGGATACGATGAATTGAAAGCTGAAATCGACAAGGATCTGATAAGCGAAGAGGATTACACGTTCGAGAACGCTGATGAAGAGGTTGAGGAGGAGGAAGTTGAAATCGATGATCCGGTAGAAAAGGCTGGTATGTTTGATTGTTTACATCAATGGATCATTGTATACGAGAGCTGATTTACTCTTATATTCACGTACAATCCTATTCAATTATCCGCTAAAAAGGTAAAGTAGCTGGCATGCATCCGTGGTTGGAGAAGATCGTGGCAGTGATCCCGCCCAAATGGAGACATTTTGTCACCCAGGAGGAAACAAAGGATCCTGTAGATCATAAAACCAATCCAGGTGCGCTACCAAATGGGGGGAAGGCATTCGGGACGAAGTTCAAAAGGAATATCACTAATATACATATGGTGCATATAGCTCTGGAAGCCGCTCGCAAAGCATACAACGATGTCAACAACGAGATCCAATCGCTGGAGCGTAATTTGCAAACCATCAATGATGACCTTGGCAAGGATTATGGTGAAAAGCATGAATGGCTCAAGCTCAAGGATACATGCGTAGAGAAGAATGAAGGAGAGTAAGTGTGTTATGATGTTATGTACACTGAAGCAATGGGCTTACATCCTGTCCGATAGATACACATACTCGGTCTGCTTATTCGGCAATGCATATCAGAAATCCAACAAGGATGGTGCGAGGGTCAACTTGGGGTAAGACTAAGATAGGCAGATGTGGTTCAAATGATATTCAATCAACTTTTTTTAGCCGTTTTGATCAATTCTTGGGCGATGAACACAAGGAACAGATTTACAATCGTGGTACCAAATGCTGGAATGGACCAGAACGAAGCGTGCATGCTAAATTTGAGTGTGGTGGAGAAACCGAAATCATTGAAGTGACCGAACCTGAAAAATGTGAATACCGATACCGGCTCAAAACACCCGCTGTATGTCCATTGACCGATGAATTGAAGCAAGAAGGCAAAGGTCGACCTGTGCATGAGGAGCTATAAACCTTATCACTTAGATGACTACAACCATATAGTTTCCCTATCTCCTACAATATAACAATATAAAGCATCCATGCAAAAACGTCCATTACTTGTCATTTCTTTTTCGAATGGGGGTTAAGCCATTAGGTCATCGTCTCTTCCTTACATCGTTCTGAAAAAAAAGAAACGGATGAGATCAATAACTGCTCATAATGGTAAAGCAAACAGGGAAACATCCACAAGCAATCTTCACTCTTAGAATCGGCTATCAGACGGAAGCTGTATCTAGTGATAAAACGTAGGCTAGTCATGTCCTCTATACAGATCCTGTAGATTACTACGTTCCTAAGGAAACAAACGAGTATCCAAGTTGGCAGTCTTTATGATAACTTGGAATCCTCTCACTCTTACAAATACCAAGTTTACACTCTGCGAAGAGCGCTGATCTATGCACTTTACTTTGGGCGCGGAAGCATGAGGTTGAGTCGTATGATAAGGTGATTGAACACTCATTTTCTTCGACCAACAAGGCAATGGATGTGTTCGTTTTAACAAGGACTTCTTTTCTTGGGTGCTTGATCTTCGTACTTGTATGGGATATAGGGCGCTGTTGAGCATCGAAAATCCGACATATCATGTCCTGAAAATAATCAACAGACCACTGAGGCGACTAAGCAAATTCAAAGGTAGATTTTTCATTTGGGAATACCTAAGGATGAAAACTCGGTAGATGTACACATCTCGTCGGATCCCCACAACACGCAATAAAGAATGTAATGGTGTTGACTAAGGAAGGTCATGCATCTCAAGTAAATGCACTTTTAACAACAGTCCATAAACTGCCAGCTAACAGCCCATTCCTCCCATTCGCCATTGTTACCCAAACCAATGCATGTGAACGATTGCCCTGCTCCAGCCCAGCATGCCCATCATTCAACTTCATGATTCGAGCTAACCTGGTAGTAAGGCAAAGGCTGTTGTTGGATCATCATTATCATGTAAAGTGTAAAATAGCACACACCCTTTTGCTATACGTCAGGATCATTTCTTTTATTTACGTGTACCTATTGTCTATCATGAGGGTGATGATCATGATGGGTGGATGGTGTGTATAGGGTAATTGAGTGGCCTCAGTGTAATAGCAGTAGGGGATTTAAACTTGGGGGACTGTAGCTCCACGACTTGAGACAACGCTTTCTCTTCTCTTTCTCCCTCCTCTACTTTTACCCCAATCACGACATCTCGATCAAGGTAATGTATTATAAAAAAGTGCTCTTGTTGGCTGTGAGGCACTAACATATTTCTGAACAGGCATTGTCAGGGAATGAGCGTGTCCAAGTGCTGAGGAATGAGCGTGGTTGGTGGTTGGTGGTTGCCATGGCGATATCGTTGCTTCCTCTTGTTCGTTGCTATTCCCGCTCTACGCTTGGTGTCAACAGGTACATTCAGAGTCCAATGTTGCAGCCGAACTTGTTCCATTGACGTGTTAGCTTGTATAGAGAGCAAGTTTGGTCTCAAGACGTTGGCTCGTTTGGCATTTTGTTTCGGCTCAACAACACTATTACACCATGGTTTTCGGTTTCCAGTAACCACCAACTACGCGTCTTTATGTATATGGAAAAGGCAAGTACAATGAAACAAATAATGAAAGGGTGTTTATTGTGTGTGTGTGTGTGTGTGCTAATAATAAATTGAATAGGTTTCTTTGGCAATGCAACTTGGGGGGGGCATCATCATCTCTCTGGGTCCAGTTCCCAGCCTGTATCAAGTGGCCGCTGCGTTGCTCTGCACTAGCCAAGTATGCTGGAAAAGCTTCTTGGAACGCGTCCAGGGCTCTATAGGCCTGCGTTGAGTTGAATGTGGGTCGATGACGATGGATTTTTGGAAGAGCATGGTCACCGTGTTGAGGTAAAAGGGCATTTGCAACAGCTTGTGAATGTGTTGAACCAACATGCTTTTCTCGTGATAGGCTCGTTCTTTCCCTTGAGGATTTCTTTTCATGAGGTGGGAAATGATTGGAAGGATTGGATTGGGGAGCATTGTTTCTTTGGAGAGGATCAATGAGGCCTTGCCATGGATCGAACCGGCCTTGCGTGATTCGTGCAGTGCCTTCTCAAGAACAAGGGATCACCCGACGTTGCTCGTATGGCGGTGATTTAGTTTGTGAATCCCTTCTGATTTGCTTCCTTCCTTTGAGAGGATCGCCTAACGGTACATCAAATCGTCATCATTCCGATACCGGATGATCTAACTTGCCTGCCTGCTTTCTTATTTGTAGAGACGATGATTACGATGATTACCACATTCACAACAATGACGATTACGATGATCACCCCATCCACAACAATGACAATGATGACGACAACGAGATTCAAAAGGAAGCCTGCAAGATCCCATTCTTTTCAACTTGTGTGCTTTTGGATATTGGTGTGACGGATGAGATTGACGACTGGTGACGAGTACGAGTAGGAGTACGTGTACGGATGATGACGGAAGACGACTACGACGATGGTGGTGGCAATGTACAGTAGCAAGGTAGCTAGATGAAATAAAGCATTGTTTATTTATTACATACTTGTTGGAGTTTTCTAGCTTGTGGATTACATACTATTGCTTCGAAGATGGAATAATAAAGGTGGTCGGGTTATCGGTCATGCAAGAAGTACATGGCTTTTGTGATACAATAAGGAGGAGTGGGAAGTGGGATGAGCTTGAGAAGAGAAAAAGTAAAGAGATCCCTCCATTGAGTTTCAGGATGAGCGACCCATTCAATATGTATATGTATCTTTTTACATATACAAATTGGTTTATGCAGCTCGACCTTCTCCTACATGCAAATGTGATACATACCTTGACACACCTTCATTATTGGATGCTGTTTACTTACGTACCTTCACAAAAGGCAATCATCATCATCATCCATTTGTGTAGCAACCTGTCAAGGACATGTCTGTGTAACCACCCGTGCGGTTTCACTCAGCTCTTCATCTTTCCATTAATGCAGCCGACACCATCCACTAGGAAAAAGCAACTCCATCACGCTTACAGCATAGGTAAAACATAAAGACGCCTGTATCTCCAAACTTTACAATGAAACGTGGGGTTTTTATTAGAGCAATGTGCTCGGCTTGGCCAACAGCACCTTGTGTGAAAGTTTCGCGTTCAATGTCGCAAACAGCCCAAAAAATATTTTTTGGTCGTCGAAAAAAGTTTCAAGAGGTCGACCCCTGGATCCAGTTTGGCTGGTGGCGACATTGCGAAATCTGGGATTGGCAAGCTTGATCATGAAACTTGCACACAAGGTGCAGTTGGCCAAGCCGAGCACATTGTTCTATCAAAGACCCCACGTTTCATTGTAAAGTTCGGGGATACAGGTACCTTTATCTTTGTAAGCGTGATGCTATACGAGAAGTGGTCTTTGTTTAATGTAAAGTAGTATGACTATAATAGAGCAAAAGATGCAGAAGGACCTCTTTGGCTAACTCAGCTAAAAAGTCAGGACTTCAGGGACAATGCATGACAGGTACGCAACCCTCACTTTTATGTCATACATTGGCAGCTAATAGCCACTTTTGTGCATTCCCAACTTTTGTGCATTCTATTGTAGGTGGACGATGCTCCTGCTCTAGACATTCATTCCCATGATTAAGGTAGGTTGATCCGAGCTGATTTGGTTGAGTTACGCTCACACAAGATTACATCGGTTGAGCTACATCGAGCGTGCTCTATGTCCAGAGTGATGTAATCTCTCTTTGACCGCAGCTCAGTCAAATCAGCTCGGATCAACCTACTTTAATCATGGAAATGAATGTCTAGAGCAGGAGCATCGTTCCCATGCAGTGGATCTCGCAACAATGATGATTGGATAAAAGTGGCCGTTAGCTAGCAATACATGCCTGTTCCTAGATGATCCATAAAGTAATTATACATTGACCCTTCCATTCATGCAAACGTAGCTGTGTTACACAACATGACCCTCTGCATCTTTTGCTCTGCCAGGGTCCACCTACTTGGCAATGAACAAAGACCACTCTTCTTATAGCATCACACTTACAAACATAAAGGTGCCTGTATCTCCAAACTTTACAATGAAACGTGGGCTTTTTATTACAGCAATGGGCTCGGCTTGGCCAACAGCACCTTATGTGAAAGTTTCGCGTTCAATGTCGCAAACAGCCCAAAAAATATTTTTTTGGTCGTCGTCGAAAGAGGTTGAGCCCCGGATCCAGTTTGGCTGGTGGCGACATTGCGAAATCTGGGATCGCCCACGATGAACTTCATACTTTGACACAAGATTCCTTTGGCCCCGACAAGCACGTTGATCTATTAAAGAGCCCACGTTTGATTGTAAAGTTTGGAGATACAGGCACCTTTATGTTTGTAAGCGTGATGCTATATGACAAGTGGTCTTTGTTTAATGCAAAGTAGTATGACTATAATAGAGCAAAAGATGCAGCAGACGTGTTTGTGTAACTTGAGTCATTCAGCACAGGCGATGCATGATTCTTGTACACTATTTAGGAATAGTTCAAAATGCCAGCTAATATACGTAGTCCTCCCATTCTCCATTATTGCCCAATCCAATGCATACGAATGATTGTCCTGCTCCAGCCCAGCATGCCCATCATTCAACTTTGTTGTTCCGTTGAGATTTGACTGAAAAATGCTCAAACACAGAAACATCATCCAATATCAGAAGAATCAAAGTGGTAAGTTATTTGTAAACTGCCGGCTAATAGCCCATTCCTTCCATTCACCTTTGTTGTCCAATCCAATGCACACGAACGATTGCCCTGCCCCAGCCCATCATTTCCATCATTAAACTTTCTTGATCCGAGAGGATTTGGTTGAGTTACGCTCAAACACAAAACATCATCCAATTTCACAAAAATCATTTTGCAAAGTTATTTGTAAACTGCCAGCTAATAGCCCATTCCTCCCATTCACCTTTGTTGTCCAATCCAATGCGTACGAACGATTGTCTTGCTCCAGCCCAGCATGCCCATCATTTAACTTTCATGATTCGAGCTAACCTTGGTAGTAAGGTAATGGCTGTTGTTGGATCATCATTATCATGTAAAGTATAAATGGCACACACCCTTTTGCTATACGTCAGGATCATTTCTTTTATTTACGTGTACCTGTTGTCTATCGTGAGGGTGATGATCATGATGGGTGGATGGTGTGTGTGGGGGGTCATTGAGTGGCCTCAGTGTAATAGCGGTAGGGGGATTTAAACTTGGGGAACTGTAGCTCCACGACTTGAGACAACGCTTCTCTTCTCTTTCTCCCTCCTCTACTTTTACCCCATTCACGACATCCCAATCGAGGTAATGTGTTATCAAAGAGTGCTCTTGTTGGTTGTGAGGTATCAGTACAGTTCTGAACAAGCATTGTCAGGGAATGAGCGTGTCCAGGTGCTGAGGAATGAGCGTGGTTGGTGGTTGGTGGTTGCCATGGCGATATCGTTGCTTCCTCTTGTTCGTTGCTATTCCCGCTCTACGCTTGGTGTCAACAGGTACATTCAGAGTCCAATGTTGCAGCCGAACTGGTTCCATTGACGTGTTAGCTTGTATAGGTGACAAGTTTGGTTTCAAGGCGTTGGCTGGTTTGGCGTTTTGTTTCGGCTCAACTGCACTACTACACCATGGTTTTCGGTTTCCAGTCACCAACAACAAAGGGGTTCTTGTGTATATGGAAAAGGCAAGTGCAATGAAACAAACAATGGAAAGAGGTGTTTTATTGTATGTGTGTGCTAATAATGAATTGAATAGATTTCTTTGGTCAGGCAATGCAACTTGGGGGCAGCATCATCATCTCTTTGGGTTCAAGTTCCAGCCTGTATCAAGTGGCCGCTGCGTCGCTCTGCACTAGCCAAGTGTGCTGGAAAAGCTTCTTGGAACGCGTCCAATGCTCTATAGGCCTGCGTTGAGTTGATGGGTCGATGACTATGGGGTTTTGGAAGAGCATGGCTACCGTGTTGAGGTAAAAGGGCATTTGCAACAGCTTGTGAATGTGTTTAACCAACACGCTCTTCTCGTGATAGGCTCGTTCTTTCCCTTGAGGATTTCTTTTCATGAGGTGGGAAATGATTGGAAGGATTGGATTGGGGATCATTCTTTCTTTGGGGAGGATGAATGAGGACAACTGTGAGCCTGGACTCTACGTGAGTGATGTCCTTCCTTGCCATGGATCGAACTGGCCTTGCGTGATTCGTGCAGTGCTTTCTTAAAGACAAGGGATCGCCCGACGTTGCTCGTATGGTAGTGATTTGGTTTGTGAATTCCTTCTGATTTGCTTTCTTCCTTTGAGAGGATCGCCTAAGGTATACGAAATCGTCATCATTCTAATATCAGATGGTCTAACTTGCTTTCTTTTTTATTTATAGAGACAACGATTACGACGATTACGACAATGACATCTATAACGAAGCCTGCAAGGTCCCATTCTTTTCCACTGTGCCTTTTTGGATGATTGGTGAGGACGACTTTAAGGACGGTGATGGCGAGTAGGAGCACGACTACGAATGATGACGGAGGACGAAGATGGCGATGGTGATGACAAAATAGATACATAGCAAGAGGAAGTAATAAAGGATTGGTTATTACCGTACTTGAACTTTGTATGCTAGGTTACATATCGCCTTCTTGCTTGCTTGTAAATCAACATAGCTTAGATGGAAATAAAGGTATGATAAAGATAGCATAACATCATGCACTATTTTTGATCCATGTGGCTGTCAACAAACTGTAATTACAACAATCACAAACTACGCATTGATCCCCAATACCTGAGGGGCGTTCATTGGCCACCTATATGCTTGAATTTCATCAGCGAATAGATGTCGAGCACAGCGCGTAATATATTCGCTCTCTCTTTCTCGATCAAGTATGCATCAGCAGCAGCCACATCCACCTCGACCTTCCGATCCGGCAGTAATGGGGCGTAATGCAGCTATTCAAGGGTATTATCCGGGGGTTCAATCTCATGCTGGTGGTGCAGGTACACCATCCATGAACCAACCACCTCTTCCACGACAAAGTGGTGCAATCCCGCTTCAGCATCCTCCTGTTGTTGGCAATGTTCAATCAGCTTCCCCTACTCCACAACAGCCTGCTCTCCAAGCACAAAACAACCTGCCTCTTCAACCACAGGCAATACCATCAGGTACAAACTTAAAGTAGTGTGTGTTATATACATGTATTCCTAATACTACTCTATTTCAGCTTCAATGGATACGCTATCTTCATCGATGGGCGGCATGAGTTTAAGAGAACAGCCTAACGCCATTAGACCCGGTCGCTCCAAACGTGTATATGCACCAATGGCAGGAGTCTCTGGATATCCAACACCACCTAGTAGCAATTATCAACAACCACCACCTAATCCAGGCACATCAGCACCAACATCTAGTTACCAACAACAACAACAACAACAACAACAACCATCCACACCTCCAAAGCCTAAACCCAAGATTGATCCGAATCAAATCCCATCACCTGTCGAGATTCAATTACAAGATGAGCAGATGTATCAGCATGAGCCTTATGGCACTTGTTCTCAATCTCCACTTCCTCTATCAACAACTCCTTTCCATACCATCGATCAAGGCAATTGTAATCCAAGGTTCTTACGTACTACTCTCAGGGAGTTTCCATATACACCAGAATTGGATCGTGATACCCATTTGCCATTTGGTCTTGTTGTCCAGCCACTGGCACCATTGCATCCAAATGATCAACCTATTCCATTGGCAGGCGTCACTAATGAGGATGGCCCTATACGTTGTAATCGTTGCAAGGCTTATATCAATCCGGGATGTCAATTCATTGATGGTGGCCGCAAATTTGTATGCAACTTGTGTGGTTTCACTAATGGAGGTACGATTGAATGGAATCGTTGACGCTTTTGCATGGGAATCTAATGATGGGAACAAATGGATAGTGCCTGAGGATTACTTTTGTCATCTTGACATGTCCGGCCAACGTATGGATCTTGATCAACGACCCGAATTACGACTTGGAAGCGTTGAATTTGAAGTACCAAAGATTTATTGGAATCGGGAACCGGTGCCTTTGCGGATTCTTTTTGCAGCCGATGTTTCTTACAGTGCAGCACGTAGTGGGATGCTTGAAACATTTTGCACCACCTTGCAGCAAATCCTGTACTCGAAAAAGGCTTCTCTCCCAGCTGGTGCACGTGTGGGGATTATGACGTTTGACACAGCGGTCCATTTCTTCAATCTATCGGTAATGATAATTGGTGATAAGGTGACAAGAATACAACGCTTATTCTCGCACTTATTCTAGTCAACGTTGGATCAAGCCCAAATGCTCGTTGTGCCCGATGTGAATGACATGTTCCTACCGCTTTCACAAGATGCCATTTTCGTTGACCCACACGAATCAAGGTAATGATGCCGAGGAAGTTACACCATAAATCAAAGCACTCACACGTCAATTTCTTCACTATAGACAAGTGATTGAAAGTTTGCTTTCCAATCTACCAACGTTGTTTGCTGAGAATCGCGCACAGACCGCTGCATTTGGATCTGCGATCAAAGGCGGAATGTTGTCAATGGTAACAAGACCAAATCGAATTTGATTTGACGATCACTCAGCTAAAAATGATTGCTTTGTTTATAATGATAGCAATCCACGGGCGGCAAATTGCACGTGTTCCAAACAATACTACCAACTACAGGCGTAGGAGCATTGAAGAATCGAGACAATCCAGCATTGTATGGGACTGATAAGGAAAAGCAACTTCTCGTTCCACAAGATACACTCTACAGCACGATAGGCAAAGAATGCGTCGACCTTGGCATATGTGTGGATACTTGGTTTTTCCCAATGAACGCTTACGTGGATGTCAGCACGCTAGGTGAGCATACATGTGTGATGGTTAAATGGGAATAGCGATCTAATATTGATGTTTTTAGGTTCGCTCTCTGCAATGACTGGCGGTGAATCTCATTATTATGCAAACTACAACAAATCAAAGGATGGATTGGCGTTTACAAACATGCTCAATCACAGTCTTACTCGTGAACAAGGATACAACGCTGCATTACGCGTGAGATGTTCAAATGGTAATTCAACAAAAGAGTAATCATGATGAAAAGCATCTCATGCATGTTTCGCTTTATTTTAGGTTTCACAATTGATGAGCAATATGGCAACTTCTTCATGAGGAACAGCACAGATGTGGAGCTTGCCGGTATTGATGCTGACAAAGCTGTTGCTTTCACGCTTCGACATGATGGCAAGGTGGATGAAGGCGAAGCTCACTTGCAATGTGCATTACTTTACACCACAGCGAATGGCCATCGTCGAGTACGCATCCACAATATTCGGGTACCTGTGACATCCAATATCAGCAACTTATTCAAGCAAGCGGATCTAGATACCAGCATGAATATTCTCGCTAAGCAAAGTAGGTTGGATGGTGAATGATCAAACGACAAAGCATGTATGAACTCACACACATTGCATTATAGTAATTTCACAAGCGGGAAAGAAGTTACCACAAGACATGATGACCCAACTAGATGGCGAATGCGTTAGGATCTTGGCTGCTTATCGAAAGCATTGTGCATCATCAGCGTCACCAGGACAGCTTATTTTACCCGAATCTTTCAAAGTGCTTCCTCTGTATATGCTAGGACTCAAAAAATCGGCAGCTTTGCGAAGAGGTATGGGATGTGCCCAAGTTGGTTTATGTAATTGCTTATATCTCTTTGTAAGATACTACCTTGTCAAGCGATGGTCGTGCGCATAATTTGAGGAGAGCAAAGTGCATGGGCGTAGGCTCAATGGCTCGTTGGCTTTATCCACGGATGGTGCCAGTACACATGTTTCTTCTTGTAAGTGCTAAAATGGCTGCTTAGACAAAGAAGTATCTAATGCAAATATACATGGTAAGAATGACCAAAGTGGGATACCGCTACAACGACTATCGTACGACCGTCTGGAATCCAATGGGGTATATCTCATAGGTAAGGTGGTGGTGCAAGGAACGTATTGCAATGAGAAATTCCTTATGTTTCGATTTTATAGAGGGACCTGATGCCACTTTTGTCTGGATCGGTCGCAGCACCTCTGTAGAACTGCTACAAGGGTTATTTGGAAAGTGTGATTTGAGCGAGGTGGATACCCAGCTGGTGAGTTTTTGTTTTGGTTACATTTCCAGGGATATTTGTTGACAAGTCGCATTCTGAAACATCATCACAGACGCAGGTACCACATCTCGACAATCCATTATCCCAAAAATTTACAGCGTTGATGGAAGAAAAGGCGACAAAGGCATTGCGTATTGTAAGACAAGGATTGGATGATGAACGGGATTGCATGAATGCATTGGTGGAGGACGCAACCTTCAATCAGCTGAGTTACGTGGATTACTTATGCATGGTACACAAGCAAATACAAAACGAGGTAGGTCGTTTGTAAAAATACTTTCGGTCTAGTATTAAGCCAACTACTATAGATTGAACGAGAGAAACATGAAACCTTTGTGACGAATGCATCATATTGGGCCTATCGATATTAGAGTCAAGTGGCGTATATTGAGATCATTTGCGTATCATCCACTTTCCTCTTTTGTACCCTTAACTAATACAAGTTTTCTAATACATTTGTCTGTGACGATGCTGTTGTGAGGGATAAAGAGTGCATGTGCGTGGTGGATGTGTATCGAAACTCAGCATGTGAACAAAGAGATTTTCCATGGAAGAGAAATGACTGCTGCTGTGGCACAAAGCGAGGTGAACCTCGGTTCACAATTAGCGCTCGGTCCATGCGGCACGCAAGGGAAAAGTTGTGCATTAGTGGGTGGGAAGAATAAATTCCGCGGAGGGTGTGCCGCGGCCATCCCCTGAATTTGTGGGGTCGCGTCCCCCTTTTTGCATGATCAAAACTTTCCGCGGATGCACGTATTGCATAAGTTTATCATCTGCTATGTATCCTGATCATAGTGATCATCCATGAAAATTATGAGATGTAGCCTTGTGGTCTTTCTTTCAATCAAGTCTTTTCTCAATACAGAGGCCCCATTCTAGGCGGAGCTGTCAGTGACATAATGGGTGAGTCGAGAAGCTGCCAGAGTGAGCTCCGAGGGCTATAGTGAGTCATCAAGCGCTAAAAAAAGGGTGCACGTTGTGGGGAATAATTTGTCCAGCCAATCATAATTTGGGGGCACCATAAGCGCTTTCATTCCAGACAAAAATTGCATCATAAACAGGCCTTTACCATATATAGAAGCAGGTGTCTCACGCTGCAGAAGAGTATAAAAAGATTGGCAGCTGTTTCAATTTTGATAACAATCATCAAAGTTCTCTTATCATCAACACACTTTATACACATACACAAAATGGATCCTGGATACAAGCTTCTCCAACACATCAAGACTGTTCCCAACCTCATCAATGAGGACCCAAGCATTGTCACTCCCAAGAACTCTAGTTTCCTCGATTTGCCTTGGGATGATCTTTCTAAACTCCTTGCATCAAGACAACAAGAAACCAATACACACAAGCGTAGAGCATCTAATGCAAGCGTTGATACTGCCTCCACCTCCTCAGAAGCCGAACTTGGTAACTGGGACTCGATGACGGGTTATCAAGATGCTCTCCACCCGCGTCAACAGTAATACTATCATCTTGGCTTATGATATGCCTTTTCATTCTCCTCCCTATCGCATTTTTTCTACCGTCCCATCATTGCATATTACATTATCAACTTTCATGATTCATCAAACAGCGCATTTGGAAAATAAATTCCACCCCATTTCTTTCACATACATATCACACGATGTTAGTTGCACTAAAGGATCCGTTGGGGGAAAGCATAGCGAGGTTGGCGACTTGCCACAATCCACAAGAAACATTTACATTGTTGCACGATACGGTGACACAGTTTGAGAATGATCGACGTTACAAGAATGATGTGCGATACACACAGCTTTGGTTGCAGTATGCAAATCAGCTTGCTGATCCAGGATGGGTGTACGATCATATGTTGAGCAAGGGAATCGGCAAGTATGTTGCTCTGCTTTATGAAGAAGCTGCAAAGTATTATACAAATCATCAAAGGTATGATGGGGTAGTTGTGTGTGGGAAGCAAAAAGGGGCGTTTGATAAACACAAAGAGATCTGATCATTGTTCACAAACAGCCTCGAAAAGGCAATCTCCACCTTGAACCATGGCATCCAAAACAACGCCGAACCAGTGGAAAGTCTACAGCACCTATTGCAGGCTACATGTACAACACGAGAACCCATCATCATCGAAGAAGAAAAGCACAGCGCAAAAGTACGACAACAGGGGGATGATGCTACGCCACGAGCTGTTGTAGCTCTCTTGGATATGATTGATTTTCAGCTTGCAATCAACGCACGTCGAGCAATGTTGCAGCAATGTTATCGATATGGCGTGGAGACATCATTTGAAGAAATACGAGCACGATGGCCAAAGCGCAACATGACTCGTCAATCAACATCAGCTGCAAGTGCTGTCACAGGTGGTGCCTTACGCACGGGCCATCCAAATAGGGCACGACGTTCTATGATCACCAAGCCATCATCACCATACAACATACAATCAGCATCACATGATAGTAGCAACAACAAATCCTACACCCATACCGCTGCTCAACATAATAAGCGGTCCAAGCTGGTGCCACAATTATCTTCTACGACCACAGCATCACTGTTGGCAAAGCGACCAATCATCCTCAGCAAAAAGGTTTCTGTCATACGCTCTCCTCAAGTGCAATTACCGCAGCAGCCAGCAATTAAAGAGCCATATTCATCCAATGACATGAAGCATCACCAGCCAGTGCCTATTACCAAAGAACCTTCATCACCATCTACAACATCGCGTGAGGAATCATCGATTACAACAGATGTACTATCAAAGCCAATTGAGATTGAGCTACCAGAAATACCTGCTGTGGATGAGATCTTTCCTGATGGTCATATTCAAAAAGAGGTGGAAGGTGCTATCATTGAGAAGCAGCAGCATCAAGTATCCGCAAAGGTTGAACCGGCATCATCACCACAGCATCAACAAATCATTGCAATCCCATATGAAGCTCATGTGGTGAAACGTTTTTTGGAGCAAGTGAATGATCCACCAGTGACAGAATACAAAGGATACCATGATATGCTCAAGTTGAAGCGAAAGCCACAGCTGGAGGGAGAGTTTAATCTTGGCACAATACGATACACAATGAAGAGGAAGCTTGGTGAAGGTGGCACTTCATCTGTATACGAACTTCAAGGATCATTGGCACTCAAGGTGGAATCGGTTATGTGCAACGCTTGGGAGTTTTACATTATGAGACAAGCTGCGCAACGTTGCAAGCAACCATCGCATGTTGTAGCCGTTCACGAATACTATGCCTATCGAACGACAACTTTTATGGTGATGGATTTAGCCAAGCATGGGACTTTATTGGACGCTCTCAATGAACATCGCTTGAAGTATTTGACATCAGCCATGTCAGAAGCACGTGCTTTGTGTATCATTATTGAGCTTCTTGATGCACTTTGTGATCTTCATGGAGCGGGTATCATTCATGGTGATGTGAAGATGGAAAATGTGGTTGTAATCGAATCCTCCCCTTCCAAAGGTGATCGAGTCGCTTTTATTGACTTTGGGCGTGCCATGGATTTGACACTTGTTTCATCACCCAACATACGAATCTATCCAAGATGGCGACCAGTGAAACCAGGCACTATTGATCCACCCATTTCATCGCCATGGTTACCGTGGGCTCTTGATTACTGGGGTCTTGCAGGGATTGCTCACTGGTTGCTTTTTGGTAACCAAATCCGTGTACGCAAAGTGGCGCAGCAACAAGGATCTTCACGATGGGTGCTTAGAGAGCACATTAAACGATACTGGCACAAGACATTTTGGGATGACTTTTTCGATCAGTTAATGAATCCATCCACCGCAGCAACAACATCCACAGCCCCAGCCCAATTACTTGCCGCAGCCAAAAGATTAGTAACGTAGTATTGGCAGCGACAGCATTGAATAATTCATCCACACGTGCGGAAATAAAGCTTATATTGATAGTCAAGTTTTCTTTGTTCCTTTCCTATATTTACAACCCCTCCTCTCTCTCCCCACCTTCCTCCATTCCACATTGCTCATGGCTCAAGATACCGCTCCCACCGAAAAGCCTGCTCAAAAGAAGCAACACCACCATCGTCGCAACAAGAAACCACAGCAACAGCATCAGGATTCCAAGGACAACAAAAATGACACGGCTACTGCTGCACCTCGTCAACGTCGCCACCACCACCACCATGCTAAGAAGAAGGATCCCAAACCACCCGCCACACCCAATGCATCAGCACCTGAATCCAATGACAATGACAAGGATAAGGACAGCGATGCTTCCTCTGAAGCTAGTGGAGAGCTCTGCTTTATTTGTACCGAACCCATTGTGACCTATGCTGTTGGTGCCTGCGATCACAGAACTTGTCACTTGTGTGCGCTACGTTTAAGAGCGTTATATGAAACACGAAACTGTGCTTATTGTAAGGTATGTGATGTCATGCGTGTGTGGTGTTGTATATCTATCCATTGGAGGGGTGACTAATATGAATGATAATAGACTGAGCAACCAACAGTGATCTTCACCAAGGATGAGGAGAAGCCATTTGACAGCTATTCATTGAACGATACTCCGTTTGTGGACAAGAAGCTTGGGTTGCGGTTTGAGGAGAAGCAGGTGTACCAGGACACGATGCTTTTGTTGCAATACAATTGCCCTGATCCAGAATGCGACATTGCATGTGATGGTGGGTGGCCAGAATTGAGGAAGCACGTCAAAAAGACGCATGATCGATTCTTGTGGTATGTACTACTATGGATGGGATAGGATGATGTATTGATGGACTCCATTAGTGAATTGTGTACCAAGAACAAAAAGATCTTTGCTCACGAGCATACGTTGTATTCATGGCATCAGCTTCAGAAGCATATTCGTGTGGGTGATAAGGCGCTCAACAAGGATGATGATACTGGTTTCAAGGGCCATCCAGAATGTCATTTCTGCAAGATCAACTTTTACGGCAACGACGAATTGTTTGAACATTGCCGAGACAAGCACGAGCAATGCCATATTTGTGTTCGTGAAGGCGTTCGTCATCAGTACTATGTCAACTATGACAGCTTGGTACGTAGGAGGTTGTGGTAAAGGGATATGCATATATGAGAGATTAATTAGAGATTATAGGAAGAGCACTTTAAGAAGGATCATTATTTGTGTCTTTATCGAGAATGCTTGGATAAAAAATTTGTCGTCTTTGAAACGGATATCGATTTGAAGGCTCACGAGGTATGTTGAATTACGAGTTCATGTGGATTATGAGTTAATATTGGTGTATGAGAAAAGGTAGAGGAGCATGGTGCATCCATTGCACGACTTTCGCGGGCTCGACAAACCGAAGCACGACGTGTGGATGTCAACTTTGACTATGGCAGCAGTAGCAGTGCAAGTGGATCACGAGGAGGTGGTGATAGAGACCGCAGCCGTAGAAACAAGGCACGCAATAATGAAGAGCAACGGCGCCAACCTGAGCCTGGTAGAGGAGGACCAGCATTATCTGATAGTGATTTCCCCAACATCAATGGAACACCATCTTCTGCACCACGGCAACAAGTTTCAAAAAGCGGTGGAACAAGTTCATCATCAAAGGGAATTAGACGTCCTGCTGGTTTTGGATCGCTATCAGAGAATTGGCCATCTTTGGGAGAAGATCCTCGTACGCAAGCTTCTAGTTCAAGAGCCGAATCTTCATCTTCTTCTCAAGCAGCAGCAGGAGCGTCATCATCATCAGCATCAGCGTCATCATCTGCAGCACCTGAAGTCGTTTCTCGCCATGCTGCATTTTTGGAACGTATCTTTGACATGTTGAAGAGCCATGAAAAGGTCGCACAATTCCGCCACCTTACTACTTCTTATCGCAATTCCGAGACGGATGTGGATACCTACGTGGATAATATTGTGGACCTTTGTGATGCAAATACCGATCATGTTTCCAAGATCATCAAAGGAGTGGAAGATTTAATGGATAATCAGGAAAAGAAATGGGAAATTGTGCGTGCATGGCGTAACAAGCAAACTTCAGTAAGTGATTTTTACCTTGGGCACAAGATGATGGGTTCCTAATCGGCTATTATTATAGATGAACAATTTCCCTGCACTCGATACATCAACCAAGGGTCCTGCTGGTCATGGCACTTCATCTCGGGTATTAGTTATCAAATCTCGCAACACAAAGTCGGGTGGTACTCGTAGTACGGCTAAATCCAAGGCTGGTGTTTGGGATCGAGTTGCCTCTGCAGCTAGTGGTGCTTCATCATCATCTCCAAGATCATCACCTCACACTTCAAGACCCAGTTCTCCTGCACCAGTGACATTTTCATCAGCCTCTGTGGGTGGCTCACGTACTGCATGGGCTGGTGGTAGTGGTGGATCTAGATCGACATCCAAGGAAAACGACTTTCCTACTCTTGGCAGCAGTAATCCTCATTTCCCATCCTTACCTTCCGCACCTAAACAGCGCCATGCCATCGCTAACCTCCGCAAGAATTCATCCTACACCCAACTCAATGCTTGGGCAGGTGAGAGATCCATCGTCAACAATGAGCCATTAGAGCAAGAAGAATCACAAAAGGGCAAACAACGGAAGGGGAAAAAGAACAAGCAAGTCTTGATGCGTGTTGGATTATAAGTAGAAGACATGTAATATATATACAACCTTATCCATGACATGTATTAATATCACCACGCATCCCTTTACCATCACAACCAAAAATACATTGATTCATCATCCAATACTTTGTGGGTTTGCAGCATCATCGCATTCATGGCAACCGCCCTATCGTTTTCCTTCTCTTCTCGTCAATCACGTATTTCTTTTTCTTCTCTCTTCTTTTGAGAATCAATGATGGATCGACAATGCTTGCTACCCGTGGCTGTGTGGAATGTGATAGAGGTTTTGACACACATTATAGATGTTGTCACTGCACCATAATTAGATTCATACACCAACAACAATCACACGCCACCCTTATCTCGTACTCACCGAACCAATGCAATCAGCATCAACAATGAGAAATGTGCTTATCTCATGCAACAACCCATTTTCTATCATTGTGTTCTCGAGAGGGTTCCTATAGGTGGGATCAAAGTTGGCTCATGCAATAGCAGTATTGTGAAACGATATAAATGTTGAACACCCCCAGTTTGATCCTCTTTGGCTGCTTCTTTCACTTTTCTCACCAAGGGCTCGTATCGCGTATTACAAACATTTTCAATGTATTTGGCTACCTCATTGTCTTTGTTTCTCTCATATGGAAGCTCTCTCGTCTGCATTTGGGCATCCTGCAGAGCTGCCAAAAAGCTGCAGTGTCAAGAAGCTGCACAGCTGTCGAAAAAGATCGAATGTCAAAAACAGTACCAAGCTTGACCGAAGTAACAAGTCGATGATCATGCTCGAGCAAGTCCACCCTAGTGGGTGAGACACCAAGAAGCAATACGCGGTAAGTCGATGATGAAGGATTGGATGTATTATGAATACTAACAACATCACATGACTTTCATCCCCATCCAATCCTCCTGCTAGTGCTTCTTTTATTAGCTTTCTTTACTTGCTATTGGACTTCCCATTATTGTTAATTGTATCCCCCTTTCTTTGTCAACTACGCTTGTACATTGTTGGAATACCGAACATAGATAGATAGACGCGTACAAAATAGTACAAAGCCATTGTATTACCCAATACATAAAACAAGTTTCTATATCAAAGCGATAGTAACATCTCGATATTCCACAGGATCCCATTGTTGTTGTTCACGTGTCTTGTTCCAATTCTCGGTAAACATAGGTTTGAGTAAGGTATTGATGCCACAGCCTGTAATGTCGATCCATTTCAATTTGGCAAGTCGTACAACAAGAGAGCCAACACCTTGTTCATCTGCACGACCAAGATAGGCAACCGATACATATTCAAGCTTTGGACAATGCTCCACCAATGTAAAGAGAGCTGTATTGGAGACTTGCCAGCATCGAACCAAGTGAAGAAGCTCGAGATTAGGGCAATTGTTGGCAAGGGCAATGATGCTGGTATCTGTTAAGCCGTACAGGGAATTGAGACGAACGTGGGTAAGATGTGGCCAGTGGCGAATAGCCTTTGTAAAGGCTTGATCATCAATTTGTAGACAAAATGACAAGTCGAGATGGACAAGGTCTGTAGCGTGTGTGAGAGCAAGCAAGCCATCCGAAGAGAGACCACGCACCAATGATAACCAAGCACCTTGTAAAGTAGAAGGGAATGGCAAGTCTCCAAGTTGTTCACAACCACTGACATCCAAATACTCCAATTGTGGAAATCGTGCCAATACTGCTTGCATTTCACGTTGAGACACCATCTTATTGAGCCATTCTGCTTCCTTGGTAGTTGTATCGATCTCTGGATAATTGCTCGTCATTTCTTCTAGTCCCGTGCGTTCTCGATCAATGCCTTCAGCCAATGTGTATCCCCTTGGTGCTCCTCGATGCTGAAACTGCCTTGACGGAGCCAGTGCTGGTGATGGTTTAAGAACAAGCGATCGTACGCTGGCACCAAATTGAAAATGCTCCCGTTGCAATACTGTACGCACAAAGCAAACCCAGTCAAACCCAGTGCATATACACACATGAGCATACAGCCGTGGCATCACATGTGCATACCATACTTTTGAAACTAATGCAGCTTGATATAGATCGCATCGTGGCATGTAGTTGAGGATGGTGTTGATGAGCTCGGGTGGTAATCTCGTCGATGACTCAGTATTAGAGAGCCAATGCAATTGCATGTCGTCGTATCCTTGCAAGTAATAAAACGTTTCGGTATCAATGTCTTATGAGCAACCGGGGACTTTGCGGAACGGACTGGCAAAATGATTCATGCGCTAGTGGTTTCTTGATGATTCTTGATGATTCGTTAGGGTGCCCAAAAGGGGGGCGGGTAGCCTATAATGTATGTATGATAGTATCTTCATCTCAAATGGTGATATAGGTATTCTCATTCACGCTGTTTATCCATGAACATTTGATAAGGCATGACAACACGTTGTCCATGACGACCGAGTAAACCTGACAACCGACCTACATAGCAACATCATATACAAAGCATAGTGGGGGTACAAGACGTTTATGTATTGTGCACGAGAAAGGGTGTAGCGTATACTTTTTATATAAATGTATCTAGTATCCTTTGCCCTTGTAACCTTCTGAGGAAATACCAGTAATCGGGTTAGAGTTTTGGCTCTTGAGATACTCGGTGGTCTTTTGTCTCCATTCTTCCGACATAGTGTGTGGATGCTCAGCACCTAATAAAAAACAGGTTTCAGTCATGATGTTGTAGAGAAAAAACGAATGATCCTCTCTCTCTTACCTCCAACACGTGTTGCATACATGAGACCCGAGGATACGGCAAGAACAAGACCCACACCTGCAATAACACGTAAGCCATGGCCTTCTTGGGTGACGGGTGTTCGAGCACCATGAGCACCAAATGCAACAAAATCTACATGTATCAAAGGAAAAAAGTCAACATGGTATCATCATGAGAGAGCAAGAGGGTAGATATCCTTACATGTAGCCTTCTTTTGTTCTGCAGAAAGTGCTTTCCAGTCTCCCATTTGGATTTCTTCGAGATGTTTGGTGACGGCCGAGCGTTCAGCAGGTGACATGGTAGTCCATCTTGTCTCAAGGTTGGCTAGTGAAACGGATGATGATGATGATGATGGTGGACGAGTAGTATACAATCGACGACCAGCTGCTCTCATCAAAATATTTGTTCCACGGACCATGATGTATTTATTATATGGGGAAGAGAAGAAGAAGGATATAAGAGTGGATGATGATGGTGGTGCATGGGAATTTGTACCCTGATATAACATGTCGTAGTACGACAATATAAAGTTTAGGTAGAAAGAGTGGTGTGCTTTTTTTCTTTGCAACCCATACCAAGCCGGAGCGTATCGTAAAGAGCTTCTTTTTTTAATTGGCAAATGAGAACAAGTGGTATCCATCCATTAGGTATAAAATCTAATTCTCTTGGTCGCCATGTCGAATAGTGCCATTTTCTAAAAAGGACCAGTCGAGAGTGGGTTGGAGTCGTTGCTTGATACGTTGTCGATAATGGTGGAGAGTGCGGTTGTACAATGCAATCTTATCCAGATACATGCGACGCTCCCAGTCAAGCTCGGCCTTTTTATCCACCTTCCATTTCTCATGCTGAGGACATTTGCCGGTACGCTCACATATCGAATACTCTGGTTCACTCTTCTTCTCATCAAAGTCGAGGATGACATGGTTGCCTTGACGTCGAATACCCTTCACGAGCCTGATCACTTGGTCCTGCCATCCCAGTCTCGAATCGTATCCACACGTTATCACACCCGTCGCCTTCTCTTGTTCTTGTATTGCCACCATCATATGATCAAACAGCTCCAATTTGCGATTAATGGCCTTGGCTTCACCTTTGAGCTTGGCATTGTCGCAGCGTAGTTTCCGAATACGTTCCATATCTTTTTGATTCTGATCCTCATCCAATTCTCGACCCACATAGATGCGTTGTTGTTCAAGGAGTGGTGCCAAGTCAGCATCTTCATTGCCCACATCTTTGAGTAGTGATCGTGATAGCCGTTCTCGTGCCATTTGCATTCCACATTCAAGTGAACAATATTTGGATTGTTGTGTACCCTTGGTCGTGATGTTGGATGGGTTGTTGCATGATGATCGTGCACACACAGGTCGATGCGACGTCTTCTTGCCAGTGTCTAATGATTGCAATGGTAAATAAATAGTACTTGTATGTAGGATAGAATGCAAGGACATACCTTTGGTGCAATTATCACATATATACAAGTCGAGATAGGTTGCCGTTTGAGGAGTGACATTGACACAAGAGCCGTGAAACCATTGATTACAGTGATCGCATGGTAGCATAAATAAGGGACTTTGAAAGGGTGTCTGGCATGTACAATAGAGCTTGATTTGTTGCTTTGCGGCTGCCTGCGCCTTTTTGTTCTTGCCAGTGGTGTTGGTCGACTTTTTTTTCTTTTCAGACTCGGGTTTGGGTGGTCGGCCTCTCTTCTTGGGTACCTTCTTAATCTGTAAAAGGAAATTCAGTATTTCATGCATGAATGTTATGCTCTCTCTCTCTCACTGACCTCAGCCGAAGAAGATACCGATTGGGTTGGTGTAGATGGTTTTGATGGGGTGGATGAACCTGCAGCCTACAATAAATAGAGTAATTGAGTTTATGGATGCGCGTCTATTTCAATAAAAGAATGACTTACCACCATTGAATCATTGTTGATAGCAAATTGGATTTCCAATGGTTGAGATGAGTGAGGCGGTCGTGGTTGTGGAGGAGGAGGATGTTGATGTTGTTGTAATGAATCGTCGTATGATTGAGGTGAAGAATGATGATGCTGATGCTGATCAAGAACAATGATGCCAGTCCCGCCATCCTGGGAAGTTGGTAATTGTCCTTTTTTGGATGCGAGGATCTTATTCTTGTGTCTCTTCTCGTGTGACATTTCATCACGACACCTTTGCTTGAATGCTGGCTCTGTTGTTTTTGCTGTATCATCATGAAAGCTGCGTTTCCTTTCCATTTCATTGTGTTGAAATCCTGGTGATTCGGGTGTTGGATAATGATGATGATGATAATAATAAAAACCACCACTGCTGCCACCTCCTGAAGATGATGATGGCGACGACGTATCGGAAGAACCATTGGTGTAACTGCTGCTGTTATTATTTTGCATCTTGTTGGTGTAAGGTGTTGGTGGTGGTGGTGGCGGTAATGATGATTGTAAAGCATCTTGATATGAAGTACGTTCCACTCCACCATGATCACGAGGCGTTTCCACAGGCTGCCATATCAGAGTAGTCGCTGGGCGGGTATTGGTGATATGCGTGGATGGTGTTGGTTTGGGTGGTGTTCGTAAAGAAGACGAGTGCGTATACAAAGGAAAGTGATCCAATGCCAATGCCTTGTGTTGGGGAGGAGTACGGCGAGCTGAAGGGTCTTCATTTCGAGCGATCGACGTGCTGCTATCGCTCTCACTGTCAAAGGACGGCATTGGATTCAAGATCGAGGCAAGATTGAGTACGCTGGAGCCACATGCGGTGGTTGGTGAGGAAGAGACCATACGAAAGTTGGACTGAGTAGACGCTGTAGGAGGGTGGCATTCCGAATGAACATTTTGAGACATTGCAGATATGGAAGATAAAGTATTCTTTGTGCTGTTTTCGGCTATGAGCGGGTGTGTGGGTGTGTCGTTTAAAGCAAAGTGTGGTATGCCTGAAAGAAGTAGCCTTGTTTCACCGCCGTGACCGCGCCCAATTCAATCACTCATTTTCATCATCTCTTTGTGCGTTTACCGAGGGATCAACAGCCATGATTAACAGACATGATATTTTTATATGACCTGATACTTTATTTACGTCTTACTCTATGACTAAAGATAGGAGTGTTGGCTCTTTACAAAGAAAAGAATAAGAATGAACCACTTGCATGGACCATGTTTCAGATGATTTGGGTGGCCACTATTCATTGTTGATGGGGGAGGGGAGGATTGATTGTTGTAATGATCATTGTGTGTGTGTGTGTATACGTATACGTAAAGCGTAAAGGGAATGCTAAAAGAGAGAGAGAGAGAGAAAGAGAAAGGGAAAATGGCAAGTCAGCGATATAATTGGGCCATCATTTCCGCACCAGGTGGTTGCTGCTGGTTGCTGCTGCTGGTGTTCTCTTGTGCACCTTTTTCCACCACTACCACCTCTTTTGCCTTTTATACTTTTACGCCCTTCTGACATCTCTAGTTGTCTCTATCTCATTACACCTCAATCTTGCTTGTTCACCTATGGAGTCAAAGGTGCGTTCACTGGCACAAGTGTGCGACCTTGCTTTGGCCGGGTTCAGCAGCACATTGTATGGTTACAAGGGCCGTGTGGAATACGCCACTTTCCAACCTCCTCCCGACATTCTCAGGCAAATTCCTGAAGTGAGATTCGACGATTCGAGCGAGCGTTGGCGTTCTGTTCCTGCTACAGCCAAGCTAGACCGTACAGCTTTGAGGAAACGACATCACGTGGTTCCAGATCCGGATTGGGATCCTCCTATAAAGAAGCCAAAGTTCTATTATCCTCCAAGCAAAGGTGTCAAACTACGTGATGTAGATGAACTCATCCGAGAAAGGTATATTCAAGAATGGACGTGTAATGGAAAGTGTATATACTTTGAGGGATGTTTATTCATGTTTGTTCTGCTAGTCGGGAAACCAAGGGCATGTCTCCAAAGGAATATGACGAGTACAGAAGAAAGAAGCAATTGGATACGGATAAGTCTTCCCATTCAACACCAACAGCCGTTGTTCCTCAAAAGCAACAATCACAACAATCACAACAACAGCAACAGCAACAACAACAACAACAACAACAACAGCAACGATCGAATGCATCCAATGCGAATCCTGTACAAGATATCCTTAATGAGATCACAGCTGCCAGTAAACCTCGTAATGATGGTGGTAGTGGCAACAAGAGCAAGGAACGTAATGCTTCAGGATTGGGAGTTCGAAAGAATCAAAAGGATGAGCATTTATTCAAGAAGCCTTCAGCAACGACAATTCAACGCAAGGGTTCGAATTCCTCTAGCTCATCTGGATCTACGCCGGCAACTGCTTCCCGAGGAACCACATCGGCCAAATCAGTTGGAAAGCGTCCGACACCAGCTCCGATGCAAAAACGTCCGTGTGTTGTGAGTTTCTTTTCCATTCCTTCTCTCTCTTTATATTTTTTTATGTTGTATGAGTCAACTCAATTGTTGTCAGGATTTACTTATGATCCGTGATCATTTACTGGATATCAACTCGGAGGATCGGGTGGAGACTCGCAAAATTGCAAACTTGCTGAAAAGGTATCGTCTTTTTTTCCCTTTATTCCCTCCCCCCCCCCCACAAAACCCAAACTCACATTGGTGCTTATCATTTGTGTTACAGGAACGTATCCACCACTGGTCACATGTCCATTCTTGTCAAAAAGAAGCCAAAACTTGTACTTCATATCCCTAAGCCTGAGAAGGATCGCAACAATCAACCTGAAAAGGTAAATCATTACATTACTTTAATTTTCCTTTGTGTGCATAAGGCTGACAACAACATTATCATCATCAAAGGTAACCATGATTGGCAAATACAAGGTGAAGCACAAATCCGGATCAAACGCTGCTGCAACTCCAGAGACAAAGCCCGTTGTTAAGAAAGAACGCAATGTCAAGCAACAACAACAACAACAACAATCACAACCAAAGACTATCGACATTCCACGTGAATCAAAAGAACAGCAAAAGTCATCATCATCAACATCAGAGAACAAGAAGCAAAAAGATGTCAAGCGTGAACCACCAGCATCCCCATCAGCGTCTTCTGGCAATGACAAATTTACGTTACCAACAGGAACAGTAACAGCAGAGTTCCTAAAGACGATTCGCATTCCAAAAAGAAAACCAACAGAGTCATCCACATCAACCCCAGCAGTGACAACCACAACATCAACATCATCATCAACCATTGTGGATCGTGAATTGGAGGAAGGAGAGACCATTAGTCCATCACCTTCACCTGTACATCGAGGACAGCAACAGCAGCAGCAGCCATCATCATTATCATCATCACCACCACCACCACAACAACAACAGCCCCCACAACCACCATTACCATCATCATCTACAACGACAACATCACGCGAACGTAGCCGATCACCATCACCATCACGAACAACACGACGAGACCGTAGTGCACGTCATGATGATGAAAAGCGAAGCACACGACATCGGGAAGAGAGTGATCGAAGGCGAGGAACATCATCTGATCAACGTCGAGACCATTCCGTTGATGATCGCAGGCGACATCGACGTGATAGTCGTCAATCATCATCGGACGATCTTCGTCATCAAAGGCATAGATCAAGGTCACCATCCACACGTAAACATCGCCATGATCGATCATCACGCTCAAGATCAGATAGCAGACGCCGTTCACGTTCTCCTCGTCGTCGATCATCCAATTTATCCAGCACCAATTCATCATGTCGCTCCAAATCACCACCTTCTCGTTCACATCAGCAACCTTCTTCTTCAGCGGATACTCCTGCAGCCAATACATTAGCATCACAGCCTTCGTCTGAACCATCACCTCCAAAACCCAATTACAAGAATGCAACATCAGCAGATGCTGAATCAGAAGATCAATGCAAACTCTTTGCTGTCATGTAAGTCTTATTCATCTTCACACATGGTGAATATGGATACTTATCATCATCACTCTTTTAGGTTTCGAAAATTGGCTACAGCATACAAGCATCGTGGTGATCCTCGACAATCGGAGATCTCTGGATTACTTGATCACATTCAGGCGATACTCAACTATGTATTGAGCTTTTATTATCAAGATCTCAAGACGAATGAATACTCTGGACTACGGCATTGGGAGTCTCTATTTCCATTTTCAAGTCAAGTGCTTCGAAATCTAAAGGATCGTAAGGAGCTCGATTTGTATGCATTATGCTGTCGAATGATGGGGATGGTGCGATACTACACATTTGTACGCCGTGAAGCTTCAGCATCCAAAAAGTTGGACAATGTGATCAAGAAGGAAGTGGAACCCAATGTTACCCATGATGCGACCAAAGCAAGTAAACAGGCGTTTGCTGAATTTGAAGAAGCTTACAATCGCTTTAAAGAAGCGGATCGACATCTCAGTTATGAACAATTCCGAACCAACTACCCCAATACATTCAACAATGCATGTCTCAAAGGTGAATATGGCCCAGGCATCGTGATTGGAGGAGAAGCGGGTACCAGCATCGAGCCACGATATCCTTTTATACCTTTTGCAAAATTACATCATGCTGCCATTGTATGCAAATGCATGTTGGCCGAGTATGTGGAGAAGAATGCAATCAAGTACACTCCAATTCAAGACTTTGAAGAGTACATGTAATTATTCCCCCCCTTTCCCCCCATTGCTTTTTCTTTTTCTTTTACTTTGCTCTCTCTCCCCATCCATATACAACAACCAACATTGCATAATGACAAACAAAAAAAAAGATATCATTTTGCTTTTTAAACGAGTTTATCATGCAAAGGAGTAGTAGTGTATTTACAAAGGAGGAAGGGGTTAACGGATGGTGGTGGTGGTAGTAGTAGCAGCAGCATTAGCATTAGCAGCAGCAGCAGCAGCAGGCACCCGAGAGAGATCAATCTTGGATTTGGTGATGTTCATGGATGCCATATCAGCCTTTGCTTGTTCGGCACTATAACCATCGCATAACTTGGATCGTAGATCTTGCCATGTCGTTTGTACATCCAAGTCAAATTGACCCATTATGTCATCCAGCGTCTATTTTAAAAGAATGATGAATACCCTCATTGTCTCCTCCTCCTCCTCCTCTGCAGATACCCAATCATACCTCTTGTTTGCCTTCTTGGATAGTGTCCACAATAGTACGCGTACGCTCTTGTACAAAATAGCCCTATTGCATCACACATGAGTACACTCTTCACCTTTTATGCATCCTATCCTGTGTTATGCCCCGTACCTCTACGTCTGTATCCTGGATCGGTTGCCGATGTTCAGTTGCTGCACCCAAGTTGATGGTGTCTAGATCGCGCATGAGGACTTTGGTATTCACGCGACCCTTGGATAAAAAGTAATGCCTATACACAATGGCGTCAGCCCAAACCGATCCTGTTCTATTGTCAATGCCTTGTTGTTCTTACGCTCGAACGTCCACATTGGATTGATCTTCTCCCTGAGCCGCTTTGGAAATCAAGTTGTGTGTTTGTGAGTCAATCTGATCGAGACCACGTTCGATTGGTGGCAGGTCATTCTGGCGCAGTTTTGCCGTGAGGAGCTTTGACTTTTCAAGTGTTTGTTTTAAAGAGATTGGTGTCTCGGCAGGCTTCGTTTCAGCGGGCATGGTATAATGCAAGAAAAAAGAGAGAGGAAAAAAGAGGTAGAGGGGTGAGGCAGAAATGGAAGGTTGGTTTTTCGTTTGCAGCAAACAGCCAGCATGGATAGCCCGACTTGGACCTTTTTCCTCCACCAAAAGTCAAATCTGCTTGATTCTCATCATCATAGATAGAAACTTCCCCCCTAAGCAGTTATCGTTTTCACTATAGCTCGAATGCATCTTTAAGATTAAAGAAACAATGCTTAATCCACAATAGTCTGATTGCCTGCATGTGTCTCCTCTTATTACATAGTAGGGTATGATGATGTGCCTTAATATCGAAAGTTGTTTATTCCAAAAGAGTAGGGGGGATTCCTAAGCATGATGTACGTCTATGTAGACTACATTGTTGCCATAAGATGGAGCAACTTGATTATCCATGTATCGTATTCACTCTGCTCTTACAGTTCCAGCCATTGTAATCGACCTGTCATCCACGTGTAACCATTACCACACATTAAGAACAATGCAATGCATTCATCTTCAGTTGCCAAGGCAACTACAACATGGTTTTGGACCATCAATCACGTCGCCCGATAGGTGTACACTTTTTATATAAAAGCCAGCGTTGAATTGTACTCCCATGAACTGCACACAAGATGTATCCATGGCAATAGAAGAGAATACAATGCAACCTGATATGGGTGGGTGGGAACAAGACACAAAAATTGGTTGGGGTTAACACTGATTTCTCTCTTTCTCTCTCCACCCCCACCCACCACATCTCGAAGCATGTTGGGCTCCTCTTGTTCCAAGTGAAAAAAAGGGATGACCTCCTCACACACGCTTTTCTTTCTTTCCCAAGGTATATCACCATGGCTGAAAATGCTTCTCTTATTACTCGTCTCCCACCAGAGATTCTCGCTCTCATCTTTGCCAACTTGTCTCTTCAGCATCGCGTCCAATGTTTATGCATTTGCAGATCGTGGCGTGCATTCCTCTTCAGCTGGTCTGGTCTATGGAATGAACTCTCGGATAACGAAGGCTATGACATGATCAAGATGTTCAAAGCATACATGCAATCATCATCCTCAGGCACACCAATGCGCTATCGTATTGACAGCATCCATATTCATGCAACACGGCGACGGAAGCATAAGCAAATCATGCGATTATTCAAAGAATATCAAAGCCATTGTCGTATACAATCAGGTAAATACAAAGAGACAAAAAGAGGAAGGGTGGTGGATACTAAAAGGTGGAGGATCATAGTTCATCTCTATGGTAACATGTCAAGACATTGGTTTCGAAGGATGATACGACTCGAAGACATGGTGCGACTGACCTTGAATGGCGTAAGCAATCCAGCACCCGACAAGGTATTCGCCATTGTGTTGCACGAGTGCCCCAATTTGAAGCACTTTGTTTACCACACCGCATGGTCGGCGCACGCACCAGCATCCCCATCGTCATCATTCAACTGGTCATTTCCACCCCATCACAAGTTATTATCACTTGACATGTATTTACACGCACGTGTTGACAGCTTCCCATTACATCGCCTCTTATCATCTTTACCTCACCTTGTCGCCATTCGTTTGAATCCATACGACTTTGATGGGGCAGCTCACGTGTTGCACATGCTTCAACAACATCCCTTTTTACAAGCGATTCGATTCAATTACCATGACAACGACGTTGATGAGGAACAACAACTAAGAGGGAAAAGGGGAGGAGGAGGAGGATTACGTCAATTACAGATACAAGAACTCTGTGGCATCGATGATACGGCTTTGATCCCTTTCTTAATACAACATCACACCACGCTACGGATCCTTGACATTCACTTTGTGGAATATTTGACACATTTGACGGCCAGTGCTTTAGCCTCATTATCCTTTTCTGTTTTGGAACGTATCAGTCTCAGCAACCTTGTTGGTGCACACCCTTCCCATTTGATGGCGTTCTTTGCTCGTGCCACTCGATTACGCCAAGTTCGGATCTTTGCGTTGGATGCTTTCAATGACAATGTGCTTTATACCCTTGGTCAATATGCAAGTCGGTTGGAATCGTTATATCTCGCCCATTGTGAAAACATCACACCAAAAGGCCTACTACAATTTGCCACCACAGCCAAATGCAAATCGACCACGCTTGCGTTATGTCAAGTAGATCATGATATGATGGATAATACATCAACATCATACGACAATGATAACGTGTTGGATGCTATTCGACAGGCGCTTCCTCAGCTGGTCTCTATGTGATGATGATTAGTTTAGCTGCACCGCCAACTTTATACGTACATGGAATAATAAATGTGGTCTGAAACGGACACGTGGCGCACAAACACAACAAACGGGTCATTTGAGCTATGCATCGGCACAAAAGTTGTATGATAAGCTTTTTCTTTGTATGGTGGCTATTCAATAATGGCCAATCAACCTGCTTCTTCTCCTTTCCCCCCAAAAGTAAAGTTGTCGTCAGTTGCCAGCCTGTTGGTGCGTGTGTGTGTGTGCAAAAGAGTGAAAGAGAAACAGCCCAAACATAAACAGTCAATATGCATGTAAGAAACTGTGAATCTTGTGCCAAGCTTTTCTTGTCTCTTTTTTCTCTGCTTCTTTTCATTATTCGCTTGTAGATACATTATACATACATGGTTACTACTACTACTACCACCACCACCACGTTACAATGGCTCAAACATTCTTTATCGCCTTCCACATTAACTTCGTCACGCTACGTTCCTCGACATAATAACAAGAAGCGACAAAAGCAACAACATCCATTTGATGCCCTTCCTGAAGAGTTGACACTGGAGATCTTTGTACATTTGGATTCGCTGAGCCTGTATCGGGTCACCCAAACATCTATGAGGTATCGACACATGATTTCTCGGTGTATCAATCTATGGACATGGTTATGGTTTGATCCAACGTTACCACTTGAACGTCGTGACCTCTATCGGATGTTATGCTTTTTGGTGGAACACCATGGATTACATGAGCAAATTCGAGGTGCACGTTTTGATCGTTGTACCATTGACAGTACCACGCTTGAGCGAGTCCTCAGATACTTGCCACGATTATCAACACTCTCAGTGGTTGGGTGCCCTCATCTCGATTGTTTCCAATTCTTATCCATCCTCAGACATACAACAGCACCTCTTGGACCTATGAATTATTCACTGCCACCATCACGCTTGCTACCAAGTGGACCCTTATTGCAACATCTTACACGACTTGAAATCAGGGGGTTGTTTCCAAGTGAGCGAGGCATCATGTCATACGCACACGAGATTTACTGCTACACATCCATCCGACGTCTCCTGGCAAAAAACAACAATGCAGCACGACAACGCGCACGTCGCATTTCTCGACGTCGTCATTTCCATGCACGTGTATTGGAAGGATTTGAGGAGGAAGAAGAGGATGATGACGTGATGATGGATGATGAAGATGAAGATGAAGACGACGAGGATGATGATTTGTTGCTGTATCATCAATTTTGGCTCCTTTTGCAACAGCCGTTGTTTCGAGCATCCCCTGAGCTCCTGGTACTACCATCCACAGCAGCTACTTTTTCAGCACTCAGCTCTATCACCCATAGTGCTATCACTACTACTAGTACTACAACGTCCACTGTGAATAGCATCAAGAATGGGCGTAATGTGGGTAACAATGGCAATCAACGTCGTAGTATTGAAATGGATGTACAACCATGCTCACACTGCCATCGTAACGTGACTCAACCCACTCCTGCGTCATGCACACTATGTGGCGATCCAACTCTCACGCCTTGTGCACAATGCATGTGCTATCACTGTCGTCGTATCTTGTGTCGCTCATGTTTTCGTTTACGACGTGGATGGCGTGTCCTTCGTTGTCATAAATGTCAACTTGCACGACGCGTGTGTGATAATACCGAATGCATCGTATCCCTTCATAACAATAGCAGCAGTAGTAGTCATGGCAACAAGTCGAGACCATGGAAACGACGTGGACATGGTAACGGTGGTGGTAGCAGCGACGATACAATACCCGATTTTTATTGTGCTTGGTGCATACAAAAGAAAAATCCAAGGCAACGATTACCATGGATTCGACGTCTATTGTGGATGATGCCTAATAAGCAATCCTCTTCTTCATCCATCTTTAATAATCGACCCCCCTTGTATCTCAACAATTGACCTATACCATTATCGCTACTCATATTAAACTAGTGTTTCTTAATGTGTATGTGTGGATAGTGAATGTATTGAAAATTGGATTAATCTATGCACAGCAGCAAAAGGTCGTCATCCATCTGTAAGTAGATTAGAAAACATGTGTGTTACATCTAATGCGTGAATTGCCGGTAGAACTAAGAGAGAGTGGGACGGAGATCTTCTACCAGTGACGTGAGTCTCCTCCAAAACAAATTGTTTGTGGGTCAGCCAACGTTGCAAGGTTTCTCTAACGCGACCATTTACAACATGATTGGAAAGCAGCACGTCCAAGCACAACAGCGTGTTCCCGTTTACCACGATCCCTGGGCTCGACGTGAAGCATGGCGTAAGCATCCCATCTTTTCAAAGAGCAGCAACTTTAAGACCATGTTCCCCGGCCTCGGCATTGCCACTGTTGCCTTCATTGCCTACTGTGGTGTCGAACATTTCTTCCTCAAGGACAAGAAGCACCATTAGACAAGATTGACGATACAACACACACACACCCTTTGATCAACATGTGATATACACCCACTCAATCAAACCACAATAAACGTACTATGAAGCAACATCCGTATACACACACTTTAATCACCGTATCTCTCCACCTTCAACATTACACATGTATACATTGGGGGGTTTTGGAAGGGACCATATTACAAGACATAAGAACAACTTTTATGGTATTCACAAGAACAAACGGGGATGGTGTGAGAGTTTGTGTTTTTCTATATCAAAGAACGAGTGCCTTTTATACATCTACAAGTTGGCATTGTGTAATATGTGGATGTCTATAATGGGGTGTTGACAAATGTTTTGAGGAGAGGGAGGGGATGTTTACTGTTGTTGTTGACCATCACCACCTTGTTGTTGTTGTTGTTGATCACCACCTTCTTGAGCAGCACGGTTCTTGTAAACCATCTCAAAGAGCTTAAGAGAGCTTTGTTGAAGATCATCAATCTTAGCCTTGAGTTCTTCGGGGTTGGCAACATCACCAGATTGAGCCTTCATGGCCTCCTCACGCAACTCAGTGATCTTAGCCTTGATCTTCTCAGCTTCAGCCTTATCGAGTTGCTCCTTGAAGTCTTCCATAGCCTTCTCGGTCTCAGTCATGACCGAATCAGCACGGTTGGCCATTTCAATGGTATCACGACGAGCACGATCAGCCTCAGCGTTGGCCTCAGCTTGTTGGATCATGTTTTCAATTTCATCATTGCTCAAACCAGAAGAAGCAGCAATAGTCATGGATTGATCACGGTTGGTGGCCTTATCCTTAGCGCTGACGTTGACAATACCATCGGCATCGATATCAAATTCAACTTGAATTTGAGGAACACCCTTGGGAGCAGGAGGGATACCAGTCAAGTTGAAGTCACCAAGGAGCTTGTTGTCACGGCACAATTCACGTTCACCTTGGAAGACACGAACGTTGACTTGAGTTTGGCCATCAGCGGCGGTAGAGAAGACTTGAGCCTTCTTGGTGGGAATGGTAGTGTTACGGTTGATCAAACGAGTGAAGACACCACCAAGGGTTTCGATACCAAGGGAGAGAGGAGTGACATCAAGAAGCAAGATATCGGTAACGGAACCAGCAAGGACACCACCTTGAATGGCAGCACCCATAGCAACGGCCTCATCGGGGTTGACAGACTTGGAAGGCTCCTTGCCAAAGATGTTCTTGACGGTATCAATGACCTTGGGCATACGAGACATACCACCAACCAAGATAACATCACCAATTTCAGACTTGCTGATACCAGCATCCTTCATGGCCTTCTCACAAGGAGGAACAGTACGTTGAACAAGGTCACCAACGATACCTTCGAACTTGGCACGGGTCAAAACGGTGTTGATGTGCTTGGGACCAGAGGCATCAGCAGTGATGTAGGGAAGGTTGATATCGGTTTGCACAGTGGAGGACAATTCAATCTTGGCCTTCTCACAAGCTTCACGCACACGTTGAATAGCCATGCGGTCGTTGGAAAGGTCGAGACCAGATTCCTTCTTAAAGTCTTCAAGGACGTAACGCACCAAGTGAGAATCGAAATCTTCACCACCGAGGGCGGTGTCACCATTGGTAGACTTGACTTCGAACACACCGCTTTGGATCTCGAGAACAGAGATATCAAAAGTACCACCACCCAAATCGAAAACAGCAATGGTCTTATCACCGGACTTGTCGAGACCATAAGCAAGAGCAGCAGCAGTAGGCTCGTTGATCACACGTTGAATCTCAAGACCGGCGATCTTACCAGCATCCTTGGTAGCTTGACGTTGAGCATCGTTGAAGTAAGCAGGAACAGTAACGACGGCGTTCTTGACCTTCTTGCCAAGGAAACCTTCAGCGGTCTCCTTCATCTTGCCAAGGACAAAGGCACCCATTTGAGAAGGAGAGTACTTTTTGCCTTGAGCTTCAACCCAAGCATCACCGTTTGTGTGGGGAACAATCTTGTAAGACACAGCCTTGACATCAGCTTGGACAGCAGGATCCTTGAATTGACGACCAATCAAACGCTTGGTGGCATAAACAGTGTTGGCAGAGTTGACAACAGCCTTTGATAGAGAGCATCCCATACGTTAATATACACATCATCCAAAGCATTCCATTCCATCCCATTCTATTTACCTGACGCTTAGCAGCTTGACCAACCAAGAGTTCACCATCCTTGCCAAAGGCAACAACGGAAGGAGTAGTGCGAGCACCTTCAGCGTTTTCAATGACACGGGGGTTCTTGCCTTCCATCACAGAGACACAAGAGTTGGTAGTACCCAAATCGATACCAATAATGGGACCCTGAACACCACCAGAGCTATAGGAACGAGCCATGCTGGAGAGGACGCCAGCCTACGAATCTCGAGTTAATGTATGGACGTATGCCAATGACAGAGACCGATTGCTTACATTGCGACGAGCCAATGAAGGGAGAACACGAGAACGGGTGACCTTGGATAGGTTGTACATGTTTGCTGAGAAAGCGGTAAAGAAAAGAGAAGCCGGGGTGAAAGGTACAAATGAATAATTAGCCGGGTGGCTTCGGCTGAGAGGAAAACTGAAGAAGATGCCAGAAGACTAGACAACCCTATCAACCAAACAAATTCGAGATGGCCCTTCAGGCACACCAAGTTGCACAAACATTTTACACACGCACATACACATCATTGTTTATGATTCACATCTCATCTCATAAAAAGTCATTTATTTATCTCTCTTCAACAATGAACCTCACCAATAATAATGGGATCACTCCTCTTATAAGATGTTCCAATCATGTTTCACGTATATAATCTTCAATGTTGTTGGTCATGAATGAGACATTTGCTATTACAGATCTGCTGAGTATGATATACACCCGTCATTATGGCAAATGCCAGGCTCCATACATAACCCGTGGGAAATTGAGACACGAGCTTGTGCACCCTGCTGCATGATGACACTAAACGCAAGTGCATACATCATCGCTTGTCGTCTGTGTTATCAATCAACCAGCGAAGCTTAAACTTTGTTAGGCAAAAAGTCATCAGATCCATCCAATCAAGCATATTGCTCCTTCAAATGCTCACTGGTACGTATCAAAGCCCGCAAAGGGACATGACATAGTAACGGCTTTTAGTATTATATAGTAGCCCAATCCTGTCACATTCATCGTTGAGCATAAAGAAATCAAAGGCTTGTCATGAGATAAAGGAGTCATTGTTGGATCTTGTTGCCCCATTATTTACACTTTCAGAGACAAAGAAATTATAGGAGGACTCATGTGTGCTATCCTTATTAATACCATAAAGCATTGAAATGGGTATTGCACCCTCTCGTAAGGTCTCGAATGGTGTAGGATGCCATGCAGTGTTACATCTACAAAGCTAAAGCATGAAGTAGGAAAAATAGACAACAGCATCTTCCATGAACCAATTGCACAGTGCATGTTTATAAAATGAAAAAGGTTTCTTGGATCCTAGCAATGCTATTTGATGTACTCGGCTCATCCTTGGTATGCGTCCTCAATGGATTTGACAAAATCTTCAACTTCGTAGCCACCATCGCAATCCTAGTTAATGAGGGTAATTAGTCAAATCGATCCTCTATCTATTGGGAGCAACCATTACCTTCCAAGTGCCATCATGAATGCAGCGCAAACGATTGTCAATATACACAGTGCAGCTTTTTCTATCAGGGTAAACAGCTGTTAAACATCATGATGCATCAAATCTTGCACTTTTTAAGCAACTTACTCGACTCCAAGGCTTTGTGTACGCTTCACTGATTCGCCCAAAAGTTCAACACCTTTACCAGATTCAATGCAATCCTTGACACGTGCAAATGACAACCCCAATTGTCCCGCTGCAAGATACAATGCCAATCAATATCAATGACATTCACTCTTATCCTTTTGCTTACCACAATCCTCGGCCAAACCATCACCATTGCCGATCGATTCATATTTCTCATTCAAACAAAGATCGAATTCGAACCATTGATGATAATCAGGATAGACATGCTTGAAACAAAGCTCTTGAATATTGCCAAGGCATTCTGATGGACCATGCTTGCTAGATAATGCAGGTGATAGAGTAAGTGTTGGATGTTCTCACAACATACACACATACTCTCAATGACATACCATTCATATTGATATTCCTCGGATTGATTAGCCTTGGCAATATAGTTGACATCAAGAGATACTGGCACTTGGACTTCGTCCACTAGCAAAGACATGCAACGTTACCATGGCAGTTGCTTCATAATATCGCTGTATCATACTTACAGACTTGAGAGAATACGTTTTCACAAAAGACCTTGTCTGGACACTTGCTCATGACAAACAGCTCAACGGGGACAGCAGCATCGCTACGAACATGGTGACGCGCCGATTGAATAGATCTCGGCCATGGCATAAACGATACAACTGAAATGAAGGTGATGGCGATAAGCAGCAATGTACATGCGTTGGCTGGCATAACGAATGTGTATGGGAGTAGTTTAGTAAGGGAACAAGAAGAAGATTTACTGCTTGCTCCTCTTTTCTTTCTCACATTCATGCGCACCATCCACCTCGATATTGCACAATTTGTGCCACATTACACTGCTCATTAGTATAGTGAAACCTCGCTCATACATCCCAATCATCAATACACCAGTTTTATGATGCATCAACTTGTATAAGAATGTCTATTGTTGACTATTTTATGCGCGTATGCGTGTATGTGTGGGTGTGCAGTAATAATCCATCTCCTTGATTGGCGGGGGAGGGAGTTCCCAGACCATACGCTGGGTCACTTGAAACTCGTGGAACCATTCATCCTACCCAATCAAAAGTGAGCGCGCTGAGTTAATTAATCCCTGAAAAAACTATAAAAGGAGGGCGAAAACGCAACCTGAACAACTCATACTTACCTGAGTCGTGTGTCTGGTGATCAAGGAGGCTGGGCACACAGGCGAGATGGCCTACCATTGCACTCCCGGTGGCCGCTTGTCTGCGAACATCCTTCGGGGTGTCTCGAGGCTACAATTTTTGCTTTGGGGAAGAGTTTGGTTCGCTGAACTATTCCCCGCCATCCACTTTTAAAAAGAAAATGATAATATGAAAATGGGTTGTTGTGTATATCATTATCGTGACTTTTAATGAAGATTAGTTTGCTCACGTTGGTTCAACTACTTGAATACATAAATGGATGAACAAGGGAGAGAACAATGCTGTGTGTGTGCGTGTGTATGGGAGGGCTAAAAAGTGTGTGTGTGCGTATGGAACAAAATGGGGAGAGAAATATGTGTGTGATGATAAGATTATGCAGCAGCAGACACAACTTGTTGAGTACCGGCAGCAGCGACCTTCTTGTTTTCAGTGATCTTTTCGGCACCTTCCCAACCAAAGTCCTCAGTGGCAGTATCAGCAAGCATTTCTGCAATAGCAAGAGATGCTGTGCATGCAGGAGTAGGAGCGTTGCGGACACAAAGAATCTTGCCATCCATGACCTTACGTTCCAAGATATAGTCGTTGGCAGCAATACCACCATCTTCAAAAACTTGTGACATGACACCAGCAAAGCTTTCCTCAACCATATCTTCAGTGAGACCAGGAACATAGGCTTGAGCAGCACGCAAAAAGGCACGCTTGTTCATATCCTTGTATAATTCACCAATGGAAAGTGATGGGTTCTTGAGTGCAAACATCATCAAGTTGCCGTTGGTAAGCGAATCCCAAAGATCAGACAACTTAAAGTCAAAGAAGCTATAGCCTTCACGAGTGAAAGTAAGGCATGCACCAGGACCCACAATCATTTGGATACCACGACGAGTATTGACCTACAAATAGATGCATGATATCATGTGAGCTCTTCCACACTTTGCTGCACCTCATTTTCCTTTTCTTCCTTTTTTCCTTACAGTTGGGGTGAAATGAACACCGACAGGGATACCACCACCACTGGGCACTGGGTACACATTCATACGGCAAATGCCACGATATTCGGGCTTGAGTTGGTAGTAAGTGCCACGGAAGGTCACCACCTTGGCTTTGTTAGGATTACCACCAGCCAATCCAGCGACACGATCAGAATAGAAACCAGCACATGTAATAACATTCTTGGCTGATACCTTGAGTGTAGGACCACGTTGCTTAGGTTCCACACCCCAAATCTATATTGGGTACCATATCCCTTGTCAATAAACATTGCATAGTGCTATACCAACGACGACAACTTGATGCATACCTCGATACGACCATCAGGGCGTTGTTCGAATTTGCTAGCTTCAAAGGCAAGCTTGATCTCTGCACGGCTATAGTAATCATCATAAGCAATCATCCAACAAAAGCCAAAAGACCATTGATGACTTACCCAGATTGAACGATCTCATTGGCAATGCATTGAGCAACCAATCCATAATCGGTGATACCGGTGTTGGGGGAATAAAGAGCAGAGTAGGCAACAACGTTGGGTTCCAAACGACGGATCTGCATGGGAGGAGAAGATAATCATTTTGGAATTAAATCATCACCTCCTTGACCACACACATTCGTATTACACACGTACCTCCTCACTATCTAGAACTTGCAGATCTTTGACGCCGTTTGTGGTGGCGATCTTATAGAGGCGTTCTACCTCCTTGTGCTCCTTCTCGTTGACAGCCACAATAAGCTTGCCACAGCGTTCCACAGGTAGTTGATTTTGCTTGCAGTATTCATACATGAGCTCTGCACCACGCACACAAGTGTATGCCATACGTGAACCAGGCTTGTAGTAAATACCGGCATGGATGACACCACTATTATGACCGGTTTGATGAGCGGCAACTTCACGTTCCTTTTCAAGAACAGCAACGGTCATGTTGGGGAATCGCTTCAATAGCTCGCGTGCAGTTGCCAAGCCAATAATACCACCACCCACTGCATATGTGTATATGTGTTACAGAAAAAAAGATGTCCACAAGTAAATGTTAATGAATGCAAATAAACATAGACATTAGCAAAAGTTGATCTTACCAATCACAACATCAAAGTCGGTCTTGCCGTTGTTTTGTGAAAGGGCCGTGCGAAAGCGTTCTTCAGCTGCTGGACCTCGTAGCTTGGCCAAACCAGGATTGACAGGCACGTTTTCACCAGGCAACGTTTCCCAGAATGACATTTTTTGTTCAGCGTGTACCTTGGTAGGTTCAGGACGAATGGCCATATAGGCCATGCCTGTAGCAGCAAACGCACCCATTGTGATAGCTGGCATACGACCACCACGAGCAAACATTCTTGCAGATCGAGCAAACACCATGATTGATTATTATAAGAGAGATTTGAAGATATGATAGAAAGAGAAGGCTTGATCCAAGGACATCGAGTTGTTAGGTGCTTTATATATTGTCAATGGAAATGGAACCTTCTCTGCAATGCACAAATTGGCAAGGAGTATTCAAACATGCATCTACCTACGTGGATGAGTATACTTTGTGTGTGGCTTTCTTATCTCCTTCATCCAATGCTCGTCTCGCGTTTACTTCTCCTTGCACCCCCAAATCCCCCTTTCTATCCTTTTCTCGTTTCCAACATCCAGCCATATACCCTCCTTCTCGGTGTTAAGTGTGATGGAATAAAAGTTGCCACGTCTTTTGCTCAATGCTTTTACCCCTGATTGATCAGATACCATTTGCAATGGACATGTAGCTCCTTGGTGTGACCAAATGAAAGGGAACAAAGCAAAGCAGTATTAGTATTCCGTTTCCAACCATGCCAAGAGATCACTCGTCATGTTTCCTGTTTAAGTACCTGCCATGGTGATTGTTGCCCTGACAACACAAAAGGGACACTACGATAGGATCGTACCCGCCATTTCAATCATATTGGATAATGGTCTCCTCCATAAATCGCCATCAATTGAGCCCGTGGACGTTTCACGTTAAAATAGATTTCTTTCTCCCAATGCGTGCATATGCAATTACATGCATGTCATCTATAAAACACAAATGCATCTACCATCACACAAACTCACAAGCTCTCTTGGTCATCATTGATCTATTGACAAATTCCCAATTTACAAAAGTTACAACGCACAACGTACCCCGATTATCCTAAACATCATGTCAATCATGGCTAGAACCTATGTCAGCGATCCCTGTTTGTGGAAATGACAATGATGGACCACTTCCTTTTTCTTTGCTTCACACGAAGGTGACAAAGGGGTTGAATGCAGAAGAAGATACAGCGATCAGCATGCAAAAGGTAAGTGTACAAGCAGGCAACACCCCCAACCTACCTCTTCTTTGCTATGTAAACAATAGAATTTGGACATATTTAAAAAAAGATATCTATGTATGCGTCGATCCAATGTGCGTAACGTAAATAAAGAGTAATTGAAATAACCATGTTTCGGAGCACGGCCCTGTTGGTCAAACTTGATAACGTATCTAATGTCTACCGCTTATGACAATGACCACCATTTTTGTAGGAACAAAATCATGTTGCAGCCATCCGGATCAGATCACACCAAATCAGGGGCTATATGTATGCGCTGTATAAGACGTAATACGCCAAGAGAGTTGATTGCTGCAATCGGTGCTTTGTGGATGCATATCCATAAACAGCTTTAAGAGTTATCCAAATGCTGTGTTTCTCAATTCTCTACCCTATCCTATCACCTTCACCTTACCTCATTTTGTTGCAAGAGCTATATGACTATCCAACATCATGTTGTGGCAATTTTGCTCCACGCATATGATATCGTGGCGTTACCGACGCAGGGAGAGAAAGCATTGCCACTTTTTTGTTGTTGTATGCTGTAGAGCACCTCCTTCCGATTCACGTTCCTGGATACTCTAATATCTAATAAGCCCTTAAGACATGTGATATCATTCACTCCCTGCATACGTTTCACATCCCTTTCTATCATCATCATTGGTGGTGATGGTATCAAAAAGAGTTGTATATAAAGACGTTGAACGTCGGTGGCATAATAGATGGCACCATCGTCTCTGGTCAAATGGCTTGAAAAGGACGTTCATAATGATACTGCATAATCAATGCAGAAACATGCTTGGTACCTGTAAACGCGCGCATATCATGTATGTCGGATCCCCACCTCCGCAACATAATTCGTCAACCCCCAACTTTCTACCACCATGTCGATGCATTCCTTCCTTGAGCTTGATCTTATACCGTGCGTTCGTGTAGGCTTTACAGTAGCCGTGCATACGGGATCTCCTGCGTATAGCACATGCTACCACTACATGGAATATCCGTCATCCGTGATAATGGTTTATGCGTGAATGATGATGATAGTCCATTTGTTTTGGCTGTCTAATATCAACAATAATGCAGTAGCTGGTCTGATGACCCGCTGCGTGCACTAAGCTAGTGGTCATAAATGCGTCTTGACTCCACTCAAAGCTCAGCTACCTTACTTTCCTGCATGATGCACGCAGCCAATGTAAACAACAATGCACTTTGTGGTGTGTATACACACCCCCACGCCACCACACCCACCACAACAACCAAACGTCCAATATTCAAAGCAGCAACATTAATCTTGATTACTCCTCATTGCTCATAGCAGCATGCTGTTGACGGATGCTGCATGTGTGCACGCTCCCGGTATCTTTAACGCATATAAAAGGACAACGAACTAGAAATAGCGTTAATGTGAAGGGTTAATAGCTTTGTAGATCATCAGCAGCAGGTCCCAACTAAAATGTCAATAAGCAATTTGGAGCGATCTAGCGGGGCACAAGGAAACAGCCGCCCCTATTAGCTTCCTTTGTGGTCACAAGCTTAAGCAATAGCACATGGTGGTTATAATAGACCACAACATCTGTCATATGTGGATGTGGTTTGTTGGTCAAATGAATGATTTTACTATTAAGAGGATCAACAATGGGTATCAAAAGATCATGAAACATAATGTGATTAAGGCCTTTTTCTGTTAAGCTACAAAGGGAAGGGGGCCCTTGTCACTATGAAGCAACTAAAACGTATAGATGTTGGTAATTATGTGATGACGATAATGGCAGCAGTGGTGATCTAATATGAAAGCGAGTCATTGTGCTATAGTACAATGGAGCATTTTCTAGCACAAGTGCTCATACAAATGGCACCTTTTTATCATTTTCTTTGTATGTAGGTGTATAAAGAAATGTCTCGCAATTCTCTTACTGGTACATCAATTACTCCAATGAAGGATATCAGCACCAGTCTTTTGTTACGAATGACCTTCTTATCTGGGTCCGTAAATCGAATTGGTGAGACTATGAGAACCAACACGCATTGCGCCGCCCGAAGGCAGCTCCAGATTTAGGACGGAGAAAGATTCGACGACTCTTCGCGTTTCTGGATACTGTTGCCATGGTGATCAAGTTGTGGTATTGGGGTCTTTTCAAAGAGTATTGCTTCAACAAGCTTTTATTACATTTAACGAACATCATGCCATATAAAATCGTATTATCTATATGCTTGTTGCCTAATCATGCCTTAATGATTGCATACTATTGCATTACATCTACTACATATGAGGATGCTGTCGTTGAGCTATCCCACCACCATATATAAATCTCCTTACATTCCATATCCATGTACGTTGCAAAAATCTCATGTCAACGGCTGGTTGCCTGTTCACCATCCACAAGGTATGCATGTATACTGTATGTGTGTGTATGCGTGTATGAGAGGATGTGGCTTACCACTATGAAGGCTTGATAAAATTTCGCTCCGACCTTTCTTTATCCATTACCTTTTTACATGCCCAGCAATATGGAAGAAGACAAGCGCACCGAGGAAGACGTTGTCATGGATGACGCCCAGTCTGAGGAGGAGCAAACTGATAACCAATCTGAAAATGCCGAAGACGAGGTCATCGTGAGCGCTGATAAGATGGAAATCGTGAGTGGATCGTTTAGACCAGGGCTTCTTGAGAGAGCGATCGCTGACATGAGTCTCTTTGATAGATCGCCGGTGCAACGGGTGACCAGACCGCAATGACATTTTGCTTCAAGGAGGAAGATCACACTCTTGGCAACTCGCTTCGACATATGATCAACAAAAAGTATGTATGGATGTGATAGAGACATACCTTTCTTCTTTGGACAAGCTATTAACAAAAGATGTATAGCCCTCAAGTTGACTTTTGTGGTTACTCTATTCCCCATCCTTCTGAAGCCAAGATGCATATGCGTATTCAAACTACCAGTAAGTTGTATACCCAAAGTGGGAGGTTTGCATGAAGGGAGCCCAAGCTAATTCACCCTGTCAAAATAGAGCGTACAAATGCCGTTGATGCTTTGAAGAAGGGCATGGATGATTTGACCGAATTGTGTGAATACATCAAGGAAGCTTACATGGCCGAGCTTGCCAATTACGACACTTCCATGGATTAGTGAAGAACGAAGAGAATTGCCACGCAACGCATAGCATACGTACCTGCACACATTACACCATCCATCCCACAACACCCGCACACAGCCATTACCATGTACATAAGATAAACATAATCAATAGACTCTATTGAATCAGGAATTCTTCAACACTCGTGATATAAGTATGGGATCTAGGATTGTAAGTGGATGGAATGAAGCGAATCACATGGGCATGAAAGGGAGAACCATTGTCATGTGAACGATAGTGATGTGTTGCAAGTGGCATCCATGCCCTTAGATAAGGCACAATGGCTTTAATAATCACATGATGAGGATGAGATCGACCCCCTTTACCATGGCAACCGTTATCTCGTTCAAGTTTGACGATCATTCGGTATGCTTGTGTCGTACCATAGCATCGATGTTTTTTTTCTCTGCACACTTATCATCGTCATTGGTCCCTTCATCTAGCAATCATACATTTCTATATACTCGAATGAGCTCGTGTTGAGCGAGATGTTGTAATCTCCATGTTGAAACGGATGATCTCTATCAGCTTGGTATCACTTGCGCCCCAACCATCATCAACAACATCCATTGTTCCATTTTGATCGCACCATGTGTTGCTCGTGTCACGCTCAAGTTGTATTACCGACTACATCTGATTTCCACAAAGCCTTTGTATGCATTAGTCATTGAGCCTACGTGTTCGATTTTTCGCCTGCCCGCCTTTATCAATGACCTCTGGATCCTGTAAATGCAGGGTGTGCATGTTGCATGGTGTCTTTTAATGCAAATCCATATTGATTACGACGCCACGCATCAATTTTTCGTCATGGGTGTTGTTCCCCTTGGGCTGCACTAATCGGGCCGATGATCTTTTTATGGATGGTTAAGGTATTTACAATGAAATCCAAAGTAACCCTGGCATGTGTCATGATTCCAACATGCATGTTTTTCCATTCTTCAGCGTGCATGTTCACCAATATTGGATTTGCTTAGAAATCCGAAGGGAAGGAACTTTTCATCCGGAACATTGAACAACGCATGGCATGACATACCCATTGCCAATGATGCTGTCATTGTCAGTTGTCAGGCAATTGATAATTTCCTTGTCTGCTTGTCTCATTGTCACACAGCAATGGCTCAATTACCATCTACCCAATCATATACAGCCATAGATGCGTGGCATCTTTTGGTAACACCTCTCTTACAAATACTCACAAAGAATCGTTGTCCTTTGTATTCAGGATTAAATGGTAGTTTCATGTTATCGTTTTAAACGTTGATTGGTATGTGGCGGGGTTGGTCATTATCGATCCTCGCCCAGCTCAATAAAATAGGAATTGAACAAGTTTTGCATGAATCACCGAGTATCCTTCTTTTTACCACCATTTTAAGGTTTTCCACAAGGCGACTTGCCCGATTTGAAAATCCAGCCCCTTTGATGTCAATCGTAGTGAAAGAACGTTTGGCCATTGTGTGTGTAAAAATATTAGGTGATATGATGGCTGTCATTATCGAGCGGCTCATCACGCGTTGATGATACACTAATGAGCTCGTGTCACTTTTGTTGATCTGACTATCATTAGCAGCTATTTGAAAAGCTCATTTCATCAGCACAGGGTTAATGAGAGAAATATAGGTTTCAAGATTTTGTATATGCAACTGCAAATGGAGCTAGCCGATGATGCCCCATAAGATTGGTCCTTTGCTTGTTTTACCAAGACTAGATTATAAAGATTTGGATGATGGATTAAGAGGGCAATCGGAAACCTTCCATAAATGTAATGCATGAGATTGTATGTACGATGAAAGGCAAAAAGGACAAGATGGGCGCTCTGTATAACTTTGAACAATACACCATGTTGTTCCTTATTTGTGTGGTACGCTGAACTTGCTCTTGTACGAGGCAAAAAAAGTGCCGTGGTGGATTGTGTGCTCAACGCCCAGCACCCATCAGAGCCCGGAACTCTCCGCAACTGCATTTACACATAACACGAAACCCCAACAGGTTGACGACATGTGCTAGTAAGTGTATACGTGTACTCGCTTTGTCATCCATTTCATCACCCAATGTCGATTTTTTTATTTTCATGCATCGACAACGTGTACGTTATCAATTCTATGCGGTGAACAAAGTTTAGAAAATGTATGGGCCGTGTATGGCATTCTTTAATTGATAGACAAGATGTCTGTAAACGCGGGTAGGACAAGCAAGGGGATGTAAAACAATAGGAACGCCCATCATTGAGCATGCGGTATGCTTGTGCACCATAGTGTGCAGTAGTGAGTATCGGGGATGCACATTGCCCCCTGGGTTGTTTCTTCCCCTCTCTATCTAAATCCAGGGCAATGTCATGGTTAAAGATATATGTATTCGGGTTCTTCCTTTATATAGCGTCTGACAAGCAAGACAAGAAAAGCGTGGTGTCACATAAACGCAACTTGAGGTGACCCGACCATGGGCACAAGAAAAAAAAAGCAAAAGCTCTCGCCATCCACCTTCTTTCAGCTCCTGCATCTTTTTCTTCTTTTCATCTCTTTTTCATTGTATCATGTCATCTTTACATACATCCACACTTTCAAACAACACAATGCTATCCACAACCCATCGGTAAATGCATTTCCTCTTTCACTTGAATGACACAAGTCTTTGCTGTTTTTGTTCACTCAGCATGCTTTTGCACGTGTAGTGTCAATGTTACGCCAGCAGGTACTGGCATCCATGACAAGCCAACAGAGCCCTTGCGACAAGAAACAGCACTTGAAGCAAAAGCAGCTTCATCAACTTCTACTACTACCAGCACACCTTGCGAGGATCAAGATGAAGGTGAACGTGAAAGAGAAGCATTGGCAACTGTTTTTGGTGTGCAAGAATACACCGAGTCGGTCATGTTCTGGAAACGACTTCACGAAGAAAAAAGCCATCAAAAGAGCAACACCAAACCCACCAAGAAAAAGAAAGGCACCACGTTGACATCACAACATCATCAAGAATTCCCTTCAATAATGGTCGAAGATGATGAGAATACTACTACTGCTTCTTGCAATCATAATAGCAGCAAGCAAAATGAGCTGTTGTCACTTCCCGATATACCCACTGTCAGCAAGTTTAATGATCTTTTAATTGACGATGAGCATGGTGTTGATTTCCTATTCCCTGCCAATCCATCGTCAGTATTATTGCATTCATTTTCACCTGCCAATACTGAGGCACACTCGGTAGCCGAATCATCTGTACATTCATCATCAATCCATTTTATGGCATCTGCTATTAATGCTGCTGCTGCTACTGTTGCTGCTGGAGACAACGACACAACGAGCAAGGACATCATTAGCCCAACAACCGAGAATGCAATTGCTCCACCACGTTTATTCATTGGGTATCCACCTTCGATATTCGACATGTTGAAATCCGATCATGATGAGCGTATCATCGTCTGGGGGCCGAGTGATCGTACTACAACGACAGCAGCTGCTAGTAGTGCAAGCGGCGGTCACCTTCATTCACAGCCAGCAAGCTCTTTGCACCACCATGATACAACAGCACCTGCATCATCATCATCACCACCCTCCAACAAGAAACAGCCCTCGTATTTGCAAGGCTTTTCAACCAACACAACAAGCAGCAGTGCTTCGCTTGCAAATGGCAACAATAATAAGCGACGTTCATCAAAGCTTGTCAACTCAGCACGCATGTCAGCTCAATCATTGCTTGTCGATAGCTTCCATCGGCTTAGCAGACAAAAGAGCTTACCTGCACGTATTCGACCACGTTCATCCAAACAACAATTGAAAGCAGAGCAACAACATGGCACATCATCTTCATTATCACCTCCTCCCTTGTTGAAACGTGCTAGCTTCACCATCAAAAACAGGCATTCAGCTGAAGAACTACATCCACCACCCATTCCTGCTGATCCACAAGCTCAACAGCAACAATCACAGCAAATCATTATTGCTGCATCTGTGGAGAAGCTTGTAGAAAAGTTGACCAACAGCTTAGGCAAGTAATCAGATCATTCCATTGCATAATGTTGGTTGGCTAACACGTGCCATTGATGTAACCTTCCCCCCTTTAGACTACACATTCATGACCGATTTCTTTCTCACTTTCCGCACTTTTATTTCCGCTACTCAATTATGCAAGCTTCTCATTCTACGTTTCCGATGGGCCTTGGAAAATGACCATGACGATAGACGCGTTGTTCGTGTTAGGTAAGTAAGAGAGAGATGTGTAACACGCTTTGAAAGGTACATGTAGACTAACTAGAAGTGAAGAACTTTTGTCGTTATGCGTCATTGGCTTCTCAATTACTTTGAACACGACTTTCAACATTGCCGTGAGCTGCGTCAAGTGTTGACATCCTTCCTCAACTCGCTTGCTCATCACCCGTTGGTGCGTCGATCAGCTCGCGATCAGCGTATTGTCAAAGGGCTCAAACGCGTGGTACGGCGACTCAAGTACGTCCACTATGAGCAACATGGGTGCGTCGATCAGGAGGAGAGTGGTTTCAGGACTACTACCACTGCCAATGGTGATACGAACATCATGGATCGATCCAGTGTGCTTGGTGGTGGTGGTGGCAACGATGATGATGATGGATCCTTGGAGAGTGATGTAACCCCTGGCAACTCTGAAGCTGGTGATGATCTCGATACACGATTGATGACAATGGCAAGTGGCGACAACGAAGTTGGTATTGTGGATCCAACATGGAATGAAGAGCAAGCAATGGCGAGGTTGCAATATGAACGTCGACGACGAGAAGAGGAAGAAGAACGTAGCCGTGTCGAGTTCTTTTCTTCCAGGACAACGCCCACGAGTGATGGTGTATCGGTTCCCAGTTTACATTCGGATGTTGTATCAAGCTGTGCCTCTACGTCTGAACCAACGACTCCCATGGAATCGATTGATGGTCGTATCAATACCCAACATTTATCGAACGCTGTGAAGAGACCTGCATTGCCTTGTGATTTCATCCCATCACCCTCATCTCCAAAGATGCCTGCTGTTGGTGCCCCTGGTTCTCGACGTCTACCAGCAACCATCATTCATGATGTATCAGTTGAGCCCCAAGACCTCATTGAGAAAACTGTACGTCGTATCCCATCCAATCGTTGGTGCAAAGCATCGCCTGATGAAGAGGCTCCAGTATTCAACAAGCAACAATTCGATCTGGAAAATCGCCAAACAACACCACAGCAACCACGTAAGCATAGCAACAGCGTCTCGTCATCATCAACACCCAATGAGATTACCGAAGGCTTAGCAAGACGATTATCGAAGAAGAGCATCGAGCGACGTAAGAGTGAAAAGAATCTTCGAGAGACACAATCTTCGGCTAGCAGTGCTGCTTCCTCTGTTGTGAGCACACCTCATATGAGCAGCAGCGCATCAGCACCAGCAGATGCAAGCGATATCCCTGAGATGCCACCTTTGCCAGCTGCAGCACTCAACGCTAAGCTTCTCGTCACCAAAACAGCATTAGCATCCTTTGAGGCTTTACCTTATGATATGACAGCTACTCCATCATCTACATCACCCACAGCTGCTGATGCTAAGCACAACAAACGAAGATTGCCAAAGAAATTCTCAAAGATCTTCAACAACAACAAGCCAACATCCACCACCACCACCGATAAGCCATTGCCACAAGTACCTCCCACCAAATCCACATCGACATCAGCTACAAACAGCAGCACATGCGAGTCTACAAAGATATCTTTATCCTCTTCATCCAGCAGCAGTGATACTCCCACAGCTCATGCAGCTACAACAACCGGCACATCATCCAAAAGTGGTGGTAGTGGTCCTCCATTGCTCAGCCAACTTGCAGCTGAATTGCGTGATGAGGATGATCACGATGATACGGAGACAATGAGACGCTCTTCATTGGATGGACAATCACGCTATGCTCGACGTCGTGGACCTATCTACTTGAGTCATCTTCAACCCACTGGATTCGAATCTGAGACGGCCGTATACATCGAGGAAGCTGAAGAGAGTGATAATGATGATGGCCAAAGTATACGTACTTTCACGACCAACACTGGAGCAGCAGCAGTCAACTTGAATCGTGGATTGTCTTTGTTATCCAATGCACCCAATCATATCCGCACCTTGTCACTCATTGTGGAGCCTGCTGATGACCGACATGGATCTTCATCGGATGAAGCTGATGTACAACAAAGACCACCCGTACCTCCTCTTGATGCTACCACAACAACAATGGCACCACCAGCAACAATGACGACGACCATGATCAGCAATGCTACCCCAGCAACCATCACCACCTTGCCATCCTCTTCCAATAAGCACAGCTTTATTCTATCCTATCATTCGACCAAGATCGTGGAGCAATTCTGTTTGATTGAGCGTCAAGTATTATTTAGTGTACAATGGGAAGAGCTTGTGGATTGTCAATGGCGAGATGGCATTGCCCCTTCAGGAGGTGTTCAACGACTTATCCAGCGATTCAATGATGTATGTCAATGGGTGTCTTCTGAGATTGTCAGGACCGATACTGTGGATGGTCGAGCGGAAATCATTCGCAAGTTTATTCGCTTAGCGCAGGTAAATTTTGGACAAAGGGAAAAGGATCAGGGGCATCTTAATTAACCTTTTTTTCTTTGTGTGATAAATAGAAATGCAAGATCTATGCCAACTTTGCTACATTGCTACAAATCTTACTTGGTTTACAATCACCAGCAGTGACCCGGTTGAGTGCAACATGGGCTCGTGTCAGTGCAAGTGACATGCGACTTCTCGACCAGTTGATCGAATTCACCTCGCCTATCAAGAATTGGAAGAATATGCGTAGTAGCATGGCACTCGTGGCAGAGGAGTATGGTAGTAACCAGCCAACCACGACACACAATGACAACAACAACAACACCATGGGTGGATGTATTCCGTTCCTTGGCATCTATCTCTCGGACCTCATTTTCAACGCCGAGCTACCACCTTACATTGAGCCATCACGTCGCAAAAACTCGTGTGATTCATTGGTCCTTCAACAACCTCTTGTCAATTTCCACAAGCATCGCATCACCGCCACTGTCATCAAGCGTGTACTCACCTTTCAAAATCTCGCACGGCGTTACCCTTTTACCCCGGATCCAGAATTATATCGTCTCTGCTTGGATATTCCCTCCATTGATCTTGATACCATTCGCAAAATGAGCTTCGATATTGAACCTTAGAAGTTATAATAGTATGTATTATCCTTTATCGTATTTTAGAATGTATATGTATTATGCTTTCTTTCCTTATATATATATATATCTTATGATTTGGATCAAAACGAGAAACAAGCATCGTAAACATAGGGGATTCTAAGGGGGGCCATTGTGACATGATCATCCCAAATGCATGCAGCATGCAGCCAATGACAATGACCAATCATGCTAAACTTTATCACCTGTCATTTGAATGAAGAATGGGGAGGAGCATCACGTGTATTTTACAAGTCGTCGATGTTCTTTTTATTAAAGACAAAGAGGCTATATTATTACATTACTGCAGCATCTATATGGATTATGAGGGAGGGATGAGTTTCTTGAATTCCTTATAGTCAATTTGGCCATCATGGTTGGTATCGGCCTCCTCCATCATTTCCTTGAGTTCGTGTTCGTTGAGGTTCTCACCAAGACGTGTCATGACTTCCTTCAGTTCTTGGATGCTGATGTATCCATCACCGTTCTTGTCAAAGGCCTTGAAGCATTGCTCGAGCTCATCATCTTCATGGAAACTACAACGCTTGCTTGGAGGATAAGATTGAGATCTTTGTGGGGGTTGCTGTTGTCGCGACTTTTTGTCCTCTCCCAGATGGCGTGTCATGGCATGCACGAACTCTTCGAAATCGACTCGGCCATCCTTGTTGCGATCGACAGACTGGATGATTTCGCTAATGTCCTTATCGTTGGCACCCACATTGAGACTCTTCAAAATGTCGGCAAACTCGTTGGCAGCAATAGTACCATCGCCATCACGATCATACAAAGAGAATGCTAGTTCACCACTTGTCAACCTATATACAATCTCGGGAGCGTTTATCGACAATACCTTGCTTGAGTGATTCCCGTTCTTCAGCGTTCAAGTTGTTGTTGTTGTTCATAAGGTGGAAAAGGTCGATAGAAAAAGCCCTGTATTGCGGAGACACTTGTATAATATCACAGCACATGCTTCTGCATGCACCATTCTTGGGACAAGCTCAGACATTTGTTGCATGAATGATACATTGCCTTGCATACAACATCAACATCAACATCAACAACATCCAAGCAAGTACAAAAGAGTGGACATCAACAATGCGAGTCGCCGATTGCATACATGAAGATGAGTTTGTCACACATTGGTGGGCGTCTTGGCATGAAAGAGAAAAGAGCGTCAGCAGCAGCACTAGCAACAACACAGCAACGGGAATCCAAACAAACTCGGGGGCGGTGTTGGAAGGGAAAATGATGTGGTCTCACGCAATGTGATGATGGGTTGTTCTTTATTGAATAAGGTTTGTTATTCTTATTATGCATATACCATCACCATTGGGGTCATTCGTTTAATGCTTTTGTATGGTTTGGTAGTGTGGTGCAAGCGGAGATGACAAATGGGGCTCTGTGCGATGAGGCATATGCGCAATGATGTGATGATCCTTCCATTATACCCAAGTTTTCAGTTTGACGTGTTACTTTTCCCGCGGTTGGACATCTTTCCACAACAAAGTTATTTGGCAACAACAACAACAACAACAACAGCATTACATTTTGTCGGGAGAGGCGCGCTCTCTCGGTTTCCAAATGCGGGAAAGCACATGGTATCCACTGATCTACAACCACACCGGCATTATTAATTGTCCAAGCTTGGCTGATATGAGGTCTCAGGTTTCAGATAAACCCTTCATGTTTTCCATCGGCCTTTTTAACGGCCCGCCAAAATCTCCCATCCGCACCGTCTCCATTGGTTATTTATTGGAAACGCTTGGTCACGATTCGCCCATATCGATTGCGTGCTCTTGCGCCTTACTTTGCGTGCTCATACGCAACATCATTGTCATTCAACCACATCCCCGTGCCTTTTTATTTTTCAAGCTCTTTTCTTCTATTTCTTTTTCTCCTTTTTTGCTTGTGCATGCAGCCGACACAACAACGACTATGCATCGTTCACCTATAGTCGTCGACTACGAGCCAATCTCATACGTCAAACTCACAAAGCGTTTCGGTCGCAAACTTCCCAGCTACATAAAGAGTTATCTCTGCAGCTTCTTTCCTATCGTCACATGGATCCACAGATACAACCTCACTTGGCTATTGTCTGATATCATCGCCGGCGTCACCGTCGGTATTGTTGTCGTTCCACAAGGCATGGGTTACGCCAAGATTGCAGAATTACCTCCTGTAAGTCGTGTTTCATCTATCAGCCATGCAATGATAAAGTAGCTAAAACATCCTATGTAAAGGAATATGGTCTCTATTCATCATTTGTCGGTCTCGCTATCTATTGTTTCTTTGGCACGTCAAAGGATATCAGCATCGGTCCCACAGCTGTCATGTCACTCCTCGTTGGACAAACCGTGATGCGTGTAGCTACACCTGATTCAGGCTATACGGGTCCCCAAGTAGCAGTTGCTATGGCTTTATTCGGTGGTATCATAGCAATAGCTATCGGCATGGTGCGTCTTGGTATTCTCGTTGACTTTATTCCTGGTAAGTATTCCCACATCGAAATCTCATTTGAGTCACATGGATCATCTAAATCTGATCTTTTTTCCCCCCCTCCACTAGAACCTGCTATTGCTGGATTTATGTCTGGTTCTGCCATTACTATTGCCATTGGCCAATACCCCAAGCTGTAAGTTACCCTCCTCCCCCCTCCCTACTATTCAACAGGCCCATGTGCCAAATACTGATGACTTTTCCATCATAGCTTCGGTATGACGGGCGTAGATACCCATGACGCAGCCTATTTGGTGTTTGGCAATTTCTTCAAGCATCTCCCTAACACGCATTTGGATGTTGCCTTTGGATTGATCGGCTTGTTCTTTTTGTATCTCGTTCGATGGGGCACCGGTCGATTGTCACAACGATACCCACGCTATGAAAAAGTATGGTTCTTTGCCAACATCATGCGTAATGGTGTATTGGTCATCTTTGGCACCTTGATTGCATTCTTGATCTCCATTGGCAAGAGCGAAAGCCCTATCAGTGTCCTTGAAGATGTGCCTGCTGGTTTTACAGCTATGGCTGTTCCCAAGGTGGATGTCGATTTGTTGTCACAGATTGCAAGCACGCTACCATCGGTTGTCATTATCCTTATTCTTGAACACGTGGCTATTGCAAAATCATTTGGACGCAAGAACAACTACAAAATCAATGCTGATCAGGAGATCATCGCTATCGGTGTCGCCAATGTGATTGGCTGCTTTTTCGGTAAGGCTTATCTATTTTATGCAACAGCTGTCAGATTTGCTCACATGATGGATGAATGCAGGTGCTTACCCTAACACGGGTTCTTTCTCACGCACGGCCATCAAGGCACGCAGTGGTGTACGCACACCCCTTGCAGGTGTATTTTCTGCCATCGTCGTATTGCTATGCTTATACGCTTTGACACCAGCCTTTTATTACATCCCGGATGCAATCTTATCAGCCGTCATCATCCATGCAGTGTCCGATCTTGTTTCTGGTCCCAAGTTTGTTCAACATTTGTGGCATATCAACCCCCTCGAATTGTTCACTTTCCTCGCAGCCATTATCGTCACCTTTTTCACATCCGTCGAATACGGCATTTACGTATCAGTTGGATTGTCGATCTTTATCATGTTGATTCGTATTGCTCGTCCACGATATGCAGTACTCGGTCGTGTTGCCATCCAGCCATTGAATCAAAAAGAAAGCGATGAAGAAACATACGTTTACGTACGCGAGAATCATCCAACATTGCATGATGTGGTTGAGCCACCACCACCTGGCGTGCTCATCTTTCGATTCGACGAGTCATTGACCTATCCCAACTCGAGCTTTATTTCCGACAAGATCATGCACTATGTTCAAGATCACTTTACATCGGGTGCACCACCCCCAACAACTAAGGGTGAACGTGCATGGAACGATCCAAGCCCCCTTGTCAAGAAAGAGGAAGTTGAAAATGTGATGGCTGAACGAGAAGCATCAGGTCGTCGCTTACGTGCTATCGTACTCGATTTCTCAGCTGTCAATCATCTCGACTCAACAGGTGTACAAACATTGCTCGATTTACGTCTTGCCATCAACCGCTATTGTGGCTCTGAAATTGAATGGCACTTTGCCAGTATTGCCACCCCCTTCATTCGCAACTCGCTTATCATTGCCGGCTTTGGTAAACAAAATGGTCGTGAATCACATCCCTTTGAGCTCGTGCCAATTGTTCCATCACACAGCAAAGATCACAACACACAACACGTTGATGACGACGCCACTGATACTTCTTCCATTGCCACCAACGAAGTCGTATCCACAAACAACAACAACACAACACAAAACATTGAAAAGCAATCCATGTACTATTCCATCAAACAAGTATCGCTTGATTCAATCTCTATGCGATCGACACCTACTGCATCCGGTCAAGACTTGGGTGATGAAGAAGCCTCGATTGCATCATCCAACAACATGGAAAAACCCACAAGTGGGATCATCAACATTAGCAAAAATGGTGACGTGTCCTACTATCCCTTGCTACAACGTGGTGTACCTTTGGATCGATATCCTTTCTTCCATTGGGACCTTGAAGATGCTGTGCGTGCAGCCACCTATGCCAGTCTCAAGGAGTAAACAACGTCATTCCCATTGTCCATCAACAACAAACACCATTCTTTAATACGACCTCATCTATACACACGCTTCACATTCACTCATCCTACCATCCCATCATCATTGTATATCTTCTACTTTGATTTCGTGTTCACCTCCATCCACTCTTTGTACCATAGTCTCACACCCCGTGTTATTTAATCCCCATCAGTATACCTCTCTTTGTATAAAACAAAAGTTCTTTTCTTAACGACACAATTGGGTTCTACCTTGTTCCGCATAGTACATAATATCATCGACATGGTTGCTGTTGTAGCAGGATTCAAATGTTTACCGACCAGATCACCGCTTGCTTTTTAATGGTTCGTGCATGAAAGAGGTGTGATCCAATCAAAAATGCAGTTCTGTTGTTTTCGATCATCCCGTCCCATCATGCCGAGAGCAATGAGCAACATACACAAATAAAGATCCCCCATGATGATGATGCTCATTGTTCTCTTTCTCTCTCACTCCCCCAACTTTCTCCCACCCAAGCATAAAAAACTTGTTGAATTCTGTCAAAGGGACGATGGTCACCCTAAAAAAGAAACAGAGATCGTCCTCCCCTTTCTTATACTATAATTCATCTCCTCACCATCCACCCCCGAATCCATCTTCAGCATATCCACTCACACAACATTATCCTTTTCCCCCCGCCAATATCCCAACATGTTATATATATATATATTTTCTCTCTTTCTTTCTCTTCACAAGCAGAATGGATTAAGTCTTCTTCCCTCCTTTGAATCATTATCATTCTCTTTTCGTTCTTCATTGCAATCGTTTAGCCCTTGTATCGGTCCCTTTCCTGTCACTCTTATATACCAATCACCCATATACCATTTTCATTCACTTGCACACCACGTTGAATATACCCACTCATATCATCAAAATGTCGAGCAACACCACACTTGTCCAACCGCCGCCTCCCTTATCACCTACTATGACTGTATCTACACAACCACAACCACCAACAACAACACCACAACATTGTCAAGAATACCAGCAAAAGGAAAAAGATAAATACACTGTCATTGATCTTGAAAAGAACGACACCCTGAATCGAGAAGAAATCGTGATTCACTATCCTGACTATGACGAGGAAGCTACCATACAAGCCCATCAACATGATCCTTATCGAACAACAACAACGTCGTCAACCAAAACAGGCAACGGATGCTTTTGCATTCTCACCCGGCTACGACGTTTCCGACGCAAGGTGAGATACACATACACATACACACATACATTGCATTTGGATTTCCTGGTTGGGGGGTTTTTCAAATGAATGAGATGAACCGAAGCATCATGAAGCAATTCAGCAGCAACTGACATGCCAGTTAATAATAGCATCGAGAGCTGTTGGCAGAGTTCATGGGTACATTGATCCTCGTGTTGTTGGTGAACGGAGTCTCAGCCGAACAAATTCTGGATGTTGCCAATAAATCATGGTTCACAGGTGCTTGTGGAAATGGTAACGTATATAAGTGAACACCATCATCATTGTAGAGTCAACGTTTACTTATATGCATTGAATGGTATAGGTATGGCTGTATTATTTGCTATCAGTGTTTGTGGCCACATTTCAGTAAGTAGTCATCCAATTCAATCCTCCCCCATATGCGTGTGCTCCCTACTAGTGTCTTTCTCGGTCTTGGCCATCATGATGCTTCACTCCCCCCTAGCCCCTTGATATGTTGTGTGCCTGATTTTAAAAAAGAAAGCTCGACACTAACGCGCTTATCATTTTATAGGGTGCGCACTTGAATCCAGCTATCACCTTGATCTTTTGGATCTTTGGAGCCTTTCCAAGACGTAAAGTTCCGGTGTATATGGCTGTGCAAATGGTGGGTGCCTTTACGGGTTCAGCAATCCTATACAGCATCATTCAACCTGCCATCAATCAATACGATGGTGGCACGCGTGTGGTACTTGGTGATCATGCAACAGCCTCAATCTTCGCAACCTATCCACCCGTGTATGTTGGCATCCCAACATCGATCGCTTCGGAAGTTGTTGGTACAGCATTGCTAGCATTGCTCGTTTTGACAACCAGCCATCCTACCAATCAACCATTTCAATCGATGCAAGGCTGCATTATTGCTATGGGTGTTACATCCATTATTACATCCATTGGTTATACCTCTGGATTCTCGCTCAACCCTGCACGTGATATTGGTCCTCGTGTCTTTACAGCCGTTGCTGGATGGGGTATGGAAGTGTTTACTGCCTTGGATTATTACGCTCTCGTACCCATGTTGGCACCTTTCCTTGGCGCTATCATTGGTGGCGTTGTTTACTCCATCTTTATTGACCACAACCACGACGACGATTTATAACAACATCATCTTCATCTTTTGGATACATACTACTCATAAACCATCCTCCTCTCTCAATCACATTGCTTTTTCTCAATGATGCCGCAGCCATCATAACCATATACACACACCCAAAATTAGCATTGTCCGTGTAAATACTATATAAGCAACAATAGCTAAAATGAAACCTAAACATGCTTGCTTCAATGTGCAACTGTAAATATTGCATGTATAAAGAAAACTTGTCGTTGGAAGGAGATTAGGATTTGTTTTCTCCCATTTCGAGGATGTTGGCTATTACTTGATCAGCCGATGGGCCTATGTATATGATTCTCTCCTTTCTTCAAATGCTACAGCTGGTCAACGTTCCAGACCCGGTTGATACGAATATCTCATATGGTGATCTACAAGCTATAGCTTCATCATAATGACACATTCTTGATGTACATTTCTCCATAAACTTTATCTAAAGCTAGAACAACGGATTTGGAAACCTTATATTGGATGGTGTAAAAGTGATGTGTACATGGTGTATGTAGGTGCATGTACAATGATTTACGTATTCGAGATCCCCCAAATCTAGTGACCATCATCGGTGGAGCATCCGATCAATCAGCATGCAATGTAATGTATCTGTGTGCCTGGTAAAGGGATCGGCAAGGAATCACTGTCCAATCCAGAATTGGACAAATCACACCAGCCATGCATATACACGATGACTAGAACGCGCCCAAACACCTATCACACACCACATGTGGCCCTTATCTCGCTTCATTGTTATATACACGATAATGATCATTGTACTGTAAAAGCAGAATCAATCGGGACCATGAAACGAAAAAAGAAAAGCATATCATTATCGGGTCTAGATTGGAGGAAAAGAAAGCCATTGTCGGTAGCCATCATCCAGCACTCCCTACATTCATTTTCTGAAGATGAAAAAAAGACTATCGGCTTACATTGCATGTTTCAACAACACCAATCTATTTGCATCCATTCAGCTCCTTCGACCCCCAAAGTGAGTCATTTTTCGTATGTGTGTATTTCCCTCATTCAAACACTAAAGCCATTTCCTTTAAATGAAAGGCTTCATGCATCATGTTGACGACCCTATCGGATGCTCTTGATAACACATTTCTCATACGCACTATCATCATCTGCCAACTGCTACATGTAATTCACATGTTTCGGTTCTTCCCGAGCAAGAGCCATTTCCCCTCTACTATTCATGCAACCCAGAACCAACCACAATTTTAAAGACGCAATGATTGTAAAAAAGAACCTCAACAGCCACCGGTTGGTAGTGTATGTTACTTCCCCTCACTCCATGATCATGTTTGCTTGACCTAGCAATTCTTCTTGCTAACAGCTTTGCACGCACTTCTCAATCCATGTAGATCTATGGGATGTCTCAAGGCGTGCTTGTGATACGTAATGAAGAGCCACATCTTTTGTAAGGTATACCCACAGGATACATAAATGGCGTTGCATAGCAACCCTTTGCAGTTGCCATGGACAATAATAGCATCATCAGAAGTTCCACCCGGATTATAAAAGCTGTCAGCCGGATGATGTTGTCATATAACATCAGGGTCTAGCATCGCCCATATGCATCATGAATCATCATCCACCAAAGTACTTTTCATTTCCCTTATATCCACATTTCATTCTACATGCACCTTACGCATTATCAAATATCAGTGTCTATTATGGTGAATATGAAAAAGGAGAACACAATAAAAATGCAGACAAGGTGAAAAGTGAAGGAGACTGTAAATACAGTGTGGAATGTGAATGAGTGAAGATGTTGGGTGTTATGAATGGAAGTTGTGTGTATACAGATCTATGCAACTTGGCAGAGTTGGGCTTCATCCATCATTGCAATCGAGGCACCCAAACACCAGCCTGTTTCAGCGCCTTGGATCTTTTTGGCGGTTCTTACAAGGCGTTCTGGAGGAATATCGTAGCCGATGCGTAACAAGCCATGGATATAAGTAAGTTCGAGACAATAATCGGTGTCGTCTTTGAGAGCTTCAAGTGAACCAGGGAAGTGTTGGAAATATTGGGTTTCGCCACTGCATACACGTTGTGCAAGTTCACCAAGTTCCTCAACTGAAAATTCGGATGGCATTCCCAATGGCTGTGTCATGTCATAGAAGAATGAAAACACGTACAACTCGCGGCCAGTAAAGGTGTCGCTGATAGGAGGTTGATACATGCCATCAAATGCACAAGGTGCAACGACACAGCTCTTGTCTTTGTTGAAGATGCGTTCCACAATACCACGGCATTCAGCATGACCTGCGCCTGTACCAACAAGTGTTGTCTTGTTTCCATCGACATCCTCCCACGTTTCGGTATGGCCATCAGGAAGACAAGGGTGATAGACACGTCCTGCACGCTTGGCTTCATCCTTCCATAATTCCACCATCTCAGCCTTGATGCGTTTACGTGCTTCGTTCAATCCATATCCAAGATACGAGTGCTGATACAAGGTGTACTGATCTTCGCCATAAGTAAGTGCATACTTGTGCTCTCCTTCAGCCATTTGATCATTTTGTCCAAATGTTGGTTCAAACACAATCTGGGTTGATGCGCCACCCAAGTCAAAAACAGCTGCTGATTTGCCACGTTGATCCTTTTTGAGCTTGCCGAGTAAATAATTGACAGTGATCCATGCATAGACACCTACAATGAAAAACCCCACCCCCATTAATCATTTAATTTACATATCGCATGGCCCAATTTGTAATAAATACCTTCATCTTTGCCATCCATGATTTCAACACCTCGATCACCACCAGCAATAGGGAAAGGATATTGACTTTCGAGACGTGCACGTACAGCTTCCAAGATGGCTTTACTCTTGCCTTCACCTAGCAACCGAAGACCTGCTGTTGCTTTAAGCATGATAGGTGTACAATGATGTAAATCGGTGGGCACATTGTCAAGAGCCACCTTCATCAATTCATCCAAAGAGCGTGCTGCAGCGTCGGGATCGTTCTCGTACGATGAAAGACCAGGCTTGATAGGATAAAAGACTTCATCTTCAAGTTCAGGTTCCTCTCGACAATAGTTGAAACGATATACATGAATGCGTGATCCAGAAGAACCGGCATCAATCATCAAGGCGTATTGGATAAGTGGTCGTCCTGGATGTGGGTTGGTGCAATGTTCAGAAGACGATGATCCATCTGTGGCTGTTGACTGGTTTTGTTCTTCCAATGCTGTTTCCTTTTCCTGAGTGGGTTGTTGTTGATCGACTGTGGGATTAGTTGTTGCGGTTGCTACATGAAGAAAGCGATATTAGGCACAAAGAAAGGCCATAAAGATACCACACCATCCTACCTGGATTTTCAGTATTATTGCTGATAGAGTTGGTGATATGTTGGTATCGATCGGTTGGTACAAGAGCATACAACAAGAGCAAAATGGCCGTTGCACCAATGGCACACTTGATGAGAAGCGACTTGCGAGACTTTGTATTGTTCATCATTTTGGTGAGCCAACTCCTTTGCCGGTCCAGCTTGATGGAAATGGAGCTTTGGCGTGAGTGATGGGAGAATGAAGAGGAGGAAGTGGGAGGAGGAGGAGCGAGGGTATGCAACGGTAGCTGATCAATGTTGGACACGATGGTTGCAAGTGGAAGAGGGGGAGGAGGGGGAAATAAAAGAGAGGAAGAACGGATGCCTCAGCAAGAAATAGCAAGGAACGATGTCCCTCACTTTGACTTGAAATAGCACACAAAGTCCAAGCCCGACATGGCAAGTATGATTGGATGTGTCGCTTTGCTAGTGAGGCCCTTAATGCACAGACCTTATTGGACATACCAGGGATGCCTATCCATGGATGAATATGGCGAGATAGATTGAGACATGGTTGATTCAAGGTCAAACTGCATTCAACCAAATCATGTCGGGTTTTGCATAAAGAATCCAAGAAGCTCCTCTTCCACTGCTTTGTCGTGGGCTTTGATGCTAAAAACAAACACAGGTTGACATTCTTGGTTATGCTTTCTTTTCCTTTTTGCCATCACTTGACTTCCTGATGAAATACCCATGCCTACCCTACTATCCCTTTTGATTCCTCTTTAGCCATCAGTGTAACAAATCACGAAGAGGATGTTTATGCAACTGGGAATCAGAACCACCTTTTTTGATCATTGCCGCTTCTTCTAAGCCTTTCACGCAAACGACCGAAATGGATAAGAAGGAAATGAAAATTTTCTACAATCAAGCTATCTTATTATAAAGAACCAGTATGCATCATCCAAATAAGAGGAAATGAGCGTTGTTGTATAATTTGGATAGTGCCATAGTGTGGCTGAAACCTTTTCTCAAGAAGGGATCGACTTTTTGTGCGACCTACTCAGCTCCCAAGAAGGCTGAGCGGGGAATTAGATCAGTTTTCTTAGGCTTCTACCACCATAATTCATCCTCCAGTCAAATCAGCTGAATTATTCCCGTGCGCTTGAGATGCATATCTCTAGTGCACGACGGCGCTGATGGTAAGCAATGTTTACAGAAAATGTGTCGTCAGGGTCGATGGCGTTAGTGCATGACATCGGCCCACGAGCTACAAACAACTGGATAGCAAAGAAAGCAAGCAATGCATTAAATTGCGTTTTGTGTATTTTTACTCTATTAGGTGTTCAACGCGCTAAAAATAAAGAAAAACTTTGTTCTTTCTGGTTACACACCATGTCACCATTGCTTGTCATTGTGCACCCCTCCTTGTTGATGCTGGTATCCTTGTTGTTGATGAGCTGGGTCGTATGGTTGTTGCTGTTGATGTTGCATTTCAGCCATCTCAATCTTGACTTCAGGATGATGATCATCTTCTTGTGGATCTTCCTTGATATTGGCAGCCAATTCAGTGCCTACACCAGCACGCGTACCCCAACCAACCTATGAGCGTATATACATTAGTACTCATGTACAAGAAAACAAATATGCATCATGCTCATCACCCCCGCCTCTGATCACATGTATATATTCTTCCTCCTGTACTCACCTCGTGCAATGTAAATAAGGCGTAGATTTTCATGATGGCAAAGTAATAGTTGAAAATGAGCCACGCTGGGATCACCCAAACATCTTGTGGTCGACGTAAAAAGTGTGGTAGCAGCTTGACGAATCGAGTAAGCAATAACCAACAAATGTATGATACAGCAATGTTCCATCCTGGCAAGGGATTCATTTCTTGAGGGATGAAGACTGTTTGCTTGACAGCAAAAATGGTGACCAACACCGGGCCAACGAGAAGCGTGAAAGGATTAAAGATCTTGTCCACCATGGTAAAGGCAACATAGGGATGGCGTGTCCAAATGTATCTCTCCATAAACAGGGAGCGAAAATCGGATCGCCACGTGTTACGGGTCCATCGCAGTACTTGTTTGAGGAATCGCCAGTTGTTTTTAAATGTTGAATCAAGCTCGGCTTCATTGCAGATTTGTGCATACGTATTCCATCCATGAGACACCATCCATCTCGTAAGGAACTTATCATCACCAGAGTTCAATGGATACTTGCCGACCCATAAATCATTGGTGAAGCAATATTGGAAAGCAGGATCCTTGAGGATAAGTGTACGATAAGCAGCTGTGCGACCTGACAAGCAGCAAATACCACCATCGATATGCGTGGATGCAGCAATTTCAATGTTACGACTGGTTAATCGAAAACCTGCCAAGATTTCCCACATCGTTTGGCGTCCATTAGGATTAACAGCGTGCACCTTTTGGCTGGTACCCACACCACCCATCTTCATATCTTCAAAGCATGCAAGGATATAATCGAGCATTGTTGGCTTCCAGATCGCATCGTCATCAGCAAATACAAGGATTTCAGTTGTGGTTGCATTTACACCGGCAACCATTTGAAGTCGTTTGTTGGCTCTGGGTACGGTGAGGACACGAATTTTAGATGGGTCAACCTCGTTGGCGAGTTCCTGAAGTGGTCCCAGCATTTTTGTCTCTGTAATAATAATGATCTCTTTTGGTTTACAAGCTAGCCAACTTCGTGCTGCAATCTTGAATTCTTCACCGGCGTCGATAGTTGGTACAATGATAGTGACATCTTGTTCAGCATTGTATGTTGGGTTTGCTCGTGGTCGTCGTGGGCTGTATGTAAGCCATGCAATGATACGGATGAGATACCAAAGATAACGGTATGCACCAATCACACCCAGTGGCAAAAAGAAGGGCAACAACCCCAGATCATTGGTTAAATAAAGCATCTGCTGCTGCTGCTGCTGCTGTGTATATGTAGAAAGAAAGAAAAAAGGAAAATGGAAGGAGTGGATGCGTTGAGCTCAAGATAAAGGGCGAAAATATATGGCTCGATGGGGGATAAGTATGACTGGTAACAGATGAAAAAAGTGTAAAGCAAGCAAGGGGGGGAAAAGAAAAAGAAAAGGGAAAAATGAGATCTCTGCAACTGAAAACAGTACAAAGTTGAGTCGATTCTTTATTTAGGACCGAGGGAACACAAGGTGTTGCTAGCCAGGGAAAGTCTAATAATTATTGTCATACACGGTAGGAATAACTCTTCGCCCCGATATTTATACATCTCAAAGCCTCATTGATCTCAGCTTCTCCAATAGTTGATCTTCCTTTTGGGTATTGTCCACTTTCAAGTCTTGCAAGGAACGCTTTTCTTTGTCTTCCGAATCGAAAGGGTAGTGGTATACACATGTCCTGTTCTCCTTTTCCCCGTCTTCCAGGATGTCGGGGCTCTTGTATGGATGCTGCCGCATATAGCTACATAGGTTGCTATGGCAACGCACCGTATCCAAGTAACGAATAACACTCAACAGCTCACGTTCACCATGCTCACGAAAGATGGATGACTTGTGATCAAATGTGGCGAGATGGATAGCATTGTAGGGTTGAAGCACAGCTTTGGCAGGGGAATCATCAAGGAGTATGGTGTTGGTGGCATCAAAGTTGTCATTGGCAATTGAAGAATCCCGCCATATAAATTCGAGGTCTTTGATGGTAACTGATTTGCGGTGATAATCGGCATGGGTCAAGCCAAGATGTGTGCGATCCCACACCTTGTACAGCTGTGATCGATATCCACCAAACATACGGCACATGTTGTCGACTGAATGTGGTTGCGCTGAACTCCATACCATAACCGTAAAATGCTGAAAGAGGTACTCAAGGAATTCATCATGATACGGCCTGACATACATCCCTCTGTATCCACCCCTTTTACCAGTGCGGCTCACCTAAACGTATATAAACCCCCTTGTCAATCAACCTATACTCTATCTGTGGCTTGCTGTATCTTACCAAGGTACCATTGAGATCAAGCACAATGAGTTGCTTTCGGGTTTCTTTGCGATCGCATGCCACCGATTCTTGCTGCGACAACTTGAGATACTGTTCGCTGGGTGTACGGACCTTGGGTTGACGATGCTGCCCTCTGTTGGTCTTGATCATGGGAGGATCGGTCTTTACTGATGGCTTCATGGCGATCCGTGGTTTACGCAAGGAACAAGATAGAGTTGAAAAGATACGGTGAACGATTAAGGTAATTTTGATAAGGAAAAAAAGGAGGACTCGGATTTTGATCGTTACAAGAATGATTCAAGTTATGCCGCTCCATTTCCTGGACACTTTGCAACCATCAAGGCACTCTTCCAAGTTGCATGAACATAGCTGCATTATATACGGGGTGTGTATTCAAAGCATAGACAACATGTAATAAATAAAAGCATCGAGCTTCAATAGGTCCTTATCATGCCATTATTACATTTGAGATCACCACTAGTTGCTTGTGAAGGCCTATGTTTGGCAACACCTACATGCATCCTCTTATTCGCACATTGCTCATGTATGCTTCAGTAGAAGGGGATATAGGATCTTGTTTATTCCACAAGACATCACCGGATCTATGCAATGTCACAAATAAAAATGCCACATTGTTTGTCTAGTGCACTTTTTTCCCTGCTCTTCCATCTTGTTCTCTTGAAACATACAAATGTCCCAGCAACACGTCGTATTGAATCGCACCGGTGATAAGATGCCACTTGTTGGCTTTGGCACATGGAAAGTCCAAAGCGATCAGGCGGAGGATGTTATCTATGATGCGATCAAAGTGGGCTATGTGAGTTCTCTTTCCACACACTTACACACACGTGACGAACGCGTTCTTATTAAAGGCTCATGCGCTGCTTCGTATAGCGCCTTATAGATGATGCTTGTGATTATGGCAATGAGCAAGCGGTTGGCAAGGGTATTGCACGTGCCATCAAAGAAGGCATTGTGAAGCGTGAGGACCTATTTGGTGAGTTGTTGTTAACAAATTCAAATTACAAGCAAAATGCTGACGCGCACCTTCAGTGGTGACCAAACTTTGGAACACGTATCATAGCAAGGATCATGTTCAAGAGGCATTCAATAGACAACTCAAGGATCTTGGATTGGATTACATTGACCTTTACCTCATCCACTTTCCTGTTCCTCTAAAGTATGTACCACTCGACAAGGCCTATCCACCTGGTTGGTATCAATCGGAGCAGGCTACCAAAGTAGAGTATGAACGTTCGCCTATTCATGAATGTTGGCGTGAAATGGAAAAGCTCGTGGATAGTGGCAAGGTGCGCAATATTGGGGTATCCAACTTTAACGTGCAATCAATGTTGGATCTTTTCACCTATTGCAAATACAAGCCTGCTACTCTCCAAATTGAGATACACCCTTACCTACCCCAGAAACGCCTAGTTGAATGGGTCACTTCGCATGATGTGCATATCACTGCTTATTCTTCCTTTGGTCCGGTGTCATATGAAGACCTTACTGATGATGGCCGTAAAGCGAAACCTCTTCTCCAGCATGATACTATCAAATCGATTGCCAACAAAAAGGGAAAGGACCCAGGACAAATCCTGTTGCGTTGGGCTATACAACGTGGTATTGCTGTTATCCCAAAGAGTACTCATGTTGAACGCATGAAAACCAATCATGACCTCTTCTCTTGGGAACTCACTGATGAGGAAAACAAGGAATTAGACAAGTTGTCACAAGGATTACGTTTCAATAGTAAGTTGTCTCTCTATGCGATTTTGACACGTAATTCTCATTTCATGCATGATGTCTCTTGTAGATCCTGATAGCTATGGCTTTGACCTCCCATTGTTTGCATAAAAGACCAACAACTTTAAGAATAAAAAACGTTGTACAGATCGAGTTTTGTGTTTTCACATAGGCTAAAATGTTTTATTTGAGTGAAACAACATGCCTCTACTTGCGTTGCTTTTGGGCAAGGAAGTCGGTGTGTTCCTGGTAAGGAGCCTTGGTGAACTCGGTCTTGGACCAGAGATCTAAAAGATGGGGGATGATTAGTTTCCATGGATACGGTAGCATGGGGGGTGTGATTTTACTTACCAGGAGTCAAGAAACCATAGGTGTTACCAATAGCAGCGAAGGTAGCCTTAACAAAGTTACCAAGAGTGCGAGTGGAACCACGCGAGGTAGTGTAACAATCGACGATACCAGCAAGTTGCAAGACCTTCTTGGGAGTAGGAGCAGCAACGAGACCAGCACCACGAGGAGCAGGGATCAAACGGCAAAGAGCAGAGCCACACTTGCCAGTGACCTTGCAAGGCACAGTATGGGGTTCACCAAGAGCAGTACCCCAGTAACCGCGGCGGACAGGAATAACCGAGAGCTTGGCAAGAATGATGGCACCACGAATAGCAGTAGCAACTTCCTTGGAGCACTTGACACCCAAACCAACATGACCATTCGAGTCACCAATGACAACGAAAGCCTTGAAACGAGTGCGTTGACCGGCACGGGTTTGCTTTTGAACAGGCATGATCTTCATAACCTCATCCTTGAGAGATGGGAGGAAGTAGTCGACAATTTGGTATTCCTTGATAGGCAACGAGAAGGTGTAGATCTCTTCCATGCTCTTAATCTTGCCAGCCTTTACGAGACGACCAAGCTTAGTCACAGGAACCCTTTCAACACGCCAAATGTTAATGTCAATATCCAATGCCTTCCACCATTGACCCTTCTTACCATTCAGTCTTTTCGTCACCACGGCGTCCACGGCCGCGACCGCGGCCACCACGACCACGACCACGTCCAAAACCACCACGTCCTACAATAGACAAGAGTCCCAATGGGTCAATTATTCGGGTTCTCGTAGGCACACAATAAGGATTTTGACTTACTATCGGCCGGTGCGGATTCAGCCATTTGCTACAAGATTCATCCATTCATTCATCCATTAGCATCATTCATCCATCCAACTCATTCATCTCTCCATCCATCGTTTGGTCGAGGTTGGTAGATGCCTTACATACTATATTGAATGTGAAAATTCAAAGAGGAGGATCCATGGCCTTCACATCCACATGGTCGACATGATCCGCCAAGTCCGCCGTCACGACGCAATATGTTTGGCTACTCGAATTCCTTGTATCACTAAAGTCAACTTTCCCTCGCTCCACCACCATCATTTCCTCCTTCATGCAATCCAATCATTGAGATATCACAACTGAGCTATATACAAAGATCTCATATTTTATACAAGTTAGCTATTCAAATAGTAATTTCGACATGTCACAATAAAAGTAGGGAGATTCGAGAGCCTACAACACATTCCCAAACATAAGCAAACCACCCCATACTTTGATAATACATCATTGATCTCACCCTTTTGGCAGATAATCGAAGGTAAGGATCGTACGTAAGCATTCCCTAAAGGATACACGAGGTTCAATGGGAAGACCTTAACAACAACAACAACAACCCATATCCATGGAACTTACTTTGAGCAGCATGAGAGCATCTTGATCCAGCTCCAAGTAACGCTTGTATTTTCTTTTAAACGTTTGATTCAGATCCCTCGACTTCCATGCTGTGAAAAAAGTGTAAGTAAACGTTTATCATCGAGTCCAATGAAGTACCCTATGTACCTGGAAAGCAAGGGTTGAAGTCTGGTAAATGTCCAACACCAAGCCATACGTCGTTGTTAGGTGTACCAAGTAGCTGAAATATATGAAAGAGCTGATCGATCTCGGAATCGCCTTCAGGGAATTGTTGCATGATTAGCAATTCCATCATCGCATGCATATATCCTTTTTCAATGACTCACCAGGAAAGATAGGATCCAAAGTCATCATTTCGGCAAAGATACAACCCATACTCCACACATCCACTGCTGTTGAATAGAAGGCCGTCCCCAGTAGAATTTCGGGTGCTCGATACCATCTTGTCACGACCTATATGGTTATCAAATCAGTGCATGTGATCAAGTAAGAGACGCTTTACAACTTACATTGTGGGTGTAAGCACGCATTGGGATGTCAAATTGACGAGAAAGACCAAAGTCAGCAATAATGAGCCGGCCACTAGATTCCTCAAGGAGTAGATTCTCGGGTTTGAGATCACGATGGATGATGCGCATTTTGTGACAATAAAGTAAGCCGCTGAGAGCCTGGTGCAAGAACGACTGGAAACCGATCCCATTAATCCATAGTCCATCATGTTGCTAGCCATTTGCATACCTTGATGTGGGCTGATGTGACACCTTCACGCCCGTATTTTTCCATATAAGTACGTAGATCCTAGACAACAATGAAAAATGCGAATGTGGTCAATGAATCATCACGTGGTATGTTTTGCTGCTTGATTACTACCATATCCAACAAATCCGTCACAGCGTAGATATAAGCACCATGATAGATGAGATCCTGCAGTCTTGAGAGAGAGATAGAATCCATGCATCCATCCATGTGAGTATAGGAACGCATGACTTGGAAGTAAAGGATGATCCTATTACCTGAGTACATTTCGATGATTCAGTTCCTTCAAGATAGCCAATTCACGTAATACTGTAACAGGTACTCCTTCTTGATATCGATGCAAGTTCATCTTTTTGATCGCCACATAGCGGTTTGACAACCGTTGTCGTGCCTTGAAGACTTGTCCATATGAACCTTCACCAATCTTTGAGAGCTTTTGATAGCGCGTAAGCTGTTCATCAAGATAATCCTCGCTGTCGGTAGCATCGCTAATGTCGCTGATAAAACCGTTATCCTTCTTGGGGCCTGGACCTTCTTGCTGTTGGCAGTTGACATTGGGAGGAATCAATGTTGTCTTGGAAGCCTTCATTGAACCTGGATGGAATTCCTTGGCAATGTGCTCAAGTGCTGGTGTGTCAATGTCGGCCAACTATGACTGTGGTGCTTGAAAACGGTTGGAAGTTTGAGAAAGGCTTATGGAGAGTTGGAGGATATGAACAAAGAAAAGACAATATGGGGGATCGGACTCGGCGGCATGAATGGGGGCCCTATTTAAGCGTGAATACAGCAAGCATCATCATCATCATCATCATCCTCGTTCTCGGTACCGTAATTAATGACACCATTGTATCCTTACATAGATCAACAGTACTTGGAGTTAATATTGATACAATGTTGCTTAATATCATCCTTCTCCACTCCATTGCAAATACATTGCCTAATGGGGTTCCATACGCTACACCACTAAGATGTTGGTAGTGCTTGCAAGTTGGTTGCCCAAGTGGGAATGTGTATTCAAAGAAGAAATCAATGGCTTTTCTTATCATCTTTTGGGAGAAGCTGTGGTCATGGAAAATACATGATTGTTGTGGTAGTCAAGCAACGTGTGACACGAGGGAAAAGGCTGTTTCGTAGTTTACAGGAATAGAAGGAATTGGTTGCTCTTGAACGTCTTTTTATCCATTCACCGACACCCATCTGCAATCTAGAAACTTTGGTATTGCGATCCACAACGCACAGTATTTGAACCACGCTTCGTTTTCTTTCCACGTTTGACTGCGCGCAATTCTCAAGAAAACGCAACCGACACTCTTTGCAAGTTACTAAATGTATCATCCTTGTGCACAATCGACCCCATCGAGACGACTTTCGAAACAGAGCAGTTTATTGTAACACTCGACCATTCCCCCCAACTTCTATTTGAATCGATATACCAATCCAGGATACGAGCCGCCTTATGAGCAAACAACCGTCTAGGAGGTTCAACAAAAGAACACAAGGACGTCGAGACAATGATTACAGCAGGAAGACAACAACAACGACACCCCAAGGAGGTGATGATGGACGTAAACGCCAACTCTTTGACCCTTTCTCTGATAATCCTATCGCCTTCAATCGTTCCACCACTGTTGATAAGCAACAAGAGACGCAACCACAGATAACCACTGCCACCAGTGGAAGACGATCTTATCTTGCACAACGTCGCGATGGCCTTTTCCTTCGCAACATGGATGATAATCAGCGACGTGAGAAGAAGAACAACAACAACAATCATCGTCGTCTTTGGGATCCAAATGATGACAAGAAACCACCCATGGTATGTGTTTATTATAATGGCTTATTGTCATGTCATGTGCTAATAATCTTTTATATATCCATAATAGCAACTACCACAACGTGATGATCCACCAGTACCCACTGTTGCTAGACGCCGCTCACCTCCAACATCAGCAACAACAACAACAACAACATCACCACCACAATCGAATTCAGTGAAAGATCAACATAAGCGCAAGATCAAAGCTATGTTTGCGAGTATCCAAGATATTGAAGGAAAACTTGTCAGCGTGGATGCCGAAGCTAGCAAGCTTGAATTTTTCAAAAATGAGCATGATGAACATGATCGACAGCAAAGACAACGAATGATGGATTCAGTGGATAAAAAGGAACAACGGCCCCTGACTCAAGTTGATCTAGACATGGCAGGTGAAATGTGGCGACAAAAAGTGGAATTGCATATAGCATTGGCCGACAAATATCTTGACCTCATGCAGTTTGACTATGCGTTTGCCGAGAAAAAGAGTTTGGAGAGTCTTTGTTGGAAACGTGCCATTTATTCCTTGGTGGAGCAATTTCGAACAGCCTTCAAGATCAGAATGACAGAAGCTGAAGATCCAGAAGAGGAGGGTGATGAATTGGAAGAAGAGGAGGAAGATAATGTGATCGCCGAAAGCACAGTCGACATGCCGTTATTTTCTGATATGGGAAATGACGATTATGAGGATGAAGACGATGAGGATCAAAAAGCAGCTTTGGTCACCAAATCAATGGAATTGGACAAGCTAAAGGAATGGTTTGCGGATTTCTTGGATCAAGCGGATGATTTCTACAGAAGATCAATGTCGATATTACGATCGATGGATACCTATTCAGAGATGGATGAAGAACAGCATTTGCAAGAATGGAGAAGAACCCATCGACTCAAATGGTACAAAGCCGTTCCTAATCGTGGCGATCTTGCTCGTTACCGATGGACCTATGCATCGAGGGATGAACTCACATTTCGTGAAGCTTGGCAGTGGTACGCATTGGGAGTATGGTTGATGCCTGCTACTGGGAAGCTCTATTTTCATCTATCCTTGTTGATTCATGGTGCCAATGCAGCGGATCCAACACGTGATTTGCATCGTCTATATTTCAGTATCCGGAGTTTGATGGTTCGTCGCAATGGATTCTTGAATGCAAGAGAAGGAATGATTGTATTATTCGAGAGCAATCGTCGATGGGTCGACAAGTATCTCAAAACGGTCCAATCCAACAAAGGATCACGCTTTGGTAATCGAGGCAAAAAGATGAGACAAGAACAGCAGCAGCAACAGGAACGATTAGCAGCAACATCCCAAGACATTGCCGCAGCCTTGTTTATACGTCTTCATGGAATGCTATTCACCAAAATCAGCTTGGATCAATTTGCCCAAATCAAACGCCGATTCTTCGATTGTCTCTTTCCCGATGCTTCGCCGAATGAGAGTACTGGTGTTATCGGCAATGATGATACAACACATGATTCACCAGCAATCAATGATGGTCGACTGGATATCCATGAAATGTTCTGGTTTGAGGCAGCTGTGATTTGCATATCGTCATTATACAACTACGATTATGCATCATCCAAGTTTACCAAGTTGAGCGTACTTCAAGGCAAACGTTTGTATGCCGAATCAGCAGCAGCCGCATCAACTGAGGATCCAACAAAGAGTGATAGCTACAACGATTTGGTGGAAGAGCTCAAGGACAGTATTTTGTTTGCGTACAATGTGGATTTGATGACGAGTATCGCCGTTCAACTCTTTCGACGTTTTCTGGATCGATCACTTTTACCACCAATTACTCCCAATCTTCCCTTGCTACCACCATCGCCTCGCAGCTTGAATGACAACTATGGTTTCATCTTTGAACGCAGAGATTTACATACATCATTGAATGACGGCAACGATGACGACGACAACAACAAGAAAAGCAGCATGAATGAACCTTGGATTATATTTATTGAGACGATGTTGCATTGGATGGTGGTCAATTCAGTGTGTCAGCGACCTGAAGGAGGAATCAGCTTATGGGAAGCACTTGTCGGCAATCCTGCTCCTGATTTATTGAAGAGAAACATTGCTGAGGATGACAATGACAGTAAAATCTCCCCGATGTTTTGGCCGCTGTTGCTCGATTTTCTCAACAACCAGCTGCAATCTCTTGAGGATGATATCAAATACGAGGTCGTGAATCAATTCTTGCTCGATGATGATGGCGATGATTGCAACTCGAGCAAAGAGCACTCCCAAGCGGAATACGCATTTGGCAGACTTGTTACTAAGGTCCTTGGTAAAAAGCCTATTCTTCCCGAAGAGATGCATATGCGTGGTCTAGGATGGGTGGATGACATTACCGGAAAGCTTCTCAAGATCACTCCTCTTTTGAACGACACACAACACGAGACACCATTCCCTGGTTCTGGCTACGACCTTCACACTCAACGTAAGATCAAGGTACTCAGTTACGGATTTGCTCTTGCCAAGGTAAGATCATTGTATACTTTTCATTTGTGACATTCGCGCTGATGTATCATTTTGCAGCAAATGAGCCATGTCTTTTGCTATGATCCAGTACTCGAGATATTTGTTGTCAACAAAGGACTTGAAGAGGAAATCGATATGCATCAAGAAGAAGATGATCACGTGCAATCCCCCATCTCCAATGTCAGCCAAGGAACGGAGAGTGATGAAAACAATGAACCACCACTTGCACCAACAATCGAAGCCATGGATGATGCTGTGCTTTTCTCGAACGAAAATGATTCTGTGGATGAGGATGGGGATGATGATATGCTCACTCAATTGAAAAAGAGACGTGAACAATTACAAGCTATGCTCACTACCACTTCCGGCACCAACACCAATCATCGACGTGCACTTGGTCGTCTTAAAGAACGTGAGGCTCGTTTGAATCGCCTTCGAGAGAGGGTTATTCCAGGTCAAACGGTGATTGTACTTGATACCAATTGCTTCATTGGTCACATTGATCATGTCCAACGTCTTATCCAAAGTAACAAATGGTCTATTGTTATCCCACTTGTTGGTAAGTTAACTTGCATACATGAACAGGAAATGGATTCTTATCATATTCTTTGTATAGTGGTTACTGAATTGGATGGTTTACGAAGCAACACACCTCCACTGGGTGAAATAGCCGGAGAAGCTCTCAAGTTTATTGAAACGACGCTTGCAACAAAGCAACGGAGTAACACCCATCTAAGGATTCAAACATCGCACAACAATTTTATGCATGACATTTCGATTCGCTCCGAGCAATTCGTATTTGGTGAAACGGACAAGAATTTGGATGATCTTGTTTTATCAGCCTGTTTGTGGTGGGCACGCGATAGCGAGAAGGATGACCATGCACGGGTATGTCTAGTGACGGGTGATCGCAACCTTAGCGTCAAAGCCCGTGCTCGCGACATTGATGTTATGTCAGTTTCAGCTATTATGCAATTAACTCCAAAGAAATAAACATGACATCTCTTATCCAAAGAATCAAGTTAACCACCGTGTGTTAAGGAAATGGCTATCTTATAAGATCTAATCACGAAAGAGATGGGGTGAACTTATGCTACATATCAAACACAGCCTTGTCCAAGCTCAATGGATCCATAAGACCCTTTCTCATCCCCTCGTTTTCCTTTATCATAGCATCATTACTGTATTCGCCATAGCATCATCCTTTGTACAATACAATGCATCAAGTATCCTCACACGAGAAGGAAGGTTTTTATAGAAAATGAGAGATGGCTAGCCAATGCAACCTCGTATTCGATAAATTTTTTAATCCGGCATCATTCACAAGAGAGAGAGAGAGACGAGAGGTACAACTAAATTGATCGAGTGGGGAGATACATCGACTTGGAAAGTTTCTAGCTGTTGGATGTGCATTGTGCAAAGGTGAATGGATGACACTTGATGCGTAGTGGTGAATCAATGGATGATGATGGTTGTACATGGCTGACAGGTTGCACACAAAGGATGGTGATGATAGCTGACAGGTGTAAGGTGCGATCATTGGATGCACCAATCGCTTAGGGTGATAGCATCAAGCATGATGGTCAAGTTGACAATGGATACTCTCTTTTTCGACGCGTTGTACGTACCCAATTCCTTCCATTCCATGCACCAAACCAATATCCATATCCATAGCCATATCCATAAGAAGTCGTATGTATTAAAGTAAGTCGCTACACGTAAATAAAGCTGCTTCTATATAATGGCTATCTTGCTGTCCACGTGAAAAGGGTCGCAAGGCAGTTGCTGCAAGTAAAGGTACGTTGTTTGAGACAATGGAGCAAAGACCTTGCTAATAGCAATTGCTGGAATGAATGCTGTTACGATTGATCGTGGTAGAGGAGTGTACAAGAGAAAGTGCCAAATAAACACGGGTGTTGTAGTGGGTACACACGCCATGGACTTGCCATTCAGTCAAAGACAATCGGTTCAAGGCAGTTGTAGGAAAGACATGGTGGGTTGAAGCAGGGCAATCGTTCGCAGGTGGTAGTTGTATACTTGAATGGGGCAACAGTTGAGAAGTGGAGGAAGAGGCAAGAAGCTGAGAGTGGAAGAGCTGCAAATTAACTTGATTGTTCTGATACTTGGATGATCTTTTTTGCTTGAGCGTAACTCAACCAAATCCTCTCGGATCAAGAAAGTTGAAGGATGGGCATGATGAGCTGGAGCAGGGGAATCGTTCACATTCATTGGGTTGGGCAACAAAGGTGATTGGGAGGAATGGGCTATCAAGTGGCAGTTTACAAATAACTTACCAATTTGATTCTTCTGATATTGGATGATGTTTCTGTGTTTGAGCGTAACTCAACCAAGCCTTCTCGGATCATGAAAGTTGAAGGATGGGCATGCTGGGCCGGAGCAGGACAATCGTTCGCATGCGTTGGGTTGGGTTAAAAAGGGTGAATGAAAGGAATGGGCTGTTAGCCGGCAGTTTACAAATAACTTACCAATTTGATTCTTCTGATATTGGATGATGTTTCTGTGTTTGAGCGTAACTGACCCAAGTCTTCTCGGATCATGAAAGTTGAAGGATGGGCATGCTGGGCTGGAGCAGGACAATCGTTCACATGCATTGGATTGGGCAACAATGGAGAATGGGAGGACTAGGTTATTAGCTGGTATTTTGAACTATTCCTAAACAGTGTACAAGAATCATGCATCGCCTGTGCTGAATGACTCAAGTTACACAAACACGCTCTCTGCATCTTTTGCTCAATTATAGTCATACTACTTTGCATTAAACAAAGACCACTTCTCATATAGCATCACGCTTACAAACATAAAGGTGCCTGTATCTCCGAACTTTACAATGAAACGTGGGGTTTTTATTAGAGCAGTGTGCTCGGCTTGGCCAACAGCATCTTGGGTGCAAGTTTCACGATCAAGCTTGCCAATCCCAGATTTCGCAATGTCGCCACCAGCCAAACTGGATCTGGGGGTCAACCTCTTCAACGACGACGACCAAAAAATAATTTTTGGGCTGTTTGCGACATTGAACGCGCTTTCACACAAGGTGCTGTTGGCCAAGCCGAGCCCATTGCTCTATTCAAAACCCCACGTTTCATTGTAAAGTTCGGAGATACAGGCACCTTTATGTTTGTAAGCGTGATGCTATATGAGAAGTGGTCTTTGTTTAATGTAAAGTAGCTAGACCCTGACAGAGCAAAAGATGCAGAGGGTCGTGTTGTGTAACACAGCTACGTTTGCATGAATGAAAGGGTCAATGTATAATTACTTTATGGATCGTCTAGGAACAGGCATGTATTGCTAGCTAACGGCCACTTCTATCCAATCATCGTTGCTCCGAGATCCACTGCATGGGAACGATGCCCCTACTCCAGACATTCATTTCCATGATTAAAGTAGGTTGATCCGAGTTGATTTGACTGAGCTGCGTTCAAAGAGAGATTAATCACTCTGGACATAAAGCACGCTCGATGTAGCTCAACCGATGTAATCTTGTGTGAGTGTAATTCAACCAAATCAGCTCGGATCAACCTACTTTAATCATGGAAATGAATGTCTAGAGAAGTATCGTCCAATCTACAATAGAATGCACAAAAGTTGGGAATGCAATAAAAGTGGCTATTAGCTGCCAATGTATGACATCAAAGTGAGGGTTGCGTACCATTCATGCATTGTCCCTGAAGTCCTGACTTTTTAGCTGAGTTACCCAAAGAGATCCTTCTGCATCTTTTGCTCTGCCAGGGTCCACCTACTTGACAATGAACAAAGACCACTTCTCATATAGCATCACGCTTACAAACATAAAGACGCCTGTATCTCCGAACTGTACAATCAAACGGGGGCTCTTTAATAGATCAACGTGCTTGTCGGGGTCAAAGGAATCTTGTGTCAAAGTATGAAGTTCATCGTGGGCGATCCCAGATTTCGCAATGTCGCTACCAGCCAAACTGGATCCAGGGGTCAACCTCTTCGACGACGACGACCAAAAAATATTTTTTGGGCTGTTTGCGACATTGAGCGCGAAACTTTCACACAAGGTGCTGTTGGCCAAGCCGAGCCCATTGCTCTAATAAAAACCCCACGTTTCATTGTAAAGTTTGGAGATATGGCTGTCTTTATGTTTTCACTATGCTGTAAGCGTGGTGCTATATGAAGGCTGGTCTTTGTTCATTATCAAGTCGCATGAGCCTGATACAGCGAAAGATGCGGAGGTACCCCCTTGTAATAGAACTGAGAGGGGCAGGGCTTGAAGGGTTCTTATTGGTGTAGATTGCATGATTGACACTTCCCGCTATAGTGAGGTCCTCCTATGATAGAATGGTTAACAAGCCAAGGATGATCAGGGCATCCAAGAATATGAGTTGTAATGGTATTGCTTGTCTCTAGGGTTCGTTCTTAAATAAGGTTATACATACAAGTTAGCAGCGCATGCTGATAGTTCTCATAAGTAAGCACATGCATGTACTCGTGCCACATTGTATCAGAGCACCCACTCTTAGACGTGATGATTGATGATTCAAGCTTACAATGACCTTCTTCAGTAACAAGCACTATTGTTGGGTACAATTACTATGAATTTATTATCTTTGAGAACGCAAGCGTCTATTTGAACACGTATACAATCCGTTACTGCCACTACCTATCGCCTCTCAGCATATGAACAAGGAAGCTTTAATGGATGTAATATGACAAAAGGAACAAAAGCGTCTCGATACAATGATGTAGGTAATCCAATCTTGCCTTCCGGCCTTCGAGTTTCTATCCCCCCCTTGATTTCAGAAACCAATCAGTGGATCACATAGGATAAGCGGGTATCGTTGTCTTATTGTATTCTTGGTTGCTGCAGTCATAAACATCTTCATGCATGATTTCAAACTGGTTGCTGTGGTTGCCGTGGCTCCAATATCCAATACCATCCAATGGCAACAAGCCGCCTTTCGTCAAAGTTGTAAGCCCTCTCATCCATGCCATCCATCCCACCATCAACCTCAGCCATATCCACCTGACATAATCCATCTTTCCTGCTGACGACATACCAAGTAGCCAAAGCGACACTTCAAGATCACCTATCACCGAGCTTGATTGCATCCATCGAGCCATAACCATTGCAACTTCAATATGTTGGTTGAAAAGAGCCGCCGTTGATATGCTTCCTTTCCATCCACCTGTTGGTCTATCTCTTTCTTGATCATTTCCTATCGCAGCTCAACCAGGTTGTATTGCGGTGCACTCGATAGCTGATACGGCATCATCCATAGGGATCCGTATATAAATAAAGCTGCTTCCATACAATGGCTATCTGCTGTTCACGCAAAGATGGCTGTAAGGCATGTTGCTGCAAGTGACCGGAGACAATGGAGACCTTCGTAATAGCAGCTGTTGTTATGTTTGGTTGTGGCAGAGTGTGCAAGCGTGTGTGTTGTAGTAGAGTGACAATTGCGAAGGTTGTTTGAGACAATGGAGTCGAGACCTTGCTAATAGCAATTGCTGCAATGAATGCTGTTACGATTGATCGTGGTAGAGGAGTGTGCAAGAGCGTATGCTGTGTCAAGAGACTTGTGTGTTGTAGAAGAGTGATAAGAACGCCGTTACAGGCCATGGACTTGCCATTCAGTCAAAGACAATCGGATCAAGACAATCGTATGCTTGACATGGTGGATTGAAGCAGGACAATCGTTCGCAGGTGGTAGTTGTATACTTGAATGGGGCAACAGTTGAGAATGGGAGGAAGAGACAAGATGTTGGCGAGTGGAAGATGTGGAAATTAAATAGGTCAGGCACCTCTTGTATAAATGCATGAACACTGTACATCAATCCTTGATATTGAGATTACCCTTTTCGAACCTCAAACTTTCACACAAGGTGCTCTTGGTCATGCTGATCAACTTTGTTCTCATAAAGTCTCCACGGTTCATTATGAAAAGTTTGAATGGGGGTTGTCCAGATGTAGGAGAGACGAGGGATGGGCGGGATAAAGAAGTAGGGTGTACGGTTCAAGTGGCATGTTTGCTGTTCTAGTGCTGCCTAATCAAACTGGCTGCTAGTCTATATTTCAACTTGATATCTTTATTATGGATTGAAGGATGATGTGGGCAATGGAGATGGAGGTTCGGTAGTTAAAGGAGTAAAAGCACCAAAACCAGTGATGGTAGTGATGGCAGCAGTAATTCCGCCATTTTGTGTGATAGCCTTGGCTGCAGCAGCTGAAGATTTGCGACGTTGGCGGTGAGCATCGTTTGACAAGTGTTGTCGTTCAAGAGCCTTTTCGAAGAATAGATCGGGATTGGTAATGGTACCGAGAGCACGTCGCATTTGGGTATTGAGCAATTGGAGACCAATTTGATATGAGGCGTTCATCCATCCAAAGCCTTCTCGCGAAACGTACTTGAAGTCTGCACCCACATTGCCATATTCAACTTGCACCTTGTGTGTTAGACTCACTACATCATACTTTTCAGGCACGACACCATTAAAATCGACAAATGATTTGGTGATCCTACAAAGATGTATGAGCCATTGTACGTGACAAAGATTCTTGCACCTTTTCTACTTACGTATACAGCCATCGATAAGCCAAGCGACGAGCAATATCTGGCATGTCATAATTTTCAAACGCACGCCATGCCATGATTTGATGGGGAGCCCAACCAAAAGGAAAATCCCATTGACGATTAGGACGATCGAGTGAAATGACGCCACGAGATTCTTCTGTTCCAGAAACAAGACCGCCCAGTTCTTCGAATTTATGCAATGACATTTTTGTCATACGTTCAGCTTGATCCATGCTTGAACATTTAGCCCACATGGCCCAAAAAGCTGTAACGGAATCATAGGTGCTTTGTGTCTCGAGTACTGTGTCATAATCATAATACAATCCTTTTTCCTCATTCCACAAGTACTTGTCAATTCGTTCTCTTCGCAACGCGGCACGTTGAGTCCATTCAGCAGCATGCTGTACTTGTCCATCGGGCATCACAAATTCATCATCAAAGATGTCTCGAATACAATCGGCAATATCGGTCTCGTACTTGTATAGTAGTGCATTGAGATCAATGGTCGCAAGATTGGCGCATCGTTTTTCGTAGCGATAGGTGGTATCATGACCCGATTCACGTACAGCACGATCGTGTAAAAAGTACTCGTCAAGACGTGGTTCCTTGATAATACCATCATTGTATTGCTGCATGTATTGGTTGATGTCGAGTTGCATCTCATCGGCAAAAGGTCGAATGATATGATCAAAATGGGATGCTTCGGTCTCTGGGGGGATACCCACACCATCAGGGCGGAAGCGTGATAGGCCTGTCTTTGGGTCAAGGCGAGGTTCAGATGTCCACACGGTATGGTATTCTTGAATGGCTGCTGTCATTGCACGCCGTAACCATTCTTTATCATTCAGCTTGGCATACACGCTCAATGCCATATCAGTGAGGAAAGGTGGTTGCGAGCGTGATAAATAATAAGAGCGGTTGGCGTTGAGAATCTTGCCGTAATGCTTAATCTCGTATACAAAGTTGTCAACCATGGCTTTGGCAAGCTCTACACGATCATCCACCAACAAGCCGAGTGCGATGAAATAAGAATCCCAGCCATACATTTCATTGAAACGACCACCAGGAACCACGAAGGGTACACCTTGTAACTCGTCATCCTTTTTCTCCATTGCAAGGGCAAGAATGCCTGGCTTTTCATTGATGCTCTTTACAAACTCGGGCGTAATGTGCTCAGGTAGCCGTTCAACAATCAATTTTAGGTGTTTGCGTTCTTCAGCAACTTTTTGGTAATACTCCATGGCAGCTGTATCATGGTATGGGACATAAATGCGTGGGTGGGTATCGGAAGATCGGTTCTTGGGATCAGCACAAATGATTTCTACGCTGTGGGCATCCATGCGTCGGGTCAATGCGTCCCAAAAATGGCACCTGATCATGCGTGATAATCGGCTCACAGGATTTTCATTAAGACGTGCTTCATCTAGCACTATGTGTTTACGTCCAAAATCCTTGGCCAATGCGAGTTCTTGAAGCAAATTTGATAACATGTATGTTCCTCGAATGTCGATTTTGCGGTATCCTCCGGAATCAGCTGTGCCCACCGAAAAGGTCTTTGGTCCAAGATCATTGACAGTAATTTGAAAATCACCATCTGTATCCTCTTGTTCCACCAGAATGCGTAACGTTTCTTTGACATCCAATAAAAACTTTTGTGCCTTGCTCTTGTCATCTATTCAAGATCTATGGTTTCAGTTTTTTATTTCAATGAAACAACCGCCCTGAATGTCGTGTCTCTGTACACTTTTTCTTTCATTACCATGTGATGCTCGACGTCGTTTAAGGGCGTCTACTTCATGTCGTTGCTGCATTGGAGGTACGTATGTATCAATAAGGGTGATGTGTGGAAAAGTGGATAGTTTGGCTTACGTTGTTGAGTGTTTGGAGACGACGTGTGGCTGTACCAGCGTTGTTGCCTGTTGTATAATACGTGCTTGCAGGTGCATGTGCGTCTACTTCTTGTGTGGATTGTAAATGTATAGTTGATTGCATGGTATGTGTGTGTATTGCTGAGTAGGGAAAAGAAAGAAAAGAAACAACCCCTTTTGCAAACCTCGCCACGAGAGGATTGTACCTTGCTTTGCCTCGAGCAACTCAGATCGCATCACTTATTGGTCCTGTGTTTGGACATTCAATACATTCTATACCTTTTTCGGTATGCCGAGTTGCCAACCCCCTTTTGCTTGCTCATACAGAAGCATTGTTGTCAGCTATTTACATATCCAAGAATGATATCTGGTCATGAAAATGTCGTATGGCAACGCTGACATGACACTTGTCGCATCTATGTTTGTATGACAAAGACACCCTTCAAACACGTGGGAGATGGGAACAGCAGATGTTCATGTCAACGACCTCAACGGTCAATTGACGAGACTTCCCCTTCCAACCTTTTTGGATATACCGATTTTATGATCGGGAAAAACTGGTGGATTAGATCATCTCCTTACACAGGCCATTCAAGTATACCTTTTCATTGTGGTTGTATCTTGTAATGAATGTTAAGAAATGATGACTTGTTGACATCGTATGATAGAGTTGTCGTTGTGTAAGCTCAGATGTTTACTTTTCACTCGTTTAACGTAATAATGTCTCCATGGCAACAAATCCGATCCCAATGCGGAAATGATGCATCACTCCTATAGAGAAATTTATCTTTCATGGGGTGCCTTTTCCACTCTCAAGGCTGTGCTCTGCACCTGGATTCATTTTCGATGTCATTGTATTGGTTGAATGAATCGTCCCTTATGGCAAGCGATAAGCCCTGATATAAAGGAAGCATTGATTGGTTCGTTGGATCTTTGTGTACCCATGTGCTGTCATGGCCGCCAGTAAATGATATCATGTCCTGTTCTTGTGTCACACACTTTGAGAATAACACTGGATGTATGGCAACTATTGGATCCAAGAATGAACACGATCCTCATACATAAGGTTGCTATGCAATTATACAATGACATGTTGTCACAATCAATCATCAAGCAAAACGTTTGATCATGCCAAGGTGCAGTGGTGGTTGCTTAATGCGCATGCGACTGTGGAGATCATTTTTGTTAGCCCACAACAAGGATAATACATTCAAACAAGCTTTTAGTTGGAAGGTCATATGGCCTGTTTTACCCTGACCTTGACCATGTCACTCATACATTGACCCAATCATAGTTATTAATGAAGTTACCTCATACGATGATACAAAAGAATAGCATCTCATCAATGCATTTTGTTGTGATGATTGGTGTTTTCCTATTATCATATGGCAGGTATGATTTTGGGTACCCTCATGTGATACCTACCCAGCTGTGTCGTTTGCAGGAGATTACTGTTGGGATCACGTAATCCAATTCGCCGTGGCAAACTTGCATGTGTAAGTAGCAATGATAAAGCGAGATAAGCTATCAGCACTGTAATCGGAGCGCATTGTGTGCCAAGGTCGGAATGTTATCAGCGACAATAAATTACATTGCCCAACGAACTAATGAGAGTGGCTCTAACAAAGCGGAATCACAGTGCAAGTGGGTGGCGATCAAAAAGAGCAAGTTGCCGATTCCGACCTTGTCTCCAGACACAAACAAAAAGTTCATCCAGCGACAGCTTAAAGTCTTTTTAGTATACCGCCAACCGTTTTCTCCACCTTACTCCTCCCTCTCCCCCCAAAAAGGATGATTTGTCTCAGACACTCGAGAACTTTTATGTGGTAGTCTTAGAATATCTAAATAAGGAATTCCCGGGTGGTGATGGCTAAAGGATTAAGTTTCTCGCAGCAGTAATAGGTTGCAAACGTCTCCGCCTTGTTGGATGTGGTGGTGGTGGTGCCAAACTTCGCCAACGACTATACCACTTTCTATTGTGCCAAGCATTTGAAGTATAATCCAGCATCATCGTATCTTGGCTTTGTTGATAGGGTGATCCATAATAGTAATAGGCGTGATTTGGATAATGAAATGATGGCGTTGGATCGACGGCGGCTGTTGTTGTAGTTGACCATCCATAACAATGGCGGCTGGGATGATGTCTCTTTGGTGTTACTGAACCTTCATCCGAAACGTTTTCCGATAGGGTGTCATACAAGGCTCGATCGGGTGACACATTGGCATTGCTATCCCCACCATCATCATCGTCACCATCAGAGTCCTCCTCCTCGCCCTCCACATGACATAAAGCTTGATCATCGTTGTGATAACGAGTAGTCCACCATTTGAGTTCCTCCTCTGCTTCACGCAGTCGTTGGCACAGCCATGCTTCTCGTGTACGATAAATAGCCTCTCTTCTCACCCAATCAGCTTCTCGTTGGCGATAGATATGGACTAGTTGTTCGATCCATGCAATGGTGTTGTTGCTATATTGAGATGTTGCTGCATCCGATTCCTCATTCGTTGGTCCGCAGTTCTCCACCGTGCTTTCTTTATCTGTAATCTGAGCTCTTTCGCAAAACGATCCATTATCACCGCCCGTGGATGACGACGTTTTTGATATCTTTTTGGGGATGACCAATAGTTGTGGAGATGAAATCGCATCGTTCATTCGTTCATGCACGTAAGGCTGAGTATAATCCATAAGCTGCTTTTGTTGCTGAGGATGACCCACCATATCCAAGAGATCAGAAGGAGACGATGCTGTATGTGGCAATGGTGGAAATTCGCGTGATAGAATTCTGGTGGATGAGGTATCTTGCATTATCATCGTTGTTGCATGCTGGTTATGCTGTGATGAAGCGGGCTTGAAAAGTTTACTGAGCGGCATATTGAAAGAAGAAGCGAAAGAGAAGGGAAGAGAGTATCCTGATACGCGACATTCGAAACGACAGGAATATCATACGCGCACCTACACGTGAAACAATAAAGTAAGTGATCAAGGAGCTGATTCAGGAACATCATCCTTGTCGACGTTTCCTCTTACCAATGTATCATCATCATCATCATCATCCATCATCACCATCTGATCCCGCTTTCATGATCGATAATAGCAGCATCCAAGACGCAAAACAATGCACCATAAATGGTCATACACAGCATCAACAACAACTACCCACTGCATACGTCTCGCCACCTTCCAATGCAATCGTTTTCCATCCTCGCAATCAAGCTGAATCAGACGCCTCCTTTAGCCGGTATCTGGAACAACAATTCAGTCCATACTCTGCTGTATTTCAAGATCGCTTGTCATTACCACCTACATCGACCATGCAAGAGCATACAACGATCACCAATACACTCGATGTCGAAAAGCAACAAGAGCCAGGGCCGTGGTGGGTTGCTGACTGGGATGAAGATGGATTCTACTCAATAGGAGCGCTTCTCTTTTTGTTTGGATTTATCCTGCCGCCGCTGTGGTGGATTGGTGCATGCTTTCCAAGGCATCCTCGTGAACAAGCAGGCAAAATGGCCGAACGATGGCAGCGTCTTAACATGGCCATGTCGATAGGCTTCAGTGTATTGTTGATCATTGCAATCATCGTTACTGCTGCTATTTACGGTAGTCGATATTAGATGATGCCATTACTACTACTACATGTTGCCGCCTCCTAGCAACATTAGTAGTATGCACGCATATTATATTACCATCAACATCTATCATATCCACCTCCTCCACCTCCTTCTCCTCAAGACATCATCCCCTTCTTTCTCCCATATACCATTATTATTGTATGCATCTTCATCATCTTCATCTGTATTTCACCCAACAATGTAACCAATCAATTCTTCATCCTACATCAATGAACCATGCTCCTTCCATTATTATTGAATGATTCGGGACATTTGTATTCTTTGTTCTCCTTTTGTTGACAATGGAGCGCCTGGTAATGCCACACGCTCAATCACGCATTACTTTTTACTTTGTACACGAGAGCCTGGGAAAATTGATGCTAGTACAACTCCCCCCACTCACAAAATGCCGATTTCCATATCATCACCTTTCCTTGTTTCTTTGTTTCGGCTGCTTGGAACCGACCAATGGATGAATGGAAGCAAGGAGGTGTTCTCGGCCTGATGACCCCTTGGTTTATTGCTGCATGGATGGGGAGATGTATATAAATAAACAAAACTAAATGTGAGCCACAGTAGCAGCAGCACCCTTCTTTTTTCTTCCCCGCCACAACGACTCCATTCTATCCCCAATTACGGATCGACCTAGATAATGTACTGTGGGAGAGGATTATCATCATCGGGGGACAAGTGCAAGTGAATAAACGCGGTTCATGGTTGGGGGGTGGGAAGGAGAAATGATCACACTCACCTTTACAGATATGGCCTACATTGAAATCCTTGTCGTAGATTCGTCTGGTCTATCAAAGTTGTTGGCATTCAACACAGAAACAAAAATAATAATAAATAGCAGCCGATCGGATTGACGTAGCGGTGGTTTCATTCTGCCCTTGGGGGAGCTACACACTCATGGCTAAGTTTATCACCAAAACGCTATACCTATACAACTGTAGCAATCGCGATGTGCGGATGTGTATATGCATAGTGCTGTGGGGAGCATATGTCTTTTGTGCTTACGGTAGTATAGCAAGCATTAGTAAACAAGCTCAGCGTCTTACGAGAGCGAATAACTAAGAGGGGGGTGATCGCTGCCAGATTTGGCTATTTTTCGGTGCGGTCAATACGCTGTCAATGGCTAGGTTGTCCACCAATGAGAATGACCCCGCTTATCACTTCCGGCCACCGATGGTCTTATATATAAAGGCGTCTACTTGCCTCTTCCTCCCACCCCCAAAGCGTGTATCTTGAATTCTTCCCCTGCATTACCTTTACTTATTATAATTGTTTCCTTTTTCCCCTCCTCCTCATCATCATCATCAACATCCCCTTCTCTTATATATACTCCATCATGGAAAGTCCTACCACATCTACCGTGTGTTCAAGAAGCCCTGAAGCCCTTTTATGTAAGCTTGATATTATTTCAGCTACAAATCAAGAATGTGGGGTACCTAACCTTGTTGTTTTTTTTTGCCGACCATTACAGCTTTCACAACCAATACCGCCACATCCATCCTTCCATGCTCTAAAAAGGCAAAGCAACAATTCCATCCAACCACTACGCGTCCTCTTCCACCACTCGGCAACTTTATAGCCAACCTATTCCAACGATCTGAGTTACCACCAAGCGTTTGTTTAGTATCATTGATCTACTTGCAACGGTTGAAAGCACATTTACCACCCTATGCTCGTGGCAACTTGGATACACCATACCGCTTATTCCTCGCTGCCATCATTACGGCATCCAAATTCATGCTCGAATCGACACAATCGCTTTCGAATCAGAAGGTTGCAGCCATGATTGATTATGTATATTCCCCCAAAGACATTAATGCCATGGAACGAAGCTTCTTGGGCCTATTGAAGTTTGATCTTTTCGTGAATCTGGACGCCATCAAGGATTATCTTGCCATGCATGGCCCAACACTCGAAATGGATCTGGTCGAAAACACGTTCTAGACCAAACAACAACATCAACATCAACAACACCACACGCCATGTGAATAGCCAACAACAACACCACACACACTCACGCATATATACACACACACAGCGTACGCCTATGCGTAATGTCTGCTACTCTTTTACATAGCGCTCTTTGTTCCGTCACTTTTGCTCCCCTGTACATTGTTTTTGTCTTTTTCTCTTATTTGGGATCCAATCTGTAGATACCGTTCTTCGTTTTGTTATATCTAATGTAAATATTATTGTTGTTTTGCCCCATCTTTGGGGTACCAAATGTATCCATTTGCTGCGAATTTTGTCTTTTCGTGGGAGCAAGAGGCTGATGGTCAAGCTGATATTGGTGCATCATATGCACACTATTAAGTTATATCATGCAATCCTTGCATGGTTGATTGGGACACACACACACACGCATAGAGGAGGAGGACATGCAACAAGGGTGAGTGAAAAGGGGGGGTTGTGTATGTGGGGAGCAGCGCGCGTTTTGTTCACATTCCCCATCACTTGTTGCCACCATCCATGTTCCACCACCACCTCTACCACCTCCCTTCTCAAGATCATCTCCCATCTGTTTTGCACATGTTAAGATTTATAGCTAGCGTATATCCAGGTTGCTCATTCGGGCCGTGAGTTCACCAATCACTTGTAGTGTTGTAGTAACACAGCTCGCTTCCGGCTCTGATAAGGATGGGATTGACTTTTTTAGTCGATGGGCCATATGAGAGAGAACGTGCTTGATGAAGGATAGAACATTAAGATTTACCTATCTCTCACTTCAAATGGCATGACAGTCATAAGCATGTGTGCATATGATTTTATGGATTCATAATTTTTAGTCATATTCAAACAACTTCTCGCATGATGCCGGAGCACCCAAGGAGGATCAGGAGGAGGAGGAGAGGAGCCTGTTGCATATTACTAAGAGACAACAATGATGTTTCAGATGACATGCTTTTGCTTTTATTCATCACCCTTTTTCTTTTTACTTTCTTTATTACATTCACAAATGTCCCATTCTCATTGTTGCTAACATAAAAAGTAATGGATGTAGTAAGGAAAGGGTGAAAAAAGAGCGAGTAGCGACCGCCCCCACATGATGGATGACGATCGGCGTGATCCTACCAATGATGAAACTTAATATCCGAAACCGGTTGTCATTATCATTGTTTTATGTGTGTGGTGTGTGCGCGTGTGTGTGCGTGTGTATAAATGAAATGCAAGGTCTTCATTGTCACGGATATGCACACGAAAAGTCACCATGTAAGATATGGAATAGTGCCTTGTCACACCATGCAAATGCATTGGTAATAGATAATTTGTATGAGAGTGATGGCGCCATGGCACGACACAACAAACCCCATTGCTCTCTTTCAAATGGATGCATGCGCTTTGACCACCATGATCTCCTTGTGCATTTTTGACAGGTTATCTCCAGCCAAAGAAAATGGATAAACGGTCTCTTTATTTAGAGTTCCACACGCAGCCATGCATGTACCACCTCCACCTTTCTATTTCTCCCTTTCTTCTCCCACTGCATTGCTCCCCATTTCGAAATGCGTAAAGGCGATCCACTTAGTTCACCACCAGCAGCTAGCCAACATTCAGCCATTACCGAAGCATTCTTCACCCATGGCGATTACAGCATGCAATTTGACGAGACACCCGAGAGTGAGCCTTTCTTGGCATCAACGCCAAGACCTTCAGCATCCCAACAGCCTCCTCCGACCGTACCTGGAGTACCTGAACCTTCAAGAGACCATCAACACATGAATGCATCAGTACGTATACCCATGCAAGAGGAGCCACATATACCTTATGAAACGCTCGAAGATGGCAAATTCTTATCACGCAGCATGCTTGTCAATACTGGTGGAGAGGATCTGTATCGCTTTTTGATCCAACGCAGTGTCATTCAACCTAAGATTGTGATCAAATTCAAAGGTACATTATTACTTTTACTGCTGCTGTGATCCATGTTGTATTAACCTCTTAATGATCAAGGGACTCGGAGCGCTGTACGAGGATTTACCAAGAAGAAGACCAAGGATGGCACAGTCGAGAGCACTCCAAATACATACACTGTATATGATTTCGATTATGAGATGGATTGTACCAAATACTTACGGAGCACCCCCGATGGATTCAATGTATTGCCTGATCGCAAAACGGGTGTGGTTAAATCAGTGCAGCAGCTATGCGATGATTATGTTCGTGATCCACATCGTATCAAGGAGCTACAATTGACCAAGGTGGTGGATTGGGATACAGCGCTGGTGCAAAGAGGTATGTAGTACACTATTTAGTGCATGGTGTTGTGTGTGTGTGTGTGTGATGGCAACCATCTGATAGGCTCAATCTTGTAGCATTGACAAAAGCAATTCGTCGCTATGGATACTCACACTCGCTCGAGATTGAAGTTGAGACTCGTGAAAACAAGGTGCTTGTGAAGCCTGGATCATGGATAGCCAAAGCAGTGGATAATCCCTTGGCGGTCTGGTTCTGCTATCTCACTTTCTTATGGATCATCACTTGGCCTCTGCTTTTTTATTATCGTCGTCGGTATGGACATGGGGGTACCTTACAAAGTATTTGGCGTATGAACATTTCTGAACGTGGATGGTGTGAAGAGAACATGGATGACATTCTAGGACAAATACCACTTGCCGCCTTAGATAATCATTCCGAGGAGAATACTGAACAAAATTACCCTGATGACAACACTGTCTTTGAATAAAGGCATCATTTATTATCCCTCATAACAATGTTTCCTTCATTCAGATAGCTATATTGTGTCGCTTACATACATAAAATAAAAGATGGAAGGAATCACTTCTAGCTTCGCATTCGGTTGTGGGTTGCTGTGCATGAAGTTGGCGGTAAAACTGCTCCGTGTGCTTCGGTAAATCAACTCCATGGTGATTCTATACTTGCATCACTTTGTACAAAGTTGGCGTTGAAGAATACAACCTTTTATTGCAACGAGTTTGATTTAGTGCTTAAGAGTAAAAGAAGATAAGCAATTTTTCGGACCTGAGTAGTGCGCACGCATGAAAGAGATCCTTTATCAAGTAGCATGGCTGTCATTGTATCAACCCTGTATTCGATGTAGCTATGTATGGTAATCAAACTAAAGCTGATCCCCACCCACCTTGTAATCGACACGTGGCGGGAGTGATAAGAGTTGCGTTGGCAGCAGGGCCAAGACATCTGTTGAGCGGCTGTCTGCGAAATTCATCCTATTCGCCTTTCTCTTTTCCCGTTTATGCACGCATGGACAACGGCAATGGCACAGCACCCAATGATCCCGATGACCCCATGGAAGAAGAGTTCTACTCTTCCTGGGCATTGCTGATTCTGACAAGTCTTCTCATCGCCACATTGTTCACAAGCTACTTCCTTCAACGCCACAGCATTCGTGCCGTACACGAGAGTGTAGTCGCCATTACAGCAGGTACGTCATAAGAATCCATAAAGTTTATATATATGAAAGCATACGCTTACCAACTGGATGGCTCTAGGGATGTTGGTGGGCTTGGCTATCAAACTATCACCAGGAACGATCATTCAACGCATGGTCCAGTTCAACCAGAGCTACTTTTTCAACCTATTGTTGCCACCGATCATTCTCAACTCTGGCTATGAGCTTAAAAGGGTAAATCAAATGATGGATGCCAAAGGACAAGTAATATTGACATATGGATGTGTGTGTATAGCGACATTTCTTTTACAACTTTGGTACAATTCTTACGTTTGCATTGGTTGGTACTTTTATTGCTGCACTTGTCACTGGGTAAGAGGATGTGATTTGAATCGCTTGGGATACGGTTGGTAACACACGTTTATAGTGGCCTTGTGTTTTTGTACGCATTTTTCCATCCTGAGGGCATCAACATTAGCTTTATCGACAGCATGATTTTTGGATCGATCTTATCAGCAACCGACCCTGTCACTGTATTGGCTATCTTTTCTCAACTGCATGTTGATCCACAACTCTTTTCAATCATCTCTGGAGAATCCTTATTGAACGATGCGGTTGCTATCGTGTTGTCAGAGTAAGTAATGGCATGGATTCGGATGGGCTGTGATTAACATGGTGTTGATAGGACGTTACATAAATTCCGGGGCCAAGAATTGCATGTCGTCAACATCTTCAAAGGCATAGGCGTCTTTATGGGCGTTTTTACAGCTTCTACATTGATTGGCGTGCTTTTTGGTATCATCGTCGCATTGATGCTCAAGCATTCAGAACTCTATCGATACCCAAGCATTGAAACATGCGTTATTGCATTGATGGCTTACAGCAGCTACCTCTTTTCGAATGGTGCCCAAATGTCAGGTACGTACGTTATAGCTTACTTTGTCAAGCTTTCGTATTCATGCTATCATTGATAGGCATTGTCACGTTATTGTTCTCTGGTATCACACTCAAGCACTACGCCTATGACAACATGTCTCTTCGTACAAAACGAGCCACCAAATACGTCTTCCAAGTCCTCTCGCAATTGTCTGAAAACTTTATCTTTATCTACCTCGGTGTCAATTTGTTTACACAAACAGGATTGGATTATAAGCCTATCTTTATTTTGGTCACTACGGTAAGCTTGAATGGGGGATTGTGGAACCATACGATATGCGTGCAGATACTGAAACGTGTGTGCCTATTATAGGTGATCATTTGTATTGCTCGTTACGTTGCTGTGGCTCCTTTATCCATGTTGATCAATGCTGTGTGCCGTGCACTCGGCAAATCGGAGCAAATTCTGCCAAGATCGCATCAACTCATGTTGTTTTGGGCTGGACTTCGTGGTGCTGTTGCATTCGCTCTTGCGTCTGGTCTAGTAGGTGATAGTGCACCAGCCATGCGAACAACCATTCTCGCTGTGGTAGTATTAACGGTGCTGCTATTTGGTGGTACGACAAGCCGGATGTTGCAACTCTTGGAAATCCAAACGGGTGTGATGGAAGCTGACGACTCTGGAAGTGATGAGGAAGATGATCAGGATTTGGACCCTATGGGCTATCGCAAATTGAGACCTACACAGGCAACAGCACATACCAGCAATGCTTTATTTGCAGATATCAGTGATGATGAGGATGATGAAAATGGCGTTGCTCCTAATGGTCATGGAAGAGGAGGTGGAGGTGGAGGAGGAAATGACAACAATAGTCGACGTCGACGACTTGCTCGAAGCAATAGCAACAACAACATGGATGTATCTATTGGTGGATTATTATCTGGACCACTTGGTGACCCTATCCCTGAGCCTCCTCAGCCGCATTGGTTCATGTCTTTTGATGAGAAATGGCTGAAGCCCCTGTTTACCAAGCGACACATTCAAGCAAGGAATCAAACATTGGCGGACTACTGGCGAGAGAAACGGCGCAAGATGGACCGTGCGAATCGAAATATGCTTGCTGGCATTCGTAGTATGAGCTTTGGGCAAAGTTCTCATGATGATTACTACTTTGATGATGATGATGATAATGCTGATGCATTGACGCTTGGATCTGTACACAATCAATCCTTTGGTTTGAATGGCTCAACATCTGGTAATGGTAATAGTGGAGGAGGACCATCGTCGTCGTCTCAACGTCTTGTCATTGGTGCTGGTCGAGTGTTTGGACGTTCTCCCGTATCTAGTCCGCCCGATGGTTGAGCAATTATCGCTACGTCAATCAATTACAATTTTTTTATCGTCACGTTTGATCGACAAATAAGAACATTACTTTTTTTTTCCTATTCCGATAAACGATCCTCTGAAATGAAACATTTGAATGATTGAAACCAAATATCAATTGGGATGTGGGATGCATCAAGTGTCAGAATTTTTGTGGAATGATATGCCAGAATCGGGTGCATCGGCAAGTAATGCCGTAATGGCTTGGCAAGCCTTATTTCAAGGTGACACAACATCAGCTGCATGTTCCAGTTTTAGAGGGATATGGTCCACCCATATTCAATGTGGCTTTCATTCTGTAACTGAACGACGCCTTTTTACAGGGTCGTTGCAGCAAGACTCCCTGTTCTTGTACGACATTGCTGCTGTAGCACACTCGAGTCATTTGGTTTGGTTGCTGAGTGTGGCAAAAGTTAATAAAGTGCAGCCATTGAGCATTGATTGTTGACATGGGACGCACGTGGCGTCTTATTAAAAAGACAACCTCCTTAATGGAGGTACAGACTGAGCGGTAACGAAAATATGAAGCGACACAGCAGAGAATCACAAGATGGGGGAGAAAGATTTATGTTGGTTGCACACAATGGTAAGGAGAGGGTGTTGCAGATCCTTGTTGTTATGAGAGAATAGAATACAATGGGATAAAAAATACTCAAGTGATAAAAGGTCATTATGCTTAGCCGGTGCATGTATGTGTAATGGCAATGCGGGCAGGTGATATATATGTGTTGCGCCTTGATCATCCTATAGAGTGGACCAAAAGGAATCTGGGGGTCATGGTACATGGCTCCTTTTGCTGTTAGTCTCACCCCTGGCACACAGCGGCGATCACATCGGGCCCATCATGGTTGTCCTGGAGCAACTCCGTCAGCCATAACTGGATTGGTCTCGTTCAATAAGTCTTCGGTTCCCTTTTTCCCTTTCCTTCTTCTTCTTTCAATACCAAAAATGTCCCACACTGTAGATAAGCCCAAGTTGCCAGGGATACAATTCCTTCTCAACACACCTGATGGTAAGCCATTCTATCTTACTCGAGACTCTAACCCCCCAAGATGCTCATCACTATTCTCTCATTACAGGACGAGAAAAGAAGGCATTTCCCACTGGAGAGCAATCAAGCAACGTTAATCGACCTGTGATGGGACACCGAAGTACTCGTAGTGTCAGCAGCCTTCCCTCTGATCTACAAAAGCTTTCGTTGTATCCTTCGAGCAAAGACGATTCCGCTGTACAGCCTTCTTCACCATTGCCTTTTACAAGCAACAAACCACCTAGTTGGGCACAACCACCAGCAACACAGCAACAACAACAACAGCAACAGCATCAACCATCACCTCCTGCTGTACTTCTTCCACCTTTGCCTACAACAGCAACACCCTCTCTTGCACATCCACAACCACCACATAGACGTAATGGTCACGGTAGATCCGTGTCTGAATATACCTTACCACCACAACCACCTCCATCGTTTCCACCAACAACGGGAATATCTGCTGCAGGTATCCATCATCATCATCATCATCATCCACAACCTCGACCTCCTATGATCCCTTCCTTTGAAAGACATCCGGCAACTGCTGCTGCACGCACTCATCGTCGTGCAGTATCGGCAAACACTGTTGATTTCATGTTACGTCCACCAGCACCTACAACACCATCCTCCTCATCATCCTCCTCTTCGTCTTCGACACATAACAACAGCATGATGCGTGCACAATCGGATAGCCCTCCAGAACAACGATTGCGATCTCCACCTTTGCAAGATGCAGATGATCAACATCCACAACTGCAACGGGATGCTAGTTCAGGCCGTTATCTTTGTCCATATTGCAATAAGGGTTTCAGCCGTCCATCCTCATTACGTATTCATACCTATTCCCACACTGGAGAGAAGCCTTATGTATGCACTGAAGATGGTTGTGGAAGAAGATTCAGTGTCCAAAGTAATATGCGTCGTCATCTTCGAGTCCATCGTATGGGTCGTGCATCGATGAAGCCGAGTCCTCTTAGGAAACCGTGACACTTTTATCTTTTAGTACCTTTCTGTTTCACCATCCATATATACACACACACACACGCTCCTCTCTCTCTCTCTCCTCTCTCTTTGTATTTACACACACACACACACACACACACACAACTCCTTCCTCTCTCTCTCTCGTCTGATGCTTTCTCTCTTTCTTTTAAACGTTCATGCAACCACACACAATCATATTACATAAATCCTAGGTTGGGGTCTATTTCTCCTCTTTCTTTGCCGTCTCTTCTCTCTCTTTGTAGAAAAAAGAATAAATTTTGCCATGCATTTCGATAACAAAGACATGCATCACATGAATCAGATGCTACTATATATATCTTCTAATTCTTTATTCGCAGGGATCCGACAAGTTGTGCTCTGGTTGTTTCTTTTTTTCTCTCCCGCTCTCCTTTTTGCTCTGTCTCTCCTACCTTTTTTGTTCTTAATAGCATGTATAATTCCATAATACATGCGAATGCATGTACTTGGCACATTAGTGCGAATAAGAACACACCAAATGATCATCACTCTTTTTTATTCTCACATGTGGCCCTGCATGAAGATTAGCTATCATCCTTTTTCTTCACTTGATAGACGAAGGATAATGACTAGATCATGACGATGTATGACAATGCTTAAAGAAGATAATGCTAATTACAGACATCCACTACTTGATTGGGAAAAGTAAGGTGCTGGGCTGACATGAATATGTCGCCATTGATGCATCAAGGATTTCAATCTCATCCAAGCTAGTACCACTGCTGGAAAAGTATAACAAGTGATATCGTGATCTGATAGATGCTCTCTTTCTTTTTCGTCTATGTATCTTTTACCCGTTAAGCGCATAATAAATGCTAATGATATCATGGGATGATGTGAATGAGATCGAGAATGCGTGTGTGTGTTTAGGGATAGAAAAAAAAGGGGGGAGGAGGGAAATGTGTAAGACAAGTGACCTGGTGAACAACCCGTGGATTGACAGCAGCAGCAAACAAAGCTTGGAGACAAAGAGTGTGTGTGTGTGTGTGTGTGTGTGTGTCAAGGTAGGCATGATCAGCCAATCAGAAATTGCTACACAACGTGGCGTGCATTGCTTGACAACTTACAGCCCTATTTTCCAACCTCCACTCACCCACCACCACCTCCTCTTCCTCACACGCGACCACGTCTTTTGTTATATACCACTCATTACACATACACACGTGTTGTCCTTGACGCTTGCATAACATGAGGTCAACAGCAGCAGCAACAATGTCAGCATGGTGGCTCTTGGTTGTTCTATGTGCAACTACTACATTCGCATTCCCTTGGAGCTCATCGTCCAACACTCAACAAGACGGCAATGTCCCACAAGCACCATCCGCCAAACTTGATTACAAAATGACTGTCAAGAGACCCTATCTGTACAATGGCAGCATTCCCTTTTGGTCGTCAGGAGGAGGTAGGGTATCTTTATTACTGCTAGTAGTAGTAGTAGTATGACGACTTGAGATATCGAATGCTCACGTTTATGCTATAATAGATCTTCTCATGGCAGATGATTTCATTCGACTGACACCTTCAGTGCCTGGTGCTCGTGGATGGATTTGGGCTGAACTACCTAATACATACGCCGAGTGGGAAGCAGAGTTGACATTTCGTGTATCCGGTAGCCACATGCACGGTGGACGTGGTTTAGCTTTTTGGTACACCAAGGAAGCAATGGGTGATGGTCCCATCTTTGGAGCACGTGATAACTGGGATGGCCTTGGTATTTGGTTGGATTCAGCTAATCCTCGTGTAAGTTGTGGTGTACTTTGGAGAGAAAACAAGTGGCTCACAACCACCTGATAGACACACACTCCCACTACGCTCGCGATTTTGAATGATGGAACGCTTCAGTTTGCCTCAAGACATAATCCAGAGAAATACATCCTTGGTTCCTGTGAGATCAACTATCGCAACACTGGCAACGTACCTGCTCACCTTCGCGTCACATACAAAGCCAACACTTTGACGGTATGGATGAATGATGGTTTAGGTGGATGGATGGGATCTAACTTTTATGCTACACAGGTCATGTTGGATCCCATGGGTGATGGAAAAGATTTTCGCACTTGCATGCAGCAATCCCTTAGCCTGCCAACTGGTTATTACTTTGGTGTTTCAGCTGCCTCTCATAATCCTGCTGGTAAGATGGGATAATAATGGATGATCATGATTTGGGAAAAATGCTTACTTGACGACAATAGATGATCATGACCTCATCTCATTTGAGACTTGGCAACTCAATCCCCCAGCAAAGACTCAGGTACATTGATGAGCATGAAGATTTTATCCATTTCTCACAAGTTGTAATCATTTTTATAGCATTCGAAACGTCCCTTGGAAGAGGAAATGGTTAACAAAGGAGAAGAGTTCAAGGAGTTGGATGAGGAGCAGAAGAAGGTAAGCAACGATGATAATCTATGATATCCTATATTCAACCATGTATGATAGAAAATCGAAGAGACCGAGTTTGCTGTACGTCGGATGCGAGAGGAAGCTCAAGGTGATCAAGTACGCACCGAGACTTTGGCTACTATTGTAAGTGCTAGCATTGATTTGCAAGTTGGCAATCCACTCTAATCAAGTGTTATTTCAGGCCACCGTATTTGATACACAAAAGCGCATTCTCGAGGATTTACAAATCATGCAAATGCAAGTGGAGGCTTTGGGTGCACCTACTCCAGAGATGTTGATCATGGGCAACTATGAGAAAAAGAGCAATGCAGCATCAGGTAGCTCAAACCAGGAGAGTGGCAACGTGAATGCACAAGAAGCAATGTAAGTCTGAGGGCTTGTTGGTATGGAGCGGAGAATGTGAATGCATACGCGTGTGTTATATACTGACTACATTTATGTACCCTATAGCCAAACAATCAAATCGGTTGCTGAAGGTATGCAAGCTGAGGCACGGTCCATTGTCACTCAAATGGCATCACAAATCGAGCAACAATCACGTGAGCAAGAACGCAGATCCAAGCAAATTGAGGAGACCATGGATCGTCTTGAGAAGGCCATTTATGCAATCAATGTGAGTGGATGACACAAAGCACACACATTTATGCAGCTGGGATATGCACTGACATCTTATGGGCACACAAATCTTAGAACCACATGGCAGTCCAACAAAAGCGCATGAATGAAATTGGAAAGGATTCGGCAGCAACACGCGGCACGCTTTCTACCTTATTCAAGTACATCCTTTATGCATTTGCAGTCCAAGCTGTCGTTGGTTTGGGTATTTATTTGTATTGGAAGCTTAGAGTAGAGCGTAACGAAAAGAAGTTCTTATAGTCTTCATCACAATAAAAGCAAAGCTGATGTATTATCAACCTATATTAGTTCTTGTTGCACTTGCTCTAAAATATAAAACGATACTTTATCACCCACCATTGGATGAATGTAATTCTTTGTCACCTGTTGAGCGGAATTTGGTAGGTTGTACAACGTTGGCCTCTTTGTCTTTTTGTAGTAGGACCTAGACACAGACACCATAAAGAGATACTCGTCCGATTGTTCGACTCGGTCCTCTGAATGTGGTAATGATAAAAGAAATACGGGGACATGTCTTGATAGATGTACGTTATAGTGACCAAGGCCTGCTGTGAACAGGTGGATGGCATGTCAAATTGATTGCATTCAACCACATGTTGGCGTTGTACTACTCTAACTTTGAGCTTTGTGACATCACGGCATGATCGTTTTTTCTCTTTGGCCAAGAAAGCTCGGTTTTCCTTTTCTTTATCGAAACGTATTTTATCCTCTCTTTTTTCTACTTTTGTCCCGACAACAACGCTCACTCCTTCCTCCGCCGCTTCCCCTATCAAAGGTACGAACTCCATTCCCTCCCAATGCAACCATTCTCGGGTTGCAATGGCAACGATTGCATGCGTATTCACAATCGAGTGCCTCTATCTACTTTGTAGCAACGTTACAGCCCGAAGTGGCCATATACGAGCTCTCAATCACCGGCATAAAAGCATATCGATTTGCCTACATAATCCGATTCAGCTGCGGCACCTGTTAAGGAACTCTATCAGTGGCTGATCGAGATAGCGTGTGGGAACTACAATCTCTCTCTCTCTCTCTTTGGTAGCAAAACGAATCATGTACGTGTGTTTACCCATACCACCAGACCTGTCGGAGAACCACCACTATGGCATTGAAGAAAGAGAGAGAACTCTATTTCTTTGCCTTTGTCTTGGTGTTCTTTCTTTTTCTATCTCTTTTGCTTACATTATTTATTTTTCTTCTTTCATCACCTAGCAACCATCTTCTATGCTTTCAACACCCAACGATTCATCATCCTATCATCCATCAATTCATCACCCGATTCCTCAAGTTAAAATGTCAAATGATGTCGAGCCACGTATCCATGATGATGCATCTGTTGACACCTCGATGAAAGAACGTCTCCATGACAAAAGAACGGCTCAACGTTTATCTTCACGACATGCATCATCTCATCGCACTCGCACTTTTTCCGAAGGTGATGGTGGATTATCATCTTTGCAACGAAAGAAACGGCTCTGTGAGCTGGTTGAGAAGCGAGAACAACCCACATCATCATCTGCAACAAAAGAGACAGCTGTACAGCAACAGACATTGGGTCGTCGGTGGCCGAATCCCAACAAGACTGACAAAGCTGGGCGCACAAAGCTTTTCGGGTGCACAGCAGCGGGTGATCTTGTCAAAGTCAAGGAGCTCATAGCTTGTGGTGCCCAAGTGAATCATCGTGACAATGCTGGATGGACACCTTTACATGAAGCTGCTCTTAAAGGTCAACTCGATGTTGCTCGATATCTTATTGAATGTGGTGCCCAAGTCAATGTACGTGGATTCGGCAATGATACGCCTCTTCATGACGCTAGCGCTGCGGGCTTTGCTGATTGTGTACGACTACTCATTAATGCTGGTGCCGATGTTTTTGCATTAAACGCCAACAAAGAGACACCACTCGATGTTTGTGATGACAAGAAATGCGCGTCGCTATTGAGGAACAAGATGCAACAACTTGAGCAATTGGTGCCACAGGACAAAGATGGCCGTACCGAATTACACAAAGCATGTGCTGAAGGCGATTATGATCATGTGGCGTCGTTACTAAAGCAAGGTGCCAATGTGAATGCTCGTGACAATATGTCATGGACACCTTTACATGAGACAGCTTGTCAAGGCAGCACAGCTATTGCACGATTACTTATTCAACATGGCGCTGATGTCAATTATCCTGGATATCGAGGATCTACAGCTTTGCATCGTGCCAGTGCCACAGGCTATACCGAGCTTGTTCAATTTCTACTCGAATCAGGTGCCAATGTTGAGCTCCAAGATGATCGTGGTAATTGCCCTTATGATGTTGCAGTCGATCATGCAATGACACGCCACTATCTTGCTCTTCGCATGGATGAGTTACGTAAAGAACGTGCTGCGAGCGATGCCATTGATGAAATCACTTTCCAATCCCACAAGAAGCAGCGACGTCATGGCCCTGATGCGGATAACGACAAAGGCACCTCCGAACAATCACGTCCACTATCACGAGAAGAACGCAAAATACAAGCTATCATGCGCACATTTGCCACTATGGAGCAAAAGAAACGTCCAAGAAAATCATCAGTAGCAGACAACAATGACGACGACAATGAATTATCATTCGAGGAGTATTCAAAAAACCTTCGTCGCAAACGTCGTGCACGAACGCAAAGCTTGTCATCAACATCACGTGAATCTTCAGTATCACTCGATCCTCAACAAGTGGTTCCGGCAACAACAACAACACAACAAAAGCCGGCAGCTGATCCTCGCAAGTTAAATCCAACAAAAAAAGATGCAAGTGGTCGTACGTTTCTACACAAGCGCTCTGGAAGAGGTGACATGCCCGCCATGGAAGCATTGCTTGAAGCTGGTGCCAATCCCAATGAACAAGATAATGCAGGATACACACCATTGCATGAAGCTGCATTACGAGGCCGTACACAAGCTGTACTACTTCTTTTACAACATGGCGCTGATGCGAATGCCAAGGGTGCTGATGATGACACGGCATTACATGATGCAACAGCTAATGGCCATACTGATGTGATACATCATCTGCTCAAATTTGGTGCCAATCCTCATGCGACCAATGCAAAAGGAATCACTCCCATTGATATCGCAGTTGATAGTGGAAACAGCAACATTGAACACTTATTACGTCAAATTCCTGCATCATCGCAAGGTATGCTTGGTTTGTATTTCATGTTATAATACGTATACTCATCCTATGGCTTTAGAACGCAAGAAACAGCAGAGCAGCAACATCCACAATGAAAGCAGCAAACAAAGACCCAACAACGAGACAAAGACGGCACAACGAGCAAAGGCTCAGGCACGTTCCGTTTCAGGTCATCCTTTACCAAAGAAGAATTTGCGACTCTCCCAAATGGCTGATCTCGCGACAACAGCAACAATAACAACATCATCAACCAACTCGAAAGGGCCGATCCCAACGCCACCACCTGAACGACGTTTCAATTTCGGCAATGATGATGATCATCGCAACACGAATGAGATTCAGCCGTTGTTCACTATTAAGCATTGGGATGAAACGACATCAAAGATGATACCTTGTGTGGTGGATCTTCAAGTTAGCATGCTATTTGGAATGAAATCGACGGCTGATTTATGGAAGCAGTATCCGCATTTGACGCATCAACCCATTCGCGTGGACCAAAAATCTCGATTGTGGCCAACGTTTTCATCCATCCTTTGCAACCAACCTCATCATGATGCATTCGAAACCAAACGCAACTTTATTGAATCCGACTTGTATCTTGTGCCTCTCGACCAAGTATTTACTATTGTCAAGCAAGATTACAGTCACATGACCCAGCATCTTACTACCCAGCCTGTGGATACCACCAATGACCAGGATACCAACAAAGGGCTTCAACATGAGACAGCACCTTCAGCAACTCTGCTCAACATTGTATCACGACGACCCGGTTGCAGCTTACCACCCAAGTTTGCTCTCAAGCTACAAAAATTGAAAAAATGATCGTATACCCATCCACCAACATAACCCCCAACTTCCTCAGCATGTTATTACTCATTGTAAAAAAACGAGATCAACCCATCCAACCATTGTACAAAGGAAAAAACACACACACACATACACACTCTTAGGGTCTGTCGACGAATGTAGTAGTAGGATGGTCTTCCATAGTAGATATAAGAAAAAAGTTAACAAAGGTGTCATCTTCTCATACGATATTACGTGTATTCTATTCATGATTCTACACACATTGGGATTGGGGATCCTTATTACTTTGATTACTCTTAGCAATACGCTACAAGTATATGCATAAAAACGTCTACTCATGATCCCTTTACGGCTTGTTGTTCCTGCCGCATGCATGTAACTTCCATTATCAATGAGAGTCAACCGTACTTTACATTATCCTTGCCTACACGACGATGACAATGTCTCAAGCTGCATGGATGCTTGATGAGCATTGTAAAGAGCGTAATGACAAGTGCACTTTTTCCCGCTCACGGTTCGCCTAAATGCGTTTGGATTACCACAGCATATCAATACAATTGAATACTCAAATAAACATTGCTTTATTGAGCACCACGTTTGGCGACGATTTGTGTCGCTAATTAGGCAAGTGAGCTACACCAACGCCAGCAGTGGTAGTAGCAGCAGCATCGGGAACATGAGCCATGGGTAAAAAGAGAGGGGAAAAAGGAGGATGGAAAGAGACGGAGAAAAAGAATCAGGTTATTTACATAGGCGGGATGATAGGTTGATGTTGTGCAGTCGAATTAATTACAAGAGGTGTGTTGGGTGAATGGAATGATACAAAATTTAACTCCACGAGCCTGAAATCAAATCTTTTTGCATATAATCGTCGGCTGATACATTCGAAATGCCATAAAAGGTTGCTCGTCGACGTTGTTGTACTGGAATGGGTTGGGCCCTGGTTGGTGATAAGCGGCTCTTATCATACAATTGGCCATCACTTGCTCGCCTCCAGAGACCCTCACTCGCTTGTTCGTCCACTGAAAGGCGGCCACTCTCATTTTTGGCTGTGGATTGTTCAACCATTATACTGGGTCGATGTTGTTGTTGTTGCCCTATTCCTCCCTCATCCTCCTTTTTGCCAAACTTTTCTCGGATATTGCTAACTAGATTGGTGAACATGGAGAAAGAAAGGAAGATAAAACGGGTACCAAAAGTGGGGCTGCTTCTTATACGTGGGATGAAAAAAAAGTGCGGGGATGACAAGACTCACATCCATACACAAATCAAGTCGCTCGCGCACAGCTGAGCACACTTGCAGAATAACCCCCGATCAATGCAGCAGTCAAAATGAAACAAACATTGGTCGCTCTTCTTTCCCCTTTTTCATCCGAGTCAAACACCAAACAATGCCCCCTCAAAAGAAAGAACAGCATCTAGATCAGGTGGTTGAAGATATTGATGGTGACCAGGACGAGGTAATGTTATGCCTTGACTCGCATTCGTAGCTTGTGCTCATCTCTCACTTGTATATGCACCCATCCATGTAGCTCTTTTACACATGTATCGATGAACTTCAAGTAAAGCTTTGGTCTCAAACATTCGATTGCTTGCACTTTGTGCTCAACCTTTTTATACACGTTTATCTCTTATCCATATTACGTTCTAGTCTCAAGGCATCGGTGTAGCCGATATCAACAAGCTCAAGTCAGCTGGAGTATGCACCATCAGAGTACGTATACGTCGGCAACATCTGTATGGTTTTTGATCTAAGACATGGGCCACCAAAAGGGTGCACAAATGATGACCAAGAAGACCTTGCTCAAGATCAAAGGCTTATCAGAGACCAAGGTGGACAAGATTAAAGACGCTGCTTCCAAAGCACAGGTATTATCAAATTCTCCCATCCCATCGAGCATGCTCCCACTCACATGCATATGGTATCTTACCAGGGTTCTGGTTTCATAACCGGATCTGACATGTCTCGCTTCCGAGAAAAGGTGGTCAAGATCTCCACCGGCAGCAAGCAATTCGACTCATTACTTGGTGGTACGTGTAGCTATTCAAGAGCTATGTATGTATGATGTAGATATTGAGATTTCTTCCAAAAGGTGGCGTCCAAACAATGTCAATCACTGAAGGTATGCATGTCATATGACACACCAATGGCACACAAAAGGCTCACTCATTGGATAGTGTTTGGTGAATATCGAACAGGCAAGACTCAGTTGGCGCACACGCTTTGCGTTCAAGTGCAATTGCCGATCCATCAAGGTGGCGCAAACAGCAAAGCAGGCAAGTTCTCATTAACATTCGTTAAGCATGATGCTGATTTTTGATATCTTTCACATAGCCTATATTGACACCGAAGGCACCTTTCGTCCGGATCGAATCCGTGCTATTGCCGACCGATTTGGCGTGGATCCCGATATCACGTTGGACAACATTGCGGTGGCTCGTGCGTGGAACAGCGATCATCAAATGGATTTAATCACAGAAATTGCCGCCAAATTTGCCGAAGAGAAAGGGATTTATCGCTTGTTGGTGGTCGATTCAATCATTGCCCTCTTTCGTTGTGATTATGCTGGTCGTGGTGAATTGGCAGAGCGTCAACAAAAGCTCAATCAGATGCTCAATCGCTTGACCAAAATTGCAGAGGAATACAATGTGGCAGTTTTCCTCACCAACCAAGTCTCATCCGATCCAGGAGGTAAACAAAGACCTCACATGGTTGTTTATTAACGATTCTCACATACATCTTATCTTAGGTGGTATGGTCTTTGTTTCTGATCCCAAAAAGCCTGTGGGTGGTCACATTCTGGTAAGGGGTTCTTTGTGTATTGCTCAATGCCATGTGCTCATTCATTGTTCTCCCCTCCTTTCCATTTCCAAATCAGGCTCATGCGTAAGTATACACCATCCAAAGTTGAATCCCACACGTATCACTAATCATCTTTCATGCCATAGATCTGCCACTCGATTGTATTTGCGTAAGGGACGTGGAGAAGAACGAGTTGCCAAGATCTACGATTCACCCGACATGCCCGAAAACGAATGCTCGTATACTATCTCAGGAGGCGGTATTGCCGATGTCTTTCTTTAGCGGTTGATATACATCACTTCTTTTACTGGCGCTTCTTTTCCTGACTACTCTTCATATACTTTCTACGCTGAGACACCATATGCAAAAACAAGACGGGGAAACCTGTACAAATGTAATTAGCTTTCGATATCCCCTTGCAAAACAACCCACATGAATAATAAAATGATTTCTTACCAGGAAGATAAACCAATGATGTTCCAATCAAAAAGTAAAAGTAAAGTGGGTTCCATTCTTGAGCATAGGGCAATGATTGGTAGACCATAGTGAGTTCGGAGCCGACACCCATAGGATAGAGCACAAAGAACAAGTTGTAACGGGCCCAGTTGAGGAAACCAGGAACGGATCCAAGCAAGTTGGTGGCATAGTAAGAGTAACGAACGCATTCAGCAATGGACCAAGCAATCATCATGGTGCTGAATGATACGTGAGTGCCGATAGCAGGGAACATGTAGTTGACACCCCATACAAGGAAAAGACGAGAAGCGACTTGCATTGCGGTGGTAGTAACAGGAGCACGTACAAAGCCTATTTTGTATCCCCACGTTAGGATTCATATTCTCGAGAATACATCACCTTATCCATCCACCCATCCAATGAGTATAGTAACCACTTACCAACCAACGAGTGAATCACCTAAGCAAGAATAAACGTGTCAACTTCACGAGCATATAAGTTAATATCACCAATACAACCATACCTCCATAATAGCAGTTGTCTGCACAACTTGCAACCAGGGCCATACGAGTGAATGGACTTTGGTGTAGTCGCCGTTGTTGTTAATGAGGCAAGAGACGGTAGTGAAGAGGATCATGAACCAGCCAAAGAAACTGGCACCATTGTATGCGAGAAGGTACACATTGGTAAGACCACCACCCGATGATTGCTTTCCTGTATGAGTCATACACTTGTTAGCAATCAGGTGTGCATGAGTGTCGGGTATGTTTGTTACCTTGAGGCATGTTTAAAGCTGAGTAAAAGTGAAAGGAAGAGAGCGAATAGGTCTCCACCCAGCCACGATTAAAGATGTTGTCAGCTCCTCAAATGTTGGGGATGGTTCTCATCGCATGTTTAACTGCCATAAGAGTTACAGATATTGTACATAACACGTGAAGATATTGCCATCGTTCATCGTATGAGGTTGAACCAAATCCACCATTGAACAAGCCGTTGGTATGCCATTATGAAGGAAGACGTGATACATGATACGGCACCGTATAGAGTCAATCCATCATCATTTGTACAGGTTGTATACAGCACTCCACATTCAAGCATAGGTGTTAAACGCTCGCATACTTGGTCCTACACTTTATTCCTTGTGGCTTTTAAATCCATGGTATTCCTACGTTTGAATTGGCGGTTGACAAGTGATGTGCTCTCAATCTAATGATTCAATCAAGGGTTGCCCTATACACATGCTTCATTTGTACGGGTCATTCATCATTATTGGTTGGCATGCATCGTATGTATCACTTGCACAAGCAGAATTGTGTACAACTCGCGACAATAAAAGTTTGGTTACAAAGCATTACATGGCAACGCAGTTGTCTAGGCAACCACCGTGTGTATGCGTAAGCAGCAATTTCAGACGATGAAGCAGGAGCATTAATATCCTCCTCCCAGGCACAAATTTGGTTGGGCGGTCATTCATTCTCTCTTCTTTACTACCTGCAAACCACCTCCACCACTATGCAAACCGAGGCAAGTCCCTCATTGGGTATAACAGTACAATGAAAATGCTCATTGACCAGTCCTTTATTCTAGTCCTTGGATATAACGCGAACAGTCGACCTTGAACCTGATCATGAGTTTCGCTTCGAAGTCGAATTCAACAAAAAAGTACAGATCAAGGTAGCGATCTCTTTTTGACATGGGCTCTTGCACTGATGCGTGATGGCTGATTCAGTTGTGTTGGATAGCTTCTTAAAGGCACAGCAGAGATATTTGGCACAGAGATAGCTGTTGGCGTGTCGTACACTTTTACGGGTCGCAAGGTTGCTGTATACACCTGGCATGGATGTGCACTAGAGATATCCTTTTTCTTTCAATCTTTCTTTCTAATCACATGATGAGTGTCTATGCGCATGATTATCATCCTTAACTTGCTACATTACATCACAGGAGAATTCCTCGTTGAATACACAGCCAATGAAACACCCATGACGAGCTATCTCAATACCCATTTGGCACTACAACAGATGCGGGATACTGCCAAGCATTCGGGTGAACAAGGACCTCGTGTACTAGTGATTGGACCCCATGATGTTGGAAAGACTTCTTTATGCAAGATCTTGGCAAGCTATGCATTGCGACAAGGTGAAAAGCCCATCTACGTTTCATTGGATCCCAGCGAAGGCACCATCACTATGCCAGGCACCGTTACAGCTACGACGATCAGCAATCCCATTGATGTGGAGGAAGGTTTTGGTTCATCAGCAACTACAGCAGCATCGCTTGGATCATCCATGATGCCATTAGCTTACTACTATGGCTATGAGAACCCCGGCGAGAACGTCAAGCTATTCAAAATGGAGATTTCACGCCTCGCACACACCGTCAAATGTCGAATGGCATCAGATAGCGAAAGTCGAACATCGGGTTTTGTGATTGACACAGCAGGTCTGATTGATCACGTGGGATATGATTTGATCCAGCATGCTATTGAACAATTTTCAGGTAAAGAGGGATTTGAAAATAAGGGGATTTCATGGTATTCATGTTCTTTTTTATATAGTCAATGTGGTGATTGTTTTGGGACACGAGCGTTTATACAGTGACATGATGCGTATCTTGAAGGATCAAGTTACAGTGGTCAAGCTAAGCAAATCAGGAGGTGTGGTTGAGCGAGATCGCCAATTCAAGACCGAGCTTCAACGTAGCAAGATCCATGAATACTTTTATGGCACTCTCAAATGCGAGCTATCCCCTTATTCGATGCTTGTCAACTTCGATGACGTGACGATTTGGCGTGTAGGCGAAGCTATAGCGCCATCCTCCGCATTACCCCTTGGCATGGATAGTACAGTGACTGAGACACAAGTGATTAAGGTTGAGACGCATGAAATGTGCTTGCACTCGATTATGGCTATCCTGAATGCAGATCCAAGTGAGCACGAAAGCAAGCTTTTGGATACCAACATTGCTGGATTTATCTACGTGTAAGTGTTTTTGATGGCTACAAATGGCTCGATGATGCTCATATCCTTTATATCCTAGATCGGATGTCGATGAAGCCAAACAAAAGTTGACTATTTTATCTCCCGCACCTGGTCGTTTGCCAAGGAGGCATTTGCTGATGGGATCGTTCAAGTGGATGGAAACTTAGATGTAGCTTATTAGATAGTAGGCTTATCTTGTAAATACACACGTTCAATGGTTTGCTTGTGATTGATTGGTGGAATGAGGAGGAATCTTGTGGGATATTACGAATGCTTTGGTATACTTGACAACGTACTGTGCATGTTCTTAAAGTACTATTGTGATCCCGTTGCTAAGGGGGCCTATAAATCAAAAGCGCCTGAGATACGTTTTCCGATTTGAGAATGGTCCGCTGTATATACGTATCATCACTCATTTCCACGTAAGCAAAAGTTGTCGGGCCGACCGAACGGGCGGTGTGACAAGATAATGCAAGAATCGATCGACTATATAGTAAAATGTATTTGTGGCTGGTCAACATAGTTTAGGTGGGGGGATGTTGTAATACCGAGACTGCTTTGTCACGTAAAAGGCAGATCTCGATCGATGCGTTAAACCAGATTTTGTACTAAATATTCTAACAAACAAGTGGGATTTGGAAGCGATGTTCTTGTATCACCTTGTCGGTCCACCTTGCAGCCAGCATGTTTACCTTAGTATGACTGGTAGCCCGCTTGTTTGTGCCACGTTGTTTATTTGCATCATTGTCGCACATGGAAACAAAGAACCTATGTTATAGCAAGTGACGCCAAGCTGTCTGTGCACGAGGTCATGATCCTTTATTACTTTGATGGGCGTAAACAGGTGGCAAGAAGGGGGAAGGGGATCCTTGTTTGATTGACAATGACCAGTGCAACTAAAAACATGGCAATTTAAAGAAAGTAAAGAAGATTTTATGTTACTACTTTGTGCTGTTGTATCATGTGCCTCGTACATTGAGAATAAAAGGAAAAAGTCGGTACATACGCCATTCGACCCCCTGTCTCTCTATTAGCAGCTGCACCAGTTTATGAAATATCTGACATTTTGCGCGGAAATCAGCAATCGGGCGTGGTACCCAGGTACTTGGGAGGATATCCATCACAGCTTCATTACTCATGACAACCTTGCCGGTTATTATAAACGGGTTTTCACGTATCACACACACACACACGCGCTCAATCTTAATATCCGAATAAGATGACCTAAGGCACCATTTCATCTCTTTCTCCTTTCCTTTCCAAATCATCCCCCCTTTTCCATTCATCCGCTTTACACCTTCAATTTCATTATTATCCTTGAACGCTACATAACAACGATCACCTTACATCCACCACAAATACACGCTTGCATTCTTATCATAGCATGCCCAATAGTGCATCATCTACATCAACGTACACCACGTTAATGCGGGTAACGACAGGGGGTCGCCCTTACTGTCAGGTACTTTTGACAAAATTTATTCCAAAGGAGTTTCGTTTCGTTTGCTAATCACAGCTTTTCCAACAACAAGGATCTCAACGATCTGTTCGCTGCACTTGTGATCCAACATGGGCTCAAAGATCACCGTTATCGATTCCGTACCATTAGCAATAGCTTCGTGCTCAGTGAAGCGATTCAAGTGCTTGGACACTTGCAGTTCACGCATATCTCGAAGACGCCTGATCCCGCCGATCCTTCACGGCTGATAGCAACACGCACGACAACGACGTTTACTATGTCTCCTCATATGGCACGCTCATTGGGTCAATACTTTGCAACATCACGCCTACTTGAAAATGCAGTTGATCCAGCTAGCCGTGTCATGAAGGATAAAGTGATATGGATCCTCACCCCCAAGGCCAAGTTTGTCATCCAAGACTTTGCCAAGCGTGCTCAAGTATCCATCGCCCATATTCAACCAGCATTGATCAAGATCGAGACCTTCAACGTGGCTGTGCTTGAAAGATTACATGACCATGATGATATGATCGCTTTTGCACGACCCAACATGACGATAGCCTTCAAGGTATGTGCGTGGGAACTTCATATTGTTGTATGATGGCTAACTAAATAACGTAGACTATGATGGCTTATCTTCCTATGGAGTCATTGATGGCTGATGATGCTGGAGGTATGTCCTACTACAATCATAAGGTCATATCAGAGGTGCTCATGAAGTAGTTCTAGGAATCGAGACTAAACACCTCGAGGAATATCAATATACGTTTTTCGGTTACCAGGCATATGAATGGATTTGCGAATATACAACGGCTGTTACCAAGGAAGAAGCTGAAGCAGTCGCTGCCGAATACGTTTTATATGGATGGATCAGCCAAGTCCTTGACAAATCGGATCGAGACAACAGCGTCAAGGATGACTCGGTCACTTTTCGAATGGGAAGGAATACAATGTATCATGTCACTTCTCGTGGACGACAAGTTCTTGGTTGGGATCGACCCAGCAGCTCTGTATCCAGCACCTTAGATCGACACGAAGTCATTGTTCAACGACAACGTACACTTGCATCACGTCTCAAGAGCAGCAGCAGCAACAGCAATATTGCTATCAATACGCAATCTAAACCAGTGCCGATCAATAAGACAACTCCTTCTGTATCTACACCAAGTCCAACAGCCACAACGTCGAGTACTCCTTCATCCACCTCTGGTGATTCCACCCTAGATACAGAGGATAGTGCTGAGGCTCTTAATGGTTTCCAGGGCGTGGAAGGATTGGAATTCAATATGCCAATGGAACAAGATGGTGATAAAAAGCAACATCCTCCAGCTGCAGCGACCACACAACAACAACAACATAACACTGATATTGATGAAGTCACCGAACGCTTGCTTCAATTAAGAGCGAATGGCCAAGACAAAAACGACGCTCGCAAGGTTCGAAAGCAATCAATATCACGACCATCCAGCATTGTTATGGGTCATGGCAACAACGGCAGCCACAACAACAACAATGGCATTGATTTTATTACATCGGCACCGGTGGAGAGTGTACTTGATCCACATTCGCACTGGTACAAATTGCGTCAAATTCTTGAAGATCCATTACTACGCATGTATTTTCGTGATTTCCTCAAGTCTCAGTATTGTGAAGAGAACGTCAATATTTGGGTCGACTTTTACACATTGCGCAAAAAGTGTAACAAGGGCGGTGTATCCAGTAGGGAATTACTACGAGATGGCTACAGCATTTACGACACGTACTTGGCACCGGATGCTCCTTCAGAAGTCAACATCAATCATGCGTTGAAGCAAGAAATCATTGCCTACATTGCGAATAACTTTACGGTCCATCATCCAGGCAGCAACACTGAAGGCCATTATCATCCATCGACATTGACAGGGGGTGGTGTGCCTTTTGGTGCAAACGCTTTTCAGCCTGCAGGACAACAGATGACAGTGATTGTAAACGGCCACGCAACCCAATGTTTACGCAGCTTACTCAAGTTATACGAGCGAGTCAATGAGCATATTTGTCGTACGATGGCTCAAGATGCTATCCCAAGGTTTATCAAAACCGAAAAGTATCATCAGCTTTCAGTGCAACCACGTTCGACAACTTCAGTGACGCGACGCAATTCAACCCTCTCACGTTACGATCGGGATAAACTCGATGAGGACGACTTGGAAGAAGATTGAAACGTATCCAACAACCATGCATTGAATCATCATCACAACATACCAACAACACACTTACATACGTCATTCCTTTAAACGCATTCAACCCAACTTATCCATCCACAAAGCCAACATGAGCCTTAGAGAGGATTAGCCCCACATCATCATTTGTATACATATGCCACCATGTTTATGTTATCTTTTTGTACAGCGTGCATTATCTCCTAGTTTGTAATGTAGCAAATCATTAAACACAAGCAAATTCTATGAAAGCAATTGTCCCAGATATCGACGCATCTTTTCCTTTGCACTCATTGAATTGGCTCGTTGCCATCGAAATAGTTCGTCACCGTAGTTGACATGTGTCTTGACATCACCTGAGCGATAAGGCAAGAAAGGTAAGAAATGGTCGCCGCCTTCAGAAGCTGGGAGCAGATCCACAATCACTATACAGTACTTTGATAAGTATACATGATAATTCCACAAGGGTTAGAGTGCGTACCAGTAATTGATCCATTGAGAGTGATATATATGGCATTGCGTTCTTGTATATAGAGCATACCAACAACATCACCATCAGCTATATCCATGGCAAATGATTCTGTTTGAGCTGTCGTTCCTTGCAACACCGTAGCTTGTTTATCCAAATGCCGATATTCCAATCGCACGTGGCTATCTTCATGCAAACTCTGCATACCCACAACAATGGTCCTATAATCCATGTCAACGATGCTGCATCATCATCATCACCACACATGTACTTGGTTACATACCCATCCAACTCGTCATCGTTGGTAAGCTTCTTGTCGTAATAGGCAATGGCCATCTCGAAATAGAGTGAAGGAAGAATGGATTGGTCGTCACGACTCACAGCTCGTGAATTAAGGATTCGCATGGGTTGTGTTGTTGTTGGAGGTACATCATCTTCGAATTTGCCAACACGGATTGGGCGTAAGCTGGGTTCCTCAGAGCCATCCATTTCATGCGGTGTAACATCGAATGTCATTTGTTCCATGGCACACGTCAAACGATCAACTTCATCACTCTTTTCGGATTCAATAGTATGTCGTCGTCTCACTTGAGGTGGCGGTAGCTCAATGGATATAGGGGGTAATGCCAATTGCGATAAGGGTGTATAACCTTCTGGGAGGAACCTATTCATCCCATTGTAAAAACTTAGTTATTGTTGTTGTTCAACATGTAATCCTATATACGCATACCTTAGTTTATCGAGAGCTCCACCAAATCGGAAACGACTTTCTTGACCTGTGGACAATGATATAGCCTAAAAATGTATCTCCAAGTCAATAAAGATGCAAGATCCAGGATGACCATCACTCTCCTTGTATACTCACCGGGTACCAGACTTTGCTCGTATCTACATCCGTAAATGCCACGCCAAGATCCTGCCCATTTTGATAATATCGCATCTCTCCTTGATCCAAATCCAAACAGCAGGTGATGGTGTCGCCGACAGCCCATCTTTGACCATAGCTCTTCCTCTATAAATAAACCCATAAGTGAGCTTTTTCATCAAAGACATCACCATCATCGACGTTACGTACCCTATTCTGATCCTGCTTATGCCATTTTTTCACTCGACACCCATCATATCCATATGAGAAAGCATCATCACCGACACCAGTACCACCTTCTGGATCAATGCCAAAATCTTCAGATACCCAGCCAACTTGCATCAACCCTTCGGTGGCCAATACAGCTTCGAATGCATACTTGTGTGTGGGAGAAAGTGACCATTGTTCGGAATCACGAGGAGGTGTATGATGCGTAGCACGTACAGTCTCGAATGTCCAAGAATCGTTACGTGCCTCAAGCCGAGTTTCATAGTTGAGCAAACAATATTTGGATCGTCGGTGAAGATCAATTTCAACAAATGCTGGATGATTATCGCATGCTGAATCTGGGCTGATACATCGCGTTGCAAATGTAAGGATAAGGCGAGCATAGAAATGGAAAGACCGCTTTTGTGTCATTGGAACTTGAGCACTTCTCCATATCGAGATTGCCATTACTTGCACTGCTGACTTTGGAATCATGCATGCTGGATCTAAGCAAGGATTAGTGTCATTGGTATTTTAATCCTTATCAAAAGCAAGTACCTGCACAAATCATGGTGCCTAAGCACGTCAAGACGTGGTCGGATAAAGGACGGCAATTTTGGAAAATGTAAATCATGGCTTCCACGATGTTCATTTCATGCACTAAAAAGTGACGTATGGACCCTGCATCATCATTGTCAATTAGCCATGCGTACGTTATTGCATTCAATGAAGGTACTAACCATAACGAACAAGGGATCGAAGTAGCATCCATGCACGACTTGCAAACCCCGAGTATAGCTTGGCAAAATGCAAAGGCTGACCAGCAGCCATCACCTCATCCACTATGGTAGAATCATGCTCTTCCCCTTTGCGTCGAGTTTCTCCTAGACGTTCCGCTGCCGATTCAACCTTCTTCGTCATGATGAAAGGTTGTCCATCTCCATCCTCATCTTCGTCATATTCAATTTCACTGTCATCGGATGAGTCACTTGGTGCGTATGTCTTGGGCCGTGTAGATGATCTTTGTGATTGTGATGGTGCTTGTCGAGAGGTAACAACAGCTGTTGATTGTTGCAACCAGGCAATTACGTCGTAATACCATTCACGAGCAGCTTCCTCTTGCATGGCAGCATTATCCAGCTGAATGTCAGGCCGTTGTGCACCCCAAGCGTTCAAGACTGGATGAAGAGCCAACATCATCAAAGACTCTGCTAAGCGTCGAACCGAATCAGGCAACGTATCACTGGATGTCATTGACGGCAGGGGTGGTGCTGGTGCTGGTGCTGATGGAATGTATTCATTGGGTACATTATCGGTCATCACTTCATTCAAGTCGGCTAATCGTGTGGAATGGCGTGTCTTGACATCGTAATTGCGTAAAGTGCCGTCTTCCAAAATATCATCCATCTTGGTCATATCAGCGAGCAATGCTTCATCTTCCGTTCCACTGACAACATTTCCAAATACATCACGGTTCTCCAATAAAATGCGCAAGGCACTCAATGCACCAACAAATTGGATACGTGCACCAATGGGAAGCTCAAATTTCATAAAAAGAGATGTCATGTTGCTTTCATCTGTTGCTGAGGATGAGGATGAAGAATCCGATTGATATGATTCATTTTCGTCAATGGGGATATTGCTGCTGATTGTAATGTTGTTGCCGACTCGTTGTTTACGCTGGTGTCGAGCCGTATCGCCATGATGTCCAGAGGTAGCTAACACCGTTTGTATCAGAACAATAGGAAGAGCGTGTCGAGAGATCTCAATGCTAGTGTTGATGAGAGGCTTGATCACTTGATAGATGACACGTGATGTGATGGAAGGGACTACAATGAAGCATGGTGTTAGAAATCGGGTATCATTGTTACGATAATGCATGCTTACATTTTATCGTCATCATCATCAGCGCCTTTGCACATGTGAGTTGAACACGTTCATGAGTTGATGCCACGCACATGGAAATCAACGTGTCTTGACATTGGTCTTTGACATGGCAGGCAAAATCATCTATTGCTATCCATTTAGCTTGCGTTGATTTTTACCTCAATGGCATTACTTACCTCGCATCGACATCAAATTGAATACAGCACCAGCAGCGTTATATTGTACATCGAGTTCATCGTAAGACAACAAGTTGTTTAGAGATGAGACAACTTCATCCACATACGGCTCCAAAAGAGTACAATTGCTAGCTAAAAGAATTGTCAGCACACCATCTTCCAAGAAAGCATTCAACTTACTTATACAACAAATCAATGATAGGATCTCGGAAGAGAAGATAGCCACATGCACCTTACGAGACACGGTCAATTCCAGGAAAAGCTTGAATTCATTGGAACCAATGATATCTTGATGCGATTCAACTATCATCAAGCCAAGCGTTAACGCCGTACCAATACCATTGATACCATGATCCTACCTTGAGCAGCAACAGTATTGATGCAAAGCACGCTCCAATACCGCACATCATCATCATCCAATGTCAAGCTTCGCATAATCTTTTGCACCATTCCAGAATCGATCATTTCTCGCCGAAACCTTTCTGCAGCTACAATAATGCCAACATGAGTTTCGAATAAATCAAAAGCTCATTCATGATACATACCTTGCCCATACGCCATATACTTTATCGTTCGTAGCACAACACGAGAAATGTATATCTCCTCAGCTCCCAGCAATGCGTTTAATATAGAATGGAGACCCCTGATTTCACGAAAAGACTGGAGAGCAACATCTGTAATAAAAGCATGGGTTAGGCATTATAAGCCGTTTCCAGTTCCCATATATACCTTTGACAACGAATTCATGCATAAGACCAGCTGCCCAGTAAACTAGTTCAAGGTCCTCTTTGTTTGACATGTTAGATACCATGCTGCTGGATTCGCTATAGATTAACTTACCAGCTCGCAGCGAAATTGAGATAAGGTCGATAATTTTGTAGTCCAATAGCTCTTCCAAGATGCTCTTGGCCTCTCCCACCTCCACATTTGATACGATGCGTACAAGGCTTTGGATGCAAAACTTGGGCATGTTGGTGTTTCCATAGGTCATTCGAGCCATTTGAGCGAGCACTGCCACAAAGCCTTCTTGGATCAAGATTTTGGGAAATGGCTCTATGACCATGATGTTAAAACAAGTATTTTTGGGGTAAAGAGAAAGCTTACCTGTGCGTGTGATTTGATAGAGTATCATCAATGTCCAATATCGTAATTCATTGTTGCGGATCGTGGTGGATGTCAATATGCGTTTGATGGAATCCAAAATCTCAAGCTCTACAATGTAGCACTTGCACCCATCTATAGGCCATAATCAATACCATTTCATTGTCACTGGAAGTGGGGGAGGTGGATAGGAATCTTACCACTGCCTTGGATCAAATCACATATAGCTACTGCTGCATAACGCTGTGCTGATTCACTCATGGGTGGTTCGGTATCCTTTAGGGTTTCAACAAGAATGTCCAAGACACCAGCTGCCAAAAGTGCAGGCCTGTTACTATCTTGATTGAATCAATCTCTGGTCATGTAGAACAATACAATATCCCATGTCTTTACCTCGCCTGGTCAATAAATGCAATGATGAAACGGCCTTTTCTCGTGTATCCAATGGACTCTCCTTTTTGCAAGCTTGAACAATGACAGGGAGATAGGTTTCTTTAAATGAACGCATCAGCAAAATCCATCAACATCCTTATCCGAGAAAGAGAGGTATCCGTACCAGACATTGCTCGATCCAAAACGATTTTCACGGCACTAATGTTGTATGACAAAAGATTGGTAGGTAGCTCGTAGGATAACATAACAGATCATGGATGCTCATTTACCCGCTTTGTATACTGGCATTGGAGGATTGGGTCAATAACGCCAACGACTTCAAAGGTATAGCTGATATCATTTCTTAGCTTTCAACGCGGTATGGATCATGACATGATACTATCAACGTACAATCTTCTACACGCTTGTTGGCTTCTTGTCGCATAACTTCTCGTTTACGTCGACTTGTGTAAACTGCATTGCGTTCTCTGAAAGACTTGACATTGGAATAGATCGAATAGGCCATGAAGACTGCTGCCATGCCAGATAGAAAGTAGAACGTTGCATTGGCTGGTGAAAGTGAATCCTTTGCATTGCCAATCGATCGATGAGAAGGACGCATAAAGAAAACGGGGTTGTGCAAGCAAGAATAAGGGTGGGAGAGCGTGAATAAAGAAAGAGCAACCAACGATGATGCTTAAATCTCTCCGCATGTTTGATCAAATCCAATAAACACACAGCCCAAATGAAATAGAAAGGGAAATCATGCAAAAGACTTTTGTTTTATGTTATGCTAATACACATCTAATATTGGGAAGCCATTTGTTGGCAAGACTTGAGGGCATCGAGATACCATTGGCAGGCAGAGACGTCATTGTTGTTGGATTCCAAACATCTCATAAGAGCCTTGGAGTCAGCATCACAAGAAGCAATGGTTTGCTGTTGGGGTTGTTGATACATGTATTGAGGAGGAGCTTGTTGGTATTGGGGAGCAGCTTGTTGTTGTGGTTGCTCGGCAGGCTTGTCATCAGAGCCACCAAAGAGGCTGGAGACACCGTTGGCAACACTATGACCAACAGCGGAACCAACAGCAACACCAGCAGCAGTAGTAGCCATTTGAGCAAAGAGACCTGGTTGTTGGGGTTGTGCAGCAGCCACTGGAGCACTAGGAGTAGGAGCAGTGGTCATGGCGTGTTGTTGCTGAGGAGCAGGTGCAGCAGGTGCGTGATGTTGCTGAGGAGGAGGGGCGTGGTGCTGAGGAGCAGCAGGTGGTGGTGCCTGACGAACAGGCATAGTATGAGCCTGACGTTTTTGTTGTTGAACAGGTGCAGAACGTCTAGTCTATGAATTCAATCCAATGGGTGAGTTGATCGTTGTTCATTGAGTCCACATTACTGCCGTACCTGGCGAGGCATGTTTTGAAGTATATAAAGCGGGGAAAAAGATACCAGCAAATGTGTTTGTTTTTTCACACAGGCCGCATCCGCTGAGCTTAAACAACACCCCAAGTGGAAGGATCTCGAATCAAGCCACGTGCCCACCACATCATCTTGTATATTTCCCATGCCTCGTATTAATTCACAATTGGCAGGGCATTGTATACTACAGGTTGAATACGATACGTAATCATGGACACCTTTGATCACACATAGATGGCAGCATTACTCAATGCCTTCAACGTATTCTTTGTTGGTGCTCCTAAAGTAAGTCCCTTAACTACTACTAGATTACAATGAGTCATCAACTACTTAACCAATGCCAGCTTGTCTGCTAAGGACAAACCCCTATGAGATTCATGCAATGCGTTCTCTTCCGAAAAGAACCCATTTTTATACGTTCACTCCCAAAAGTAGAGAATAATAAAAATCATCGCCGTGTAGAACAAGTTCCCTTCAACACAGCAATCATCCAACTATGAGATGCACAAATCATTTATCATAATTGATGTGTTGCTTGGTATTGGGGATGATTTACAGCCTGCTGTATGCATTGCTTACGGCTACGACGGGCTTGGGTAATGAAGACTAAGGAGGCATGACGTCTCGGTGACTACGTAGTAGCATTTTGTTGTATACGTCGATCGATGATTGTTATGTATTCCTGTACGCATTTCATCTTCTTTGCTAGCCACACTTTGTAAGTCTTGAGTTTCCCTAGCATAGCTCATGCCTCTGTGCTTTGTAAATTCCCATGAATGTGTTGCTTGAGAACCATATTTGATGCGCACAATCATGTGTAACACAAACACGTCCCTGCGCATCTTGCGCTCTATCAGGGTCAACCTACTTCACAGTGAACAAAGACCATCTCTCATATAGCATCAAGCTTACAGCATACGTAAAACATAAAGGTGCCTGTATCTCTAAACTTTACAATTAAACGTGGGGTCTTTAAATAGAACAAGCTGCTCGGCTGGGTCAAAGCGATCTTGTGTCAAAGTATGAAGTTGATCGTGGCCATTCCCAGATTTCGCGATGTCGCCACCAGCCAAACTGGATCTGGGGGTCGACCTCTTCGACGACGACGACCAAAAAATATTTTTTGGGCTGTTTGCGACATTGAACGTGAAACTTTCACACAAGGTGCTGTTGGCCAAGCCGAGCCCACTACTCTAATAAAACCCCCACGTTTCATTGTAAAGTTTGGAGATACAGGCACCTTTATGTTTGTAAGCGTGATGCTATATGAGAAGTGGTCTTTGTTTAATGTAAAGTAGCTAGACCCTGACAGAGCAAAAGATGCAGAAGGTCGTGTTGTGTAACACAGATACGTTTGCATGAATGAAAGGGTCAATGTATAATTACTTTATGGATCGTCTAGGAACAGGCATGTATTGCTAGCTAACGGCCACTTTTATCCAATCATCATTGTTGCGAGATCCACTGCATGGGAACGATGCCCCTGCTCCAGACATTCATTTCCATGATTAAAGTAGGTTGATCCGAGCTGATTTGACTGAGCTGCAGTCAAAGAGAGATTACATCACTCTGGACATAAAGCACGCTCGATGTAGCTCAACCGATGTAATCTTGTGTGAGCGTAACTCAACCAAATCAGCTCGGATCAACCTACTTTAATCATGGAAATGAATGTCTAGAGCAGGAGCATCGTCCACCTACAATAGAATGCACAAAAGTTGGGAATGCACAAAAGTGGCTATTGGCTGCCAATGTATGACATAAAAGTGAGGGTTGCGTACCTGTCATGCATTGTCCCTGAAGTCCTGACTTTTTAGCTGAGTTAACCAAAGAGGTCCTTCTGCATCTTTTGCTCTGCCAAGGTCCACCTACTTGACAATGAACAAAGACCACTATTCATATAGCATCACGCTTACAAACATAAATGTGCCTGTATCTCCAAACTTTACAATGAAACGTGGGGTCTTTGATAGAACAATGTGCTCGGCTTGGCCAACTGCACCTTGTGTGAAAGTTTCAAGTTCATCGTGGCTAATCCCAGATTTCGCAATGTCGTCACCAGCCAAACTGGATCCAGGGGTCGACCTCTTCAACGACGACGGCCAAAAAATATTTTTTGGGCTGTTTGCGACATTGAACGCGAAACTTTCACACAAGGTGCAGTTGGCCAAGCCGAGCCCATTGCTCTAATAAAAACCCCACGTTTCATCGTAAAGTTTGGAGATACAGGCGTCTTTATGTTTTACCTATGCTGTAAGCGTGAGGCCATATGGAAGGTGGTCTTTGTTCATTGTCGATCAGCTAGACCCTGACATAGCAAAAGATGCAGAGGGACATGTTTGTGTAACTCAGCTCATTATGCATGAATGGAAGGGTCAATGAATGAAATGATACCTTACAGACTTCATACATTGGCAGCTACCAGTCACTTCCTCCCATTCTCCATTGTTGCCCGACCCAATGCATGTGAACGATTGTGCTGCTCCAGCCCATCATCCTCATGTTTCAACTTTCTTGATCCGATGAGATTTGACTGAAAAACGCTCAAACACAAAACATTATCCAATTTCACAGAAATCATTTTGCAAAGTTATTTGTAAACTGCCAGCTAGCAGCCCATTCCTCCTTTTCACCTTTGTTGCCCAAACCAATGGATGTGAACGATTGTCCTGCTCCAGCCCATCATTTTCATCCTTCAACTTTCTTGGTTCGATGGGATTTGAATGAGCAACGCTCAAGCACAGAAACATCATCCAAGTATCAGGACAATCAAGTTAATTTCCACTTCTTCCACTCCCACTTTATTTCCTCTTCCTCCCATTCTCAACTGTTGCCCCATTCAAGTACAATTACCACCTGCGAACGATTGTCCTGTTTCAACCCATCATGTCAATCCTACAACTCTCGTGATCCGATTCTCTTTGACTGATTGAGAAGTCCATGGCGTGTACACTCTACTACAACACACGAGCTTCCTCTTGACACTACACCTTCTATTGTACACTCGTGCACCACGGCCAATGGTAACAGCATCCATTCTAGCAATTGCTGTTAGCAAGGGCCTTACTCCATTGTCTCAAACAGCGTTCTTTACTTGCAGCAACTTGCCGTACAGCTTTTTTCACGTGGACAGCAGATAGCCATTGTTTAGAAGCAGCTTTATTTACGTGTAGCACCTTACTTCAATACAGAGGGATTGGGTGATGCCATACCAGCCACCAACTACTATTGTGCAATACAAGTATTCTTCACCTGGTTGAGCTGCAATAGAAGATGACCAAGCAAGCGATTGGCCAACGGCCTGATGGAAAAGGAAGGAATTGTCAACAAGCAATCAAAGGAAGTTCTTTCTATGTATCAACATGTTGGACTTGCAATGGTTATGGATGGATGCAATCAAGCTCGGTGGTAGGTGATGCTGAGATGTCGTTTTGGTTACTTGGCACCTCGTCAACATGAAGGATGGATCATGCTACGTGGATATGGCTAAGTATGATGGTGGTGGTGGATGGCCATGGATGGTATTGGATATTGGAGTCACGGCAACCACAGCAATCAGTTTGCAATCATGGATGAAGATGCTTATGACGGCAGCAACCAAGAATACAATGAGACAACGATACCCGCTTATCCTATGTGATCCGCTGATTGGTTTCTGAAATCAAGGGGGGATAGAAACTCGAAGGCCGGAAGGCGAGATTTGATTACCTACATCATTGTATCGAGACGCTTTTGTTCCTTTTGTCATATTATATTCTTCATTAAAGCTTCCTTGTTTATATGATCAGAGACGATAGGCAGTGGCAATAACGGATTGTATACATATTTAAATAGACGCTTGTATTTTCAAAACAATAAATCCATAGTAATTGCACCCATCAATAGTACTTGTTACAGAAGCTGGTCCTTGTAAGCATGAATAATCACGTCTAAGAAAGAGTGGGTGCTCTGATACAATGTGGCACGAGTACATGCATATGCATTATCTATGAGAACTATCAGCATGCGCTACCTTGTATGTATAGTCCTATATAAGAACGGCCCCTAGAGACATGCAATACCATTACCACTCGTAGTCTTGGATGCCCTGATCATTTTTGGTTTACCATTCTCTCATAGGGGTGGGGTCCCTACTGTAGCAGGAAGTGTCAATCATGCAATCTCCACCAATAAGAACTCTTCAAGCCCCTATAAGTTTATTACACAAACACACCCCTCTGCATCGTTTGCTCTGTCAGGGTGTAGTTACTTGACAATGAACAAAGACCACTCCTCGTATAGCATCACGCTTACAGCATCCATATGTAAAACACAAAGACAGTCATATCTCAAAATCTTACAATCAAATGTGGGGTCTTTAAGAGAACAAAGTTGCTCGACGGGGCTACTTAAAAGTGTATGTTGTAATATCGGTTCCTAATATAATACATGCGTTGTTTTTATAAAGCAAAGAAGAAGGGCATTGACTACATAAGTGAATTTAGATTGTGTATATGAAAAGGAGAATCATGAGGAGGAGGAGAAGGAGGATGAGAATGCGTGTATAAAGAGACATGTGTTTACAAGGGAGAAAGGTGATATGATGTGCTTCAAATTGACATTAGTTATCTATAATCAACGACTTCGTATGGAAATGTCATCATCGTCTGTTGATGTCCTTGTCTGATTTTCACCTTGGCCTTCGTGAAGCGGTAAAGCCATCCATCCATCGTCTTCACTGGAAGCAGGGGAATAATTTATTGGCAACCATGTCAGCCATATCAAGAATCCCTAAATGGTGCATTGTTGTTATTCATCGGCGATCCTTCCAATACCAATAGGTATGCCTTACCACGTAGATTGATCCAAGTACAATGAACACTGCCAGGGATATGGGTCCATTGACGTGGGATACAAACAAAAAGATGTTGAATCCAACAATGACGACCGTCAGCGCCCAAGAAACAATATGCATAACCCTTGATAACTTGAATTCGGATGACATGACAACAGCGGCTGAAGAAAGCTTGACGATTGGGATGATCACTGGTGGGAGGCACACGCTGTCGAGATGTATGAGTATCTTCGTACGCATTCATTGTCATTGGTAGTTTTACCTTTGAAGAACATTTAATAATTCTCCCATCGTGTCAAAGCGATCAACAGCAAACACAGCTACCAACATGCTTGGTACAAGAGATATACCACGAGTAATTGCCATACGATGCCATTCTTTTCTGAAAATGTTCCCAAAGAATCCTTCCGTGACATATTGACCAGCAAATGTCCCGGTCATAGTGGAGCTCTGACCCGCTATATAAAAAGCCATCATCATCCATGAAAAAGTGTTCCTTCGTGTACCATTCGTTCCTATCCCTTACCAGCAAGTAATCCTGCACCCCAAAGATATTGTGCAGATTGGCCCAGCGTTCTCTTCAATACTGCATCTGCATCTGCCAAACCAGGAAAATCAGCTGTATCAGGAGTATCCGGTTTATAGAACACTAAAAGGCAAGATTAGAAAAATCATTGTCAACCCTATTAATACCATCCATTTACCTTGTGCAAAAACAACCACGATTGCAAGGTTGACAAGAAAGGAGATGAACAAGGCCAAACCGGATTCGATGCCGAAATAGAAGTTTGCTTCCCGTTTCTTGCGAACAGATGGCTCCGGTCCCAAATCACGAGAACCAACCAATGCGCTGAGATTGTAACAATGAGATCGAGTAAAATCAAGGAGAAGAGTATCACACTTACCTATGCAAGAACATATTGTGTGGCATGACGACAGCTCCCAACATACCCACTGCTTGAATCAATGCATTCTTTGGTACCACAGGAACAATCAATCCACGTACGATTTGAGAAACATCTGGTTTGGAGACGATCATTTCCATCCAAAAGCATCCCGTCATGATAGCGATGAGCAGCATAAAAAAGGCTTCCATTTTACGCATGCCGTATCGTTGGATCATCATAAATGTAAATGTATCAATGGTCGTGATCATGACGCCAGCCCATAGAGGAAGATGAAGAAGGATGTGTAATGCAATGGCTGTGCCGATGATCTCCATGATATCCGCACCGATGATAGCTGCTTGTGCAAACGCCCATAGTACAAAGGAGACACGAGGTGAATAGGCTCGTCGGATCAATTGTGCGAGATGTTGTCCTGTTACGGTGCCAAGGCGTGCTGATAATAATTGGAATACGAGACCTAAAGTCGTTGTGAGTATGTAACATGTCGAGATCGAATAAGCTTAACCATACCAATAACATGGGCCCAAAACAGCAACCATAGTAGCTTGTAACCTGCAATAGCGCCAGCTTGTAAATCGGACTCAAGGTTCCCTGGGTCAAGATATGCAATAGACCTATACACGACATGCGTTAGGATGATATCCTCCATCCCACCAAGAGTATGTGATGTCTTACATTAACCACCCTTGATAAAGTCAAATAAAAGTATGGGTCGTTAGCGGCATGCTCAGTGCATATATTGAACTCCACATCCCGTTTTACCTGGACCAGTATATTTCCACAACTTCCTGAAGGAAAAACAAGAGTCTGATACATCCCCCGTATCTATCTCTGGTTTGAATTCAAGGTCATTGGTCGTTTGCCGCCTTCGAACGTTATCGTCTGATCCCGTTGAACCCGGTTCGGTTGCCTCATCAGAAGGACGGCTTTTGTAATGGTACCCATAGCCATTCAAGAGACTCATTTCGGTGTCGTCATCGTCGTCGTCGTATAAATGGGAGGCATCGTGAGGCACCATTGTGGGGAAAAGAGTTGGGTAGCCGAAGAAGAGAGGGGAAACAGGGTGTATAAAAGAGCTGGTATGTGTGTCGTACTATATCATTAATCCCGCTAACATATAGAGAGACGGCTTTCCAGCTACCCCCGTTCTATATGCGAAACCAAGGAACGCACGATACTTTATTTGTGGTCGATTCAACATCTTCCTTTTTTATATACCCATTGGCTTTTTGTTTCTATGTTAAAAGTAGCTTGGTGATAAAGGATGGTGCGGATCATTTCTACCGATGTAGCATGTATAGTTCATTTCATCAGACAATTGTTGTATCATTTTCAGCGAGTGTAACCAAAATCACATTCACATGCGGAGATCGGCCTCTTCCGGTTGCTATTCATATGGACAACTGTTGTCAATAAACTACGTTAGCACATACAATCATCATCATCATCACTACCCATTTGTGTGTCTTTATCTCCTTTATTGGTAATTTCAATCACGTAGTTGCACTCTTTCATTTCTACCATGAATATCCGATCTTCCGTATTCATCTACCTGCAGGTGTAAATAAAAGGGACACAACACATACAACACACAAGAGCTGCATGTCAATGAATTCAATATACTGTATTGAGGAAAAAGCAATAGTACAACGATTGGGGGGCCATAGTCAAACATGCATCACAATCAAATGAGAGATCCAGCTCGAATCTAAGGCATCTACAGCCATCCATGAACGACGGCGTTTATTGATGGGCAGCAACAAACTTCTTTTGGAACTTTTCCACCGACTCTTTGAATTGTTCAACTTCCTCCCAGCAATCCAATGGTCGCGATGCGTGCTTCCTATTTGGTACATCATTCGTCAGTTAACTTGTATATCCATCATCCAAAAAGGAACTTACTTGTAGCATGCAACCACAGCTTCTTGACGCTCTGCAATCTCTGCAGGGAGTTCTTTTCGTGAAGATCTAGGGTGGTTGTTTGATAGGTTAATTCATGATGGACATAGTCTATCATCATGCCACGTTGAATCGTACCTTTGGACACGTTGGATCATGTTTTCGATATCAGTTCCCATGGCAACCGAGTTGTAATCCTTTTCCAAGTTGCTCTTTGCAAGCTCGCTGTATGCTTGATCATTGTTGACCTTTTCGCGCTTAAGCTCCTCTGCAACGCGTTGACGCACAAGCTCTTCCACATCCTCAGACCGGGTATTGCTCTCTTGAGTAGGCTATTCACATACATCATATTAGCGACATGAATAGATAGGTTGGCATTCATAGCTTACCTTCTTCCGGGTTTCCAAAGTCTCAATGAAACCTTGAGAAAACTAGATTGCAAAGAACGAAGCCGACATTAGGATCTATGAACGTTCGACACGATGGCATTGCACGCTGAATTGGCGTATCCACACACCTGTGTTGGCACACTCTGGTTGTAAAAGATGATTGGTTCGCTTGCCGTCTTGGATTGTGTGGTGCCCATTTTGTTGTTCGAAGTTAAAGACGCTTGTGAAGTCGGCAGCAAAAAATCTTGGGGGCCAGTCAAAACAACATCAGCCAGGGGCATTACATCCATTACGCTCAAGCCATTTCTTGCTTATGCGACTAGCCACTTCTATATCACCCCTAATCTTGATATCAATCAGTACAACATGAATCAGTTTGATACAATGCAATATTGGCAATAATAAAGATGCTGTTGCTACTTTTGTCATCAACCACTCATACGCTGGTTGGGCTGAGATTGTAATCCATCCCTCTGATATGGCCGAGATAAATCCATTGATATTGAAGCTCAAAGCTTAATGCAAATGTTACTGATCTTATTATGTGCAAATGATGATAATGGAAGTAGCGGGGAGATATGTAAGTACAATTTTGGTAGCTAATGCTATAATGGGCATGTATCGATATATAGAGAGACCAAAAGGTTCATTTAACTTGGTTGACCTGGCCATGCTGGTTGGAACGAGCCATCAAATTCACCATAGAACCTGTTTGAATCCACAACCTTGTGTTGTAATCCTCCAATGACAGCACCACAATGTGGGCAATTTGAAATTTCAGTTGCACCACCGCATTCGCCTGTAAAGTAACATCATCAGAATACCATACAATACATTGATAAAGAAGCATGACTTACCGATGTAATAAGGATGACCATTTTCGCAAACAAACCAGCGACCACCCACAATATTATGTACACTCATCTTGGTCTCCGCATTCATTGCTTCGATAATGTCCTGCTTTTCTCGTTGCGAGATACGCTGGCGTATTTCCTCTTGTTGACGCTTGATTTGGTTCACCAAAGCAATCTCGGTCTTGATATAAATGTTGTAGCGTAATGCAGTGTAGATTGGCTTTTGACAAGATGGACATTGCCATAGTTTGATAGCTGTATGCTCACCATTCTTTGCTTGATTGTTGAAATAAAGATCAAGAGACTCAGCAGCGAAGACTAGCAAATGTACATTAACCACAATGCGTGTGTAATACCCATGTTATCAACTTACCACAACCACATTCAGGGAGCATGTATACTTTTTCATTCTTTTCAAACTCTGATAGCGTACGCAATGAGATGCTGCATTTGAGATCCGGATTGCACTCTTTGCATGGTGGGCATGGTTCTCCACAAAGGCCAGGACAAGGATGACTAAGATGGCATATAAGCATATAGCTTCAGCATATGAATCCCATAGATACTTACGAGCAATCCAAAATCTTCGAACATGCTTCTTCACAGGGTAATCGATCACATCTCTATAAAGGAACATGAGCACCAGCTATCATGAAAGCGGATCATTATGTACAAACCTCGTAGCATTTTTTGGTACAGCGCTTGTGCTCGCACTATGAATGGTATTAGAAAAAAGAAGACTACTAACAAATGCCTTCACACTCACCATGTAGGGGCACGGGTTCATGCAAAGATTGCAGACCTCCCAACAATCACGACCACATTTGTATCCGTGAGAGCATACGTGACGACAAGGTTCCAAACAACGGTCCGTGTGTTCTTCGGCGGAAGCACAACCTAAGACACCAATGTCAACATTTCATGATAAACGTGGCATTGAAATCCTATAAACTTACCCTTTGCACAATTATGACCACAAATGAGCTGTTTCGGGCACGATGCAGTACACAGGTCACGGCTATGTGAGTGTTGCTCCGATCCACACTAAAAGAAAATTGTTGTCAGTAGCCCTTCCTAATAAACAAAGAGATCATGCCTTACTGGTTTAGAACATGGATGTCCGCATTCCAGGCGTTCACGACAAACTTGTGTGCAAATGGGCTTGTATCCACAGGGTGCTGATACTTGATGCCCACAATCCAAGACCATATCCACAACTTCCTCGCACTTGATTTCACCTTCATTTGGCGTAAGATGGCACTTGGCAGTGTATGTATGTCCACAAGGTAGCTCGCGTTCAACCATATTTTGGCATTCAAATTTGTCGTCGCTAATTTCGCTGCATTGGCCGGTAGCTGTATGGCCGCATGGTAAAGTCTTGGTTGTCATTTCTGTACAAGGTGGACAAGGTTGATTCTCACACTCGTAGCAAGCATTTGGACAATTGTGCTCGCATGATCGTGGTCGTACACAAGGTCGCTTGCACTTGCTTGTAGCACTTGAATGCTTCAAATGGTGGCACATCTATGGTTTCCTTCATATTAGTACTACTCACACCACCAGCGCATATCATTCCAACAAATGTACCTCTTCACACGCGTGACCACACTCCAATAACGTATTGCAAACACGCTATAAAAGAAGAAAATCAATATCCATGGCCGCAACGTTTTGTGTAAAGATGAAAAAACTTACATTGCATCCACCATTTCTCACTGATTCGAAATCTCGATAATGACCAAGATGATTTGTGGACTCTGGATGACTCTTACAGGTGACAGTAAGATGAGAATCGAGCGAGCCTATATGAAAAACAAAAGCCAAGATGAGAACGCATTGCTTTTTTCTTGCACGTTGTATAACTTTTACCTCTTGCTCTCATTTGCTGTGCTACGTTGGCCCATATTCCCTTGCCGAGATAAGAAACGTTGCCAACGATATATAATCCATGTCGAGCTCTCGAAAGTGCAAGTGAGATGTTGTCTTCGGGTATAACTTGTTCATCGGGCATTCGAAGTACGAGGATGACGAACATGTTCTCTTTGCCGATATAATCATCAACGCCATGAACATGAATACCATCCACAGCAGGTTTGGAAAATACACTGACGGTACGAATGTGCTCATGCATAACGGTCTTTATCAGCTTGTTCATGATTGGCGACAAGGTGAGAATGGTGATTTGTGATGGCTTGTAGCCTTGTTGGAAGAGATAGAGACCCAAATGGCATGCGTAACGAGCCTCGTCAACATCCTGCTCAGTGACTCCAGCGCCACACATACGAGAGAAAAAGCCGTGTGTAGTACTTTCGCCTTGTGGATTGATGGCATGGTTGATAAAGAAGGCACGTTGAGATACACCGAACAGCTCAATGGATGATTCATCGACACAATTTTCGCTGGCGATAGGTGCAGTGATGAGAAGCGAGCGATCTGGAGCTGTCGTAGCTGTCATTGCCACCGAGTCATGGATACCAGCAATCTCTTTACACATACGCCATTGTTCTTCAAGTCGAATCATCGTACCACCCGATCGTTTCCATCGTTCAAACATGGATGTATCCAAATGTTTGGGCTCATCACGTAATGCAGGATTATGAACAGGAGGAGGCATGGTTGATTGATGATCGCCAATCATAATCACATGTTCTGCACGAGATCCCAAGACAAAAGGCAGCACCGTAGACTCCAAAATTTCATGCGCTTCATCAACAATCACCACACGTGGCCAAAGCGATGATACCAACTCAGTGTTTTGTGCCGCACACTCTGCCGTCATGCCCACCACACGACTGAAACGGCAACTCGATACCCATTTCTTTTGTCGAGCATCCTCAAGAATCTTTGCAGCCTTCATCTGCTCTTGAAGGATCATGTCAATGTTGGCATCAATGATGTCAAGGAGTGCGTCAATCACGTTGCTGCGTAACTTGTGTTTGCGATCGCGTGGCAGGTTCCACAATTCTTGAGGTTCCACCGTATTCCAAATGCGCACCATTTTCTTGCGAATCTCATAGGAAGAAGATGATGTTGGCAATGGCCAATTGGGTGCATCAGCAAGGGAAGCAATTTCTGGTGTGTGCTTTTCAATCCACTGTCGACGTTCATTGAACCATTTACGCTCCATAATTGGTTGTGCTCGTTTGCCACATGTAGCAAATACAGCTTGGGTGAGACCACGATCCACAGGGTCCGATGCATGGCGTTGATATTTGCCAATGGAAGCATCTTTATCATTCTCATCCATCCAAAAGTCCCACAGCTGCTCCATGGTAAAATCAGTAAACGGCTTCACAATGGCACTCATGCAAGATCGGACCATGGCTTGTTTGCAATAAGGCGGCAACGTGGTCACCATCACCGATGGATCTCCTTGTTCAATCCGCTTACGATACTTCCAAAGTGCTGTAAGATGACCTTGCCACGTAGCTATCTTCCGCTCCAACATTTGGTTGTACTTGCGATCAGGATCACCAATATTAGGCTCGGCTACACGAATCGCCTGTCGGATCAAAAGCGGCTCATGTGCAGGTGCAGCACCCAAACGAAGCAAATCAGGAATTGTGTTGACCAATCGCTCCAAAATATCATCCAACGTAGACTCGCGTCGCGTAAGCACCAAAATGGGTTGGAAACATTGGCTTGAAACGAGTGCTTGATAAGTCAACTCAATCAACTTGGTAGCAAGGAAGGTTTTGCCAGTGCCTTCAGTACCCGTGATCATGGCAACTTGATGGGTCAATGCATATTGAATAGCTTTAAGCTGACTTGATGACAAGCTATACAATGGTTCTCGTTGACTTGGATGCAATGCCAATTGTGTCTTGGAGTGCTCTGGCCACGTGCTTGTTCCCTCATTGGCACCAATCTGAGCTTTGAATCCTTTGGCTTTCAACTTTGGTACCAAAATGTTGGAGATGTTGAGCATGACTCCACATAGATAATCGGGCGTCTCATTTGTCAAAGAAGATGTCGTTGACCCTGTTGCACCTGAAGGGGAAAGTAATAATGGGGTCACCACCTTGGAGAGGTTTCTATCATTGATCTATTCATCCAACTTAGTAAATCATTGAATACGTTCTATATAAATAAAACATACCTGAGTGCATTGTGATTGTAGCCATTCGAGAACAGGGAGCATAGCCATTGAATTGGTATTACTGGTAAGCACCGTATACGTCGCAGACCAATTGACCCTTTCAACTTGTTCACGATCAATGTGAATGGCCAACATGGATACTCCTCGTGGGGTGACGTATGTACAGGCAACGGTTCCCTTGACAGTGGTATCCAACAAAGAATCCCAAGATAATAAACCACTTCCACTTGGTATCAGCACCGCCATTGAACCTTCCAAAGGCAAGGATGATTGAGGACAAGGAAAACCAATCTCGAATACAATAGCAGGTTCATTGATGGTGGGTAAAAATGCTGAGCAAACCGATTTGCAATGGGTGTGCATTGTCCAACCATAGCCGAACTTTGTGATAGGTTCCTTTGTTGATCCTTCGATGGCGTATTGACGAATAGCATCATACAATGGACCAAAGATCTCATCACGCAAAAGCACATAATGCACTGTGAGGTACGTCTCTTCATTTGGATAAGGCGTATGAAGGATATTGGTGATGCGATCGAGTCGATGATCTCTGAGATATTGACGTAAGGGCGAAGTTGCTGGTATCTTTCTCTTGTTCTCGATCTCTAGCATAACACGCGTCTCTTGTAACAATAGCTCTGCATCTGGAATAGGTGGGATCGGTAACTTGGAGTGATCGGGTGACTTTTTCCATTCACCACCACTCTCTCTATTGGATTGCCAATGATCATAATCGCCCATACGCAAATCAGGCTTCGCTTCCATATCCCGCTCAATTTCTCGTAAGAGCGTTTCTGAACGTTGCATATGTTGATGCTCGAACACACCCTTGATTTCTTGATAACGCTTTCGGAGAGTGGAAAGTGGGATGCCTTCATAGCCAGGAAAAGCACTTGCGAATTGAGAAAACAACTCCAATAACGGAAGCAATTCATGAGGCGTAAGAACCGAAAAATGGATATAGTCGTTGACAGCTGCATAAAAATTGATCCAGCTCTTACGCATGATGGTGGCGATCGGTAGCTTTGAATGCATCGTTGTCTGGCTACGCTCTTGCTTGAAACGTGATAATAGCATATGGACCATCATGCCAAAATTCTTTTCTCCCAATTGACGACATTTCAATAAGAGTTCCTCGATATCCTCATAAGGTCGTCGTGTCGATTCAGGCTTGTAGAGTGATGTTGACATGAAGAATAATCGTCGATACATCTTTGCATCCCCAATGTGATCGATTGCAAGAGGCATTGCTGGCGGTGGTGGTGGTGTTACTTGGATAGGCGATACCACTGTTTCAGTCTCAGCACCTTGACGCTGTATTCGAGGAGGGGACATGATATAATGCAATGAAGATGGATGTTGTTGTTGTTGTTGATGATGGTGATTGAATGGCGATGGTTGTTGTTGTTGTTGTGGTAAATGATGTTGATGTTGTAACATGGTGTTTGTGGGTATAGATTGTTCTTCTTCTGGTGACCAGCCAATAGAGTTGACATTGTTGTTATTTGTTGGGTTGGCCACTTGAGCAAATGTGCGACCATTGGTGGAAGAGCTAGTTGGTGCAGCAGCAGCAGTAGTACTTGTTGTCTTGTGATCAGTTGAAGAACCTTGATAGTTTTGGAATTCTGACTCTGACATCCATTCGGATTTCTTCTTTGGTGGTTGATGTCGAGATTGTTTGAGTTCAAGGTCAACTCCATTGTGCCACAATTCCATAGCCTCTGAGCGCAAGTTCTCAAACGCAGCATTGTCGGGAGCAAACTTGACATGCCCATTTGAATTACTGCTATCTTGTCGTTGTCGCGTGCGTGGTGACATGTCCATACTCGATGATGATCCCCATATCAAATCCGTGCCAGTGGATACAAATGGATCACTTTGCTGTAATCGATGCTGCTCACTGCCATTACCCATACGCGTGGTGTATCTATCCCTCAAAGGTTGGTCCACTCGATCATAGGTAGCGTATCATTGTCTCTTACCTGTCACTGTGTGCTGAATCAAATGAAGTCGAAGACGCAACGGATTCGGTTCTGATCGGTGGTGCTCTATCCTCTGGAAGAACAAATGGTCGTCCCTGTCGTTCCCTTGATCCATGTCCATTGGAATCGTACATGCCAGGCTTGCGATGGACATATTTGGTATGGAAATCGGATCTCTTGAAGCCCTCGATTGCGCGTGTATGCAAGTCCATTAGGTAGGTATAGGTAGGAAAAGGAAGAAAAGGAAAGTAAAGAGTAACACGGCTTGACAGTTTCACGCTCCAGAGGCTAACGAGGTGACTGGTTGAATGAACGCCCTTTTGTGGAACCCCAATAATTGATGCACCAGCTGATTGTTTCATGCAGCCACCTTGGTTTGCTCCCTGAACATCCATCCAATAACTAGCTCAAAATGACATGTCACTTTTTCCGCTTCTTGTATCCAACAACTATTGTTCTTGATTTTCCCTCATTGTATCGAGTAATAAACAAGAGCATTCATCCAATTTCCTCCTCCTGCTTGTGTGGCACACGCCGCCAAGTACTACACATTTAGCTTGACAGTCTCATCCTTATACATTACACTTGCCCACCGTAAAGTATATTAGATTGATCACCCATTCTAATTGTTTATGGAGAATCATTCTTTCTTTCAAGGTCAACACACGCTTTATGTTATCAGAAGAGGCATACAGTATACATTTTACAAGACCGAATAACCCAACCACTTGTTCCATGAAAGAAGCTACAGTATTGTATTGATCCACAAGAAAGCAACAAGGAGATATAGGTAAGCTAGCAAAGTCCAAGAGCGGTAACAATCACATAGAATGACACCATGTATCTACTTTGGTGTTCATATCATTGTATGTCCTTTTTCTACTATTGCTTAGTATGTGCTAATCAACCAAAACCAATGTTAGTTTCTTAAGACATAATAGTACCAAACATCATACCTCTGCTAACTCCCTGGAGACTGCCGTGAGGCTTGTTGGTATAGCATACAAACGCCAGCACTGCAGGTTTGCAGGATCCTTGTCAGATTCTGTTACAACCGTTAGAAAATGACAATTCAGAGACAACACAGCAACTTACTTGTCAAATCCTTTTCGAGTTGCTTCATCCGCACTCATTCTTTCAAGGTCTACCCATCAACTGAAACAAGTATAACGACCTTCCTTCCTTGTATATATCGTGCCGTTGAGGAACTTCCACCTTCACCATAGAGTTGTTCATTGTTCATCCGTACTTTCTTTGTTGCTATCGACGCGTGCTCGCCACTAGTGATATTTGTAATGAAAAGTTACCATCATAGCATACATGCAAACCAACTTTCACACTTACAGCGTAAATCGAACATTTAGCTTTCGCTTTGCACCATGTCAAATGCACCATGCCAAATGCACCATGCCAAATGCACCATGTCAATTTCAGCACCCGGGGTAGACCATGGCACCGAAACAAACTTTTGCAGATGCTTCAGGGAGAGATAGCTATATCGAAAGTAACAAGGGTGGCGCCTATGAGTAGTGATTCATCAAGCAATATGATCAGTATTTACCTCATTACAAGAATACAATATCGCAATACAACGACAATGGACTGTAGGATAAAAATAAAGCACTATCAAAGACCACCACAAAGATAAGCGCTTATTCACAAAGCTTGCAAGAAATGGGATACGTACAAAACATTTGACATTTGACCTGTAAGCAACCAAAGAAGTATGGCGGAGGAAAGAGACGTGTGAGAGTATGATGGGCGGCGACAACATCCTTTTATTGTGCATGGTGGGCGTGAGTTTTGTGTTTGTTGGGGATGATGGGTTGATAAATTGACGCATGCGCTGATAAAGTGATGGGGCGTATATACCAGGATTAAGTCCAAAGAGCCAAGTGAGATGGGTGGGAGAAAAGCGATAGGCGACAACATTCATCTTGTTTACATCTGCACGGTAGGCGTGTGGGTATTTCTGCGACCACAAAGAGTAATAAAATGCGTGTTAAGAATGGTGATGAGATGATAGATTGATGGGAGAGCCTTCACAGAGAGCTTTGGTATATGGTTGATTGTGCATGCATAAACTAGAATGTGAGATGATAGGCAAGGTCATCCAACAATGGCATCACCAAATCACTTGCCGTGCTCACGTTCCATGAAATAAGACGTTGGTTGAGGATACATCTCTTTAAGAGTTCGTTTGGAAAAGAGAAGTCGTTGGCATCCCCGTAATCGATAAGCAGAGTACACAAGCGTGAATGTTTCCAGCCATCACAATGCCAGCATGAGGGTGAAATAATGGCTTCCATGAACACCATCCAACCTCGCTTTCCCATCTTCAAATGTTCATCCTTCGTCCCCCCCCCTTTCACTCCATAAACCAACCAAGTGATCCACATCTTATACACATGAGCTGATAACACGCTGACCTTTCATCTTATGTTGAATCCAATCTCCATTCAATGGAAAGTCGAAGAATAGCACATGGTAATAGGGTTGTTTATCAAACAAATGTGATAAGGGGAAACATTGCAAATTGAATAAAGAAAGGCAACGGGGATCATTGTGTCATTGTACTCTTGATTGCCGCCGTCATAATCATCCATCGTGATTGCAAAATAGCTGCTGCATGCATTGGATCGAGTACATCAATATCGTTCATGACTGTAAAATACGTTTCCTCAATTCCATCCCAACCATCATCATCCTCAGCCGTATCCACGTGACATGATCCTTCGTCCCTGCTGACGACGCGACAAGTAATCACCACGATACTCATGTCAGCACTTGATTGCATCCCTCCATCATAGCCATTGCAATTCCAATACGTTGGTTGAAAAGAGCCATTGTGATCGCTTCCTTTTCCATCCGGCTGTTGATCCATCCCTTTCTAATTCATCTCCCATCGCTGCTCATCCAGGCGAGAAAGTCGTCTGTATTGCGGCGTACTTGATAGCTGATATGGCATCATCCGTTGGTATCCGTATGTATCAAAGAAAGTTGCTGCACATAAATAGAGTTGCTTCTATACAATGGCTATCTGTTGTTCGTGTAAAAAAAAGGCTGCAAAGCAGGATGCTGCAAGCAAATAAGGCTGGTCGAGAAAATGGAGTGAAGGTCTTGCTAAACAACTGCTGTTACGTTTGGCCGTGGCAGAAGGGGGCAAGAAAACGTGTGTTGTAGTAGAATGACAAGGATGTGAACGCTGTTTGAGACAATGTAGTGAAGGCCTTGCTAATGGCAGCTGCTGTTACGATTGGTCGTGGTAGAGGAGCGTGCAAGAGCGAGTGTTGTGGATGAGTGACAAGAAGTGAGTGTACACGCCATGGACTTCTCAATCAGTCAAAGACAATCGGATCACGAGAGTTGTAGGATTGACATGATGGGCTGAAGCAGGACAATCGTTCGCATGGTGATTGTTGTACTTGAATGGGCCAACAGTTGAGAATGAGGGGAAGAGACAAGAAGTTGTGGGAGTGGAAGAAGTGGAAATTAAATAGGCCGGACACCTCTTGTATAAAATGCATGAACACTGTACATCAATCCTTGATATTGAGATTGCCCCTCTCGAACCTAAAACTTTCACACAAGATGCTCTTGGTCATGCTGATCAACATTGAATTAAAGAAGACCTCATGTTTATTAGAAAATATTGAATGGGAGGGTGCAATGTGGGTTTACTATGTAAGTCGGAAATGGAGGTCAGCCCCGGATTCATGATTTATGGAAATAGTATGTATTACCTTGGGATTCCCCATTTCGAACCTGAAACTTTGTCAGAAGGTTCGCTGCAACATGCTGATCAACTTCATTCATTTAAAAACCATACACTTCATTAAAAATGTCTTGAATGCGGGAGGGTCCAAACGGTGGATGATGGGAACAAAAGAGAGGACGGCCCAGCGCCCCGAAGTTGCCAACCTCCACCTTGAAAGTTGGTCAGAAGGGTGCTCTCGAGATGCTGATCAAATTTTTTCTAATAAAAACCTCACGCTTCATTTGAAAATTTTGGGATGGGAGCGTCCAAATGTTGGAGAGGCGGGGACATTCGCAGGGTCTGCGATTCAAGAATTAACATGTTTGCTGTTCAAGCGTAGCTCAATCAAATCAGCTCGGATCAAGCTACTTGAACCATGAAAATAAATGTCTGCAGCAGGAGCATCGTTCCCATGCAGTGGATTTTGCAACAATGATGATTGGATAAAAGTGGCCGTTAGCTAGCAATATATGCCTGTTCCTAGACGATCCATAAAGTAATTATACATGGACCCTTTCATTCATGCAAACGTAGCTGTGTTACACAACACGACCCTCTGCATCTTTTGCTCTGCCAGGGTCCATCTACTTGACAATGAACAAAGACCACTTCTCATATAGCATCACGCTTACAACCATAAAGGTGCCTGTATCTCCGAACTTTACAATCAAACGTGGGGTTTTTATTAGAGCAATGTGCTCGGCTTGGCCAACTGCACCTTGGGTGCCAGTTTCACGATCAAGCTTGCCAATCCCAGATTTCGCAATGTCGCTACCAGCCAAACTGGATCTGGGGGGGGTCAACCTCTTCGACGACGACCAAAAAAATATTTTTTGGGCTAGTTGCGACATTGAACGCGAAACTTTCACACAAGGTGCTGTTGACCAAGCCGAGCACATTGCTCTATTCAAAACCCCACGTTTCATTGTAAAATTTGGAGATACAGGCACCTTTATGTTTGTAAGCGTGATGCTATATGAGGAGTGGTCTTTGTTGATTATCAAGTAGGTGGACCCTGGCAGAGCAAAAGATGCAGAGGGTCGTGTTGTGTAACACAGCTACGTTTGCATGAATGAAAGGGTCAATGCATAATTACTTTATGGATCATCTAGGAACAGGCATGTATTGCTAGCTAACGGCCACTTTTATCCAATCATCATTGTTGTTGTATTCTGTAATTGTTTATGGATACGATATCTAGAAACATAGAATAGACCTTTCCACTACACATTCGAACGTTCCTTAGAAGCACATGACATGTCAACAACAACAATAGAATAGTATAAATAAGCATCCATCAAGCAGCTAGAAACCATCATCTTTCATCTTTTGATCTTTCATACATAAAGACATACACACGAGTCCTAAAGGATTTATCTTGTCTCTTCTCTTCTTTATTTGAAACATCACATTTTTTCCTTTAAGTTCTCTATCCTATGTCTCAACCAACCTCAATCAGTGGTGCTGATACCCAAGCACAATCATCTCCTGAACCAATCTCTCTTGGATCACCTATTTCCATTCAAGCTGCTTCATCCATGGGCGATTGGGACACGGCGTCTATCTCGCAATTGCTTGAAGAGCCAATGGATCTGGACTTCGGCATGGACCAAGCTTTGAGTGCCAACAGCGTGTTGTCGTCAAACATTAGCTTTCATGACACAAGCAATACACCTACCACTCCTGAAACAAGCGTACAAGCCAACAGCCAATTACCTACCGGGACCATTCATAGCATTCACGCAAGCTCTGAAACGTTGCTTGACAACGCCATCACCCAATACAAACAACAATTGGACGAATTGATCAAGACGTATACACGTGCCATGGCTGCTGGAAACCGTAATCATCTCAAAAGACTGTTCTCGGAGATACACCAAACCAAGCACTTACTTAAGTCATTCCGTAAGCTTAAGGAAGAAGAATACGGGAACCATGAGCCAAAGAACAAGCCTACCATCACCCAGGCGAAGCTGTCTGTAAGAGACATTCCTCCGTTTCAGCTTAAGGATCTCATGTGTGGTCCAGACAAGGAGGTGTTTGAATCAGCTGTGCATTTCCTTTCAAGTTTCCAAAAAGTCCTCAACACAGGCAGCGTAAACAAGGATCTCGAGTGGCAAAAGTGGCTACATGTCGTATTGCATCAAGACCACGATGAATGGTTTGAATCCGAATTGGCCGACAAAGGATATACATGGGAGCAGGCGAAAGTTGTATTCAAGAAGCGTTTCCAATCGATGGATTAAGCATCGTCTCCAAGGCCACGCAAGCGTACTCAATCACCATGAACTCTGATGAGGCCGATTCTGGATTTTGGTAACACGTTTCCAAGCATGTTACAGACAAGGAGGTCTCAAGGATGGTGAAGGTTTGGCGTTACGTTTCATGGCTGCCTTACTTCCACAAGTCCGTGACAGGGTGAAATTGGCATGGCACGCCAAACACAATGGACATCCGCAACGAGTCGATGATATCATTCAAGTCGCCCAAACCATCACGGAGGACAAGAGGGTCATGGATACTTATCAACCACGTAACAACTCACACACCGTCGACATGGAAACAAGCGCTTCCGCCGCCATCTGCCATATGCTGGTTCACGCAACATGCCAAAACGATCAGGTGGCTCATCCCATGCAGCTGTTGGCTGCGATTACCACGGACCCAAGGCACACCATCTATCGCAAGAGTGCTTCAAGCTGAACAAGAACAGAAACAAGAAGTGCGATTATTGTGGCAAAGAGCGTCTTACCAGGCCACAGGTGTGACGAGTACCGCCAGGCGATGGCGTCACGCCACAAACAGAACAATACCAATGGCACATCTACCACTCACACAGTGCGTGCCATTGACAGGGATGACCATACCCCTTCACAATCTCAAATGACTATCCTACCAATGATGATATTATGGAGGAAATCTTCTCCGAATTGGACGCAATCAGCCAACATGATCACACCTCGCATAGGTAACATCATCATAAGAGCAAGCACCACTTTTTCATTCACAAAATCACTCACTCATGACTCCTATCATTATATTGGTGATAACGCCTATTAGGCTTAGTGGATAGTGGTGCAAGCGTTTCAATAATAAATGAAAGTTTATGTCACAAATATTCTTGGTCAATCATACCAGCTGAAGGCTCTTTACAATTTGCGGGAAAGAATCATACCACACGCCGCATAGGCGTTACACAGCCTCTTACCATTCATTACAATAATAAACCTCCTTTCACGCATCAATTCGAAGTCAAAACGGGGACAACATCGATTGCTATGTTGGTCTTGATCTATTCTCACGTTTAGGCATCTCTATACACAACCTTGCATTCAAATGGGATGACACCCAGGCTAATCCTGAAAAAGATTATGACACAACATATGCGGACATTGTAACCCAACGAATCTCCCGTTGGCACTAAAGAACAACGCGAACAAATGATGCGCGAATTAGAACCATACATGAAGGCTAATGCAGCCATACCTCAATCATCTTTCTGCACCATACCAGAATCTATCATACGCTTGCCTACACCTGAAGGTGAAAAAGTCTATCGCAGGCACATCCATTACCCATAGCTCTTGAGACCATCATCGACGATGCTGTTAATACATGGCTGCAAAATGGTACCATCATACGTGCCAGCATTGATAACGGTTGGAATTCACCACTTACTCTTGCCGGATAAAAAGACGCGTCCGGCAAAAAGACAGGCAAAAGACCGTGCTTATGATCCACGACTCATTAACCAATTACTACCTGATGATCGTTATCCTCTTCCATTGATAAAACAAATCTTCCATCGCTTACATGGTTCAACGATTTATACCACACTTGATCTTAAAAATGCCTTCCATCGCTTCCGTATTCATCCAGACGATCAACACAAAACCACTTTTACTCATCGCAATATACAATACATGTTCCAAGGTTGCCCCCTTGGGCTCAAACCTCTATCATCCAAATTCCAACGAGTTATGACATACATCTTTAAAGACATGCCTTTTGTTGAAACCTTCGTTGACGATATCGTTATACATTCTACTACATTCAATGAACACACTGGGCATATTAAACAAGCCATCTCTGCACTCACACACGTAAATCTTATTCTCAATCCGGCTAAATGCCACTTTGCACAACATACCGTATACCTTCTTGGCTTTACTATCTCTGCCAAAGGCAAACGTCCTGACCCACGTAAAATTGAGCATGTACTACAATGTCTACACCTTGTACGGGTAAAGATATCCAAAGTTTTGGCATCGTCAATTACTTTCGAGATCACATACCAAAAATTGCTCAACTCAATGCTCCATTAGAACGCCTTCGCAATGAAAACTCACTTCAGGGCAAATGGACCGCCGAACATGATAAGCACTTTTCACTGCTCAAAAAGATCCTATCTTCTGATCTCATCTTACATCATCCTGATCTACGACATCCATTCTATATTGCCACTGATGCCTCAAACACAGGCATTGGCGCTGTTCTTTTCCAAATTGTTGACAATGACAAACGTTACATTGAATTTGCTGCCCGAGCTTTATCAACCTCTGAAAGGAATTACTCTACTACACGACGCGAACTTCTCGCTATTGTCTTTGCCTTACGTCGTTTTCATCACTTTGTATGGGGAAACCCATTTACTTTGTATACGGATCATCGTTCTCTCACACACCTGTTCACTCAGCCTATCGCCAATTCCATGATGATTAATTGGTTCGACACCCTTCTCGATTACACATTCAATGTCGTTCATTTACCTGGAACTAAAAACATCTTACCAGATCATCTCTCTCGCCTTTTTGAAGGGAATACCAAAAGGCTGGAGGGGGATATGGCATATAAGCCAAGCGAGTTAAGCGATGCAACACATAAAAGGATCACCTCCGAAAGGTTTGCATCCAAGACACAACGTGTTTTCCGCGTACACAAAATAGAAAACAATGACAATGAACGCATGACTGCACCAATCGAAGAACGTAACGCAATACTAGAAAGATCTCATTTACTTGGCCACATTGGAGCTGAAGCCATGGTCAAAGACATACATCACAACCAAGGTTATCATTGGACAAACATCTTACATGATGCAGTAGACTACGTAAAGAAATGCCAAACGTGCCAAAGAAACAACATTAGCAAAACGAGGATACCACCCTCTAAGACCAATCTACGCATACTTACCAGGCGATCATTGGGCGGCGGACCTCGCTGGTGATTTCGAGGAATCCGACAGCCACAACAAATACCCGTTAATATTGGTCGACGTGTGCACCCGATTCTGCCTATTGAGGCCTATACCAAACAAAGAAGCTGTAACCATTGCCAAAGAATTGGTCAAAGTATTTTCAGACTTTGGATACCCACGCATCATACAATCTGACAACGGTGCTTGAATTCAAAATCAGCTACTCAAAGAAGTGCTTGACAACATCGGTGTTGATCGACTTACCACACCGTATCACCCACAAGCCAATGGGCTAGCAGAACGATGGGTCCAATCAGCTGTCATGATCATACGTAAATCAATAGATGGCACCAGCAAAGACTGGGATTACTTTGTACCAGCCACACAATTGGCATTGAATAACAAAATATCCAAAAGACTAAACACACCACCATTCACATTAATGTTCGCAAGGAAGCTCAATCCTTTTCGCGATTACAGGAATGACAAAGTGTTTAGGCCTATGACACAGGCACAGCTTTTAGAGAACATCGAGCACATGACCATTGTATTCCCCGCTATAAAAGAGCGCACAGACTTTGTGGTACAACAACAAAAAGAGCACTTTGACAATACACATAACATCATAAACTTTACACCTGGAGATCATGTCATGGTTAAAATACCTACGCGTACAGGCAAGCTAACACCGGTATATGAAGGCCCTTATAGGGTACTACGTAAAAACAATGGAGGTGCATATGAATTGCAAGATGAAACGGGTGAATTACCCCCGCAATTACACACCCCTTAGAGCTCAAATTGGTTGAACAAGAGGAATTAGTTCCCGCCGATGAGCTTTATGAAGTAGAATCCATTATCAATCACCGTGGCAAAGCCGGCAATCGCGAATACCTAGTCCGATGGAAAGGATACGGACCACAAGATGACTCCTGGTTAACACCTGACAAGTTTTCCTATGACAAGACTATCAAGACATATTGGCAACGAAGAAAAACTCACTCCACCAACAACGACCTTCCAGCATCAACGAGAAAACGCAAACGAGCAACAACCGATTCATCCACGGACAGCCCAACACGACGCAACAAACGATCACAGCAAGCTTAGCTCGTCTCTCTGCAAATGTACCTCGAGACTGGGAGGGGGTGATGTTGTATTCTGTAATTGTTTATGGATACGATATCTAGAAACATAGAATAGACCTTTCCACTACACATTCGAACGTTCCTTAGAAGCACATGACATGTCAACAACAACAATAGAATAGTATAAATAAGCATCCATCAAGCAGCTAGAAACCATCATCTTTCATCTTTTGATCTTTCATACATAAAGACATACACACGAGTCCTAAAGGATTTATCTTGTCTCTTCTCTTCTTTATTTGAAACATCACAATTGTTGCGAGATCCACTGCATGGGAACGATGCCCCTGCTCCAGACATTCATTTCCATGATTAAAGTAGGTTGATCCGAGCTGATTTGACTGAGCTGCGGTCAAAGAGAGATTACATCACTCTGGACATAAAGCACGCTCGATGTAGCTCAACCGATGTAACCTTGTGTGAGCGTAACTCAACCAAATCCGCTCGGATCAACCTACTTTAATCATGGGAATGAATGTCTAGAGCAGGAGCATCGTCCACCTGCATTAGAATGCACAAAAGTTGGGAATGCACAAAAGTGGCTATTAGCTGCCAATGTATGACATCAAAGTGAGGGTTGCGTACCTTTCATGCATTGTCCCTGAAGTCCTGACTTTTTAGCTGAGTTACCCAAAGAGGTCCTTCTGCATCTTTTGCTCTGTCAGGGTCTAGCTACTTTACATTAAACAAAGACCACTTCTCATATAGCATCACGCTTACAAACATAAAGGTGCCTGTATCTCCAAACTTTACAATGAAACGTGGGGTTTTTATTAGAGCATTGGGCTCGGCTTGGCCAACAGCACCTTGTGTGAAAGTTTCACGTTCAATGTCGCAACTAGCCCAAAAAAAATATTTTTTGGTCGTCGTCGAAGAGGTTGACCCCCAGATCCAGTTTGGCTGGTAGTGACATTTGCGAAATCTGGGATTGGGCACGTTGATCATGAAACTAGCACACAAGGTTCGGTCGATGTCGTATTTCAAGTACCAATATCATCATCAAGTATAAGGTGACAAGCCAAGGTATCACAACGACCACACTTATCCCGCAAGAGGACACCGAATGTAACGTTTCCATATCCACACTCAAGGTTCATCACTCAATGAGCCCCGTCATCTCGTGTACCCCAACATCCTTCGATGTAAACGCCATCTCCCTTTATCATCGTCACACAGCCATACTAGAAACCTATATAAGACATGTTGTAGTTGTAGCTGGTAACGGCACCTTTAAGTTGAATACAGTATATTGATTCTCAACGTACTTTCACTTTCTCTATCATCTTCTTTTTATACGTAATATCTCAGTCGACCCAGCCGAGCAACACTGTTCTATTAAAGACCACGCTCTTCATTGTAAAGTTAAGAGATACAGGCACCTTTATGTTTTGCCTATACCGTAAGCGTGATGGAGATGCTTCCTCCTAACGGATGGTGCCGACTGCATTAATGGCAAGATGAAGAGCCGACTGAAATCGCACGTGGTGGTTACACATGCACTTCCTTGACAGGTTGCTGCACAAATGGATGATGATGATGATGATGATTGCCTTTGGGAAGGTACGTAACTAAACAACACCGTAAATCAAGGTCAATCCAAAGGCCGATCCTTTATTGCCAGGATATCAACACCTCGATTTAGCCATATCTACTACTATGTCAGTGCCAATTGTTGTATTCGACGTACTCTTTTCTTACTGGGTAATCGATCCAAGCAATGACCATTCGACTATCATGTGCCAATAAGAGGCAGAAATCTATAACGATCATAGACCTTACAAACGGGTCATGCTACTATCTTCCAGGTCTTCGATACATGGAATCCCGAAATCTGGTACACATCACGTGAACAATATGGGTGATGAGGATGAAGCAGCGCTTTTAATAGTATGCACGTGTTTGTGTATTAATAGCCATTTGACTTTAAGAATGTGTTCAACATGAAATGTTATTGTACGCTAAAGAGGGTACTTCTATGGAGTCTGCTTGAGGGGATGAACAGAATAAATGCAAATGAAATGAGAAAAAAGTAGTTTCAAAGGGGGCAGATTGTTGTTGTAGTTGTAGTATATTGGGAAAGGAGGAGGAGGAATGAGAGGGGTATGCACAAAGAAAACAAGATTATCCATTTATCGGCCAAATCGTTGATCCACCTTTGAATACTTGTACAAGCTCCGAGCCAACAATGGATAGTCGAGACGATGATAATCATTGTTGTTTCTAGAAAGAATGGGATTAGCAATGATAGCAAATGTGTTTTTCTCCTCCACTTACATAAACTCAGTCAATCGGATATGCCATGGGAAGAAACCATCCAATGAAATGTAACAATGTGGCAGACCACTGCACACAAGCATAAGATCAGGGTCCGATGGGCCATTCTCTGCATCACAAACGAGCATGCATCGCTTAATTAAAAAGAAATAATCACATGTCGTCCCTGCAGCAATATCATACCATGCACAAATTTGTCCACCATAGCAATGTCAATATCATCACTGGATCCACCCGTAGCAATCAAATGCTTTGTAATGTTTTGTGTTGCCTGTACCAAACTTGAAGAACCATCATTGGCGGATAGAATGTTGAATTTCATTGCTGCCCAGGAGATGAGGGTATGTGAGGATAAAGTGTCATTGGTATGTTACAGCGTGAACCTACCAGGTGCAGAAGAAGGTGATGATTTGATCCATTTGTGTAGCATTGTCGATTGTCGTTTATAGACATCCACGCCCATGCTTTTCAAGATACCTAACAAGCAATCATCTTTAGATGTCTTGCTTATCCACATCCTCCTCCTCCTTATCCTTTTTTACCTGATGGGTCATAAACCGATAGTTCCTGAATACCAAATTCCCAAGCCCAGCATGATGTAACGCAAATATCATTCACAAGGTCCTCCCAATCAGCAAAGTCCCGTTCTTCCAATTCACCGGAAACCAATATGGCCAAATGTTTAGGTATCTTGGTGAGACGTGCCTTGTCCTTGTGAATGGCGACTAGACGATCGCCTGTGTCAAGCCATTTGCACATGGCATGTTCAGTTGTACGATAAAGCGAACGACAAGCAATGTATAAGAGATAGCCGAGTTGTAAGGTGTAAAGAATGAGATGACAAAGTGCATCGAGGAGTGTAGAATAAAGTGGTTTGTGTCTTGGCGTTGTCTTTGAAGGCAAGTCTTGAGGCGAAGGGAGATTGCATTTAAGCTGTATTTTGGGCTTATCGGCGTAAGAAAATGATTGGGAAGGTGGTTGTCTTGGAGACGGTGATAAGTGTTCCACCGTTGTTGTTGTAAAAGTCATAATGATAAAAGAAAAAGAATGGAAAAGAGGGTTTGAAGAACGATGGAGATTGGATGCAAGAGCGTCAATTTGTACTGAGCTATTGATTCGATCTCAGAGACAGACAAGGAGTAGCCATGTGATCTAAAGGGCTCCACCGCGCCATCACAAACGACAACAACAATAGACCACATGCTCATATCAATATCGGGCATTGATGTTTCATAATAATGTGTTTATTCTATCATGAATCAATGACAAGGATTACATGTCATGGCTATTTAAAGACAAGGATTGCACAACGGACTATGTGATAGGTATGTGCTGGTGGTGAATGGTACGCTTCTCGCAATAAGCGATGAGGTGGCTTGTGCGTTGTGTTGCAGCCGGGGATATCGGCCATGTTGCGGCCGTTAGTTTCCCCACCTTACTTCCTTTCCGACCTTGTATGGTTTACCTCTCCTTTCATTTATTCTCATTGTGATTACTCTACCTTCCTTATCCTCCATACTCTTCTATAGAAATGCCTGGTGACGACTCTTTACCACAACAACCACAACAACAGCAACAGCAACAACCACAACCACAACAACCGCCTTCCACAGTTGAACCTCGAAAGAAGCGCGCAAAGATTGTGAGTGCATGCAGTGAATGTCGACGCAAAAAGACCAAATGCAATGGTGAGCGGCCTTGTCGTAGTTGTCAAAAGTCGTCAACAGCTTGTATTTATCCATCATCATCACACGCCGAGGATCGACGGAACGCTCCTAACAAAGCAGCCCTGGAGGCTATTGAGGAACGACTCAAGACGATTGAAGACATGCTAAGAGCTATCCTCCGGTCACAACTCGCTCTATCCGATCTAGATCCGATTGCTGTCAATAACTTTTTGAATAAGGATAATAACAACAAGGCATCATCTACATCGCCACCATCAGCTCTTGCTTCTACACCACCACCACCTCCTGCACCACCTGCAACCACATCACGACCTTCTTCTTCTCCACCACTCCATCATCCAACCTCGCCTCCTGTGCAACGTCCATTGCCAATCACCCCGTCGTCTCCACATGATTACAGACTACCTTCTATTCGCAATATTTCGGCATATTCTCGGATATCAGATTCCGGCCATGAACGGCACCATGATTTGCCTCCTATTGGTTTTCAAAGCTATCATCACCAACATTATCCTGTTCAATCACACACACCCGATGATATCGATGATGACGCTGCTTCAAGAAAACGAAAGCGATGAACCCAACTATTTATATATAAATATTCTCTATCTTATATCATGCACGGCGACGTCTTGTTCCTTTTTCTCACACTCCCTCCCCCACCTCTTCCTCTTCCTCTTCCTCCCTCCCTCCCTCTCTACTACCTCTCCTCAATCTGTGATACATATATAATTCACTGTTATTCTAGAGAAGAAGCGTACGCCATCCCCACTTAGTGTTTATTGCCATGGTCTAGTAAAATAAAATTGGCATCTTTGCTAATAACTCATTTGGGATACTTAGGGATGTGGTTGTGTGTGTGTGACTTGATCGCCTTGACTACCACTACTACTAGAAACATTGTCACTACGCATTCTACATTCCCCACCATGCATGCACGAACCACCATTGTGAGACAGGTCTCCCTTGCCAACGCTCTGAGACGCCATGGTGAGCATCAAGCAACCCTCCCCCCATTCTTTAACATAGCTTCTTGTTCAGTCACCTGTAGAGCCTTTTCCATTGCACATCCTTTACGAGAACAAGCTAGCAAGGAAACATTAGGTATAAGAACCTTGAATGGATCCAAAGATGAAGGGTTATTGATAGATGGACTTGCTAGTACCACCTACTGAAGATGTCAAAAGACCTATTTGGCGAGCACTTGCAGAATCAGCAGGTCCCGTGACACCTTACAACTTATCGATTGGACGATTGCTTGCAGCTGGATTACATCTTGGCCATTCAACAGCATTATGGGAGCCAGCGACATTGCCATTTATCTTTGGTACACGTCAAGGGATCAGTATTATCAATTTGGAGCATACACTTGTCTATTTGCGTCGTGCATGTAATGTTGCTCGTGAAGTAGCCTATCGTGGTGGCAGCATTTTGTTTGTTGGTACTCGACCCGGATTTCAGGATTTGACGATTGATGCAGCACGACAATGCGAAGGATATCACGTGTCTTCAAAGTGGATTCCAGGCACACTCACAAATGCACAACAAGTCTTGGGTCGTCATGCACCACCTGATCCAGAGAACCCAGGTCGTACTCCAACGACATTCAAACCCGATTTAATCATCTTGTTGAACCCATTGGAGAACCGTATCGCCATCTCAGAAGCACAACTCAACATGATCCCTGTCATTGCTATCACGGATACTGATTATGATCCTCGTCGTGTCACTTATCCTATCCCAGCAAACGATGATTCCATTCGTGGTGTTCAACTTGTTGCTAATGTCATTTCATAAGCTGCTAAGGATGGTCTTTCAAGGAGGAACCATTTATTAGATAAAAAGAGTAGACAATGATGATCAAACAATAAATGTATGTATCATAGTTTATTTCTTTTCAATCTCGCTTTGTGTCTTTGTTCTTAAAGTAAGAGCATGCACGCCTTGTTCGAGTTCATCCTTGAGTAGCTTGTAAACCGATCGATGGCGTTGCATCAAAGTCTATCATTTCCCCCGCATTCCATGTTAATCATCCTTCCCTTTTCTTCTCTTTTCCTCAACTCCCGATTCTTCTTCTTTACCTGGCCAGCAAACTTTTCAGAGATCAACGTGATACTACAACAATGAAGGAAGGTTAGAGGCGAGATAAAGACCACTCAACATAAAAGAGTTACTCACCGGAAATGGGTTTCTTTGTTGGTATTTCCTTTCATAGCAGCATGGTGAGCATGCATATGGCTTTCATTGACAATGTGGAGTGTCGAAGGGTCCAATGCTTCAATCAACTTTATGGATGCGTTAACGACTTGCATGGCAACCAACAACAGCCCAACAACAACCCACCCACCTTGGACTCGATGGCGGTTTCGACAGGTCCTTTGTCTTCCGAAGTAATGAAATCCTTCAGGAACGGTGATGTGCTACCCGTTGCAGTGGAATGGAACCGTAATGCAGTGGTGGATCGCGATGCAGTTGCTGACAAGACCTTGGATAAAAACATGCTGTGGTTGTGTTCAAGTTGACCCACCCAACGTCGTCCAACCGAGTACACCTTGTCGCTGTGTGACTGAATCGAACATCCGATGCCAATGGAACAAAGGTATGTTGTCTTTGGTGGATATCCAATAGAGATACTCATACAGTAGCATCATTTCTTCTTTAGAGCGAGGATCACATACACGGCATTAATGGTTGTAAGGCGTTTATTACTACTGTTACAAGGTAACTTGTGTAAGCGGGAAAAGTTGATAAGGGAAGTGGCTATGATTAACTAAAACTTTAAGCCAAGGTGTAGGCAGCAGCTGCAAGAACGAAAAGACCAGCTTGAACAACAGGAGCACGAAGAGCAGCAACACCAGATTCATCATTGGTGGCGTCATCCTTTTGAGCAGCAGTCTTATCATCATTAGAGGAAGAGGAGGAAGAGGATTCAGTAGCACCAGAGGAGGAAGAGCTAGAAGCCGATTCACTAGCAGCCGAGGATGAAGCGGGAGCGGCTGAAGAGGATGCAGCTACCGAAGATGAGGCAGGAGCAGCAGAGGATGAGGCGGCATCGGAGGAGTTATTGGAAGATGAGGCATCACCAGCGAGTTGACCGTTACCCCAGGGAATATCAGAGCCTATATAAAATCACCATTGAGAATGAGCTATTATGATACAACATATATAAAAGATGATTGCATATATACTACATACCATCGGGTTGAGTCTTTTCAGATTCAGGGACCAAAGAATCACCATCCTTTGCAACAATACCAAAACGGGTGGTCCATGCGGAGTCGCCCTTGTCTATATATATATGGTGTGAGTGCGGGTGTGAGCAAAAAGTGGTATTAGCATTGCTTCATGACGTACCGTTGGTGAACATGAAAAAGTAGACAGCAGAGTAAGGGTCAACTTGAGGAGCAGTCCACTTGTAGGAAGAGATCTTGGTAGCATCCAAATCCTATGAATAGCATTTAGCCATTGATGATCCAAGTAATTGATGATTGTAGCACATGATGAAATGCTACAGCTATGGGTTTGTAGGTTATGGGGCAATTAGCCTTTCTACTCACCGATGCAACGTTCGTCAACACAGTTTGGTTAAGATTGTCGCCTGTCATAAAGTCTATTTATATGCACGGGTTAGCCATCAACCTATGTTTTCTACAAAATCATTGCACTTACCAATCTTAAAGTTGGTCCAAGCGGTTGCAAGATCAGGCTTTTGACCATCATCCTCTATAAAACGTAATTTGTATGTGAGCTATCAGGCGTGTATGTTTGATCTATTGATGTTGGTGCCTACTCCAAGTGATGGTATATTCCTTGCCGGCAGTCCACACAGTACCGGGCGAAGGATAGCTAGGTGCAATGACTGCAGAGACGCTTGAAGCCAAAGCAGCAATAGCAGCAGTGGTAGTAACGAGTGTATTGAAGATCATTTTGCAGAATTGAAAAGGAAGGGGGATAAGGAGCTTGTTTTAAAAGCAAGGAAAGGGAGCAAGGATGAAGAAGAAAAGAGAGAGAGAGAGAAGAAAAGAGAGAGAGAGAGAGGGAGAAAGTATGTGAAAGCGACAAGGCGGCTTGAATAAAAGCTAATTGATCTCCCTTTGCTCGTGTGTTTTATGTATGTGCGTGTGTATTTTAAGCTTTCAGTTGGACGTCAGGGTCATCCACTTGCAAACCGAATAAAGCGGCGGTTGAAAGATGTCGCGAAAAAAGGTATTTTGCTCGTGCCCAAACCAAGTAATAAGGTGTGCTCTTGTCACGCAAGAACATATTATTAGATAGGGTGCAGCCCGTCTCTCCTTTTGTACACATGGGGAAAATTTGATCTCTTCTGTGTGACATGTTTACACGTTTTGAAGAATTCAACCATGGCACACAGCATATAATGTGAGCTAATAGAGCAAAGGACAATGCTCAACAGACGTTTATATTGCAAGTGTCCCCCGCAGTTCCGATATTGCCTCCGCATCCTATCGTGAATAACATGGCTCAATGGTTTACAGAAAACCCATCCTTGTATCAATAAAGGTGCGCGCTTTTTTTAGCCATTGTTGTCGGCAAGATGCTGAGCTCTGATATGATCCAAATACGCATGCGCCTCAATTGGTACCGCCACCTTTATATAATATCCAATGCGAATGACGGCGCGGAATATGCGTCTGTGTTACTGGCAAGAGAGGAGAGAGTACAAATTTCTATAAACGTATACAAAACAATGATGTATGGAATGTCGAGATAGCCGCACCGGCAAATGATGTTTACTGTTTCATGGGTACTGGCTGATGGTGTTGGAATTGCCGATTAGACGATGGATGTATATGTATAGCACCATCTCTCAGCTCTCAATTAAGTAGTAAACAAGCTCAAGAAGAGTACCAGGCCGTTAAAGGCTAAAGGGAGATACATAATAATATTGTGGTGGTGGTGCATAGATTCTGCACGATCAAATCAAAACCCCCCTTTTCGAGTGAAAGACATCCATTTGTGCTTTAGGCATTTATGTATCGGCAATGACCGATGATGGCGTGCGTTTTTCATTACTTAGGCACGTACGCAGAGAGAACATGATTTGTTGTTTCTTACATTGCTACTATTATTTCATCATTGTGTGACATAAGGAAAGAACAAAATGACATTCAACGTTCACCATCACCTGTAGCAAAATGAAATCCAAGTTAAGCTGCATAAGCCATATTTCGCTTTGCTGCATGATGATTGCCGTGCTAATATGCATGGCGTTTTTGAGATCGAGTTGACACTTTTGTCTTGTGTAACGTAACAGCGCGTGAGAGGGAATTCAGTAAGAGAGATAAGAATTTGCGAGATCTATCAATTCCATCATATCATTTACTATCTCCTATTCATGCATGATGCTCTTGCATAGATACCATTACATAAAAGGATTACAACAAGTTGAAATGATGCATCTTGACTAGAGTAGGTCTTAATGGCTTATGCAAAGGTGAGTGTGCTTTCATGTGATTGGGGAGTAAAGCAGCTTGTTGATCGGCAAAGGGTTGGATTTCTTTTCCCACCCCATTTGCATTTCATTGGGTCTCTTTCTTTTCCACTGACTAATGCAACCATGTTTCCACACGTATCCCAATCGAATCCAAAACATACCAACTGGCCCACACAACGACAACAGCAACAACACCCTCCTCATGCGCATAACTACCAGCAACAGCGATGTCTATGTCCCTCATTGCCCTCTGATCCACGCATGATGCACCCTGCATTCACCACCGGATTCCAATGGCAACCAAGTGCACCAACACAACAGCAGCAACCTGTCGCCTTTGATGCTTCCAAGTATAACCCAGTGTTTTACGGCTATCAATCCCCTCCTGTATCCAGCAAAAGTCGATTGTAAACAACACTCATACGCTGTATCATACACATATTATACCAGATTACATCATCATAATGAAAAAGAAGCGAGATCCAATCATGATGTATATTTTGTTTGTTGTTCAATACGTTAAAAGAGAAGGATGTATACAAATAATAGTATCGTTTATGATATGACACAGTCATCTTGATGGGGGGATGGTTGTTGGTGGTGATGATGATGATGGTGATGGTGATTGGATTGCTGCTGACGAGTGCGGCTGCGCTTGTGTTTAAGGGATCGGACAAGGCCTGAATGCTCAATGTAGCTTGCTGAAGTGCTGTTGCGAATCTCTCCTTCATATGCACCATTGGAAGCAGCAGGAATAGGTGATTTTCCACTCGTTTTGTTTTTCAAAGATGATTTCAAATCGCCAGAGGAAAGCACCTCGTCTTCACGAATAAAACGCAATGTTTCATGGCTACGTGTGCTATGGGGTTTTTTACTATGACCACCACCACTGCTGCTACTGCTGCTTGTGAATACTCGTGACAATTTCTTGGTTCGTTCTCGCAATTGAGTCGACATGGATGATGTGGGTCGTGGGCTCTTTCTCCCTTCTATATTGTTGCTACTAGCACGCTCGATGCACGAAGAAGATGAGCTTGATATCGATGGTGTGGGAGTAATCACATGGTCATCCTGCTGCTAAGCAATGTAAATGTAAGCTCATTGTGTGATGAACAATGGACCCGAATCAACATACCTTGGGTGCACGACATGGCATTGTGTTGCCACGGCATTTGTCATGACATATGAATCCACAACCTATAAAGGATGGTTGGTCTCATGGTGGATCAACAATACAATAAATACATACCTTCACAAACCAATGCATTGCGCTTGATGGGTAATTGACATGCTTTGCAACGAATGGATGCCTTGGCAAATGATCCCTTCACAAAGCAATGCTCTTGTTGGGGTGGAGGAGAAGGAGAAAATCTCTTTTCTTGTCGCTCATGCAATTTGTTGACCAAAATACTTCCACGATGCAAAGAGGGTGTGCTGCTTGTAGTTGTTGATTCGGCATCGGAAGAGTCAATTTCATGTGCTGGGTTGTATTGAAAGCTTCGAGGGAATGATGATGATATTGGTTTGCTGTTATTACTCTGTACACTGAGTCTATCGGGTTGTTGATGTTGATGAATATCGGTGCTGTATGAAGCGTTGCTCACGATCCATGGATGATCCAATAATTCTCGGGCTGTAGGTCTCTCGTTGGGGCTTTTACGGAAGCATAGCTGTAAAAAGTCCATCATTTCCTAATTGACACAATCATTAATACATGTCATGTGGCATCCTTTGCATCATGTAATCCTTATTACCTGTGAGGTGGTTGTTGGTAGAGGAGGACATTCGTCTTCCACAATTCTAAAGAGTGTTGTCATGGGTATAAGATCGGCGTAAGGTGGTTTGCCAGTAAAGAGCTCAATGATGGTGCATCCAAGAGACCTGAAGGGGGGGAGGAAGATGAATATCATGCGCTTTGTGGATAAGCATGCATAGTATACGTACCAGATATCAGATTTGGTGGAGGCGCCTTGAAGCTGAATGACCTCGGGTGCCACTAGATCACCAACCTATTAGCCCTAATACGTCCCATACAACAACATGACATTGCAAACTTACTCCAATTGGGTGTGCCAGCCACTGATCCAGTTACTGTCTCCTTCAATTGCAAGTTGACGGATACGCCAAAATCAGAGAGCTTAACATCACCGGTTTTAGTGGTAAGAATGTTGGCAGCCTTGAGATCACAATGGACAACGTTTTGATCGTGAAGATAAACAAGACCTTCCAATATCCGGGAGCAGTAACTGGCAACAAGGTTCTCGGGGAAATTACCAAACGACTTTAGGGTATTGGCCAGTGATCCATTCTCCACAAATTCAAGCACAATGTTGACGCAATCGTTGGTCCGAATAAATCCCTCGTATTTGACAATATTTGGATGTGCCAATGCTTGCAATAGCTGTGCCTCTTGCTATAGTAAAACGCCTTGTATCAATACGACAACAGCTTGTAAAAAGACGCAAGCTCAAACATTACCATCACATCATCGATATCCTTTGCTTCAGTCGACTCCAGCTTGATCCTTTTAATAGCAACCATTTGTCCAGTCTTGAGATTGAGGGCTCTATAATAGTGATGTGGTTCGTAAAATTGGATCGATACCTTCACCATAACAACGCTTATACATACCTGTGTACTGTTCCAAATTGTCCTTTGCCGATAGAATTGCCCAATTTCTACGTAAAATGAATTATGAAGGTTACTCCATGCCACGTATAACTCTTCCACGCTTAACCCACATACATAGCGTGCTGTAATATTGCCATTTGGCTGTTGCATTTCTAGTCGTTCGCCATTATCATTTGGATCGGGTCGAATCAACGAGGCGTTAACTTCAAGGGTGCCTGTGGATTTTCTTCGCGGGACAGTGCCATTTCTTACGGATGATCCAGGTGAAGGATCTCCCCATGCATCCAAATTAGCAGCCATGTGCTGGGTGGTGGTATCCAATGGTGGTAATGCGTTATGATCACGTGGTGAGGCGAGGCGAGTTACATGGGATGAAGATGAATTGATATTATTGGTGCCGAGCAAACTGATAGGTGATGAAGTGGATGGTGCTGGGCTTTTGGGTATCTCGTATGGTGTAGTAGTAGTAGTAGAAGATGTTGTTGGTGACTGTGGTAATGAATTTGGTGAAAGAGGTGGTTCATCATCTGTAACAATGAGAGAAGCCGGTCTCCTTTTCTTCAATTTCAGGTCCGTCCACTCCTGATATCGCATATGAAATGGGATCTTTTGCCTGATAGGTAATTTCTTGGCAAATGATAGGCTTGAAAACCGAGAGAGCTTTGAACGTGTCGATCCTGCTGCTGTTGTTGATGCTTGTATTGATGTATCAGTGGTTGTAGTAGTATTGTTGGTGCTAGTAGGTGATGATGATGATGGTGGTGGTGGGTCAAACAAGGAGACAAGATGTTCTGGAGTAGCTGCTCGATATTCACCAATAGTACTAACACCACGGCCTGAAAGGGAGTTGTGATAGGATTTAGCGTATCCACTATCACCAGAGGATGTGCTTTCTACTGCAGGTGATTTGCTAACGGGTGGATGATCAAAGTTGCCGTAAGGTGGTGTTGCTCCACGTTCCCATGGCAACGCATCATCGGATAGTGACGAAAGAACCGATTGCCTTCCATAGCTGGCGGAAGTGGTACTAGTAGTAGCGACTTTTTTGGTATCTCGCCTGCTGCTGGTGCACGCGCTTTCGTTATGCTGGTAATCAAACTGCTGCTGCTGTTGCTGCATATGATGGTGATGATGATGATGATGGTGCTCCTTACTGCACTCAATCTCCTTGTCTCCGTCATCTTCATTGATTGGATCCCCCAACACATGGCTCCTGTTGTCATACAAGCGTGTCGTCGTCGCTGCTGTTGTTGTGATGATACGTCGACCATGATCCGGACACGTAGGCACGGTGAATCCTCGTCGTCGTTTGATCATTACTTGTTGCTGAGGAATGTCGTTTGAATGGATGTATTGAGATTGAGAGGTATGTAACGTTGTTGGATGTGATGATATCCCATGCAAATATGAAAGCGTGGTGAGCACCTAGGTGCGCATAGTAGTTAATAAAAGGCTTGAAACGCCTCATAAGGTTCCTATTTTTGCCTTACCGCATCCATATTAACTCCTTCCAATAGATCATCGACGCTAAAGAGCTGCTGCTCATGCAAACCTGCCTGCATAATACAATGAGCACTCTTTATGCAGTAAACTTTTTTGGTTTTTCCCCACCTCTCCTGCAGCTTCGAGGAAAGCTTGAATGTTTTGTGCCTATAGAATTTAGACTATGAATCAAAAGTGCTGTTGCATGATGTCGTTTATAATTACCCATGAATCCATCGTATCTTCATAGCTGATCTCTATTGAACTTGCTGGTCGTAAATGTTTCATGAGCCTATATTGATTGTAATTGCAGCTGGTGAGTTTCCCGGATCATCATGGTGGTGTATTAAATGCGTGTATGATATCGTCCCCCTTTCTCTCATATGACCTGGTTGCTCTTGCTCTTTGTTGATATCCCCATATCTCCATCATACACGCACACTGGTATACTTGACTGACTTGCATAAATAAACACCATCTCGAAGACTCGTATGTAAACCACAAGCTGAAGGAAGCTGAATATCGAGAGTGGATTGCATCCATTGACGAATGACCTTGTCATTACGATCGGGCGGTGTCAAAAAGTCGAGGGATAGTATGGGTTTCATTGGGTCGATTGAACGATGGTGAAAGAAAGTATAAAGAAAGAAAAGAAAAGAGCAAAAAAGGTGCAGTGGAAACAAAGGAGAAAATGTTGGATTACACGGAGGACGGGATATACGAGAGGGAGAGAGAGAGAGAGTGGGAAGTAACAACACACACCCACACAGTGAGAGAGCATAGGGCTGATGTGTGAAGCATCCTGCAACGCGTGCACTTTCTTGTACTACCATTACCTTTGACACACATACACACGCCCTCTCTCTTTTCCATGCATTGTTGTTATTTACATGTCCTTTTTTGTAACAAGTAAATATACACGAAAAGTGCCTTGATTCCCATGATGAGATGTTATTGTTGTCTTGTCGATGTTGCTCCTTTTTTGTCGCTTGTCGGCATTGTACAAATAGGACATTGATGATTCGGATGGCTTCGGCGTGAGCGCTGATTTGCTAAAGATGCCCTCTTTTTTCTGCTATTGCTGCGGGGTGCGTGCGGCGGTGATGTGACGGATAAAAGTCAGTCAGTTACCAGAGAGCAGCAATCAACCTAACCCATAAATAGGATCCCTTTCCGATGTCTTTTTTTACATTTCTTCTTCTTTTCGTTCTCTTTATTTCATCCATTCTCTCTCTTCAGCTCCTACTGCATCATTGTCGATGGTGAATTACTGGAAATTTACGTCTGCTCTACTAGCAGCAACCCTATCTGTGGTCTCTGGACAACAATTATGTAACGGCTACAGCGAGTTTTGCAACAAGTCTTATGATGAATTGACATACGTCTTGACACACAATTCATATGCCTTTATGGCAAATCCTGCTGCCAACCAACAATGCTCCATCCAAGCACAGCTCGCTGATGGTGTGCGTGCTTTGAAATTATCAGCCGTCAAGGCACCAGATGGCTCGGACAAGATGAACTTGTGCCATACCTCTTGTACCATCCTCAACGCAGGTGCTGCAGTGGATACTTTACGCAATATCACAGCTTGGCTCAAGGACAACCCTAACGAGGTGATCAGCATCTTTTGGAACTTCCCCAACAATGACTTTTTCGCACCTGATTTTGAAGAACCTTACAAACAAAGTGGTCTTATCGAGTACTCACACGTGCAAAATGTCAACAACATGACATGGCCTACTCTGGGCGAGATGATTGCATCCAACAAACGGGTCGTTAGTTACATGGATATGAATGCTGACCAAACTAATTATCCTTGGTAAAGTATTATTGCGTTTTGTGTGGGTGTGTGTGCGTGCGTGCAAAGGCAGGAGGATGAAGGGGGGAAGGATAGGGAAAGATGTATGGTGCGGTGTAATAACCCAATACTGTGTATTAGGATGCACGCAGAATTCTCATACATGTTTGAAACACCCTACGAAAACAACAATGCAAGCTCATTTAGCTGTGTAATTGACCGCCCTGACGACCCAACAGACCCTGCCTCCATGATGTATGGCATGAATCACTTTTTGTATGGCAACCTTCCATGGGGTGAAGTGACCATTCAAATCCCTCAGAGTGGTTCGGCTGATACTACCAATTCGGAAGACTCGCTTATGAAACAAGCTTCCCAATGCAGGCAAACCTTTGGCCGCCAACCCAACTTTTTGATTGTCGACTTTTACAACAAGGGCCAGACACTCCAAATTGCGGCGGAGCTGAACAATGTCACTTATGATACCTCAAAGGAACTTCAATGCGATAAGGAAAGTGCAAAGACCAGCAGCAATACAGGTGATACCTCGGATGTTGCATCATCATTCCAATCCTTATCACCATTATTGTCGTTCTTGCTATTCTCACTTGCAAGCATCGTGCTTGTATCCGCTTAGAAATCATCACAACGTGTAAATAGCATGTATTTTCTTCCCTCCACCATGTGCATTTCTTTTCCCCCATCCCTCCCCCCTTAATACCTATTGCGAAGGCATTCAAAGAATAAATGAAGGCACGTGCCAATGCACTCCCGCCCAACCCAGCTTAGTTGACGTTATTTGGTCTTACCAAAACAAGCTATTCCGCAGAATCATTGCCAAACAAAGCAAAACATAAAACTTACTGCCGATCCATGTTGATGTTCATCCCAACATATGAGTAACTCTCTTTTCGCTTCACACATGGGCATGAGCATGAGCAATTGTCGACATGCTTGTGTGTGTAACACGCATTCATTTGTATGTGGTCAATGATGCTACGTATAAGCAAAGCATCGGAATGGATCCCCGATCATCATCACATGTTCATATACACGACGCTGCAAATCACCAGTAAAGGCGATGCTATGCGAAGGTGGTGCATAGCATAATGCATAACACTATGAGTCTACATAGCTATTCTGGAAAGTGTGGTATTTCACGGGAATCATCTGCCGTATTATTTATCTCTCAGATGCCTTTTTGTTTCTTGGCACCATTATTAGCGTGTTGGGTGATGTGGCGGATAACAACTAAAGATACAACGTCATAACATTCATTTAGTTGCATGGGTATACATGCACTCCCACGGTTCTGTTATGGTGTGGAAGAATGCTCTTTATTTGTGATTTAGTGGTGAATGGATGGGGAATGTGCCGTGTGGGCGATGATGATGACACTAAACTCTAATATGTAGATCAATTGAAGTTTGAAATATGGACGTGATGGTGACACGCGTATAATGCACATCATTTTTTGTATCCATGACTACGAGGAATGGTAATGGAAAAAAAGTATGCTTGAATGAGAGATCGCGGAATCCTAATGATGTGATGCAGGGTGTAGCTATTGTGTGATGTGCGTGGTGAGTGTGTGGGGCAAAATCAAGCTCGGCTATGCGAACCGGTAGTAAGCCTTCCCTTTTACGACAACCCTTCGATCCCATCCACATCCATCCATCCTCTATTCGAGGTCATCCATCGTTATAACCAACTCATCGATCGTCATGTCAGCATTCTCCAACAACATCTTTGATCTTCTCAACGAGGATGGCTATAAGCCTGCCCCTGTTGCTGCTCCTGCAAAGGAAGCCAACAAGCCTACTACTGAAGCCAAGCCCGCCTCTAATGACAAACGCGGCAAGTCCAATGGTGGTAATTCTCGACCCTTTATTCCTTTTATTCTATCATTCCAGCATGCATGCTACTCTATTCTCGTTACTCTACGTTGTGCCTGTCAATGCCACATTTTGCCACCCTTCTTCATGCTCCAGCAACGTTGAAACAGCAATTTGTTGACAGCGTGGAAAAACGGAAATACGAGAAACGACATGCAGTGTGTCTTGTGAATGGATATGCTAACACGCAGCTTATGTACATGCAATAGCTGCTCGTGGTGGTCGTCGCAACGGTCGTCAACAAAACGGTCGTCAACAACGTGGCCGTCAATTCGATCGCCATAGCGGTACCGGTATTGCGTAAGTATCATCACACAACATGTTCCGTGGATACGGGTAATTGACAATGGGTTATAGTGATAGCGAGAAGAAGGAAAAGCAAGGTTGGGGTCATCCTGAAACTGCCGAAGCTGAAGCGTGAGTTTTGCAACATGTGGATGGGTTATGGATCGATCATTGTTGGCTGATTGATTACATGTGATTTAGTGCCAAGGATACCATCTCTCCCAAGGATCCTGCTGCTGAAGATGTTGCTGCTGCCGAAGCTGCCGAAGCTGAGGAGAAGGTTAAGACTTTGGAAGAATATCTTGCCGAGAAGGCCAACAAGTCCTTGAACGTTGCTCTTCCCGAAGCTCGTAAGGCTAACGAGGGTGCCGATGACAAAAAGTGGGAGAACGCTGTTGCCTTTGTCAAGGAGGAAGAACCTGAATACTTTGCTGTCAACAAGGTATGTTGTTGTAATGTTTATCTTTTTAGTTGTCGGAGACTGATACTGATTGCATAAAAGGAGAACAAGGCTGCCAAAAAGGCCGCTGACAAGCAACGTAAGGAAAAGGTTGTCGTTGAGATTGAGCAACGCTTTGTCGAAAAGACTCGTGGTGGTAACCGTGGTGGCCGTGGTGGCGAACGTCGTGGTGGCGAACGTCGTGGACGTGGTAACGGTCGTCGTGGTCCCAAGTCTGCTGCTCCTGCTGTCAACATCCAGGATGCTGCTGCTTTCCCTTCTTTGGGTGCCACTGCTTAAATGTTGTTTTTCACTCTCTAGAGCCGTTTGTGTGGGATCATTGCGTGTTGTATACAAAAAATAAATATTCTATTATTCTTTAAAGGAGATCAATCATAATGTCGTTGAATAATAAGTTTAAGAAAGAAAGCTAAAGCTTGGTGATTATGTCTGCCCCTTTCATGCAGCTCATTTATCAGGATGCCTTTTGAACGTATCATACGCTATGGCATTTCTCTCACTCGTTCCCCCTTTCTCATCGTCGCTCTTTATAGAACAATCCATTCTCGCTAAATAAAAGTTGCATTGGCCCCTTGCCATTTACACACTTGTTTCTTTCTTTTTTCTTTCCCTCTTTTACTCCTTCATCACGCATGGTCCAACCAAAAAACCCATTTTCCAAGAATCACAAGAATCTGTCACTTTCACTTTCACTTTCCAATAAGCCAAAGCAAAACACCACAGCAGGCCCACCATCACAAGAGCCACAACATGTGTCGCATTATGAGCATGGTCCAGCACAAATACTGCCCAACTTGTTCTTAGGTGCCTGCCATAATGCGCAGTGCCCAAAAATGCTAGATCGTCATGGTATCTCATGCATTCTCAATGTTGCCCAAGAAATTGAACGGCCTGTGAGCTCAACAAGAAGCATCCGATATCATCATTTGCGTTGGACACATACTCAAAACAACCTTGCACGCCGTGAATTTCACAAAGCCATCCGTGTACTTGAAACGGCACATCACACCAACACCACCGTGCTAGTTCACTGTCAATCGGGTGTGGAAAGATCAGCTGCATTAGTGATTGCATACATTTTGCATCTCTCACGGCAACAGCAGCTGACACGCAATAACAACAACAACAGCAACCCTGTAGGCAAGAAAAAGCTTAGCTTGTGGGAGGCGTATGATTTTGTACGAGAGCGTGCACCAGCCATTCGTCCTAACATGGAACTTCTTTATCAATTGAGTGAATTTGAGACACTTTCTTCACCACGTCGTAATGGTATTTCAACCACCAACAACAACTCAACACGCGTACGTCGATCGGGATCTGTCAATGCTAACAGCATGATTCGAAAGAAAAGTTTCAGCTCTTCTAATAACAACAATAACCACAACAACAACACGAGCAGGCCGCGTGCGGCTAGCTTTCGTTGCCCTGCTAGACATCGTCGTTTATTTGAACATGAGCTACCAGCACCACCACCCATACCGGCAGCATCCAAATCACCTGCAGAAGTGTCTGTGCCTGCACAAACATCACCTCCTGCACCAACATCGGTGACGATAAACGACTCAGCATGTCTTGTGATCCTCATTGCATGTGCCAGCATGTATGTCGTGTTTAGTCAACACCGACAGCGACATCATACTACATCCACCACCACCAACTCCTCCACCACTACCTCCTCCTCTTCTTCAACAAAGCCTTGTTTAAATTTAGTGCCGAGTGAACCTTCCACGCCAATGAGCCCCCTTTTTTTGCACTCGTTGTTCCCTATTTGCTAGACATAATTCAACACCAAATATAGTAGTACTAATTGGGGTCATCATGTATGGCAAATCATCTTGTTTTCCTCCTGTTGATCACTATTGAAATGCTAAGGATGATCCAAATCTGAAAAAGCTTGTTGTTGCATAATGATGTATGATCAAAGGGTGGGACAAATTGAGAGTCGTCGGCATGAAATCCGTATGTTGGGGGCGTACAAGCTGTAAGGGAGGAGAAAACCAAATATCAACAACGACGCTTTCTCTGCCACACTCCTTCATTCATTCACTTTTCCCTTTCACACGATGGTCCCTGCCATCCAAACCTTTGTTGACGATCATCCCAACTTAAGATACAACACGTAATTCACACTCCTTCTCCCAATCATAACGACACGAAGCAAATACCTTAACCAACAACATAAAATGAGAGCTTGATGATGGCGTTCGTAATAGAAAATAAGACCAATGCGGATATTGGACGTAATTACCTACCTTCTTTCATTCATTGGTATACTGATACAGGTTTTAGCTGCTTAATTAACATACATACCTTATAAGCTTTTGGCATGTGGGTTACCAAATCAAGCAAGGAATCCGCCACTCGGCTTGATTACAAAACCACGCATTTGAAAAGATACCTCACACGATCATGTTGCATGTCCATCCATTTATTCTGAAGCCTGAAGATTCATTATGTAAGTTGGCAAGTTGATTAAATTGCTATCAAGTCCTCGATCCACCACATCTCTAGCACGATGACGGAAGAAGGGATATATTGGTTTTTATTGTGTGTCCCTGCTGAGTGCATAAATCCTGCTAGCTACGAGCCCCTTCAAAAGTGAATGGACAGGATGTTAAGCAAAGAGGGGAAATGGGCCCTATTCCTACTATAAGGTTGAGCGAGATACCTTTGAAAATCGTGGCAAGTGGCACCGCATAATCATGCACACACGTACATTTCATCTTTTACTGTCAAGGGCTGCTGGGCTGGTATTTTTCCGTATAACGTGATCCCACGCTATTGACGAATGCTCCTTTGACCACACCTGAGGACACTATTGATATGTATCATGTGGATGGAAATACGTGATAGATGGCCATGCTACAAGCGATAAGGAAATGTTGTCTTAGCTGATCCAAAGCCTTGCAGGACAACCCACCCAATTCAGCCGGAATTTCTCTTTCTTTCACACAACCCTTTCCTTCCGTATCTACTTACACACAACCTTTCGTTCTTGCAATGGCTTCACGTAAAAAAGTTCTTCTCAAGGTAAACGCCTCCGTTCACTTGGAATGGCAACCTGCCCAATGGCTAAACGGACTCTTTGTAGGTCATCATTCTAGGCGACAGCGGGTAAATGGCAGTCTATAGTATACACCCATGGCACACTGACAGCTCACCAATGCACCTCATACTAGTGTCGGCAAGACGTCCTTGATGAACCAGTATGTCAACAAAAAGTTCAGCAGCCAGTACAAAGCAACCATTGGTGCCGATTTCCTTACCAAAGAAGTTATGGTTGACGACAAGCTTGTCACTATGCAGGTGCGTGCGTGCGTGCGCGTGTGTTAGTGCGTAGTAGTATCTATGATCGCTTTTAACTCACATACTGCACATGCAACGTGCTTCTTTTATCATGCGTGATTAGATTTGGGATACTGCCGGCCAAGAACGATTCCAATCCTTGGGTGTTGCCTTTTATCGTGGAGCCGATTGCTGTGTCCTTGTGTACGATGTAAATAACAACAAGAGTTACGAGTCTCTAGGTAAGAGGAAAAAGACAATGGACCATCATGTTCATGGATGAAATGACCAACATGTCGATATCAAGGACAATGGCACGACGAATTCCTTTTACAAGCTCAACCCCGTGATCCGGATAATTTCCCATTCGTGGTTCTTGGTAACAAGGTGGATGTTGACGAGTCAAAGCGTATGGTATCCCAAAAGCGGGCAATGGCTTTCTGCCAAGCAAAGGGCAACATCCCGTAAGTATTCATGCAGCTTTGGAGGATGATGGTATACACGCTTATCATTCAAGGCAATGGTTAGATACTTTGAAACATCAGCCAAAGAAGCCATTAATGTCGAACAAGCTTTCCAGACGATTGCCAAGAATGCTTTACAGCAGGAAACGGACGTGGAATTGTACAGGTATGGGATCATATGTATGCTCTGGTATGTTGGATCAACAACAAGCTCATGCATGACATTCTTTCAATAGCGATTTGAGCGACCCTATTAGAATCGACAGCGAAAGTTCCAAAGAATTTAGCGGATGTGCTTGTTAGGATACTCTTGATCACCCCCGTTCATTGTACTGGTTTCCGCTTTCTTTATGATACAATTGATTGAAAGACTGCCGTCATGATATACAACAAATAAACCATCATTCTAGCAAGCGTACGACTCTTTTTTAGCCTGTTTATTGCTCACGTAGCGATCAAAGTGCGATGTGAAAACAACGACCAAGTTGATTCAATTACTTTAGTGGCTGCGACAGGGATCAAGGTAATCGTCTATTGAGTTCTCCAGTAGCTTGGCCCAAATCCAGATCCAGATAGTCAACAATGAACTCGTTGATATCGGTGTTTTCGTGGCTTCCTCTAAGACGCTTGGTGCCTTTTCCAAATGCATACAAATTCACATCAACAGCTGTATGGCCATGGGTAGTCCACTTGATTTTTCATGAGACACGGCATTTGCATTACACACAAGGGAAGGTTGCACTTACACCAATTTCAGCACGTCGACTAACCATGTCACCCAACATGTATTCTAAAGCAAGCACATCTTTGCTTGTCTTTTTCCATGTAACCAGCCTATCGATTTCCTTGTCGCTTGGATCCGAGATTCCCAATCCATTGCCAATGATTTCATCCACTAGATAATCCACTTGATCTTGCTCTGCTGCATCCCATGCACGGGCCAACACCTCGCTAGAATTGCGTACACGGCTGATAACTTCAGGCTCCCTGTAACATTATGAATACATAAAATCCGTTCCTTGATCCATATACGATTACCATTTGTATTCTGGGTATTCATCCGTCACTTGTCGGCCAATAGTGAGACCTCCAGTTTCGTGATCACTGGTAGAGATAAGCACCGTATCAGGATGATCCTCGACAAATTTGAGCACAGCATTGATTGTTTGTTGATATTCCCATATGTCATAAAAATGCGTAGCAGGATCATTGCTATATGCCAAAATCACATGTCAGCATGAATGAAATGTGAAGCCATGGTTTGTTAGCATACGAGTGGGAGGCCATATCTATACGGCTGCCTTCTACCATCAAAAAGAATCCTTTTCCATTCTTTTGTGAGGCCGAATTGAGCGTGATCAAAGCCTTTTCAGTCATATCCTTGAGTGATGGTTGCGTAGTGGGATCCCGGTCCAATTCGTAATTCATGTGCTATGATCATATCATATATCCATTAGCGATGCTTCATAAATCCAGCTACCACGCATCCTATTTTATCACATTACGCTAGGTGCAAATAATGCCATGAGTGGTAAAGAGACATCATTAGGATTAAAGGCATCGAATTCATCACGAGAGAGCTTTACGGTCCATCCGAATTGTTCCTTGGCTTCGGTAAACAAATCACGGCTGTCTTCTCTACAGCTATTTTCTGTAGTATTTGGAAGAAACTCACAAATGCCTCCACCAAACATGAGATCGACGGTACGACCCAAAGGATTGTATCCTATTTGTTGTTCAGCGATCTCATTCTCTTCATTACGCCAAGCAACGTGAGCTGAAAAGGCTGCAGGAGTAGCATGTGTAATACGAGATGTGGCTACTAGGCCTGTCAACATGCCATGTTGTATCTTGGCTGATTCAAGCACTGTGCCGCATGGTCGTCTTTGAGGATCAACTATAATAAGAAAAGCATGATGATTCAACACAACACACACATTCAAACGCTCGGTAATTTTCTCTTTCATACCACCAATAGCACCATTGTAAGTTTTCAAACCACAAGAAAAGGCTTTCAAAGCAAATGACAATTTGCTGTCAGCTTATTGCAACATCGGAATTTTTGATTTACTATGTACGTGCTCACCTGTAGCACCAGCAGCACTATCAGTGATTAGGCTTGATGAGCTTTGTGTGCGACTTTGACCAACATGGATGTGATCAAGTGGGAGCATAGAGGTAGGTGGTAATTTCTCTCGCCACATGTGATATTGGCGTGCGTATGTTTCCGAGGCAGGTCCAAATCCATCGCTAATCATCAAGATCACGTTGCGTTGACGTGCAGCTAAATGCGTTAAGGATACTTTTAAGTAATCGATCACCATGGCTGCATGAAACGTTAAAACCATACCTGGTTTTGAGCGAGTTACTTGTGCCACAATTGCCACAATGAGCACTGATCCAACAGCAAATAGCACCGTTGCTGTTAGAACACGAGACAACTAATAACGTTCGGCGATGGATGATGAATCTTTGATATGCCATTGCTATGGTGCTGCATTGGATTGCTTATATGCATACCTTGCTACGACGTCTAGTGCTTGCAGCAATTGGCTCGATATCATTGTTCAATAGCGGTATAGTATTGTAGCTGGGTTGATTGGCGGTGTTGACCATAAAAGCAGGGTTGGTGGGACAATAGGAGTAAAAGAGATGCCAGGGATAAAAGAGCAGTTAGTGGGTGGGGGTCATTGCGTGATCCCTCTCTCACGTCTCTCTCCCCCCCTAAATTTCATACCTAGACTTTATTTGATCGATTGAGCGGCAAACACGCATTCATCACCTTTTTCTTTCTCTCCATCAACACACGTACACATATGCGTCTTCCCTTTCGAAAAGAGAAAAAGCAACCAGATGCACCGGTGGTGAATGCATGGGATACTTCGGAAGATCCTACAAGTGCTCCTCCAGCTGAGAATCAACAAGTGCACAATAATGCTGCTAATCATCCCAATGACACGGCAAATGGAGGGATATCTGAAAAAACTGAACAACCACCCACACCTCAAAATGATCCATCTTCACCAACAGGATCAAAAACTGCCACACCGGATCCCAATCAAATGCACACACGAGGTGCAAGTATTGACATCCCACCACAAGAAATGACACCGCCAATCAAGGAGACATCACAACAACAGCCTGATGAATGGCATAAGCCAAGCAAAGCAAGGCTGCTACTTCGCTTCTGGCAATTGATCGCTGCCATCGGGGCATTTGGATTTCAAGTGGGTGCCACGCCTGTAAGTATACATACACAGAGATGCACAACGCCGTTGTTTATACGTGTTTTTATTTATTGTAACACACATACATACACCATCAACAACAGTACTCTGGTCAAGACATGCCATTTTCGAAGAAAGGATTGCTTTACTATGTCTACGTGATTGATTGGCTTTCGTTCCTGTTTTCTCTTTTTACGATCTACGTTTACCTGACGCGACGTTTTGGCAAAGGCGGCAAGGTCAAACGTCCCATTTCTTTTCTTCTCGATGCATTCTTTGCTGCTTTATTCGGCGTGGGTGCTTTTTACCAATTTGCATTGTACCAATGTCCACCGGGTGGCTATGATGGCTGGTAAGCCTTTTCTTCTTCATTAAGAGCTATATAGCTTAGTAGTACGCGTTTCGAGCTAATAACCTTTGCTTTGTGTAGGTGCAACTTTTTCAACACCGGCTTGTTTTTCCTTGTATCGTTGTTTGTAACATATGTGATCCACGCTCTCTGGGATGTGTTTGGGGGATTGTCATGTATTCGCAGCCGCAACTAGTCTTTTATTTTATCACATCATCAACAATAATAGTAATTCTTACGTACTTTTTACACAATGGTCTCTTTTACGTATCCTAGTGTCATAATCAGGTGGCTTTCAGTATTAATAGCTACACATGCGGATTGCAAAAGAGCATGCAATTGGGTTTTGATTTCTTCCGCATAATGATGGCCATCGCTTTTTTGATTCTCAGTATACTCCAAAGCAGTACAATCATGCATGCAGTGAAAACAGATCTGCACGATGCAAAAAGGAACCACCCAATCAACTCTGGATATCCGAACATACTTTTTCAGATCATCAAACAATCGAAGTATACATCCCTCCATCATCGATCACGCATTTACAAAGAGACAAATATATTCAAAAAGCGATGAAAGAAAAAAACAATTATGCTCGAAGTGCTCGTCTATCTTCCTTGGTTTGTGCCTTGAAACCAGTCTTGATAGCGGATACGGAGCGAGTGGAACCACAAGATTCACATTGCACAAAGTACAAGCGGTTGTCTTTGGACAAGATTGTGTCTGGGCTCTTGCAAGTCTTGCAGGTCACGTATTCCACTGATAAAATGATTGTGTCAGCATCCAACATGTGCTATGATTCGTTCGCTCCATATGATCCCTTACCGATATAGCGACGCAAGACATTTTCAATCTGCTTTTGTTGCCATCGACCCTTGATCACAAGCTGTTGTGAGCCATCAACTGAACCAGTGGTACCCAATTCTGCAAACAAAAACTGAATGACGTGTTCAGGTTGACGATGAAGTCTAGTAACAAGCAAGCGTATTAGTATACATGTATCCCACCTCAATTCCTCCATAGCACAGCTCCTCACTTACCGCTTGCAAATATCGGCAACATTGGAAAAGACGGTCTTTTTGCTGCCATCACGATGGATAGAAGGAGGTACAATGGTGTAGCGTTTCTTTTCACCAGCGAGCTCTGGGTTGTTTTGGCGTAAAATTTTGAACACACGAGAGAGCAGCTGTGATAGTCGCAGGGTTAGTCATCTGCATAATAAATGCCATAGCACCTGATCTGATCCATTGTGATCACATACCTCATCATAATGGTAATCTCTGTCACTGTTGAGCCATGCCTCATCCTTCTTCTCCTTGACATCACCCTTCTTCTCATCTTGATCCTCGCCTTCTTGTTCTGCAAGCTCTGCTTCAAATTCGGCCATGTTCTTTTTCTTCTTTTTCTTCTTCTTCATGGCACCAAAGTCAGGCTCCTCCTCATTGGCTTCAGCAGCAGCAGCAGCACCACCTTCTTCATCCTCCTATATACGTCATCTAAGTATCCTTCTCCCAATGACAAAGTAACATGTGATCATCTTTACCGGCAAGCTCTTGGACTTTTTCTTTTTCTTCTTCTTCAAGTCGGCAAACATGGCATCTGGATCAGCTTCTTCCTCACCCTCGTTATCTATTGTTGCATACGTTCAGTAAACATACAATCTACAAAAGGGTGTAGAGTTGTTACCTTGTTCTTTTGCTGGGGCTTCTTCAGCGACATCGGCATCGAAATCGACCTTCTTTTTGGATTTCTTTTTCTTCTTGAGCTTGGAGAAATCGAGCTATCACCATTGCCTTTGTCAGATTGGGATTCGTTTGTTGCTGTTGAATGGTGTTCAATATACCTCCTCATCCTCAATTGGATCGGCCACACGATCGTTTTCTTTGTCTGACATTTTGGTAAAGAGACAAGACTTGCTGCGACGCGCTTACAAGCCGAAATGGAAATTGAATCCGCCTCAGCTCTCTCACATCCATCCAATGTCACAACTTGCATGGATATTCACACCGCCAGCAGTTGCCATTGTATCAGTGGTCATTATCCTTCTTGCTATATCCAATGATCATCTATTCAATGATACCATCGCTGATATCAGCTCATGAAATGACGTCTCGCAGTCTTCACATGAGACATGTAGCGGATCACAATATCATTCTCTTTGCATACATACATAGTAATTCATTATGTTATTGGCAACTTCCTTTAATGCAACTACGTAATAAACGACCATTGATTGATGGACCTATACAAGTGGAATGGAATGATGGTAATCAAGGACCACATACTCTCTCTCCATAGCAACGACATTACATTATAGGAGATGACGACGGAGGATCGTATGCAGGAACTGCATCATCATCATCATCATCATCATCCGGCATGGACATATTATCGATATTGGATGTATGGGTCATCTTGTGTGTGAAGCGATCATTGGAAGATGCGTACATGGCAAACTTTGAGCTAGCTAGTTTTGTCGATTGCCATGACCCAAAGTTGGCTATAAATGTATCCAAGGATGAAATAATGCAACTTTCACGGGTACCCTTCACTTGTCATGATGTAATAAGTGGTACCTGACTCACATTTTACGCTTCAGGAAACTTCGGACGCCATGAAAAAGCTGCGATGCGCACGAGGATGGTGGCACAGGGTTACCATATTCATGCACAGCGGCAAAGATTATCGCTAGTATTTTGCCTAATTATAGCGTACCACAGTCACCGGGCTCCTGTGTCCCCCTTTTAAAAAGTTTTCACGCCAACGAGCATTTGCATTGCTGAAACTCATCGTTTCTTTCTCCCACTTTCTTACTTTTTCTTTTGCTACTGAAAAGTCTTTGCTTTACGAATGGCTTTTGCCTCTAATTCCCTTGCTACTTTGAATTAGCCTTTACTTTTACTCAAATCCGTTTTCTACTTGTACACGAAAACAACCCAACCCAAAGCTTTTTTAACTGATTCTCTTCTTTGCCCCTATGCGCCCTGATTCTCATTCTTATAACCTTGTCCGATACTTGATTAGCTTGCCCTTCCGTTTGCACTTTTCGAACTTTTGGTCCTGACATACCCAACTTCCAATCCATTAAGTAACTTTGATCAACCCTTTCCATTACCCATTGATCACAACAGCAACAACAACAACTCGCTCAGCAAAACAACAACAACAACCCTTGAAAAACAACACAAACGCCAACAAACAACTGCTACAACAACCCCAACAACACTCACAATGGTCTTTGATAACTCCATGATCGCACCTGGTGCAAACTATTCCGCCGAAGAAGGATGCTTCGAGGGCCCCGAGAAACTTCTTGAAATCTGGTTCTCACCTGTCATTCCCAAAAATGAAAACGCCAACCTACGTCAAATTGAACGCCACGTGTGGGACGACATGCTTGCCACCGTCAAGTGTACCGTGCTTAGTATCATTCGCAATCCGCATGCGGATGCCTATCTTCTCAGGTAAGCTATTTAGCAATTGGGCATCCGCATACACAAAAATCCACATCCACCATCATCCACATCCATACTACGCGCGACGTTTACGCAAAAAAAAAGACCAACTCGGCCAGCAATCAGCGTTCGCGTTCTCTCTCATTCTCCACTCCTCTCCTCTCTCACTCTCCCACATGTACTTGAGTTCAGCTGTTGATTGACGAATGCGATACCTTGTTCCCTTCTCCAGTGAGTCCTCGATGTTTGTGTATCCACACAAATTGATGATCAAGACATGTGGCGCAACCACTTTGCTTTCAGCATTGCCACGTATTTTGGAGATTGCTCAATCGTATTGTGGATATCACGAGCCCTATCGCTTGTTTTATTCTCGCAAGTCCTTCATGTTCCCTGAAAAGCAGGTGGGACCTCACAGGAGTTGGGATGAGGAGGTGAACTATTTGGATAGTCACTTTGGTAAGTAAAAACACGTCCCGAGTAAAAGGATGAGCATCCATTCTTTTTTCGCACGCAGCTAAACCCAACTTTTAGAACATGGCTCGGCATACACTGTTGGTGACACCAACGGCGACGAGTGGTACTTGTATATGACTACACCCACTGATGAATTGAATCTTCCTGCAATCCCATGGCCCAAATCGCTCTTGTATCCAGCTGCTGCTACTACTACGACAACATCCACAATCCCTATGCGTCGTGATGAAACAATCGAGATCCTCATGACACAACTCAACCCTGAAGCCATGGAAGCCTTTTATCATCGCCCTGGTGAGCCAGCTGGATTACAAGGAGGTCGTCGTGTTGATTTGGAAACAGGTCTTGCCAAAGTGTATCCTGATGCCAAGGTCGACTCGTACTTGTTTGAGCCATGTGGATACTCAGCCAATGCATTGCTCGATGAAGGATATTATACGATCCATGTTACCCCCGAACCACAATGTTCTTACGCGTCTTTTGAGACCACCATTCCCGCTTCTTACTCTCACGCCGTGAAAAATCCAGGCAAAGGCCGTCAACATGGTGACGCCGAATCCGTATGCTTGCTCATTCGCCAAGTCATTGATATCTTTCAACCTGGGACCTTTACCGTCACCTACTTTTCTTCCCACAATGATAACGATGATGCAGGCGGTGAAGATGATAGTAACATTGGTGTCATGATGGAGGCTATGGGCCGCTTTGGTGGTTATAAGCGCAAGGATAGAATCCTCTACGAATTTGATGGCTACGATCTTGTCTTTGGCCAATACAAGAAGATTTGAATAAATTTATGAGTTATCCCCGGTTTACTTTACTACTTGAGAGTATTGGTTGTGTGATCTACTAAAGGGACTAGCACGATCCCAACGTAAAATTGATGACTGAGAAATCACACGCGTCGTATTACAAGTACAACAATGAGCATCGGTGTCCCAAAGACCCTGCAAGTGGATCGTAGATTTTTCTCTGTGAACAAACTTTAACGATTCATAGTGCATCCCAAACACCGGATTGTACTTAAAGTTGAAATAGAGAAGGTATACGTGTAATTGAAAGATACAAAGCTATTGTCACTCTTATGGTCCTGAAATCGGGGGGTTGTATCCAAAATGCACTATATCTTGTTTATTACCATATTGATTACTATGTACGTTTTCCAAATTCCTCATTGTATTCACGCCAAATCTAATGGAAAGTGTTGAATATATATCCTTACGGCATTTGCTTGCTAATAAACTTACCACAGGTGCAGAAGTACATGGGATCAAACCAACTTCGGTAATGACAAGTGTAATGTATTTTGAAGGGGTGACATCGTATAAGAGGTTGAGTAGTCGCAAATTGGATTGATCACGCCACGACGCTAAAGATGACTCGCTGGGGTTGGGATGGCTTTGGTGGTTTGAGTTGTAGATTGGCTTTGTGGATACGAGATCATCGGGATGGCCTAGATAGCAAACCCATATTAATACCACTTGAATCCATTCTTCTCCATCACTACATACCTAATTCATTCAATACAAGCGAATCGACTTGAGTACGATTGACGAATTTGTAGGTCTCGCAGCAAATCATGACAGGGATTTGCTTGTCACTTGCTGCCATGGCAACCATTGCTGTGCCAACACGAGAGTAGACGGCGCCATTGTTGAGTAATGCGTGTGCACCCATAATCACCTTGGTCACATCTCGAAGGGCAACATAGACACTGGATAAAAGATGGTACGAGCATTTGATGTTTGCTGCAGCCAATCGTCGCAATAAATGTTTGCCTAGCAACGATGTGAATGAGTATAATGCATATCAACAACAAGCACCCAATCACTCTTTTACCTTCAAATAGGGGACGGCTATCCACCACAATGACCTTAAAATCGATACCCTTTTTCTTTGTTTCCAACAACAATGACTCCACTACTGATGATTTGCCATAGGTCAAAATGACATCGCCATCCTGGATCTTTTGAAGTCCATTTTGAACAATCAATTGATCGGCCATGGTGATACGCTCGCGAATAAAACGTTCAATGCATTCAATCAACCGAGTTCGTGCCTGAAGAAAGACATGTCTTAATATACAAATCCTACTCCTTCCTTCTTTCCTTCCAGTGGATAATTACCTCGTCATCTGTCAATGGTGGTTCCTCTTCAACAATATCCGAAACTTCCTTCTTGAGCCAACGAATGCATTCACGCATACTCAATGACATGGGTCGTGTAGCAAGCAAGTAGGCGATGTGTGGATCAAGATGTTTTTGAATGTTGCGTGCAAATGTGGCATCCGATGGAGGCTTGTGATCTTCAATGACCTATATTATTTATACCCATCAGCACATTAATATCTACCATCCCATCCAAGCCTTACCTTTGCAAAAGTCTCGAGCATAGCAACGCATCGTGCATTAGAACCAACAATCTTTCGTTCTGAGAAATAAAGGCCGAGAGCAAGGACAGCTGGATGTAAATCCTTGTTGTTGCTGGTGCTGGTGTTGGGTCGTTTGGGTGGATCGAGATGCATCAACCATGGCACTTGATTCTGATCAGTTTTACCATGTGCCTTGTTCTTTTTCTTCTTCTCCTCGCCACCAGCAGCACCACTCGAAGCACCAGATCCAGCACCAGATCCACCCTGATGTTGTTGTTGACCTTGTTGCTTTTTGTTGGCTTCCATCTCGGATGCTTTTTTGGCCGACTTTGGTAATCCTGCAGCTATCCGCTTTTGCTTCTCGAGTCTTTGTTGTTCTTGAAGAGCTCGACGTTCAGCTTTGGTCATATCCTTTTGCGACTTTCTAGGTGGATGTTGCTGCTGCTGTTGTTGTTGTTGCTGTTGTTGTTGCTGAGGTTGGGAAGACGACGCATTCTCCTTGCCACTGTTTTCTTTGTGAGTGTTGCTGCTATTGGAAGAGTCATTGGAACTGCGTGCAAGTGGTGAAGAGACACGAGGCTTGTTATGATCCTCTGGAGCAAGCCATTGGTTTTCATAAGACGAGCTCATGGGCGAACCGCTGACAGGTTGCTGGGGAACCGTGCCGGGAATGTGCAAAGGCTGATTCAACCATGGGTTAGTAACCAGACGACGATCGTTACGCATGCTATGCGGTAATGGTCGCATACCGATGATTTGTTTCCAGTTGGCTCCATATAACTGTTTTTGTGCTCCACGTTAGAACGCGTCGATATGAGTCAAGCTTCAAATGAGTCAACCTTTGCCAACACCCACCACACACACAAAAAACTTCGGGGATCCTGCTTAGCCAATGAGGATGCTCTATGCAAGTCAGCCATATGTCACATAGATAGATACCACCCCCAAATAGACATTTCCTTATTATGCCCACCTCCATTATTATTAACAATAGTAAAGAATGCAATGTTGTATTATACAAAGGGAAATTATGAATGGATACTATGATACAAATGTCTACTTTTTCCGTGCTCTTTTCTGTTTTGGCTTTGTTGGTGCATCACCTTTTTCCTCCTCCTCGCCATCATCCTCATCATCAACTTCTTGTCGGCGCCAGCGGCTGATAACATTTTGCACACGTTTACTCTTGTGAGCACGACGCTTGTGTGGTGCAACATTTGTGGCTGCCATGTTGGTCGATCCACCAAAGAATGAAATGATATTGCTTTGTTGACCTTCAGCCTACATACATGCATACGTTTGAATAAGTTCATCCTCATGACCATCTATCCTTAGGCATTACGTACCTTGCGTTTGTTCATTTCCTTAATAACTGGAAGTAATACTTCATCCGCCTTGCCTTCTGACCAACCAAATGACTGCATCAGGTAATCCCTTAAGGTATCCAGCTGAGGTGTACCCCATTCAAAAGCTTGCTTTGAATCATCGACCATGGGATGGTAATAAGCGTCCACGACAAGTGGATTTGGAAAGTCGTGGGGGAAATCGATCACCTTGTGCTTTTTCCTCTGTGAATCAAATAGGGCAGCGTTAGTTATCATCCACCATGATGAAAAAGAAAAGGATGGCTTACCAGCTTCTTTTGGAAATCACTGTTGTCATGGCCACTTTCATACCATTCCCTGAACCGCCTCAAAGGATCAATGATGTTCTTGTCATCGTCATGTGAAAATTCTGCCAAGATTTCAATGGCTGCAACTGGACCAATACCAGGAATACCATCCGTGTAATCACTGCCAAGTAAGAACGCGAGTTGCACCAACTTTCCTCGGTCAAGGCGCATCTCTCTTTCAATATCCGTGGTCATGTAGCATTCGACATACTTTTGCTGGTTGAACATGTTCTTGTAGATGCGGCTTCCACCAAAAAGGAAAACATCAGAATCATCCGTCACAATGCCTTCGACGAGAGATAAATGAACCAACTCGGCACATTGCGCTTCAGCCTCCATAGGCGATACCACAAAGGGTATACCAAAAAGTCGCAGCAATTCCTATAAAGAGATAAAGAGGGGTCCTGTGAATAAAAAGCATTGTCATCATCTATTTGCTCATCGCTTACTTGAATATCTTGGGTCATCTGCCTCGTAATCTCATCAGTATTACCCATCTCTTTACGCTGCTGCTTGTTCAATTCTTTCATGTCTTTGTAGAGCTCATCCCGCACACTCTCAAGGTCCTTTTGCGCAATATCGGAAACAAAACGAGCATATTCATCCTCCTCAGCTTCCACCTTGTCCACCAATTCCTCGTCTGAATTGTATCCATATTGAAGCTCATCAGGTGCTTCAGTAGCCATTTGTTCAGCTTCTTCCACCACCTTGGATGATGATTCATGCTCCTCCACAATTGCACCCGTATCAGTTGATGTGATGCCATCTTCTGCTGGGATTTGATCAAGTAGGTCTTTGGTGGCAATTGGGCTGATGGTAGGATCTTCATCGTGTGTGAGTGTATTTACAACATCATGGGGAGGATCGTTGTCACTGGGTATATTCTCATCCACGTTTGCAGCATCATCCTTCAAGGTAGTTGCCTTTTGTCGCTCATACTCATCAATCGTAATAATATCTTGACTTCCACCCTCATCCAAAATATGAACGGATTCAGGCGACGATGCAACATCAATTGGCTTTTCTGGTTGGGTAGATGCGTTGACATGTTCAGTAGCTGTTGTAGTGTCCTCAGGGGTTGGTGAATGGTGATCGAGGGTGGCTGATTCATGCGTAACCTTTTTCCAATCAATAACTGCTGATAAGAACTGCTCTTGAAATGACAAGGCTTCCTGAGCCATCTCATCACGGTCGTTGGTTTTGCCAAATGATTTCTGAACTCGCTTAAGCTGCTTCTCAAGATGATCAATGTCAAGGTCGTATATTGTGTCATGGATGATTTGTTTGTATTCGTCGTTCATTGAATGAAGATAAATAAAGGCATCTGGGACCTTGGATAACCACGTATTGTACATCTGATCAGGATCCAAGTGGGTTTCGTCTGGTAATTCTTGCTCCTTGGTTGTATCCATTAAAGGTGATGCAGCGGTCATTGTTTCATTGTTGAAATTAGCTTCGTCAGCATAAATCTGGTGAAGAACCGCTTGCATTGCTTCATCATTGTCATCAGCATACGCATCCATATCCTCCAAAAGATCATCAGGTCGAAATACTGGAGCAGGCTTTGTATCATGTGGCAAAAAGAGTGGCTCATCATCATCATCATCTTCAGATTCATCCATGCGTCGATCATGAGTCATGTTGTCGTGTGTTGTTGTATCCATCCATTCATCTTCCTCTTCTTCTTCATCAATGTTGTCGATATTTTGGAAAAGAGCAGCGAGTTTTGGATTCGAAGCAATTGCATCTTGAACCTTGTCACCACTAAGTGATCCCAAATGAGTCTCTTGATCTTCCCAATTGGATATGCTCTTCAACTTACGTTTCCATAGGTGTTTCATTCTCACGATGCGTCTCTTGAACATGTGCTGTATCGCTTGGGGTATCTGTACCAGGAAGCTTCCATCCCAATCCTTCACTGAAATTCTCGTTCTTCACCAAGAGATATTCTCGACTACGTTCGCCTGCAATCCTCACTGGTGCACTCTCTTGTTTGCTCGCCAAACCATCCATTTCCATCATACGCTGAGTCATGGCGTTTCGATGCATGAGCTGTTTGATTTGTTGTTTGGAGAAATCCAACGCTGTACGAGATTGTCGCACCATTTCATCAAGTCGAGCCCATGAAGTTTGACGTGATTTCAACTTAAGATCTTGCACAATCTCATATTGAACTTCTGGAGGCAGTGCTTGAAATGCTTCGGTGTCGATATCTTGCTCGGATGGTCGATAATCATTGATAAAATCAATCAATTCCTGTTGCGTTGCAAGTCGTGGATCTTGTTGTTGTCGATCGCCTTCTCCTGCCAAAGGTGGTAGCTCATATTGATCACGTTTAAACTTTTGCTTGATCTCTTGTAATGCAGCAGCCTTTTCCATCTCCTCCAAATTGATTGATTGTTGTTGATCATCTTCTTTTGGGGGCTGTTGTCGTCTATTTTGTATCATGCATCAGAATGCCATTGCTTTATACTTTTCTAGTAGTTCTATAACCTACTTTTGCTCTTCTTCATATAACACACGCTGTTTCACTTGAGCAGACAAGATCTTTTCAGCTGTACGCTTGGCATTGGTGGCAACTCCTTCTCGACGTTGACGGCGGCCACGCTAGATCACATCATGCAATACATCATCAGTAACCAATCATTCCCCCCCCCCAATGAATGATCCACACTTACGATGGTCGCACGTTTCAATTCAGGTGCACCACCATCGAAGACGAAGACTGGTTTGATATTGTAGAATAACAACTTGCATAGACGACGAAAGAAACCAAGCAAGTGACCATTCCGCAGCGCATTGCCTTCCTTGTCACGCATTGTACGCATAAACTGGTGCATCCAAATGCTCGCATCCACCGCCATTTTACGATTCCTCAACGTTTCGAGCTGAACTGGACGAGCTGTAGGTTCAATGAGTGTCCATAGTCCCTGTACACCCATGGCGGCAAGCTGATCAGTTGGGAGAGCTGGTGAAAGAACAAAGAAGCTGCGGAAGCGGGAATTCGAAATTTCCTGCTGCATTCATTCTGGCAACAACATCCTCCGCTGAGATTCATATGCCATATCCATAGCTACCATTTCATAAGAGACAGCAACCCCTTCCATAGCAACCACCTCACACCGTATAAATACATAAACTTTATGCAACATGCTTTCCCTTTTTGAATTCTTTCATGCTGGATTGGATGCATCTTTTGAGGGCACCTTTGTGAGGACACTTTGAGGAGGCGACAAAGCAATGACATGTGTACGTAAATTGGTGCAGATGAATGCAAACCATGGAGGAAGCAATGAACAAGGATGGCGAAAATCATTGTTATCATACGTATAGGTGGATGATGGCATCCATAGTTATGTTGATGAAAGAATGTTGACTTGCTCTGCACCCACCATCGAACAAGCCAAAGACGCTAGGCAAGACGTCAAAAGTAAAAAGGTAGCAAGGCATGGTTACCACCATTGATCCACTCTATTGGAGACGCAAATAGTTCGGACATGTAGATAGCCCATGTCAGGAGCGAGATAGGTATTTCGCTGCAAGGGACCAATGATATGCTAATATCACCCAAGATCACGTAAGCAATCGGCATCATGGATGGGACAGCCTAAACGTCCCAATGTAGGAATCACATGGATCATCATAATGTACATGACTCTCATGCTGACTATGTACAAAATAAAAGTATGGCTTTTATTATAGTCTGCTAAATGATAATGCTATTCATTGTTCTCGAGGAAAAGAAAAGCCAACAAGAGAGATGCTTAGGTAATGGGATCGGAACGCATATGGTATCCATTGCTCGTGATACCAGACTTTCACATGTTGCGGGTATTTAAACGTGCTGTCTAATGATATTACGTAAGGATAATGGATGCAAGCTTTGTTGTGTGTCAACATGATTGTGTGGGTAGGTAAACGTTATGTGTGTGTCCACTCGGGAGACCTATTAAGAAAGCAATAATACCTGCAACCCCCCTCCTGACATCTTAATTACCGTTTCCCGCTTGTCAACCTCGGTTCATTTACCAAAGCCGGTCATCTGGAAGCTCATTGGCTGACTCAGCCATTTGCATACTTTGTGCTGGACCCTTTCGAGCCTGAAACTTGTTTTTTGCACCTTTCCCCTTTCCTTCACTTCTTTCACCTTTTTGAACTCCATTGCCAATCCAGAAAAACACCATTCCTTTCCAATGAGCAACACTGGAAGTGATACCGACACCTCATCAGTAGGAGCGCAGCGTCGTAAAGGAGTTATTGACACCCGGCGAGCTGAACAAAATAGAGCAGCACAACGAGCGTTTCGTCAAAGGAAGGAACGCTATGTCAAGGAATTGGAGAACAAGGTGCGTGATATGCAAGGCCTTCAAAACCGGGTTGAGAACTTGGAGGATGAGAATGCACGATTAAGGCAGCGTATATGGGAGCTGTCTCATCGACCATCCACTACATCATCTTCTTCTTGGAGTCCAAGCGACGAAGAATCGGCCCCGCCCTTATCCACTTCAAGGTCTTCTACAACTACTACAACTACCGCTACTGCTGCTATTCCTTCTACAAAACATCACACTACTCGGCGATATCATCCATATTCAACCGCTTCTACAACATCTACTCCTCTTCCTCCTCCAACTTTACATCCACCAACAACATCATCTCCCCCACCACCATCATTGAATCGATCATCAGCAACACCATTGCATCCCACTGATCGATCACGTAATATTGCCCATCAAGCACCCTCCTACTATGCAACCAAGGATCATCATCGTCAAAGTAATGGTGGTGGTGGTACAGAAGAAAGTCGTGTATTGGATGATCTAATCACTGTATTGCGTTCACGTCATCGACCTCCCATTCCATCCCATCTTGGAAGCGTTGGTAGTGCTGGTGGTGGTGATTCTTCTTCATCATCCAATTCAGAAAGTCCTCCTCCACCACCAACGGTATCCTTGTCGACACCCATAGAAACCCAACAACCACCATCCCAACCACAACAACAACAGGTCAAAGCGCCCATTCACTCATGATACTTCCTTCCTTCCTTCCTTCCTTGTCCAGTTATATATCCTCTCAATCATATCGACTTTTTGTTTTCCCCCATCAGACATACTTTGCTGTTTGTACATAACTTCATTGCAAAAAGAATTCTATAAACAATGGTCTACAGCACATGCTTTTTTACAAATTCTTGTGCAGCAGCGTATCCCTGTAGATAGACCATGATGAATAACCACCTTCATATCCATGTTCCCCTTAATCCATACCTGATCATGATAAACAGCTCCAATCACTGCATTCACTGCGGTTGCCTTGATCTTTGGAGGCATACTAGAACCAGGCTATATCGCGATGTTAGATATCTATATGGTCTCTTTCGCCCATGTATCCATTTTCACATTACCACATGATATTGCATGCCATCTGCCAAGTTGAGACCATCAAACTTTTTGGCTAATCGGTCAAGATTGGTATGTTCTTGCACGTGATCCTGTAACGACGAGGATGTCAAACCGCTCTCGCATGCTGAAAGTTGAAGAACACGGGCACCAAGATAGGCAAGTCGCTCATTGGAAGGCACGCTGCCATGTTCGTATGATTTGTGGGTCAATGCACGTTGAAGAATGTTGGGCGTCTTGAATGAGACACCAAGTTGTTGGCTGACAGCCTCGGCGTTGAATGAAGGCGATGCTGCTTTTTTGTCCTGAAGTGTACGTCCACAATGGAAAGATCGTCGTGCTACACCTAGCAAGTAGTATAAGATTTCATGGTTCCCTATCACCTTCTTTCTCGAATAAATAAAAGGGTTGTAGTGATTCAACTTACCAATGGTTTGTGTGAATGCTCTCATGATAGTTGTAAAGGGACAAGGCGGGTGGTGCAAGCGGATGTTTTGACAACTGTGACGATGGATGTGTGGCGGTGAAAAGTTCCGTGTCACGTGAACTGGATTTCCATCCTAATGTAATTTCAGTGCTGCCTCAGTGATAGTAGCAATACGACATCCTCATAAAGTGTTAAAGTAGTAATGTCAACCCTGTTTTATGATGGTCATGGACAACAACATGTGACATGTTGATGCCATCATTCATCACCATCAATCACCCTGTATAACAAAGAACGAATAAACATTCAAAAAGGCTCATCATGGGATCCATTTTTCAAAAGCACATGGCAACCCCAAGACAACCATTGCTATGTGTGCTGCCAAACCTTATGCAATGAGATAAAGTGTAATCAGCATCATCTGCAGGTACGCTCGAGACATGCAATAATCAGCTCATCCATGGCTAAATAGGAGTATTACATGTACAAGACTCTCTTTCACCACAAGGAGCTCCATTGGCGTTTGTTGCCGTCAAGTTGCATCATCATCATCACCATTAGTAGTAGTAGTAACAGCAACAACAGGCCATGAAACATCCCCGCTTTTGGGGCTCCCTAAAGCTGATTCACATAAGAATAGTAGTTAGGTTTTGCTCCCCTTGAAAATGTTTCTGACATAAGCAGCAACCAAACGATGCGGGGCCTTTGTTTAACCCCACAATGGATCGTCCTCGTTGGTTACCGATCAAAAACTTTCAAAAGTTGTTACTCGGATATTCCCGGACCATGATTTCTCCGCTTAGTTCCATGTGGGATTTTCTCTTTGTTGCTGTGTGAATTGAATATCAAGATGGAGAGGTTTAAAATTCAACTACATTGGCGAAATAGATTAGGGTGTGTTATGTGGAAATCGGGGAAATGGGGGGAGGAGAGGGTATTGGTAAAAGGGGGT